GAAATTCGTGAGTCCTCCCCACTCGTCCAAGAACCGCGACATTCGCCAGGGGTGCGACGAATTGGAAAAATCTAGAATCAGCGGAACCACCTGAGAGAAGGGAAGGGATCGATAAGGTTTGATTTTGATAACTGTGCAGAAGTCCAACCCTTCATTGATGGGTACCACAGTGTCGGGTCACAATAACTTGAAACGGCGGACGAAAGGCATTTGATTGGCGCCCAATACCAACCGAATTGTATGGTCAGTTTGTTATGATCTTCAAGAGAGACGGCGGCGCTCGGCGCTCGGTTGCTAAGGTATGTAATGATTCTACTTGTCCGATGCGTTTTAAGATGCAATGGATCTACAGTATTGACATTATGCAAGCATTTCTCTTGCAATGGACTTCGCCTGAGTAACATATTAGATGGTTGACAGTTGAGCGCCTAGAACAGTGCATTCTGGTAAGGTTACGTTGCCTTGAACTGGAGAACATTGGTGAATCTCAGCTTGATGGCAAACTTAAGCTTGAGAAGAGAGTCTAATCGGATAAGGATCCATTTTGTCGATGCCGCACTCTGCACTGCGCCATGTACATTGCAGACATCAGGCGTACTAACTCACGTCACGTTGAACCATGCTGGCGGGCTGAAGTGGCAATTCATTAGCACAAAATGTAATACATCACGACGTTCAGTAGTGTTCTTCATCAACCAGTCGTCCTAGGCTGTACAAGAAAAAGGTTCATCAATCGGTACATGGAGATAATATCAAGCAAGAAAAAAATCACGCACCTTGACCTCGTCGCCAACCTTGCGCACCCAAACTGCTCTGACTGTACCACCTTCTTTTTTCAAGCCTTCATCCCCCTCGTCCCATGTATAACTCACACCCACTGCTAGACGTGTGCCATCGCAGTTGAACGCGATACTGGGAATCGCAGACGCATATTTCGGGTACTGTCTAAGCCGTTTTTTGACCTTATGATCCCAGATGGAGACGGTGCCGTCTGACCCTGCAGATGCGAATGTATTGTGTCTGATCGCATGGTATGAGCAATAAGTGTGAACTGATCAACTACGGTCGAGAAGAACGAGAAGACACATACACTGGGTGAAATGCGAGTGCATTAACTGGCCAGACGTGATCCACATCCTCGATATTTTGTCTGTGGCACTTGAACGCATATTTCTTATCCTGGATTTCTGGACTCGGATCAAAGTACTCCACGCCGATGCGGCCTTCCACAGAGCCGATCGCATAACCTAGGAGTGAGTGAAACCATAAAGCACGTTACCCTTAAACACGAAAGGAATAAGCATAGACTCACCCTGTCCATCAGCCATGCACGCTAAACTCCTCGTCATGAATTTCAAACTGCTTTCTCTTGTCTGCGCGGGCTCGGACATTCGTCGTACGTCATATATATGGAACAAGCGCGAGGCCATGGAGACAACAAGCGTATTGTTCACTACGTCCATGTGGTAAACGCGTTCAGGGAGCGCATGATCCGATACTTCTGCTTTTGGTGTGCGGGGATCCCAGAAACGAAGCGATTGGTCCCATGAGCCAGAGATGAGTGTATCTGATAGGCAATAGTTGAAAGGAATTTAAGAATATAGGGATAAGATACGCACTGATTTCACGTGCATAAGAGAGCGCAGAGACCGAGTTGGAATGTTGACCCAGAGAAGTCACCCTTTCTGTTGTGAGATCAAGCCTGTGAGAAGAGTCAGCGTCATTCTTGAGGAAATAAAATGGGGATACGCACTCCCGCACTCCAGTATCCAAGCATCCACTGTAGGCATGGGTCGAGTCGCCGAACAGACAGGAAAGGACGGCTGCGCGATGGTCAAATTTGGCTTTTTGTTCGTTCGTGGCTACATCATAGAACCGTACAGTCTGGCGATGTGTGGTTAAATCCCGGCGGACTGAAAAAGATAGATGGAAGCTCACAGTGTCCCAAGCAGATACCAGGAGATGGTCAGGGTTTGTCGGGGAGAAGCGTACCTGGGATACGCTGTCGAACGGAGGTGATGAGAGTTCCACTTGATCTACACATGTCCTCAGTGAGATAGATACACATTGTCAAGGAAAAATATAGACTTACCAGCCATGTACAGAGATACTAGAGCAGACGCCGAGACTGCAAAGAAAGTTATGCGCGCAGAGACACAGCCACTGCATGCACAGGCGTGGTCACGTGAGGACAGTCTGTACCACTCGGATGCAGACGATCAGTCGGTGATTAATTGATTCGATATCGATTGACGCGAAGTAACTATATTCGACTCACCTGTCGCGTCAGTATCTAACTGCAGGGACCTAACGTCCCAAGGCCAAACTCCGTTACCTATGTAGGTACTTGGATATATCGCAGTCTGCGATCAGCAAGGGTTCTCGGGCGCTCACTGGCACTAGTACTCAGCCCGCTTGTATTTAAGTCGACTGCAGCAAATATTGCCTCGAGGCTCGGGTCAAGGGTAGCCTGTTGTTATTTAAACGCCGTGGGACCCACCTTTTCCCGAACTACCTCAACGCGCACCGTTCTCACTGACTCTATCAGCTCCACGACTTGTGCATTCATGGGATGTGCAGTTCCTGCAGAATGCGCACATCCCACGGATGCAATTGCTGAGGAAGGCTCGTGGCTATCTGGCCCTGCAGGCAAGGGGAAACTAACTATCACTCACACTACTGCTAAATGGTTCCATGACATGGGAGGGTTCGCTTCATTTTATTGTTTTGAACATCACCGAGAAGCCCACCGTCGCCATGAAAAGGTTTTTTTTCCACCATCGCCCGCGACCTGGTTGATCATCGTGGTTGTAATAGATGCATTGGACGAGAGTGACGGAGTCGAAACACGATGCTATCTTCTCCGTATCCTTGCTGGTAAACTGGCTGTTTCCCAAATTACTGGACCTCTCTCAAACTTAAACATCCGTATCGGAGCGTGCGAGAAGCGGCACCGATAGTGTCGGTGTCACTTCTCGCATGCTTCGCGATATCGATAGCGAGGTTGGAGAGGCTTAGCGTATCCTGACGGATGTCCACGGACGACATTCCAATAAAAGTTGCGGAGAGCGACATCTACGCTTACATATCGAAGGAGCTGGGGCCCCTCGCATTTTGTGGCAGGGATTTTGAAGCCCTAACTGATGGCCTGTTCGAATGGGCCTGTCTTGCTTTTGAATCCATCAAAAACCCCTTCCTGATGTATCTCCAGTTGATTGCTTCGACCTTGTAGCAACTCGCAATCCTGTCCATCGCAGCATGCTGTTGCACGATATGTATCACCTCATTTCGACAGAAATCATGTACAGGGACCAAACCGCAAATACTAGGCACCAGCAGGTTTGACTACGAAGGCGCTTGAAACATTTCGCTCCGTGATGGGACGAATACCGGGCACGGCCGAAGCATTCTCGTTAGATTCCTTGAACGCATGCGGCGCCATTTTGCAGACGAAGGCAACCGTTACGATGCGGATGTTGTGATCAAATGTGTGGATTCCCTCAGCGGTACCACCAACTCATGCATTCCCCCATATCTATCCTACTCCTGTCGATTTTGACCTGCGCACGTACGAACACCAATTTTCGACACGAAGCTCGCAGAGGAAGTAAAATTGTTCTTCGACAACGCACGACTTCTCTTCTGGATCGAATCACTGGCCTTATCAACGCGCACAGTGGCGCAGTTACCGACCTTCCGCCCATCGCCCAATGGCTCAAGGTGAGTACATGGTTACTGAATGTCAGAGATCGTGCTTACGCGCAAACGCAGAGCCATTCCGAATTCAAAGATATCTCACCCATTGCAATGGACGTGCAGAGGTTCATACAAGTCTTTGGTGGCATCATTTAACACAGCACACCACATCTGTACGTATCAGTCTTGTCCGTGGTGCTTTCGATGACCTAGTCATGCAGGAGCTAAGCTGCAAGGGTGACTGTATGCTGTATATATGCTTGTGTCACTAATACGCATGATCTTTTTTAACAGAATGACATCCTAGGTTCGTCTTCTAGCCCAGATACCCGCCAAATCCTCATTCATGTGATCCCCTCCATCTACCTTCACTATAGCTACGACTTTGGTCCTCTATCATCATGCATCCATCTTATTCGGACCATCTCAACAGGGTGTACTAGTTGATACTGAGATATCTCTGCCCTCATGCTCGAAGGCAGCCCACATCCTTATCCATCCCTCTGTCAGCTCATCAATCCCTTCCTCGATCCCCTCCGAATTCCCTGTCCTCCGTCTCTTCTTATCTGGTGGTCTCAACGCTAAGCACCTCGACAATATTTATCGTCAGTCCACCAAGTACTAAGTACCTCAGCACCTCCTGACTCCCCCTCTCAGCTCATTGTCCATCCGTGCTGTGTGCGCATGATTCCTGCTCTTGTTGTATGCGCTCCACATGTTTGATCTCGAAAATTAGAGCTAGAACTAAGTCTCCTTGACTCAGAAGTGAGTGTCACACCATCGTCATCGTCAAGGTAGACTTCCTATCCCACTCTAACCACAGCCTGAACGGAACTGATCATAAACTCTATAGCGTGCCAACAACAGTATTCCTTGACTGGTGACGCACTTTTTCGCTTGATATCTGAATATCGAGAAAGATGGAACAGTGCAGAACATATTTTAAGGAAAAGGACGGGGGAAGAATGAGTTTCGTATCTGGAAGAATGTCCAGAGGTGTTCGTCAGGGAGTACTCGGACGTGGGAGCACGTGTTCTGTATCTGCCGGGCATATCGAAGGAATAGGCGGAAGGTTATCAGTGTTATGTTGAGCCCTGTTGCATTGGCGTGACTCAGTGCAATGAGGGACTTACTAGACGGCAGTTGAAGTCAAGCACAGGGCGACCGGAGCATTAAACTGGCCGACGAATATTAGATGGTCGATTTTCCCTTACAATGGTAGTAGAAACGAGAAGTATCGAAGATACTCCTGCGATGAGTCAAACTCACCAGTGCTTTCGATCGACGGCATTCCTTCCTGGCACATCCCGCATAATGAACCACCAACATATAATCGAGCATTTAATAAATCTGCGAAAGACTCTAGAGTAGGCGATAGCACGATAGGGGATGCGAAACAGGAAGAGTATGACTCGGAGGGTGATCCTACAATCGGCAGGTGCTACACCGCAATGAAAAAAAATACAAGGGTACAGTAAAGGTGCACTGACACATGAAAGCATTACGACATAAGAGAACTACACACCGATATGAATGAAAACCATCCTCTGCTCGAGCGGCACTTTCGTCTTCACGGCGTGTGTGGCACGGTTGAGGGCCCAGGCCGCCCTCGTGCAGTCCATCACACTACCGGCACCATCCTTCAAATCCATGAACATATATTTGTAGAACGCTTCAACGACGTGTTTTGCGACAGCATCGTTGACTTCCCACAGCGTGCCAATGACGCTCTTGAACCCTGAAAACTGGAGACCAGCTGCGAGATGAATGACTTCGTCAGGAGTTTCCTCATCCCCGACGGCGGTATGACAAGCAGATAAGAATGCAAACTCGGCGTGCGGAATGTTTCTCTCCATGATATCGAGCAGCGTCAGATGTTCATCTCTCATCACAAAATGCGAATTGTAAGGCTGCGTAGGGTCCTGCTTTCCGTGACAAGCGAGGTGCACCCAGGTGTTCTCTTCCAAAGCCTGGAGTGCACCTGCTCGTGTTGCTTCATCGCCAGAAATAGTGGTACGGTTGGCCGTCGCAGGGACGAGCCTATGGACAAGCTCGAGCTCGCTGTCGACAGCCAAGAGCGCCTTGCCTTTCCCTGCACCCGGTTGACCTTGTCCGATTGTCCCGAAGGATGGAGCGACACGCCTCTTCATCATCTGTCTAGATCTGACCAGAGCCGAAAGTGTCGGTGTGTAAGAACAAATGTAGAGATCCTCCAGGCAAGGCTGCTTGGAGCCATCTGCCTTTGTTTGAAAGGGGTGAGCTGCATGGAGAGGAATAGACGTAAAAGCTGCCGTTGGACACAGCCAGATTCGAGAACGGTGCTTTAGATCGAGGACGTTCTCGAGTACGTTGATGATGGGTAGCATGATCTGGTCCCATACTGTACGCAAGAGGACTATTAGATCGTTACGCGGAACTTTTGGGCCCATGATAGACTGCGTGTCGTATTGCCCTGGCGAAGCGATCTTTAAGGTTATTCAGTTCTGTGAGAGAGACAGATGGCAAGGGAACATGATGAGGGTCTCCTGACTGTCGGGACAATGATGGCGCTGCACGAGTATTGACTCGCAATGAGGATGATGACCGGGCCATGACGTGCTGCCGCTTGCAGGTTTTCGTACCAAGGTGGGAGCAGGAACCGCGAGAACGCCGGAAGATCGCGTATCTTAGCTACCGCAGCTCCCCATTGCATTGTAAGCCTCCTATACTCTGTTGCTGCTCGATCAGCAGCAACTCTGTCGGTGATGGTTGCAGAACTCTGTGCGGCATTGTAAACGCGCTTGCTCAGCTCTACATAATCGTGCGCCAATTTTGAATTTGCTGACTCGAGGTCTTCAACTGGAGTCTTGAGTCGAGATGCCAGGGACCATTGCTGGCCACGGCCCTGCTCGACGAGCTTCACTGCGCGTCGTAGATTGTCATGGCGGATGGCACACGAGGCTGCATCTACAGGCAGTGATCTGGCATAATGGAAGGCAGCGGCAGCTTCGCGTCGTGAAGTCGCCGACGATCGTGTTGCCAAATGAGCATCCAGAAGCTCAAAAAATATCGAGTAGGCCTCCAATGCGGATTCATGTCCATGCTGCTCCGCTTCAAGGGTCCAATTATATGCCTGAACGATGCGTTCTGGGAATCCTTGAGTGGGGTGACTCGATGACAGTCTGAAGTTCTCCACTGCAAGTGATAAATCAACAGGATTGTGTTGTATGCAGTAACGAGACAGATAGGCCCTCTGTAGCCATGCATAGCTCCTGGATCTGCCTGGGTGCAGTGAAGGTAGAGATGCCAGCCCTTCTTGGCAAAGTTGAATGGCCTCCTGGACGTCTTCATTTGTCTTCATTTGTATGAAACGAGAGCAGAGCGCTGAGCTCAAACTGTAAAGAGTTATATGGCGATCTGGATCGTCATGCCGCTTTAACCGAAGGGATTCACGATACCAATCAATAGCCTCGTTAAGATCCTCGCTGATATCCAATTCGTCATATCTGGTTTTCAGTGCGAAGGCAAGGTTGTTGAGCGTGGTGTCACGATGTGGATGTCCAGGTGGGCGCAACGTCAGTGCCTCGCGATGGAGGCTGATAGCTCGGGCGATGTCATCAATGTCGCCGCGTTTGTTGAAACGGGCGACCAGGGCGACCCCTAGGTTGTCCAGTGAGAAGTCACGAGATTCGCGCCCAACAGGGCACAGACGCAGCGTTTCTTCGTACAAAGTGATCACCTCATCAAGGTCGTTAGGTTTGCCTTGATAATCGAAGCGGTTCTTGAGTGAAAAGGCCAAGTTATTCAGGTAGTCGCTGCGATCAGAATGTCCTTCGAGGCACAGAGAAACGGCTTCACGACGAAGGTGAATGCTCTCATCTATATCATCAATGTCGCTGTGTTGTGTAAAGCGTAGGAAGAGAGCCCATGAAAGTTTGTCAAGTGCATTTGGACGGTGTTGTTGGCCCATGAGACAAAGCTCGAGCATATTTCGTCGAAGGTGAATGCCTTCATCAGATGTGTCGATTGGCAGATTTTTCATCGCGTAATCGACCAAACTGTCTATGCCGATGCTACGAAGGTAGGTGCCCTCCGGACAGAGGGTCAGTAGCTTGCAGCACAGCTGCGCGGATTCCTCAACGTAGATGGTGGTAGACTCCTTGCTGTAACGCCATATCAATGCTCTAACGAGATTATAGAGGGATGATGCATGATCGGGGTGACCCTGCGGACGCAATGCAAGGGTTTTGCGAAAGAGGGATGTGGTAGTACCGATGTCTTGATGATGGTTTTCAATATAGCCATCAAGGCGGGCATACGCGAGATTGGTGAGAGCTGCTGCATGATCAGGATGGCCGACCGGACACTGGTCAAGAACCAACTGAAAATGCTGCACAGCATCGTTCAGGTGAGAGACCGTCCCGCTCGTCGCGTATTCGGCAAATCGTGCGTGGCCTGCATCTGTGTCTCGAGCAATATCACTGTATACGGGGGACTACAGTTGGTGCGCCGTCAGCAAAAGTTAACAGCAAAAGTCAGTGTCACTCGCATTAAACAGTGTGCTGTCCTGATCATCACAGGCATGTACAACGACGGCCTTCAGCGTGAGGGAAGGGCAGACATCACGAATAGGTGGGAAGGATAGATCTATGAGATGTTAGTATATGCGCGTGAATGAGAAGTAAGGTACTCACCGAATGGCTCATCCCCATAATCGAGCAGCTCATCCCACGAGATTTGAAGTTTCCCGATGATCTCTCCACTACCTAGCATTCGATCGACCTCATAGGATGCCCTGATCTCCATTGATAACGCAGGTGAGTCATGCGATGATCTACAAACCGAAGATCAGTTCTCGCGTCGCGTCAGAGAGCCTCCGTGGATGTTACAGAGTCAAAGTATTCCCCCATGCTACAGATTCATCAGATGATAAGACACGGATAGTCGATTTCCAGCGTCTCAGAGAGTCGACATTGATGGACACGTAAATGCCTGCAGGTATGCGCCCAGAAGGGACTTGGAGATTATTTCCGCTGATGACTGTAGATAGAGCATGAGGATCATGAAACGGACGTGAGGGTGATATAGAGCGACTTACATTCAAGTCTGATGCATCGGCTTTCAGAGCTACTAGGCATGATAGTACGACGAAGTGAAATGACGAGGATCGAAGATGGGCCGAGCGGTGGGCGGAATATATGGGAGGGGGAGTTCAGTGAGAGGAGAGGTTCAGGGTTCGGGTGCACGTGCATTTCCATATTGTCAAGGGCGATAGACGCCGGTATGATATACTGAGCACGAGAAAAACGGCCGGCTATGTAGTGTTAGCGGGAGAGCCTGCTCTAAAGAAGTACAGAATGTAATGAGTGGTCTGCAGCGAAAGTAGCCCACAAAGGGGACATGCGAGTCTCAGAGCGTCTGGTAACGGTTGCAACTCCCGGACTTATATCAGAGAGTCGTATCACTTATTTAGCACACAAAGACAAAATTGAGAATTGAGTGCATTTCCCCAGGTGTTAAAATGGCAAATGGAAGCGATGCAAACCACTTAAACTAGTAAAAGCAGAAAAGCCGAACGATTGTATACGACGTGTCCGATTGAGCTGATAGTGGCATGGGGAGGAGTTGTGGAAACGCCAGTGACGGCCTGCGAGAACATGACAAGTGGGATTCAGGCGCGATATGACAACGGACGATGGACCTATAGCTAGTGATGAAAAGTGCAACTTGGAGCAGAATGAGCAAGGAACTGCATGACAATTAATTTTTTATAATACCTGGTTGTCTGCCGTTGAACCAAGGGCGTCTTTTCCTCAGCAGCAGCAGACTATAAGCAAAGTGCGAGGGAACATCATTTGCTTTTCGGTGTTTGCCGAAGACAGTTCCTCAAGTCACCACTACACGCGCGTAGTAAATATTATAGAAATTCAGAGATCACCCGCTCTCATCGATCCTCTCCCTCCCTGCCCTCATTCTTAATCTGATGATTATGACGACTCCATGCTCAGCGCCTCGACAATACCACTAGTCCTCCACACCACCACTCCCTCTTAATTCATCGTCGATCCGTGTGCTCGTCAATCGTGTCATTGTAGCTTGGAGGGTTGCTCCAGGTAGGTCACTTAACATCTAATCTCGCTATTCGTTTGGTGGTTTTCACGTTCTGTTTCCGCGCCAAAAATCTCATTCCTGTCCGTCAAACTTGAATACAAGGAGATACTGGAAGGCAACCATCCGAGACCCACCATTCAACATATCTACACCATCGGGCAGTACCATCAACCCTCCGGACATATCCTTTACTCATATTTTTCTTCCTGTCGTGACACGCGCTCTTACGGCTCGAGCTTGACGATTGGAGCTACAATCAGGTCTTCTTGACTCGGAAGTGAAGCATTTAGAGTGGCGTACGATCGACATCGCCGGTATGGTCCACCCACAGCTCAAGTAGGGCGAGCCACCATACTGAATGACATGCCACCAACAGGCGATTTTCTGGACGTCGAGGAAGATGGCGACGAATCATACTGGAGAAGAGCAGCGGATGAATGAGTCTGATATCTGGAAGAAGGATGAGAGGAGTTCGCCCAAGAGTACTCGAACGTCGGAGGACGTGCACTTTATCTGCCTTTATTTCACAAGTTCGTGATCTCGTCACTTACAATGAAACTGCTGTTTAGAGACTTTGAAACTTCAAGTGATATGCCCGTTCTTGCTTCGGGCCCCGCAGCAAATACTTATGTTCGCTCCCATACTAAGGTTGCATTCTCCATATGCTGATAGATCACTCCGATCCATAGATTCATGAACTGAATTTCATATCTTGTTCACGCGAGGCTGCATTAATGCAGCAAGCGTCTAAATTCTGCGACAGGTATCGCTTACGAACCACCTCGATTACATCATGATCCTGTCAAGATGTTTGAACGCCACAACAGAAGTAAATACTATGAATATGAATACACTACAACTTTTCCGGATAACAAGGCAGTAGCAACCATGTGTTATGATATGACAATATACATATGGAAGCAAAGGTGCGTTGATCGAGATGATGGGCTCCAGATGTCGTTGATGTTCCCTTCGAACAAGCAATGCGTGTTTGTCTGCTGCGATTCTATTCGATTGGTGAAATCTGATCACTTCGCTAAGGGGATGCTATCAATGTGGATGACGAAATACGACCGCATGTAGGGCTCTTGCAGGCGTGGCAGGACGGCGTCAATTTCGCCTGGCCTGCCTTGACTTCAGCCATCCTCATGTCCATATACCCAGGTACGTCTAATTTTAATAATAATTCTGTGCATTATCTTTATGATATTTACTTTAACAGAATGTCCTTCTAGGTCCGTCTTCAGATACCTGCCAAATCCTCGCTCACAGCGTGATCCTCTTCATCCGCCCTCACTATAGCTACAACCTTGGTCAAGCCTTGCATGCATGCATATCGTCTGGAACATCTTAACAGGACGTTGATACTGGCATGTCTCCATCCTCATGCACATGCTCGAAGGTAACCCATATTCTTATCCATCCCTCCTCTGTCAGCTTATCAATCCCTTTCTCAATCTCTTCCAGACTCCCTGTCCTCCGTCTTTTCTTATCCGGTGGTCTCCATGCTCAGCACCTCGACAATACTCACCGCCAGTCCACCACTTTAAGTACCTCAGCATTCCCGGTGCCCCTCCCCTCTCAGCTCATCCTCGATCCGTGCCGCTTTCGTGATTTGTGTTGTGTATTATTGTAACCTTTATTCAGGATCTCCTGTTCCCACGATCCCTGGTCCTGTGGTATGCGCTCCACATCTTTGAGTTCGACAATTTGGGTTAGAACAGGCTCTTCTTGACTCGGAAGTGAGTATCGTACCATTATCATCGTTGAGGTAGACTTCTCATCCTACTTTAACCACAGCCTGAACAGAGGTGGTCAAGTTTGACTTCAAGCCACCCAGTACATGCGCTGCAAAGGAAGTCCCGACCTCATGGGCAGTCCAGCACTCAGTACTCGGTGACCATGCCTTCGTGTTGGACGATCTGAATTTACATAGTACAAGTTACAAGGTCGCCACTAGAAAATGCGAGAGCGGGCTCAAGTGCTCACGGGTCCCATCACTGTGCGTATCCAACCTCCCTATCTACGACAGGCTCTAATGACCAGCACAGTATGCAACCGCAAGCTTGTCTCCACCGCCCGTGTCGCTCTATCGTTCAGACTATGACCCTCATAGGTGTGTTTGAACCCAATTTGAACTTCGGAAAGTATCGCTGGACTATTGGCATTTGTCTCGCGGGAGCTTTGGTCTGTGCGCTTCTTCTGCCAACTGCCCTGATGCTAACTGCATTCCTTGACAATGCCATCTTGTCTGTACATACCCACGCGCCTTATGAAGACCCCCAAATCTCGCCTCCTGTGCATGTGCAGTTCATTGATTGGGTGCTGGGCATTTGCTCGTTCTTTGGTATCATCAACTTGATCGACAAGGGTAGGATCAGAGGGGATGATCATGGAGACTCCTCGGCCGCGTGGAGGGTACGTCTCTTCCTATTCATTGGATTTGCTTTCATGGCTGGCGGACTGGCGGGGAGCGTGGTAAGCCTTGATATTTTTTCTGACGCCACCAAATATTCAATGTTCCATCTAGTCTCTTCTCGTGCTGAAATACGTCATGATGGACTACCCGAACAGTACACATACTACGGCTATGCCAACGTATCGCAGAACGTGGCCTTGATGCTGTCGTCAGTTGTGCTTTGAATTGCACAAAGTGCGCAGACCGAATATGATTATAGCGTTACCCTTTAGTAACAGATACAGTTTCATTGATGTTGTTGAATTTTTCAGTGTAGCTGTGGATATGTATCTTTCTTTTGCGACTCTGTCACTGGTGCGACAACTTGAGAATCAACTTCGGCGGACGGTTGAGAAAGTCACAAGTATCCACTTGTGTATCGAGGTACCCGAAGGTAAACAGCCCCGAAACAATTTCTTTCAGTTGTACTGTTTTTTGCTCGGCTGGTGCGCGAGCGTCAAGCCGAAAAGCTCGAATGTTTGAAAGTATGTTAGATCAAATGGACGACCGACGGGAACGTCTAAGTGTTAGAGCCCTCACCCCATTGACAGATTAGTACTCATGTCGAAGCGGATGCTAAGCAGTGCACAGATGAGCCACAACTTGTCAAAGCAATCATCCGGGATTGACGGAACTACTGACTTTGCCCTGAGTGCGCATGTTTGCACAGATGAGTTGGGTGACTGCTGCTTCTCACTTGACGTTGATTACATTGGCGGTTGTTAGTCGAGGTTCCATGCTCGAAGCTTGAAGGATGGTATAACTGGAAGGCGCAAGTCGGGTTGACTGGACTCGTACGATCTAAATACTGCAAACGAATCGAGTAGTAGTATACAAGAATTTTTGATGAAAACATTTTAGTCGGTAAAGACACGAAAGAGTATATGAAAATGAGGTAGCTGGAACGCAGGAATACCAGGGTCACTTTACAAAAATACAGGAGGAAAGAGGATCGTGGATCAACAACTTGTGAATATGTACCAGACGACAGCAGTACGAATACGACGTAGAACTACACACCAATATGAATGAAAACCATCCGCTGCTCGAGCGGCACCTTCGTCTTCACAGCATGTGTAGCACGGTTGAGGGCCCAGGCCGCCCTCGTGCAGTCCATCACACTACCGGCACCATCCTTCAAATCCATGAACATATATTTGTAGAACGCTTCAACGACGTGTTTTGCGACAGCATCGTTGACTTCCCACAGCGTGCCAATGACGCTCTTGAACCCTGAAAACTGGAGACCAGCTGCGAGATGAATGACTTCGTCAGGAGTTTCCTCATCCCCGACGGCGGTATGACAAGCAGATAAGAATGCGAACTCGGCGTGCGGAATATCTTTCTCCATGATATCGAGCAGCGTCAGATGTTCATCTCTCATGACGAAATGCGAATTGTAAGGCTGCGTAGGGTCCTGCTTTCCATGACAAGCGAGGTGCACCCAGGTGTTCTCTTCCAAAGCCTGGAGTGCACCTGCTCGTGTTGCTTCATCGCCAGAAATAGTGGTACGGTTGGCCGTTGCAGGGACGAGCCTATGGACAAGCTCGAGCTCGCTGTCGACAGCCAAGAGCGCCTTGCCTTTCCCTGCACCTGGTTGACCTTGTCCGATTGTAGCGAAGGACGGAGTGACACGCCTCTTCATCATCTGTCTAGATCTGACCAGAGCCGATAGTGTCGGCGTGTAAGAACAGATGTAGAGATCCTCCAGGCATGGCTCCTTGGATCCATCTGCCTTTGTTTGAAAGGGGTGAGCTGCATGAAGGGGAATAGACGTAAAAGCTGCAGTAGGACATAGCCAGATTCGAGAGCGGTGCTTTAGTTCGAGGACGTTCTCGAGTACGTTGACGATGGGTAGCATGATCGCGTCCCATACTGTCCGCAAGAGGACTATTAGATCATTACGCGGTACTTTTGGGCCCATGATAGACGCATGTCGTATTGCCCTGGCGAAGCGATCTTTGAGATTATTCAGTTCCGTGAGAGAGACAGATGGCAAGGGAACATGATGGGGGTCTCCTGATGTCGGGACGATGATGGCGCTGCACGAGTATTGACTCGCAATGAGGATAATGACCGGGCCATGACGTGCTGCCGCTTGCAGGTTTTTGTACAAAGGTGGGAGCAGGAACCGCGAGAACGCCGGAAGATCGCGTATCTTAGCTACCGCAGCTTCCCATCGCATTGTAAGCCTCCTATATTCTGTTGCTGCTCGATCAGCAGCAGCTCTGTCGGTGATGGTTGCAGAACTCTGTGCGGCGTTGTAAACCCGCTTGCTCAGCTCCACATAGTCGTGCGCCAATTTCGAATTTGCTGACTCGAGGTCTTCAACTGGAGTCTTGAGTCGAGAGGCCAGGGACCATTGCTGGCCACGGCCCTGCTCGACGAGCTCCACTGCGCGTCGTAGATTGTCATGGCGGATGGCACACGAGGCTGCATCTACAGGCAATGATCTGGCATAATGGAAGGCAGCGGCAGCTTCGCGTCGTGAAGTCGCCGACGATCGTGTTGCCAAATGAGCATCCAGAAGCTCGAAAAATATCGAGTAGGCCTCCAATGCGGATTCATGTCCATGCTGCTCCACTGCAAGGGTCCAATTATATGCCTGAACGATGCGTTCTGGGAATCCTTGAGTGGGGTGCCGCGATGACAGTCTGAAGTTCTCCACTGCAAGTGATAAATCAACAGGATTATGTTGTATGCAGTAACGAGACAGATAGGCCCTCTGTAGCCATGCATAGCTCCTGGATCTGCCTGGGTGCAGTGAAGGCAGAGACACCAGCGCTTCTTGGCAAAGTTGAATGGCCTCCTCGACGTCTTCATTTGTCTGAGTTTGCATGAAACGAGAGCAGAGCGCCGAGCTCAAACTGTAAAGAGTTATATGGCGCTCTGGATCATCAAGCCGCTTTAACCGAAGGGATTCGCGATACCAATCAATGGCCTCGTTAAGGTCCTCGCTGACATCCGATTTGTCATGTCTGGTGTTCAGTGCGAGGGCAAGGTTATTAAGCGTGACGTCACGACGTGGATGCCCAGGTGGGCGCAACGTCAGTGCTTCACGATAGAGGCTGATAGCTCGGGCGATGTCATCAATGTCGCCGCGTTCATCGAAACGGGTGATGAGGGAGAGCCCTAGGTTATCCAGTGAGAAGTCACGAGATTCATGCCCAACAGGGCACAGACGCAGCGCTTCTTCGTACAAAGTGATCGCCTCATCAAGGTCATTAGGTTTGCCTTGGTGATCGAAGCGGTTCTTGAGTGAAAGGGCCAAGTTGTTGAGGTAGCTACCGCGATGAGAATGTCCTGTGGGGCATAGAGAAACAGCTTCACGACGAAGGTGAATGCTCTCATCTATATCATCAATGTCGCCGCACTGTGTAAAGCGTATGAAGAGAGCCCATGAAAGTTTGTCAAGCGCATTTGGACGGTGTTGTTGGCCCATGAGACAAAGCTCGAGCATGTTTCGTCGAAGGTGAATGCCTTCATCAGATGCGTCGGTTGGCAGACTGTTGATCGCATAATCGACCAAACTGTCTATGCCGATGCTACGAAAGTAGGTGCCCTCTGGACAGAGGGGCAGCAGCTTGCAGCACAGCTGCGCGGATTCCTCAATGTAGATGGCGGTAGACTCCTTGCTGTAGCGCCATATCAATGCTCTAATGAGATTATGGAGGGATGATGCGTGATCGGAATGACCCTGCGGACGCAACGCAAGGGATTCGCGGAAGAAGGAAGCGGTGGTATCGATGTCTTGAAGATGGTTTCGAATGTAGCCTTCAAGGCGGGCATACGCGAGGTTGGTGAGTGCTGCTGCATGATCAGGATGGCCGACCGGACACTGGTCAAGAACCAACTGAAAATGCTGCACAGCATCGTTCAGGTGAGAGACCGTCCCGCTCGTCATGTATTCGGCCAATCGTGCGTGGCCTGCATCTGTGACTCGAATAATATCGCTGTCTACGAGGGACTACAGTTGGTGTTCCGTCAATAAAAGTTAACAGCAGAAGTCAGAGTCACTCACATCAGACAGCGTGCTGTCCTGATCATCACAAGCATGTACAACGACGGCCTTCAGCGTGAGGGAAGGGCAGACATCACGAACGGGTGGGAAGGATAGATCTATGAGACATTAGTATATGCGCGTGAATCAGAAATAAGTCGCTCACCGAATGACTCGTCTCCATGACCCAGCAGCTCATCCCATTTCATCTGAAGTTTCCCGATGATCTCTCCACTACCTAGCATTCGATCGACCTCATAGGATGCCCTGATCTCCATTGATAATGCAGGTGAGTCATGCGATGATCTACAAACCGAAGATCAGTTCTCGCGTCGCGTCAGAGAGCCTCCCGGGATGTTACAGAGTCAAAGTATTCCCCCACGCTACAGATTCATCAGATGATAAGACACGGATAGTCGATTTCCAGCGTCTCCGAGAGTCGACATTGATGGATACGTAAATGCCTGCAGGTATGCGGTCAGAAGGGACTTGAAGATTCTCTCCACCGACGACTGTAGATAGAGCGTGAAGTTTATGAAACGGATACGAGGGTGATATAGAGCAACTTACCTTCAAGTCTGATATATCGGCTTTCTGAGCTACTAGGCATGATAGTGCGATGCAGTAAAATGACGAGGGTCGAAGATGGGTCGAGCAGTGGGTGGAATGAATGAGAGGGGAAGACGAGGGGCAGGGATGTGGGGAATGAGGATGGAGTTCAGTGAGAGGAGAGGTTGACGGTTCAAGTCACACTGCACGTGTATTCCCGTACTGTCGACGGCGATAGACGCTGGTATGATATGCCGAGAAAGACGCCCGGCTATATAATGTTAGCGGGAGAGCCTGCTCTAAAGAATAAGTAGAGAATGTAATAATTGGTCTGCAACGAAAGTAGTCCGCCAAGGTTGTAGGGGACACATGAGTCTCAGAGCGTCTTGTATTCCTGGACTTATATCGGGGAGTCGTATCACTTATTTAGCACACAATGGTAAAATTGAGAATCGAGTGTATTCCCCGAGGTATTAGAATGGCAGATGGAAGCGAAATAAACCATTGAAACCAGTAAGGACAGAAAAGCCGAACGATTGTATACGACTTGTCCGATTGAGCTGATAGTGGCATGGAGACGGCCTGCGAGAACATGACAAGTAGGATTCAGGCGCAATATGAGATAGCGGAATGCAGCAGTGGACCATAGAACTCTTTTCCTGAGCAGTGGGAGCGCGCTAGTTATTTACTTGTCGGTGTTTACCATGGAAAACAGTTCACCACTGCAAAGGAACTCCATTATCGACGTTCTCAATGATCCTTTAAATTCCTCTCTACACTCAATCTTACATTGACCATATATATCAAGATTTCATGCTCAGCGCCTCAACAACACCACTAGTCCTCCACACTAGTACCTCTTAATTCATCGACGATCTGTGCCACTCGTATCATTGTAGCTTGGACGGTTGATCTAGGTAGGTTACTTAGCATCTAATCTCACCATTCGCTGGGTGGAATTCACGTCTTATTTCTGCACCAACAATCTCAAAGTCCACCACAGGAATATCCCTGTTCAGTCAAACTTGAATCAAGGAGATACTGACAGGCTGCCATTCGATATGCCCATACCGTTGGACAGTACCATTAAACTTTCGGACATCTCCTTTACTCACAATCTTCCATTATTTCTCGTCCTGCCATAACACGCATTCTTACGGCTCGAGCTTTACGATTGGAACTACAATTAGGTCTCATCTCACACCATGAGTAGGGCAGTCCATCAGACTGAACGACTTGCCACCAACAGTATTCCTTGACTAACGGGGCGGTTTTCTCCCAGTATCGGGAAATCGAAGAAGAAGAAGAAGAAGAAGATGATGATGAATCATACTATTTTGTTGGAGGGAAGAGCAGAGGATGAATGAGTCTGATATTTGAAAGAAGGCTGAGAGGAGTTTGCCTAGGAGTACTCGAACGTTGAAGGACGTGCACTTTATCTGCATTTGTCCTGACAGGTTCGTGTCTTCGACGCTTGCAATCCGTGAAAGTGCTGTTTAGAATAGCAAAACTGTAAGACTTAAAGTGAGTACACTCATCCTCGCTTTGGCTCATGCAGCAAATACTCATTTTCACTGCCATGCTAAGGTTGGGTTCGTCATGTTCTTGATGGATCACTCTCATTCACATATTCATGAAATGAATTTCATCTCTTATTTCCTCGAAGTTATAGTGCAGCAAACGCTTCATGCATGGACACTTTGAGGCGCTGATGTTGAACGTGATTTAGTTTAATAAAAGTACTCGACGCAATGTTACTGTGTATGCGATGGCATATCCTCGAGCTCCATCCTTCCCTTGTGTGCCACTCAACCGTAAGTCGTCATGAGGACAGGTCAGTTCACCCACATTCCCAGCATACCGAAGAAATTGGTCTTACGATTCGCACGTCGCTCTGCCTGTTTATTCTTTGATTGTTCTTACTCGATTGTTCTAACGGAGGTCATTTCAAGCTCGGCGATCGGAGATTCGTCACTCATCTTCCATGGTGGGCACACCCGTGATCTCAAGTAGGTATCGCAGGAGACAACGTACTCATTTTCTTGAGTCTTCTCGTCCAGAAGACTGGAAGCTACCGCAGAGCTTCCATCTCCTTGAGACGATTCTTACGCAGGATCATCCACGACGGATTCGGCGCCCGACATGTGTTATTTCCAACACGCGAGATAGTGGGCACCGGTCACTCTCTTACACGACAAATTACTGGGTTGGCAATTCAGCAAGTCGGTAAGTCGCGTGTTGAACGTACAAGGTTTCTGTCCATTCTCACTCAGCTAGTGTCCATAGTTTGAAAACGGGTCCACAAATACAGTTCCTGCTTCATCGGATTTACCTATCCAGGCTGTGCTGGTATCAGATCCCGCTATCGACATCATGTTCACTACAGTGCCCCGCCCTGCAGGCTCCAAGGTCGTCTTCTATGAAGATCCGCCGTGAGCCTCATGGTTCGATAAGTTGACTCCCCAGTACGTATGAGTCTTTTCTTGCCTTCACTACCTTTCCAAAGTGCCCGTCATGTTTTTAAACTACCATTCCTGTCATAACGCTCGCATTTCCAATGCATGGGTAAGTCATATTTTGACCGTTTCCTACCGCACCTCAACTCTTTCAGTATGATGGCTGTGCCTTCAGGATGGATCACACTCGTGTGTCTAGAACATGCTCGTTACTTCATGAACCAAGTCAAGTTCATTACTTACTGAACCCTGACGGTCTGAGTTGTAGCTACCACATGCAGAGAGCATTAATGCACGAAGCGATACGCGGTGATATCAAACACTATATGTAGGACTTGTTGGACGAACTCCACCGGACCATTGAGCAGGAGCACCTCGTGCTCAACATGAGGCAGGTTGACCCTTGTCAGTGAGCAAATTTTTTGATGGTGACTGTCATTTGTTGCTGTCATTTCGCTAATCACCGCAACAGGTGTCTCTTTTGGTTGAACGACTTCAACCCCAAAGTTGTTATCTTTGAGTGTAAAGGCATTGTAGGTGGTCAATAGTTCTCAGCGGTGTCGATGTTAATTTGCCCTCGTTTTCATCAGCAGGGCTCGCCGTTCAAGCGCAATACTGGTGTCCCGGTGAAGGTTCGCAAGACATCTTACCTCATTGTTCCATTCACAACGAAATCTATATGTAGGTATTGGACTAACATTCGACGTATATGAAATATTAAGATTATATTCCTAGCCTGTGCCCAGTTACGCAAGACCTTGTGGATGAAGTCAAGGGTATGTTGGTCTGTGCGACGTGCGGTGCGGTCAGCCTTTTCTCAGGCCTGATACCTGGACCTAATTATTTAGTCGCAATGATCAGACCACTTAACATCGGGCCAGTCTTCTGCCGCATCTGATGTCATCGAGGAACCACCTCTGTGGTAGACATAATCAGGGATAAGCTGCTTTGATACCTCCTGGCGGATGTCACGCGCTAAGAAGTCTATCTCCCTGCAGACCAACGTTCACAACGACGTCGGACTGCCATTGCCATTGGTGTCGCTTGAAATCGAGCTCCACCTCTTCCTGACGTTTATTATCATTCAAGGCCGGATTATCTATGGAGGTTCTACCCAAATCTGTCATTATGGTAAGCTGCATCTCTGTAACGTACAACGGACGATAACTTATATGGCGCAGGAAACTTGATGACTTGCTCCAGGCAATTCAACACAACAAAGCTCCCTGTTCGCTCTGAATCTGCAAATTATTTCGTTAAAGTTCTATGACAGTTTCTCCAGCGGAAGATCTGCACCTCGATCCAGCTTTCGCATGCGCAACAACCAGAAGATGCATCAAGCTTCAGCTGTGTAACAAGTGATATGCACACCAGCGAAGGTGTCTGTCGCATCAGGAAATTCACCAATTCAGAACGGGGATTGGAGACACAAGGATAACTTTATCAGGTACCAGGAGACGATGTCGCGAGCATTCATGCAAATACACACCTTGCCATCAAGCAATGAATGACTTTGCTGAAGACTCTAGAGTAGACAAAAATACCGCGAACGCAAAAATAAGATAAATGGAGCATAGTATCATGTGATAGACGCATAACAGATTAATTCTACAACTTGAAGTACAACGTGGATGGAATAGAGTGCAACATAAAGGACCCATAAAACCGTACCAGATGAGAGTGATACAGCAAGAACTATACACCAATATGAATGAAAACCATCCTCTGCTCTAGCGGCACTTTCGTCTTCACCGCATGTGTAGCACGGTTGAGGGCCCAGGCCGCCCTCGTGCAGTCCATCACACTACCGGCACCATCCTTCAAATCCATGAACATATATTTGTAGAACGCTTCAACGACGTGTTTTGCGACAGCATCGTTGACCTCCCACAGCGTGCCAATGACGCTCTTGAACCCCGAAAACTGGAGACCAGCTGCGAGATGAATGACTTCGTCAGGAGTTTCCTCATCCCCAACGGCGGTATGACAAGCAGATAAGAATGCGAACTCGGCGTGCGGGATGTCTCTCTCCATGATATCGAGCAGCGTCAGATGTTCATCTCTCATGACGAAATGCGAATTGTAAGGCTGCGTAGGGTCCTGCTTTCCGTGACAAGCGAGGTGCACCCAGGTGTTCTCTTCCAAAGCTTGGAGTGCACCTGCTCGTGTCGCTGCGTCCCCAGAAATAGTAGTATGGTTGGCCGTTGCAGGGACCAACTTATGGACAAGCTCGAGCTCGCTGTCGACAGCCAAGAGCGCCTTGCCTTTCCCTGCACCCGGTTGACCTTGTCCGATTGTCCCGAAGGACGGAGTGACACGCCTCTTCATCATCTGTCTAGATCTGACCAGAGCCGATAGTGTCGGCGTGTAAGAACAGATGTAGAGATCCTCCAGGCATGGCTCCTTGGATCCATCTGCCTTTGTTTGAAAGGGGTGAGCTGCATGAAGGGGAATAGACGTGAAAGCTGCAGTAGGACATAGCCAGATTCGAGAGCGGTGCTTTAGTTCGAGGACGTTCTCGAGTACGTTGACGATGGGTAGCATGATCGCGTCCCATACTGTCCGCAAGAGGACTATTAGATCATTACGCGGTACTTTTGGGCCCATGATAGACGCGTGTCGTATTGCCCTGGCGAAGCGATCTTTGAGATTATTCAGTTCCGTGAGAGAGATAGACGGTAAGGAAACATGATGGGGGTCTCCTGACGTCGAGACGATGATGGCGCTGCATGAATATTGACTGGCAATGAGGATGATGACAGGGCCCTGGCGTGCTGCCGCTTGCAGATATTCATACGAAGGTGGGAGCAGGAACCGCGAGAACGCCTGAAGACCACGTATCTCAGCTACCGCAGCTTCCCACTGCCTTGTAAGTCTCCTGTATTCTGTTGCTGCTTGATCAGCTGCAGCTGGGCCAGCGCTGCCCGCAGCACCCTGAGCATGAGATAGGTGCTTGCTGAGCTCCAGCAGCTTTTGAGCTAGTTGCGGACTCGTAGACGTTAGGTCTTCTAGCGGAGTCCTGAGTCGAGAGGCCAGCGACCACTGCTGGCCACGGCCCTGCTCCACAAGTTCAACTGCCTGTCGTAGATTACTACTACGTATGGCACGTGAGCCTGCATCTACCGGCAGTGATTGTGCACCACGAAAAGCGGTTGCAGCCTCGCGCCGTGAGACGATCGACGATCGTGTCATCACGTGGCTGTCGAAAAGCTCCAAGCATACTTGGTATGCTTCGAGGGCAGAGTCATGCTGATGACCTTCAGCTTCAGCAACCCAGTGCAAGGCAGTATGGATACGATTCGGAAAGCCTTGAGTAGGGTGTCCCGATGCCAGTCTGAAGTTATTTATGGCAAGTGACAAATCAGCAGGGTCATGTAGAATCCGGTAACGAGATAAATGGGCTTCCATCAGCCATCTGTAGCCGAACCATCTGGCTGGGTGCAGTGAAGGCAAAGTCGCCAACGGTTCTTGGCAGAGAGTAATAGCTTCCTCGACATCTTCATTCTGCTGAGTGTGCATGAAACGAGAGCAGAGCGCCGAGCTCAAATTGTAAAGAGGTCCATGGCGCTCTGGATCGTCAAACCGCGTTAACCGAAGGGATTCACGATATCGTTCAATGGCCTCGTTAAGATCCTCGACGACATGTAATTTGTCATATCTCTGTTGGAGCGCGTGGGCAAGGTTGTTAAGTCTGATGTCACGATGTGGATGCCCAAGTGGGCGCAACGTCAGTGCCTCGCGACGCAGGCTGATAGCTCGGGTGATGTCATCAATGTCCCCGCGTTTGTAGAAACGGCTGGCAAGGGCGCCCCCTAGGTTGTCCAACGAGATGTCACGAATTTCGTGCCCAACAGGGCACAGACGCAGTGTTTCTTCGTACAAAGTGGTCGCCTCGTCGAGGTCATTAGGTTTGCCTTGGTGATTGAAGCGGTTCACGAGTGAGTAGGCCAAGTTGTTCAGGTAGCTACCGCGATCAGAATGTCCCTCTGAGCACAGAGACACCGCTTCACGATGGAGTCGTATGTCCTCGTCCACATCATCAATGCTGCCGCGTTGGTTGAAGCGTACATGGACCGCATGTGCAAGTGTGGCGAGGGCTCTTGGACGGAGTTGATGGCCCACAGGACAAAGCTCGAGCACATTTCGTCGAAGGTGGATGCCTTCGTCAGATGCGTCGACAGGAAGATTGTTGATCACATAATCGACCGCACTGTCTACGCCGATGCTACGAAGGTAGGTGCCCTCTGGGCAGAGGGGCAGTAGCGTGCAGCACAGCTGCGCGGATTCGTGAATGTGGATAGCGGTAGACTCCTTGCTGTGACGCCATATCAATGCTCTAATGAGATTATGGAGGGATGACGGGTGATCGGGATGACCCTGCGGACACAATGCAAGGGATTCGCGGAAGAGGGAACTGGTGGTATCGATGTCTTGAAGATGGTTCCGAATATACCCTTCAAGGCGGGCATACGCGAGGTTGGTGAGAGCTGCTGCATGATCAGGATGGCCGACCGGACACTGGTCAAGAACCAACTGAAAATGCTGCACAGCATCGTTCAGGTGAGAGACCGTCCCGCTCGTCGCGTATTCGGCAAATCGTGCATGGCCTGCATCTGTGTCTCGAGCAATATCACTGTATACGGGGGACTACAGTTGGTGTGCCATCAGCAAAAGTTAACAGCAGAAGCCAGCGTCACTCACATCAGATAGTGTGCTATCCTGACCATCATAAGCATGTACTACGGCGGCCTTCAGCGTGAGGGAAGGGCAGACATCACGAATGGGTGGGAAGGATAGATCTATGAGATGTTAGTATATGCGCGTGAATGAGAAGTAAGTTGCTCACCAAATGACTCGTCTCCATGACCCAGCAGCTCATCCCACGACATTTGAAGTTTCCCGATGATCTCTCCACTACCTAGCATTCGATCGACCTCATAGGATGCCCTGATCTCCATTGATAACACAGGTGAGACATGCGATGATCTATAAACCGAAGATCAGTTCTCGCGTCGTGTCAGAGTCTCCATGGACTTTACAGAGTCACAGTATTCCCCCATGCTACAGATTCATCAGATAATAACACACTGATGACCGATTTCCAGCATTTCCGGGAGTCGACATTGATGGATACGTAAATGCCTGCAGGTATGCGCCCAGAAGGGACTCTAAGATTCTTTCCACTGATGACTGTAGATAGAGCGTGAGGATCATGAAACGGACATGAGGGTGATATAGAGCAACTTACATTCAAGCCTGATATATCGGCTTTCTGAGCTATTAGGCATGATGGTGCGATGCAGTAAAATGACGAGGATCGAAGATGGGTCGAGCGGTAGGTGGAATGAGTGGGAGGGGAAGACGAGAGGTAGGGATATGGGGAATGTGGATGAAGTTCAGTGAAAGGAGAGGTTCAGGGTTCAGGCCATACTGCACGTGCATTTCCATATTGTCGAGGGCGATAGACGCTGGTATGATATGCCGAGAAAGACGCCCGGCTATATAATGTTAGCGGGAGAGCTCACTCTACAGAGGAAGTAGAGAATATAATAATTGGTCTGCAGCGAAAGTAGCCCGCCAAGGTTGAAGGGAAGACATGAGTCTCAGAGCGTCCGGTACTCCTGGGCTTATATCAGGGAGTCGTGTCGCTTATTGGCACGCAAAGGCAAAATTGTGAATCGAGTGTATTTCCCAAGGTATTAGAATGGCAAAGAAAAACCGAACGATTGTATACGACGTGTCCGATTGAGCTGATAGCGGCATGGGGAAGAGTTGTGGAAACACCAGGGACGGTTTGCGAGAACATGAAAAGTCTGATTCAGGCGCAATGTGAGATAGCTGAATGCAGCAGCGGACGATAGACCTGTGATGATGTGCCAGCTGCAACTTGGAACATAATGAGCAAAGAGCTGCACAGTGCAAACATGACAATTAATTTTTTACAATACCTGGTTGTCTGCCGTTGAACCAAGGGCGTCTTTTCCTCAGCAGCAGACTACATAGTACTATGCTACAAGCAAAGTCACAAGCGCGTTCGGTGTTTGCCGAAGACAGTTCAAGTACTACGTACCGTAGTCGGTTCACGAGTCCTCTGATGACACGCGCGTAGTACACATTATAGAAATTCAGAGATCACCCGTTCTCATCGATCTCTTCCCTCCCTGTCCTCGTTCTTACTTTGACCGTTATGATGACTCCATGCTCAGCGCTTCGACAAAACCACTAGTCCACACCACTACCCCTTCTCAATTCATCGTCGATTCGTGTCGCTCGTCAATCGTGTCATTGTAGCTTGGAGGTTCGATCTAGGTAGGTCACTTAGCATTTGATCTTGCCATTCATTGGGTGGTTTTCACATTCTATCTCCGCGCTAGAAATCTCAAAGTTCACCACAGGAATATCCCTGTCCGTTACACTTGAATCCAAGGAGATACTGGCTGGCAATCATCCGAGTCCCACCATTCGACATATCCATATCGTTGGACAGTACCATGAACCTTCCAGGTATCTCCTTCATCCATTGTTTCTCGTCCTGTCGTAATACGCGCTCTTACGGTTCGAGCTTGACGATTGGAGCTACAATATTAATTAAGTCTTCTTGACTCAGAAGAGAAGAATTTAGAGTGGCACATGATCGACATCGCCGGCATAGACGTTTCATCGCACTTCACCCACGGCTTGAGTAGGGCGACCTATCACACTGAATGATATGCCACTAACAGTATCCCTTGACTGACCAGGCGATTTTCCGGACGTCGAGGAAGATGGCGACGAATCATACTATTTCGTGGGGGAGAAGAGTAGCGGATAAATGAGTCTAGTATCTGGAAGAAGATGGAGAGGAGTTCGCCTAAGAGTACTCGAATGTTGGAGGACGTGCACTTTATCTGCCTTTATCTTACAGGTTATCTCGACGCTTACAATCCGCGAAACCGCTGTTTAGAATAGCAAGACTTTGAAACTTAAAGTGATACGCTTGTCCTTGCTTCAGGCCCCACAACAAATACTTATTCTCACTACCATGCTAAGGTTGCATTCTTCATATGCCGATGAATCACTCCGACTCATATATTCATGAACCGAATTTCATATCTTGTTCACGCGAAGTTACAGTGCAGCAAGCGTCTTATGCATGTCAATTCTGCGACAGGTATCGCTTATGAATTCACTGACTTCCAGTTAGCCATGACAAGTAATGTCACAGCCGCTGCAAACCCAGATAAAGGAAGGGTGACAGGAAACCACCTCGGTTATATCATGATCCTGTCAAGATGTTTGAACGCCACGAGAGAAGTAAGTACCATGAAGCCTCTGGAATTCTTTACGATATCATGGTATCGCCCACGCTACAGAACTATCGGACGATGGAACTCGGGACTCGGAGAGATGACTTGCAGCGTCTACTTGAGTCGATATTGATGGACACGTAGATGTCTGCGGATGTAAGGAAGGAGGTAAATTATCCACTTATGACTGTAGATTCGACGTTAGGATCACCAAACAAAATTGGAGGGTAATATGGAGTGACCCACCTTCAAGTCTGATGAATTGATCTTCCGAGATGGTGTGTTGACCAGGAGGATGGATGACGGGCTGCGTGACGCGGAATGAATAGTACTTAGGATAAGACAGAAGTAGGGATCAAGCTGAGGAGCATGTCCAAAAGTTGAAGCGGGCAATGTGATGGTTAGTGGGTAGAATCATTGTACACAATATTGCAAACTGTGCTTACAAACTGCTGAAAACGACGTCAAGACTGAAAAGCGGAATACACGATCCGAATCCAATTGAGCTGATGACTGACACGCAGTGGATAATGTCATGAAAAGAAAGCCTTTCGAGAGCAGCTGCAACGGGAACTTTCCGCACTTCGGGCTTGTTAAGTGCAAGCAGGCTAAGTCTGCTGTGTCACGCTCATCTTCGTTGCACTGAAAGACCGCCTGATAAGAATTCGAGCCGGATATTGACTCTGCCCAGGTTTGTGCCCCGACCCAAATCCTCACAGCCCCGCCGTATCTTATTCAATAACCAAGTATTTGATTGGGACATCGAACCTACGGGCATGACACTGAGTACTGAAGCTTGAGGCGCTGAACCACGGGAAGAAGAGCGCAATCACCTGGGTAGACATACAAAATAAGACGCCAGATCTCTCAGATGAGAATAGAGTCCATGTTGAAGGACTGATTTGCGAAATGCATGGTAGTGAGTGTGAGATGGTGGGCTTGGCGATCATGAATGCGGAGACGACAGAATGCGAGGAAATGAGTACAACTTGAAGATGAAACTTGAGCTAACATCAACCAACGTTATGAAACTGAACACAAAACGGAATATTACCTCGAAGACACTAGTACTTATGGCAAAAATGGCGGTGTATGTAAGTGCACACCCAGTCACCCAAGTCAGGCATTCAATGAAAGGCGGTGCATGGGCCACGAGTGTAAGTGCATGGCTTCAACCTGCAGGAACTTGAATGACGTCCCTGACTCCAGACATCAATGCGGCCACCCGCGTTCGTTATACCGTGACCTGCATTCTTCAATCCACAAGCCCTAGGCCTCATAAGCAAGTAATACAATTTTCACTTACGAGTACAATTCACGCTGACATCCTAACCCTTACCAGCTCCCAAAGGCCTTCAATCAATGGGAATCATCGATATCCTCAACGCCGAAATCGCCCAACAAGTGATAGACAGCTTGGGCGGGAAGCATCTCGTAAACTCTCTGATCACCACTGTCGAGCGCCTCGCACAGACGACAGACAACCTCTCCTCAGACGCTCACACAACCCTCGCGTCTACTACGCTGCTCGTAGAAAACTTGATTACCGCTGTTGAGCACCTCGCGCAGAAGACCGACGCCCTCTCCTCCGATGTTGGCGCAACCTTGGCATCTACTACGCTGCTCGTAGAAAATTTGGTTGTGACGATGAATGCGTTGGCGTTGAACGTCCATTTCCTACTGCAAGGGTGCATCGCTCTTGTTGCGTTGCTGTGCTTGTTGACAGTCCTTTGCATCGTGCGCTGGTGCTACACATTTAGTCGAGAGCTTCGGGGTGTGCAGCATATCAAAACCGCATAGACTAACACATGACAACAAATTGTCGGTTTTACCAGCACTAGTACTGTTAACGTGTTATGATTGATTCAAGTAGAAAATGTGATGAGGCAAGAATGCCAACGGGATTGGTGACTGGCCAGATCTTCAAAACGCAGGTGTTGTTGGCAAGAACTTCAGAAGAGTGATGGCACTGGGCAGAAAGCAGAGCTGACCCAGGATTCGTTCTAGACTCTGGTAGGTACAACACCGCATGCATTATACGAACACCACCACAACATCGCATTAAATTAATCCAAAGACCAATTTATTTGCACTTCCGATCAGCCTCCGAATCATTTTATCTTCTTATTCGAAAACTTGAAAATAAGATTGGTGAGCAAAACCAGCAAACACGGAATAAAAAATGTAAACACTCACTACGGTGACAACAGTCCCATCGTCCAACCTCTCCTTCCTCGGCACAAACTCATAACCAAATACCTTGGGCAGTATGACCCGCCATGCAGCCCAGTACAGCACGCCTACAAACATGATGGCGATTCCGACGAGACAGTACCTATACAACAGGCGAGGAATGAGAATAAGGGACGCGCTGGTGGAAGAAACGTACAGGTAATATGGTAGTGGTGGGGTGTCGCCAATGCCGCCGGGTGGTCTCAGGAAGGGAGCGACGAGTACTATGTGGAGGTTAGGTTAGGGAAAGAAAGTATGGAGTTGTAGATTGGTAACTCACGGAAGACAGCAGCCGCCAAGAAGAATACAGCGATAGGCCACCATACTACATCATATGCGTTAACGTACTACACAGGAAGAGCGACATATTTGCTTACCTTTGAATGGTCGAACAGCATTTGGCTTCTTCCATCTCAGATAGAACAGACCCTGGCGGTATCAAGAGGTAAGAAACACTCGAGAAAAATAATTGAAAGACGTACGATGACAATAAAAAGATTAATGATCTGCTGTGGGTATCCTTCGACGTCCAAAATGAAGGGGTAAGCAATGTTTGGGGGAGGCGCGATGATGACGATGACCTAAAAAACCAATCTCAGATTGATATCATGGATATCATGCGGTTCTACAGTAGTACTTACTGAGGGTATCAAGTGGATGATCAATCCTGGAAGTGGTGACTTCCCTGTGGGCCAATTTGAAGCCCAGAATTTGTTTCCGAATGGTAAGGGTATCCCTTCCTTTGCGAGCTCTGTAATTGAAGTATGAGCTAGGTAAAATTACGATGTTTGGTATGACGGACCTTGGTTTACTCGTGACGCAGCAAAAGTCTAAATGAAAAGTTCTTGTGCCACACATTTCAATAGCATTCCTTGACTTACTATAGTAATAACGTTCTATGGCCTATCATCAAACAGAGATCATGTTAAAAAAATCACAGGACTCACCCCAAGAGCACTGTCATGAAGACAATAAGTCAGGGAACCCTCAAACCCAAGACGTCGAGCTCACCTGAGAGCAATAAAAACCGCTAGCGCACGCTCCGCAACAGAACCAAAGACATTCCCGAAAAACAAAGCAGCGACAGTAACGCCGGAGTGATCGATCTCCGCCTATCGATACCATTCAGTATTTCGTTCGTGGTACAGACACAAAAAGTTTTCACCTTGGTTGCAGCTGAGAAATAAGCCACATTTGCAAGCAAGTACAAAATGGCGCATATACCAAGACCAAGCGGGCCTGCGATCTTGAGGGTCCTCACTGGATTACGGACATTATTCATCACGTAGTTCACGTTGGACCATCCCGCATATGAGTTCAAAACTTTGAAAGTGGCGGTAGCATACTGTCAAGACCGTAATTTGCAGATGGGCATCTAGGAAAATAATTGAACACACTTCATAGCTACTCGTGGAGCTTCCTGCGAACGCGTTTCTGAAATTATAGTGCGGATCTGCGACGCGGGTTTTGCCAGAAAGAACTACCCAGCCTGTGATCACGACGAATAGCAGAATTACAATCTTGAATATCGAGAGCAACTGAAGGAAAGATGTTGAATATGATAATAGTGTAAAAATGAGAGCTTGCATACGTTCATGATTAGCACGCCGGTCTTGGGGGTTAATCCATGCAGGAGGGTTACGAAAAAGATAACTAGAAGCCATGAAACAATCGTAACATGCCAGTTAGGTAGGATATCATACCTCCAAGTGCAATTCCACGCTCATTCCAGCGACCTGCGGTTTGTTCAGCAGCAACTAAGATGCTACATCATATCAGCCGAGTTGTTTCATGAGGATCCGAAATACGCACTTGCTAGCAAAAACCTTGACGAGGCAATTAAGTTTTAGCACCGAATATCTATCCAAGACAAGAGATGACTGACGATACAACCGCTCGCAGTGAATCCAAGTAATATAGCGTTGGCAGCAAATACTACGGTGGCGAGGTACTTCGGCTTTCTGTAAACGGCTTCGAGGTATACCTTTTCTCCACCACTACGAGGGAACATGGTACCGAACTCGAGCCATATGAAGAGGCCACAGAAGCTAAGCAAGAAACCGAGGACCCATAGCATGAGGGAGGCGCCGACTGAGCCCACGCCGGAGAGGATGGAGGACGGTGTTGAGAATATACCGGTGCCGATGATCCGTCCAACGATAAGGAGAGTGCAAGAAGTTACACCAAGGTGACGACCCAAGCCTCCAGCAGTATCTGGATGATGTCAGACGAGCAAGTTGAAGGAATAGCGAGCAACCGCACCTTCTTCAAAGGTCAGCTCTCCAGGATTCAGGTCAACATCATTGTTCGGTTCCTTCTGAGTCCTCTGATCCTTTTCGCTGGGCTGTGACTCGGAAGCACGGTCATCCTGGTCCTCTTTCTGCTGCTTGCTTAACCGCGACCACCACGTAGTGGACATCCCTGTAGATGGAGTAGTGGATATGAACAAATGGTACGTATTGACGCTTCGAATGGAGATAAAGAGCGCTTGATAATGGCGCAATAAGATGGCCACATGTTGCCAACACCATGCTGTGTGATGAGCGCACCCTACAAAAGGGAAGCCAGATGGATTAGGCTATTATAACGTTCACCAATTGAATGTCCAGGCGAGGCTCCGAAATTTTGAAATTGGAACAAGCTCATTATTAAGTTCGGTTGTTTTTGCTCTTTGAGATTGGATGACTTTCCGTAGGCTCGAAAAATTCTTATTAGAATATCATACCATAGAATTGGCCGCATTAGGCAGGTGTGCCGCGATGCCGCTATTCATTTTCACACGATTACCAAACATGTTCCGTTTTGCCCCCCTCAATAAACCTTAATCTATTGGGGGGGTACCCCCCCCCCCCCCAATAGACTTTGCAGACGACTTCCATCCGTTTTAGGCCACTAACGCCAGCGATATACGCTGACATAATCAGCCTTGCTCGAGACGCATTGCATGCAATGTAGCACCTTGCGCAGTAATACCGAGGTGCGTTTCAACCTTTTGTCAACTATACTAATGTCTCTTTCTCCCGCCACTATCTAGATGTTATCTAGTGCCATGTGGAATGTCCTTGGATGTCCGTGCCCGGTAATGAAGTTACTACCTGGCCAGTCTGCCTCCGGTGCCTCCAATCTCGCCCAATGCAACCTAGCGTCAACCTCCCACCAATCCTATCCCTCTGTCAATGAAATTTTCTTCCATATACCTCAATATAAAGTCGGCATGCGAGGATTTGGAAGTAGTTGGGGTCGGCAAAGATATAGACGATGAGGGTGCCGAGTGTCAATCCGGTCTTTTCGTGCTACCTCACTCCCACCAATGATAGCAGCTGCTAGGACCCGAGCTCTTTCGTCGTCATCGAATTGAAGTTCAGCCTCATCCTCGTCGAGAAGCAGGTACTGGATTGCAAGATCATCATGATGGTCCATCAAGGGCTGGACTAAATTTATTGGACTGCGCGCACGGGGGATTATTCTAGTATAGGTTAACATATCAGCGGTATTGGTAATGCTTTTGAGACTCCGGTATATTCTATCCTGGATTATTTTGCCTACGGAAAGTCATCCATTTACAGCCCTCTCAATGCAGCTAGGCCAGTCCCCAAAAGCCTGAGTCGGTTGCAAGAAGTCAAACCACGAACTTTCAACTCCCGCAATCACGTTCCTATGGGACGTTGTGACATACCCATGGTATCTCGGAACAATTCAAACAACGCCGACGGTCATGGTCTTGGCCTAGCATTCTGCAGACACGGTTGTAAAATTAACATACTACTGATAAGAATCAATTTTACATTCCGGTACCTAGATTTTCTCTTAATGACACCTACTAATGATTACCGTCAGGGTTAGTCAGAGACAACCCTGGAAGCCGCTGATTTGTTTCATTTTCATTCCTACGATACCGCAACCCTGAAAATCCTGGAAACGTATTTTTCCTCCGAGCCTCTTGCGTAGCACGCTTGACTAGTGACTGCCCTGTTGTCCACCTTCCTACTGGGCACCGTGGTAAATCTGTCCTGGCTAACGGGATTTTTCTGCCGTTTGTAAAGATGGTTGTTCATCTCCTTCGTCCGTCGAGATACCCTGGAAATGAATCAGTTCGCACCGTCCTTCCCCCGGGCCCGCCCATCTGCTCTGTTGTCCACCCTCCTGTCGGACACCCTTTTGTTCTGCTTTGCATTGTTCATCTACCTTCTGCTGGGACAGCCGTTCACCCATTTGCTGAGGGCGGTCCTCTGCGGTTCCCTGCGCACGAGTCTGGCCGATGTCGCCGCTCTGTGAACGCTCTGGGACATTCTGATCGTCGCGTTCCCCTTCTTGCTGACTTACAGCACTGGAGCATTGCTGCTTCTGCTCAGGCGCTGCGCTCGTACTTGCAGCAACTTCACCAGGACCCTTCTGCTCGTGCACTGCGCCTGCACTTACAGCAGCCTCACTACCGGTCTGAGTAGTACCCGGATCTTGATTGAAAATATTACCTTGTCGACAGGGGAGGTAACGTTACAAAACACTAACCTGTTGACTCAGGTCCGCTCTTTCCCCCAAGTGCGCTTGTTTTCTCATCACCCGTTCCCTGTTGCCGACCCTGATCTGTCACCCCAGTAGCGGTACCGCCAACTGCCGCGCCAGTGTCGGTACCAGTCCCAGCCCCCGCAGTCGTTCCTTGATCAGCAGGCGCTGTTCCAGGGGAGGCTGTTCCAGCAGGGGCAACTTGAGCCGCAGGCGCATGACCTTTCATCCTCGCCATACCCTCCGCAATCTCAGCACGGCCCTTCGTTGCCACATCAGCGTTCTTCTGCACGCCAGCTACAGAGCTCGTAGCACGATCGGCAGTGCCAAGTGCCGTGCCTCGAATATTTTCGCCTATCCCTAATTCAATTGATTATAACCGTTTGTATTTCTGGAATGATGATGATGAACGGAATGGGTTTACCGTGGATGACTTGAGCGGCTCCTCTGCGGAATTATTTAGATGTGACTCGACTCGAATAATGAAATCAAGACAGGGAACATACTTGAGCTTATCTCCAAATCCCCCTCCGCCCCCATTCTTCGAAGTGTTCGTATTCGTGTTATCCGTGGTCATAGTTCACAAAAGAAAAGAAAAACTATCTCAAGCCCCTCGCCTGCATCCCTAAGTCTCCCAGAATCTATGACGCAAGTATGCGGTCACCACAGCTATGTCGCGGAAGGACACAAGAATCGGACATAAATGAATGGCCCGAGATTGATCCCGATTTGGGAACTAATCTATGATCGAGCACGTGCCGATCATACGTGCGTATGAGAAAGTTATTTGTGTATGTGGTCGCTTTTCGCATCGTCTCCTGGGCATCGGGTCCAAGCTCGAGAGGGATGCACGCTAATACCTATCTGCAAAGGTATACATAGAGCATAGAGACTATCTTCCTTGGAGATCGCTACGTGGATACTATGTAACGGGTATAATTTTGTGTTCGAACCGATGCCTGCCGCAGCGGATGATCTGGGTGATCTTGCTGCGAGCGTGCGACGTGAGTGGGGAATTTAGATCCGGAGGGAACGTTCCAGCCGGGTGATCACGATCATGATCATCATCGACGTTACTCTGCTGCCAAGGATGTTGTCAGTACAACCAACCCCAGAAATTCCCACGATTATCATTGTGTCCCTCACAGAACGGGCTCCTTTTTTGGTTCCATGATGGGTTGATGCCGAGCTCGAGGTCTTATCCCAATCAATATAATATTCAAGGCCCGCAGGGTCCCAAGACTAACAGAAGTACAAAAAAAGAAGGTATCCTAGGACATCTTGTGAAAAAACTTGAATACGATCATCGTCAATATCATGACATGTATGGATCTACAAGCTTGCTCTACAGTACAACAACAAAGGTACTGATATCGACGAGCGACGACCAAGAAAATGAGACCGCAAGCCAGGAATACACTAAATCTACAACAATAATGGCCAACCGAAAAACTACGAAGACGAAGAGAGTTTGTGCGTAATGTATATGGGATATAAGTGTAACAATAAGGAAAACACGATGATGAGTGGTTTTTGTTATATATGATAAAGTAACATACAATGTCCATTATTGAGTTCCAGTCGTCGTCGATATCTTTTTTTTGAGAAATATGTCCGTGACATGCGTGGGTGATGGGGGTTGATGGATATGGATAAGGATAATAAATGATTCATACTGCTGCTGGCTCCTGCTGCCCGTCCTCCTTTCGTTGCTAGAATAGCGGTGACAGCTCACTGTAGGTTCAGCACCCAAACGTCTGGACCTAATTTTGTGCTAGACAGGCCCATGAACGTGGTGCACCCCATTAAGAAGTCTACCCGCTTCAGCCCCTTACGCTGCTCTTCCGCGTAAGCCTCAGCCGATGAGGCGCGTAAACATCGATTGTGGTATGTTTCTGCAATGGTGTCCCGGGCGCGCTGGCTGGGAACCGCTTTGAACTCCTCACGAGTCCCCGGTGTACGGAGGAAGCGGTAGAGCTGGATGAGAACGTCCTCGACGGTGACATAAGGAGATGTCGACGCGCGGATTTCACAGCGCCATGGGAGGAAGTCGTTCTGGAGGGAGAGGATGGGAATGGGTGGGGTGGTTGCAGGTCCTGTGAGGCAGTAGGAGTCAAGGTTGATAGGTGAGGCGCGAATGTTGGCGGAGGCGGTATTGGGTGGGTATGAGACGTCATAGTTGATGGGAAAGACGTAGGGGTGGTAAGCAAGAATTGGGTGAATAGCAACGGGGCCCAAATTCATGAAGAGCTCCCTCAGCTGAGGGGGCGTAGTTGGTCCAGTGGAGGATGGCAACGACGACTCTGAGGTAGATGGTGAGGGAGTCGATTCTGACGGGACAGGAGAGTAGAAGATGTTCTCCTCATTGAAGCGGACGTGTCTGCCTGGCATAGTGATAGTCTCTGTGGTAGTAGGGGTAGGTGATTGTATTCTTGCGCGGGCCAGCTCTATTAAAGCTCGGCGTGGACTGTAATTGTCCGTGAAGAGAACTGTGTGACTGGTAGGGATGATGGGTAGAACGAATGGCTCCATCTCGACTTTTTATATGTTCCTGGGCGTAGTTCGGAATAGATCAATGCATTGCCTGCTGCCGACAGGAGACAGAAATGACTTGAACCTTTAATTGAGTTGAATTACCTCAAAATGGAGGGACAAGACGACGAACCAGGGTGACAGCACTTGGGAAATTGGACTGGTTCGAACAACACCGCCGTTCCCAAGTAGTCATGTGCTTGTTTACCGCTTAAAGCTGACACTTACGGCACCCGAACACTTTCAATCTATTTGCAGTGCTTCTCTGCTCCGTCGCCTTCATCCCGATCGCATCGGCTGAATGATTGTAGTTGTCTACAGCAAGTATGTTTTGGATCAGTAAGTCCCATCGATAGTCGCAATTCACGAAAAAGTCTCTGAAAGACTGAGTTTCCTATTTCGTCGTAGCCCGAGTCACTGCCTCATCATGATGCGTAACCGACAAAGTTTTCTCCTGACTACTGCGGTACTAAGTGCCCTGAGTCGAGTCAATTGTACAGATGCTGGGCATAAATACATAGCCTTCACCAGTATTGCTTATCGTCCCAAGGTGATCCCCCACGACGAGGCAGTCCAGGGCGCTTGGGCGATCTCAATCACCGAGACAAATTTGGTACTCAGCGTACTTTTGTTCCACGGCATCGTGGAGCGCAATGAATTGGCGCTTGCTGACGTGGCATTAGAATCCCCCGCCTCTTCCGCAGTACCAACGCTCGGCATTGTAAGCGCTCCTACTTAGCCCTACTAACATTCCGTAATTGATCTGATCACGAGCCAAAAAAAATTACTCACAAATCACTGATAAGGGCATAGCACTGGCGTATCATTGCCCGTCGGTGGAGGAATTAATGTCATGGCAAAGCCCTAAAAATGCTTGCGGGGTCTTCCACCATAACCCTTTGACCCGAGGGGAACGACTCGCATCGGAATATGGGGCCCCATCCCTTGTTTTGTAGCTTGTCTCATGAGGGCTGCAATGCTCCGTCGGCTCAATTGAGCTTCTATCTGTATCGGAAAGTTGTCACTTGGACAAAGTACTTGTCCCACTCCATATCACGTAAATCTTCTCGCTTTTGTAGCGCTAGCCCCATATAGCCTGTCCCTCGGAGCTCCACAACATAGGCTACGTGGCACTGCGGATACTTCTGTGAGTCAAGAAGACTCCCGCATTGTGACAATGTGATCACACCGCCCACTTTCGAATGGAAAAATTCCGCAGCTAAAACGAGCTGAGCGTCTTAATGAGTCGGGCACGGCTACGCGAAGGTACCGAACGCGCTTCCGGTAATGGACGTGGAAATACCCTACGGGATAAAACAATCTCCACAGGGGGCGCTTCCTGTGTCTCTCTCCAATATTTGTTTCCCACCACCGCATCATTGACATTCTGGGAAAGTGCACTGGTTCGTAGTACGGGTTTTGACAGTTCACCTCTCTACATCCGGGCATATTTCATTGTCCTCTTAACTATCCCCTATCTTGCTACTCTTACTAATTTATCATGTCGTTGCTTTCCTAGGTTTTAGTCCTGAAAGCGATTCCTTGGGTCCCGGCTTGCCCCGCAGCTGACTGTTTCGAAACTTATGCATGTGATATTTAGTATCTATGGTTGACAGTTTGTGATAACAGTGACTAGTGGGCGCGATCCTGCCGTAATACCTCGACTTTGCAGCAATAATATTTATCATCCTTCAATCGATTTATGTATCTTTGAGCCCAAAAAGTTCCATGCTGACTCAAATCGGCAAGGACAGGTGACCTTGGAGAACCACGCTCTCGTCCTCAGGCCGTGATACCCCACTTTGCAATTACAATCTTCTTTCCATCAGTCCCCCCGCTCCAGTGTGTTCTCCGACCCGGTTCGAGTGTCTTTCCACGCTCTATAATTTCACCCGACCCATTTCAAAATCAGTGTAATATATCCACACTCCATCTAACGCTGGGTCGGTCAGTTGACTGGAGGGCGGTCCTAAAATAACACATTGTTTTCGAGAAGTAACCTATTTGCATACTTAAAATGATGTATAGCCAGGTACTGCCTCGATGACAATCACCTCTTGTGCCTCGACGGAGTTTGCGGATTCAGAATTTCGGAGAACAATTACTAACACGACAAAACACCGCAGTGCCTGCGGTTCTGGAATTCCTATAGTACTAGGGTTTTATGAACGTTCCCCTTCTCGCTGGGCGTAGAGCTACGGAAATATGATCTCGAAGCCTTCATATCCGACACCGAAATTCCTAACCGTACCCTATCATCTTACTCTTTCAAACTCAATAATATAAGAATCATATCATGAGCGGCGAGCCCTATCGGCTCGGAGATTACATCCACAAATAACAAAGCTAAAGCGTGTCAAACTTTGAATGTTCGCCTCGTGTTGGTGAATGTGCGTGAAGTGGCTCATCACGTTGAAGTGTGGCGGATCGATGATGATTTACATTAACATTTTGGTCCTCGTGGAGATCGCGATTAGGGATCTTCGTTTTGCTTGTGGATGGGCGCTGATGTTGATGCATTGTCTACGAGAATTGTGTTACATTGTTACAAGTGTCGCTCACACTTGGTCGATGCGATAAGTGATGGAACGTTGGTTAAGCCGCCGCACTCATCGTGTCGATATCTTTCTCGGCTCAACAACGATATGATATTCATTAGGAAATATGTTTCATGCCCTGAGATGAAGACAAATATAAATATGACAGGCCAAGTCAAAGAATATAACGAAAGAGACCTGCGGACAACTATGTAAATATGATACTTCGTTATCACTCCAAAGAAAGACTATCGTGGGTAAGTAGATTTGAAACATTGTCAAGCAAAAATGCCGCACATTGAGTAAGAGACACCGCAAAATCACCAAGAAAATGTATTCGCCCAAAATGCTGCGCTTGACATCATCAGGACTCAATGACACGATTCACTTTTGGAATCATCTATTGATGATGATCCACATGGATGTTTCGTACAGGCACTGCATTTGTCCCGTCGCTCTAAAATCCAGACGCACAGCAATTCTCAAACCTTATCTGCAAAACCTGATATCACGCTGCGCGGGTGCTAAAGATGGATTTTTCGCTGTGTATGAGTGCATCAATAGTTGGGTTTGATTATGTTTGAAAAACTCTATTTGAGAAACTTTTTTTCGGCGCGCGCGTAACCCAGTCCTTTGTTCCGCTCTGTTGGATGGACGTTAGCGGTACATAAGAATCAGAGCGTTCACCATTATTTGATGAGCTTTGGCAAGCTACAGAATTAGAAGCGAGTAGTGCACAGGTGGCTGCATCAGCATCAGTTGGCTTCCGTGATGATTGGGATCGCCAGTTCATTAAAAGTGGATTCTGCGCGCATCGCACGCTCTCCTTATGCGATGGAAAATAGTGCACATTAAAAACCAGAACGTTCCTGCTGGAATTGACCGGCGCAGTCAGTTTAATGGCGGAAGTGGGAGCAAGCAGTACACAGGTGGCACGTGTGGCTGCGCAGCACAACATTCTCATCATCTGATGAGTCTGACATCTGTTCGAACATGGGGGCTGTCAGCATCAGCTCCACGTGGTCGCAGTAAGATGATAGGGAGGGTATTACCTTGATCGTCGTTATAGTGCGCGGATAGTTGTTTCCGCGGAATGAAAGATGCATGGCCGGGATAGATCGTACTACTATAGTTGTGTCAACCGGGAAATCACTCGAGTCCGACAAGACACCAGTGACTCCATGATGTGCACCAGCTTGCAAGTTCAGATCTGGTTCAGATGTCTGGGCCGAGGTATTCACACTCAGGGTCGATACTGGGGAAGCCGCAACCGTCGCTGCCGAATCGTACGTGATCCTATAAACTCCTCGAAATGAAGCTTGCAGGGACATTCAATGACAGCCAGAATGTGCTCGCTCAAGGGATACTCCCGGTATAATTTTCAAAGGAGCGGGTTTTCAGAGCAAAATAGCACAACTCGTTATTTGTATATCAAAATCAATGCCTCGTTTCAAGCTTTTTGTAAAGATCTACTCACATATATGATCCTAAGAACAATGTTGCGTTCCGGAGAAGATTCCCGGTCACAATCCCCGCACTCCATTTCGTTCATGCGATGTTAGATTAGCCCAGTGCCCACACGTCAAAGCAATGCGGCAAATCAATGAGTCGCCTCCAGGTACAAATTAGTTTGGGGGAATCGGCCCGAAGACGGTGAGTCGGGAATACCCTGGACTGTGATGTCAGAAGAGTCCATACTGCCCTGTCGTACCTGAAGATGACAGACATGACCGGATGTACTCAGATTGAAGTTGCCCTGTACCAGGGGGTATGAGGCATTACTGGAGACGCATATGCAGCTTTCCCACAGGTATACTATAACGACACGGGATATTTTTATCCTTCCTTTGAATTTGAGTGCAAGGTAGCAAACATGCTTGCCCAGGAATCCGTGATCGGTCCCCCCCTGTTTATATAGACGTGCATCAATACCAAGGGTCCAAACAGTGCTGATGATGGGATCAACGAGGCGTAGGCCACCCTTGAAATGAGGAGGATGATGTCTCAGCATCAACTCGCGTTTCAGATGTTCCCGTTGAGAAGGACGCGTACAGTTGACCGAGATCTTTACAGTGATCCGATAACGGAGAACCATATGGGTTGGAGGGACCACGTGTCTGGCCCTGCCAGTGTGAATATCACAGAGTATGATCAGATAATGTGTATGTTTATTATCAGATTTGGACGTACTGGATGAACGCTAAGCAAATTGTGCTTCAACTATTAGTTAGTGGACTTGGTTGAGACCCGAGCGGGTCGGGAAAGAGAATTCGTTGCCAAAACAGGCCACGCCGGCTCTGCAACCGTCGGGCTATATAGGCAGATCGCAGTCAGACCTGTTTGCGGCGAGCCATGGGCGGTCGGCACACCTCAACGAAAGATCCACAGTATTAGTATGTGTAGGTCGCCCGGTTCAATTTAACAAGCCAATTTGAACCAGTCTTATTACTTGTAAGAGTACTTGCAACTGTCTCGGAAGCTGCAACTGGCTTTGTCAGTACCCCTGCTATAGTTGGACTCACTACTTAATACTCACTTGCACAACCGAAGTTCCCGATGCTCGACGCCAGAAAACTATCCAAGCCGCAGCATATTGGCAGCCGTGCCCAATTTGATGAATCCAAAAATTAAGCAGGTCGCAGGGTACTGCAGGAAAGATTCCGAAAGACGCTCGTTACGGCAGACATCCGATCCGAATTCCCACCTGTTTTGTATTCGACCTCTTAGAGTGCTTGCAAGCGGTGTGCTGCCTTTGTTTCCACGACAGTACTACATAGTGCTCTCGACCATCCTCCACCGTCACGGTGTCAGTTCAATTGGATAGAACGGTCAAAATTTTCCGTGTACTTGACGTCTTTTTCAGCGTATTGTTTACGCTACGTACACTGGATTCTACATCTCACCTTATATTGATCATGAGTGTGCTAAATCAACAGTATGCGTGATACAAGCTAGCTAACAACTTGCTTGATGAGAGTGGCCGGGACAAAGGGGACTCCGAGTCTGAGACTCCCATGTCCACTCCAACCTTGGTCAGCCTTAGGAACTCACCATAACATGGCCCACTTCTTTAGACAGGCTCGGGGCCCTTTCAACTGAATTCCGAGTCTATTCCTACTCCCGTCTTGTTAAATACCACTCATTTTACGCCACCGCCAGCCCATCCTCGACATTTTCTTCGATGTGTCATGACGCACTGCAACCAACATTTCAGGCTTGAAGGTGGGCACCTCTATACGACCTTGACCCTCATTTTGTTATCTTCTCACTCTAACCACTCATGAGCGGAAAAAACCTCAAAGTTATCTCCTTTCACATACCCGCAAGCATTTACGTGTCCATCATTATCGGCTCGAGGAGATACTGGAAGTCAGCTGTTCGTGTCCTGTCATCCGACAGTTCTGTAACCTCGTAAAGACTTCCACAGAGACTTGCGGATGTGCTTCCAGTACTCATCGTCCATTTGCAGATCACCATATGAACCTAAATTATTATTGAAGATCATGGCATCCTTCGACTCGGCCTCATGCTAGGGCGCAGAGCAGTCATCAGCAAACTTGGAATGTCGTGGCATGAGCTGCTCGAGCATGGAGACGAACCCCTTGGCAAGTGGCCTGCTTTGATTCGTACATGTATATTGACTTGGAGTTACAGATCTGCACTTTTCACCCATTCATGATGTCCAGCCTTGTCAGACACTGAGAGTCGCTGTTGTGCAGACTCATGGAAATCCACTAAGTAGCACTAGCCCCCAGGCCTTCGGTCTCTCCTAACTAAAATACAATCTGTAAAATTGCTCATCACAGGCCACATACGATTTACCAAATACGTCGTAATGCTTTGGAGCTATTCCAGTTCGTTCTAGACCAGTGTCCGGTTAATCATCACCACGCTGCGCTCACTGGTGTCGCGTAGGCCGCCTTCAAGGGTACATTCGCAAGGACCTTCGAGACATCAACTCTACTATATCTCTATTCCGCGACGCCCTTGCATTATGCCCACAGTGTCACCTCGATCACCCCTTTTATGTCTATCATCTCACCGAAGGACTGACTAGGCTCCCAACTACTGCTGCCAGCATCGGCGAAACCACCTAACTCTACTATGAGCTGCTACCTCTCTGCCCCAAGGACACATCTTCGGAGCATCGCAATAGGGGATAATTGCGTCGGATGCTGCAGTATGTTTCCATATCAAGTACAGATGAAACCCTAGTTCCAGTTTTCGAAGTTGCTATTTCATTTTCAAGGTCCGAAGGGTTTGCTACGGTGGCTGAAGAATGTTTACCGATGTTTTCTGCCACCCGTTGTGGAGAGAGAACGAGGAATAAGGCCAGGTTTGGGCTACATATGGACAGTTCAATGTGCATGTGATCTTATTGTTTTCTTTTCTCGCACTGATGGCAGCCCTCTTCTCTCGATACTGCGGTTGGAAGGAACCTGGTTCTTATAGCCGTAGGACGCTACAGGACGTTAGATGCCCAGAAGTTCGTGGTATCTCGATTCAAACAGCGCTGTCCTATTGTATCTTTGACGATTGGCCCGGTGTTTCTGCAAACTGTTGTCTCATGAATATGGCTGAGTCCAAACTCCGCTGCATTCATAGCCTTAGATCAGGATCGCTAGATAGACCACTTCAATTGTAGACACAAGTGTCGCCTTCGATCGTTAATGGGCTATTCCGCCTTGAACGTCAGCCTTGCGCTACCACTTAGCTTACGTAATTATCGGTATCTAACGTACGCATCCCTCACTGAGCGTTGTTCTAACATCCGCTGAGACTCGTTTCTCTAGTCTGCAATTGACTTCTTCGTGTCAATCTTCTATGGCGATTGCCTCACGTGGATTTATGTTCTTTCTGACTGACGCTCGCTAACTATCGCGAAGTAATTAAACCCTTGGATGACGCCACTTGACCGTGCACGCTGCGGATAGACACGTACGCGACTAAATCACGTGATTGGTGATTTCTCTCAATTCCATCGCGAGTCATCTAGGCTAACTTCAAAACCGTGGCGTTCCTAATCAGATTCATCAGTCCCACCACTATCTCCCCCAGGAGGTCCTACATCAGACCTCTTGCAACCATGATTTCATCCTTACCTTCTGTCCTAGGCACGGACCCATCGTCCTGCATTCTAGATGCGTTCCGCATCGCTATTGCAAAACGTGTATCGGATGCGCTGCCGCCGCTCACCCTCGAGAGTGCCTATAACGGTGTCGATTATGGAAAGAAAGGGGTCGATTTCACGGTTGCTCTTCCCCGGTTTAGGCTGCCGGGAAAGCCTAACGACCTGGCACAAAGAGTTATAACCGATGTAAGTTAATCAATCTTTTAACTGCTCGATGCTAGCGCAGCTTCTAATATTATTTACTGCCAGTTCCAACCTGATTATTTCGTCTCGTCAATAACCCACGATAAACAATTCCTGCACTTCAAACTCAATACCGCCTCCCTCATCCGCGAAATCCTTCAACAAATACATACTCTAACCTACGATAGCCCTACAGGCAAGCCGTCGTACGGTACGAATACCTCCGGCGCCGGCAAGACCCTGGTTATAGAATATTCGTCCCCTAATATCGCCAAGTCATTCCACGTTGGACATCTTCGAAGCACGATCATAGGCGCATTTTTAGATAACTTATATAAAGCATGCGGATGGGAGGTCATCTCTCTCAATTACCTGGGCGACTGGGGCACTCAAGTGAGCAAATATTCGTATTTTCTTGTTTCTGAGAGTTAATATGATTTCACTAGTTCGGTATGATCACCACCGGATTCGAAAAGTACGGTTCGCAAGAGGAGCTTGAAAAAGATGCGATCAAGCACCTCTACGACGTCTACGTTAAAGTTTCCAAAGATGCCGATTCGGATCCCAACGTTAAAGTCGAAGCTGCCCAATGGTTCAAGCGGATGGAGGATGGCGACGAGTCGGCACTTGCGAACTGGCGAGTATGGCGGGAAATGAGTGTCAAAAAGTACACGGAGGAATACGAACGATTAAACGTGTCATTCAAAGTCTACACGGGAGAGAGCGAGGTAGGTAAGGAGTGGCAGGATCGGGCTCTCGAACGCCTCGAGGAAATGGGTCTCATCAGTGATGCTGACGGTGCCAAACTCGTCGATCTTGAAAAATGGAAACTCGGAAAGGCCGTGCTCCGCAAAGCTAGTAAGTCTACAAAAACCAACTACCTCTTACACATTCCTGATCTTCGCGCGTAGATGGCACCTCGATATATCTCACCCGTGACCTTGGCGGTGCGATAGAGCGATGGGAGAAATACCACTTCGACAAGATGATATATGTCGTCGCATCGCAGCAGGACCTCCACCTCTCGCAATTTTTCAAGATGCTAGCGTTGATGGAGTTCCCGTGGGCAGACCGCCTCGAGCACGTTAACTACGGCTTGGTGCTCGGCATGAGCACTCGGAAGGGAACCGCAGTCTTTTTGGATCAAATCATCCGCGAAGCCTCGTCAGTCATGCACGAGCAAATGAAGCGAAATGAAGCGAAATACAACAACATCGAAGACCCTGAGACGGTCGCTCGAGAAGTAGGCATCACGGGAATTAAGATCCAGGATATGGCTGCCAAACGGTGAGTGACATTGTTTCATTCGAATACTGTAGCTCATCCAATACAGGATCAATAACTACACTTTTAACTGGGACCGTATGCTTTCCTTCGAGGGCGATACCGGGCCATATCTGCAATACGCGCACGTCCGGCTCACCTCCATGGAGAGAAAAAACCCAGAGCTCATCCCCCTGCCGCCTCCATCCCAGATCGACACTTCCTCTCTCGCTTCGTCCCAACACGCACGCGACATCGCCATTCTTTTGGGGTCCTACCCCGACGTCGTGAAGACTGCATTGAAGACACACGAGCCTAGTGGCGTAGTGACTTTCGCTTTCCGCCTTGCTCACGCGATTTCAAGCGCCTGGGAGACGCTCATCGTCAAAGGAGAACAAGATACCGAGAAAGCTCGCGCGAGGCTGTGGCTCTACCTTTGCGCGAGGGATGTGTTAGGTGCTGCGATGCGGCTTCTGAGCATTAGGCCTTTGGAGAGGATGTAGCAGGTGTTTCTTTGCGTCCGCAGTTAAATTGATTGATACAGAATACTTGATTGTGATTATACAAAGAAGGTTGGGCACACTGACTTCGACAGAAAATTCTTGTTTGCACTTATGCAATGCCCTGCACAAGGCTGACGTTCAAGGTGAAGTAGCCCATTAACAATCAAGAGCAACAATCGTGTCTAGTGATCCTGAAGAACAAACTTAAGATAGGTCTATGTATACGCTATTCTATACGGACTCGATCATGAAATCCCGAAGACGAATCGAAAGGCTCATAGCCTGGTCGGTTTCTTTGTCGTCTCGGGGCATCCAGGCCCAGACTCGAAAGACTGGTTCGTCTACGATAACGAGACTAGTGACCCGAAAGAACGACTCGGAGTAAGTAGTACATTGTAAGTACCAGCAACTGTGCAATGAAGTCGCTTCTAATTAATGAACTGGGAGATAGTCGTATATACTATGTACGATAGATTATATGAAATGGTAAGTAAATGATACTTTACAGTCCAGCTTTCTTGAGCTCAGTGAGAATAGAGTACTAAGGCCTGGGAGGACTCGATGATCAACTGCAGCGAGTACTTGAATATCCCTAGTAAGATGTCAGTCTCATCGCATGGTAAGGACGTTGTGACACATAGCCACCCCTCCCACCCGTGTGCTGCTCACTTCCGCTCTTGCTGTTTTCCTGGGCCGATCAATTACAGCAGTAACGTTCCGGTTTTTAATGCGTGTACTGATTTCCGTCGCATGCGGCGAACAAGGCTCTGCAGGGGCTCTTACAAACGTACGCCACAACCACATTGGCGGTCCCAACTATAATCGTAGATAGCTGATGTTGATGCAACCATTTGTCACTTGTGCACTGGTCACCTCCGATCCCTCTGCCTGCCTAGACTCGTTGCATTTATAGGCTACAGGAACGTTCTGGTGCTTGAAGTGCGCTATGTACCGCTAATGCCCATCAAATAGGACAGAACAAAGCACTGCCAGGGTACAAGCGATGTGCGCGCCGAAGAAAAATTCTATTTCCGAACAAGGTTGGTATATTTCATGGGCGCATTGTACTGGTTCTAATATTGTCATACGTACTTTATGTGCAGTCCAGGATAGTGTCTGAAACATCTATAGATGTTAAGCCACCCTCTCAAGTGTTGCAACGGAGTTGGATGTCCCGACAGAGACCAGTGGAGGGATATCACCCGCAAAATTTTTGATGCTGTCACCAAAGGGAGTCTCATGATTAGGGAGGTATGTGGAGAGTGTATTTTTTGAAGACCGACCATCCTCGTCTCCTTTAGCATCACTACCGAGAAATGACTCGAGAAGTGCTCTATGAACATTTCTGTGGTGCCCGTCGACGCGCCTGTTGCGCTGGTGGTACTTGGCGCGTTCAGAAGGGCAGAAGAACGTACAGGGTGGCTTGAAATCTGAGCGTTCCAGGACTTGAGTACACGAAGAAGAAGCAGCGGATCGAAGGTAGATACCAATAATCTCCCCGCAGCAGACTGGATGATCGTTCGAGACCAGAAGCATGACAACCTGAAGCTAGTCTTGCATGGTGCATAAGGGACATATTCAAATACTCGAGCAATGAATGTCGTTGTAAAAGATTCTGAAAGCAAGTGGTAGCACGAGAGAGGATGCGATGCAAAGCTTCAGTTTCAAGCAACTAGATTGAGATGTTCGAAAGCAATACGAAATGGAGCCACACACTGACATGAATGAAAATGATTCTCTGCTCGAGCGGTACTTGCTTCTTCACGGCAGCCGTACCATGGTTTGGAGCCAAGGCCGCCTCTGTACAGTTCATGATGCCCTCCTTCAAATCCTTGAACATATCCTCATAGAAAGCTTTGACGACGAGGTTTGCGACAGCGTCGTCGACCGCCCACAGCGTGCCAAGACGCTCTTAACCCTGACAACTGTAGACCAGCTGCAGAGTGAATAACTTCGTCGCGCGTCTCCTTATCACTAGCGACAGTATGACACGCCGATAAGAATGCGAACTCAGCTTGCGGAGCATTGTTCTCCATGATGTCAAGCAGTGTAAGGGGTCTGTCTCACGGTGAAACGTAAATCGCAAGACTGGTCATGGTCTTGTTTGCCATGACAAGCGAGATGTACCCAGATGTTGCATCGCAAAGTTTTGAGTGCACCTGCCTGTGTGGCTTCATCGCCAGAAAGATTAGTAAACTTGACATCGGAGGGAGTATGTTTATGGACAAGCTCAAGCTCGCTGTCAACAGTGGCGAACACCGTACCCTGTCAGACCCTGCCCTGCTCCCGAAAGACTTTGTCCGATGGCTATGAAAGTTGGAGCCACGCGCATCTTCATCAACTGTCTAGCTCTCATTGGAGCTGAAAGTGCCGGCGTGTAAGAGCAGATGTAGTTATACTCCAGACAAACCTCCGGCCCAGAGCAATCTGCCTTCACCCAAAAAGGGTGAGTTGCATGGAGAGGGATACTAGTGAAGGCTGCCATCGGGCACAATCATATTCGAGACCGGTGCCGCAATTTCAGGTCATGCTGGAGGATGTTAACAATGGGTAACACAATCGCTGTCCATACGTACTCGCAAATCCTTCCACGGCTCCTCTGGGCGAATACCAGCCGCGTGGCATGTCGCCCTAACGAAGTCATCTTTAAGCTTCTCCAGATCTGCAAGAGCGAGCCTTGGGAAGGCAGCGTGGTGGAGTTCCCCTGATGTCAGGATAATGATGGCGCCGCACGAGTATTTACTCGCAATGAGGATGATAACTGGGCCCTAGGATGTTGTCGCCTGCAGTTCCTTGTACAGAAGGGAGAGCAGGAATCGCGAGAAACCCCGAAGGTTACGGATTTCAGCTACGACAGCATTCCACTGCTCCATAAGTGCCTTGTGCTCTCTCTCTGCCGGATCCGGTGTAGTTCAATCTGTATTGCCTGTGGAACCTTGAACATCGGACAAGCACCTGCTGAGCGCCGAGAACATATGAGCTATGCTGTGATTCGTGGAGTTGAGGTCCTCAAGCGGAGTCCTGAGTCGAAAGGTCAATTATCAGTGTTGGCCACGGCCCTATTCCACGAGTTCGACGGCCTTTGGTAGATTTTTACGGCGCACAGCACACGGTGCTGCATCTGCAGGTAGCGATCTGGCGTAATAGAAGGCAGCGGCGGCTTCGCACCGAGCCAAACTCAAATTGCGCGTTCTACGATGCTCTGGCTTCGGTAACGGAGGGCATTTGCGGAATAGCTTGATGGCCTCGTCAAGATCATCGCTGACATGCACACTATGATATCTAACGATGAGCGCGCATGCAAGGCCATTAAGTGTGGTGTCCCGTCGTGGATGTCCAGGTGGGCGCAACATTGGCGTGTCGTGATAGAGGTTGATTGCCCTGTTGATATCATTAATTCCACTAATACCACTGCATTGTTGAGAACAGCGGAAGATGACACTTCCTAAGCTGCTCGATGCTTTATCACGAGATCCATGCCCAACGGGGTGAAGCAGTGGCCTTTCTTCATGCAAAGAGATAGCTTCATTGATGTCACGAGATTTGCCATCGTGGTTGAAGCGGCAGTCGCCGAGCGCCACGGCCGAGTATTTTGTACCACGATGTGTCCCTCAAGGTACAGAAAAATGGCGTCACGACGGAGTTGTATGCTCTCGTCTATATCATGAATGCTGCCACATTGTACAAAGTGCACTTCTACCGTCTTTGCAAGCTTGGTGAGGGTATCGAAACGGCATTGATGACCCAGTTGGCAGAGTTTGAGCGAAGGTGAATGCTTTTATCGGACATGCCTAATATTGGTATTCACTGATGCTGAGTAGCCCACAGATATTGGTACAGATGTTATGTTTGTGACGAGCAACTTTATCTTCTAGTTAGCACTGGAACGGACACGGACTGCAAGGGAAACCCAGGCCAAACCTCTATGGCAGTGAGGCTGCGGTTCTATCCATCGAAGACCGACTATGACACGCCACAGGGCTACCGACTACGAGCCAAGACTCCTGCTATTGCGTCAGGACCCCTGGCACTTCCTATGACCTGCGCCAGATCTCCCTACTACAGCACAGACTTCAAGTTTCACTTTCCAAGCCATCACTGTCAACACTTCGCTGAATGGCTCAGCCAACGGTCTAGTGGATGACAGAAAAATTGTGAATTTCCTTTCGTCATGTGAAACAATATTTTCTGACATCAGATGTGGGCCAAGGCCGGCGCTTAAATCTCCCTCGATCATAACGAGCTGCGCGACGCTGTTTCATTCTCGTATTCCTAAGATGCTATCATGGCAGAAGAGAGCAAGAATTATGAAGCGTCGCGAGGATCGGGTAAACTCGCATCCATCATTCAGCAGTTCACTCAAGGGTAACTTAGGGTTCGTTAACGCTCAAGAATCATAAACTTTGCAGTGACACTTATGCACACGAAAGACGGCTGATTGTATAAGACAGTGAACTCAAGGATGAAAAGCTGTATGACTACATGGTGTTCCATCGTTCCATCAGATCGTTCTCGGCGTCCGGTCTGGACCTCTACTTTCTGCTCGATAGATAAGAGGTAGAGCGATTCATCGTGGTATGTGGCGTTTTCCATGAGCACGGCGCCGATTCGGAGCCTGCCAGGAGAAAGCGCTGGGCGTCTCGTGGCCTTCTAGCGTTTCTCTTTGAGGTCTAAGGCCAAGTGTCAGCCAAGGTCGAACTCACACTTCCACATGCACACATTCTTCCATTTCTTTCCCATCCATCGCCACATTTGTTATTATTGCCAAATCATACTTGTTTGATCATCCCGCACGTCGAAACGCCGCCCCCTTGGCTGCAAGCGTCAACCCCGTGTTAGCATTTTTTCTCTTCGCACCAAGGCAACAGTCAATCTAACTTCAGAGTTTACCCGGTAAGGATATTCGCAAGGATGATAGTTATCAAAGTTTGAACAAGTTCGAGGAGATGGTTTCCAAGGCGTACGTACGCCAACCGTTCACAGCGCGGCAAAGACCCGTTATCTGATCTTGGATTAGAATTCCTATATGGTAGTCAGGGAGTGGCGACTCGAAGTCTCGAATCACCATTGTCAAGGACGCCGTCAAAATTAAAAGCCGGAGCTATACGTTGTGGCCATGATGGCATGTGATACATGTGGTTTTATAGTTTGCTTCCGAATCCCTCGCTAAAAATAACACTTAGGATCCAGCCGTATCAGCCCCACACTGTGCGAAACGAGGAGGATTGTCCAACGTTCAGTGGTGTTAGTGGTTTCGAGGAACTAGGATCACCGTCACTAAGTTGTGGACGTCAAGTGCTAAGTATGTAGCAGATCGCGCCTTAGGGATTGGTTTTACATGCTCCCCCAGGCAGGTGCCAAGGGTAGCTTTAAATTGTCCAAGGGTACATAACATGACAGCAACACATTACTAGTATCGTACAAACGTCACTTCAAAACAAACAACATACATAAACGAGAGAGGGGATTGCATAGTACAAAACATTGGGATGAATGAAAGCATAACAATAGCAGTCAATACAGGGAAAAGATCATCTACGGAGGGGGTAAAACACATGCATAGGGTAAAACCATACCAAGTCGAACCACTGGTAGTACATTCCAATTTCAGTTCCTCATTATCATCAAAAATCTATGAGGGAGAGAGGTGGCGCACGGAGGGGGTATACATAAGTTCAGGAGAGGACTGGACTTCAGAATCCGAAACCGTTGAAGTAGCTGCTTTCGAATGTGTTATGGAGCTGAGGAGCATGACTACCACGTATGGTATCGTCGAGAGGGGACCATTCGTATATCGCTGATGTGCTAGCGTATTGGTTAACAAAGACCTGCGGCACGAAACCTTCTGGAGAGGTATTAAAAGATGCGCATTGACCATCTGCCCACCCCTTGAGCGCAGAGTAAGAGGAATAACACTGGGTATCGTATGAGACGGGGTAGTCAAGACCAGCAGAGATATTCTCGGGCTTTGTCGCAGTAAGTGCCGCCAGCGTTGGCGAAGGGAACGTGTAATTCCCAAAGCTCACGTCGACTGGCGACACGGAGGGACTGTGTCCGTATGACAGACCAGGGCAATCTGATAACGACCCGACGGGGGATTGAGCTCCGAGGAGATTGTATGGCTACCAAAGATATAAAATTAGCACAGACAATGAAGAAGAGAAGGGTGATAGAACTCACGTCATTCCAACGGGCAGGATAATCATCGCCTAGTCCTGACGGCAGAACAAGAGGCGATAGGTGACCCATAGAATCACCGTAAACGGCAACCGATGGGTCTTCACATTGCTCTGAAGGAAAAGCGGAAGGTGTACAAACGCTGGGAGGAGAACTTGCAGTATCGGATAAGACATCAGTCAAGTTACTGGTTAGAGAGTCGTTGCGGTTGTGGCCTAGAGCATCCGAGGGAGATGCGAAGCGCCTCGCAGGTGCGGACAGAGAACGCTTGAACATCGCAGTAAGAGGCACTTTGAATCGATCGTCGTGTGGAGTCTTGCAGCGAGGTTGGCTCATGGCGGGATGATCGCAGCCATCGGTGTTTACCTGAGTGACGTGACCGGTATGGTAGAGGTCTTGCGAGAACTGGACCGACTCCATCTGAAAGTGATTGGTAGTCGGGAAAACTCCGCCCCAATTGCCCTCATCACTTCCCTCATGATCGTGTTCACCTTCCCTGCCAACAGCCCCTTTACCCACCTCAACCTCCCTACTAATTCCATTCTCCCAGTTTCTAAGCGCACTTTCGAGTTCAGCGCCTGTCTTACCTTCCACCAGAAGATCCGCAATCATCGAACACCTTTCATCTTTACTCTTATTCTTCTTCTTCGATTCGGCATTTCCGCGGCCTTTCTTGGTACTCTGGGTGCTTCGTTTTCTGTTGGCTATTCCAGGACCATCCTTAACCTTCAGCTTCGCAAGCGCGTTAGCCCCAGGTCTAAAACGCCAGTCTGGATAGCGCTTTCTATGTTCCGCCTGAGCAACAAGTGCCTTGGCCTCCCAGACTTCTCTTTCCTCACGAGGAAGAGTTTTCCAGTATTTGCCTATATATAAACACATCAGTAAAGAACAGATCCGTTGACCACGGACAGACCAATAATCTTCGACAGGGTGCTATGATTCCCCTCCACCTTCTCCGGAACTTGTTGGCTCCGAATGAAGGACGATCTGAAGAGGATGAAAGCGTTGGGTGGGCGTGGGATGTACGAAGCATCCCGCTTCTTGCCATGAGAGACGCGATCAGCAGTCTGGGTTGCAGGATAGTCAAGCGAGTCTGTAAACTCCACAGGAGATGTGGACGCTGGGTTGTCCCATGCATTCTCGCAGAGAGCAGTCGGATCAACGCTGAAAGCAGTAATGGGAGTCATATCAGTGAAAAAAGTAAATGACATTGATGTATTCGGATTGTCGACGAGTGGGGGCATGCCATCTGCATTCATTAGTATGAGCACACGGATATTGAACACGATTGCAAAGGAGAACTCACCGTCATCTTCGACATCGTTAGGGTAAATATCATGCTCACGAATTGCAGGCATATCGCTAGTAAAGCTTATGATGGTGCTGAAAAAGGACAAGACGACAAAGGAGTAAAGCTTTCTGATGAATTGTTAGTGGGAACTAAGAGACGGACCTAGAGCGTCTATTAGTGCTGACAAGCACGCTGTCAGAGTGCTTTATTCCGTGATTGGCAGGAGATGCGAAGATAGGTATTTTATTTGATTCTCGTTCCCACCTGTCCAGCGTCTTGATAAACCATTCGCCAACCCAACGACTAACCGTGAACGCTCTAACGTTCAACGTCGTTCTCGCCCGTACACGCCGAGGCCCTTCTTATGCAATAAACACTGGACAGGGTACTGTCATCCACAAACCACGCAATCGAAGACATAAGCACTAACGAGAGGCCCTGATTTATTATCAGAAAATTCCAGGACGAAATCCAAACAAAATTTATAAGACCGAGGACGTTAATTGGGTCCAAACTTTCCATGTCAAGGAAGAGAGAACTTTAGCCATCAGTTGAATGAGGGCACTGATCAGACACATGGCTCACGGTTAGCTCCAGTAGTCTGTCAGCCCGTGTCACTGGTTTCAGTCGCAGCCCTCAAGACTGCCTCGTGGCCACTGCGGGAACAGTGGAAATAGCCCCAAAATGCGGCTCGCTTCACTGCATGCACGCACTGCGGTGTCAAGAATATTTAACTTTCCCTGCAACTGTCAAGAGCCCCATTGGCAATACTGCTCCAGAAACGCCTGCTCTTCGTCCCACCCTGGTCATCGAACCTGCATACTTCTTGCGATCATACATGCTAGTGGACTCTCTGAACTATCGTCCGGATGCTCCTCTCTCTTGGGTTCTTCCGACCAGTTTTCTTCCACTTGGCACGTTGGCATGAGAAATCCGTATGGAAAGTACACCGACTTCACCTTCTCTATTTCCGAGAACTGTTGAAGCACAGAGAGCACCCCTCACGGCGATTATACTTAGCGTTCCCGAAAACGTCATTTCCCTTGTTTTCATCATCACATACAGTCGGGTGACTGCATCATTTGACGTGTTGCTCACGAGAGTTTTGCTAGCACGCTTCCACTTACCGCATCGAGTGCACCTTCGCGGACGTAAAACGTGTTATGAAGATCTGATTTGGACCTATTTCTGGACACTCGAGGCCTTCAACGAGAAACGTGTTTCGACGATCACTGTAGATCGAACGATGTTCGAGCTGCGCTGACCCTCTTCAAAATGACTGTCGATACACCTGATCTGTGGCTTTTCGGTGGCCATCATCTCGCTGTCGGTGCGCCACCCGATGTACTCTTGCACTCCTGCATCTACTCTCGCGCTCAAAAAGAGATTAATCACAGATGGTCTGATTGTTTGGTAATATTGGTTCATGCGATTAATTAGCGCCCACATGCCGTATGGGATATGATCATATCAGACGATCGATAATCATCTGTCGTGTGGTTTGAATTGATTATCCTGTCTCCTTCGTCATTACGCATCTCTTATGCGTAATATGTAGCCCTGAGGAAGGATCGGCCGGCGCAGTTCTCCCCTGTAATCACAATACGAGGAATGCCTCATTCAAATGGGTATCTTTGAAAAGGTCAGTTGACTCGTCACGGTAATGATAGTCAAGCCCTGACATGATGAACCTAGTGCCCGCCGGAGTCATATTATCTCGAAATGGCAGTTTCTTTATGTTCCAATTCCATATTCTTATTTGCCAGCAGACATTTCAAAGTGCTGGGCTTATGGTCGGTGGTATTGCGCCCACGAGATACTCGGAGATTACATCGTCTTGAATTGATCTTTTCCTTATCTTAGTGGCGGGTGAACGTTGCTGTATAGTACGATACGTGGTTGTGTCATTGACCAGCATTTGTCCGTTTTGCAGAACCGAATACGGGTTCGAGGTCACATTTGCATATCGCATAAATCACTCGTAGTGTCACAAGGGTCCTCGACACTCTTAGACAGATGCCTATCTGCAGAGAACGTGTCTTACTTATCAAAACTTCAGTGTTGAAACCTTGTATTCCGTACATGTATATAGCCTTTCACAGACTGTTTGTTCCACCCATCAGGTCAGGATATTTCCATCCGTGGTATCCACCCTCTAGAACATAAGCTTTCGACTCCGTATTACCTTTGCCATTTAGGTAATCTTGATACCTGAAGTTGCTCTCAGCAAGACAGACACCGCACAGAAACTACTCACCAAGCAGCACATCGAGGCCCCCGTCCTTTGGAGCTTCCACAGTAAAAAATCACCTTGTTGGTCTTGCCGTACTCATCATAAAACTTATGTAATGAACCAGCGAACGCGTCTGCTCGCCACTGAATGCTTCTCAGAACATGACCACCCTGTAGCCAATCAACATCAGTCAGCCCACCCAACGCATTGTCTTCGGCTTACATCGCGATCATTCTCCCGAACGTCAATAATAGCATAGTCTGAACGATCAGGGTCGCGAAGCAGATTTGCAACTTCACCAGAAGTTAAATAGTCTTTCGGATATGCATCCCACCATCGATCAAGTGCTGGAGGCGACTTGTCCGCAGCTCCGTTATCTGGGGAGACTTTCTTTGCGTATATCTGGTATGAAGCTTTTGTGAATTAGTTTTCGACATTTTCGTTCTGGTATAATTATCTCCCTACCAGCCCATTCATTGGGGTCCCCGACGGTAGTCTGAGGGAGAGTGCTGATAGTGAACGCACAACATTTATTTGAGGGGCTAGATGAAGGTGCGCTACCGCATGCGGGTCCAGCGGACTTGTGGACCTCAAGATCTCCGCCGGTCTCAACAAACAACGCATCTGTATGATAGCCGATTGGCCACAAGTATTTACAGCATACACTAGAACTCACCTGTGAACCCAGCAAGCTTTATAAGAGCCCTGTATTGTTCCAACTGAAGCGCCCCGGATATGCATCCGATGTACGCCGAAAAGTCGGATCGGATGATATCCGGAAGCAGCTTCTTCGCGATGATCTACACTCAAAATTCAGGACTATCGGGACCGACCGTACCGCACAAGAGACTCACATCGTCAATCACAAGACGTCCACCAGGTTTGAGGACCCTATAACACTCTTTCAAGAGAGCTGCTTTCCCTGCATCAGGAAGCAAATTAATCACACAGTTGGACAAGATGCAATCTACGGAGGCGGTTGCCACAGGTAGGGGCTGTGTCAGCTCCGTCTGGATAAAGACTACCTGAGGCGGTCTATACCCTTGCTTGAAGGCATTCTTACGCGCTCGATTAATCATATCCTGCTCTGATTAACATTGTGTAAAGGCACGACTCGAACAAAACCCACTGTTGACATGTCCAAACCGATGGCCTGCCCCTTAGGACCGACTTTCTGGGCTGCAAGGAAAACATCGATGCCAGCACCAGAGCCCAAGTCAAGAACAGTTTCTCCCTATGATCACGATTACAACGTGAATTGACTTGTTCTCGAACAATGTACCTCTTTGACAGATGCCACGGCCACGGGATTTCCACAGCTGAGTCCCATATTGGATTCTGCTGGGATGGACTTCAGCTGTTCCACGGTGTATCCGAATGCCTCTGCGACTGTTTCAGCATCTAATTTCACATTGAGACGATGCGTTTAGATTACATGATGATCGAGCACTTACATGCTGTGTGTGCGCCTTCCCTCGCAATGGAGCTGTAAGCATCGCATACTGCGCTGACAACCCCTTTGTCAGTGGGTGGTACTGTTCTAGCAAGCATAGTACTTGTAATCTGAGGCCCTGTGACCGTTCATAAAGTAGTCTTAATATATAGCATACTTGACTAATCCAGTACCAAGTCAAAATCAAAATCAAAATCAAAATCACAGACTAAGCAGGAATTTCTGCGGAAGCTTGTAGTACACAGAATACTGCCATTAATGTGGGCTGTATTAGGAGGTCAAGCAGAAGGAATTCCCACGTATCGACCAATTAGACTTGTATAATTTTGGAAGGTGATCAATTAGTCCCCGTGAATCTCAAAAAAGGATAAATTCACTCAAAATTAAGTCCTCGATATTCAAATGATATTCAAAATCGAGAACGCTCAAAAGTTGGTCAAGTCTCTCTCATGTATCCTCAACCCTTCCTGCACGTCGAACCAACATGGAGAAGGAGGAAAGTACCGTCAAGGAATCGAACGAGCAACCCTCGAGGCCAACCGAGTCCCTGACAGACCGCACGACGTCGGAGAATGGCCATCATGATCTAGCGGCACCCCAAGGTGCAGTAGTTTTATTGAGAAACTATCTTGCCCCTCTTTTGACAGTAGTATAGCTCTATTTCAGAAGCTCAGTATACTAGACCGTTTGCTCACGCCGGCCATATTGGTATGCATGGTCGTCGGGGTAGTCATAGGCGAGTTTGTACCTGGTGTGCAGCAGGCGTTCGACACCGTCAAATTCTACAGTGTCTCTGTCCGTAAGTATTTATATTCAGCACGTTGTGAATCATGCTCACAGAATTCAAGCGATTGCAATAGGGCTCATTGTTATGATGTGGCCTATTCTCACCAAGGTCAAATATGAAGCCCTTTCGCGAATATTGCTGTCCAGACGTTTGTGGATGCATATGGGAATCAGCATGATTCTGAACTGGATCATCGGCCCCCTTATTATGCTCGGTCTTGCATGGGCTACGCTCCCTGACCTCCCGACGTACAGGACAGGCGTGATCCTTGTCGGGCTCGCTCGTTGCATTGCCATGGTTATGGTGTGGAATCAGTTAGCCGGAGGGGACGGCGAATACTGCGCAATTCTTGTCGTTGTTAACTCGGTGCTCCAAATAATTCTCTACTCACCGTATGCGGTTTTGTTTGTGAATGTCATTGGACACACTGAGCAGGGTGTTCATCTCGCATACGGTTCGGTGGCAATCTCAGTTCTCATCGTGAGTTTCCTGCGTATCAGAATTACTATTGTATTAACGATTTAACAGTACCTTGGAATTCCTCTCCTTGCTGGTGTCATTACACGCTTCATAGTTATTCGACTGAAGTCGAAAGAATTCTTTGACAAGGCTTTTGCACCACGATTTTCTCCCCTCTCCTTCATCGGTCTCCTGTATACCATCATCGTTATGTTTGCATACCAAGGACATCACATCGTGCAGAATCTTGGTCCTGTTTTCCGGGTCTTCGTACCAATGATCCTATATTTTGTTATCATGTGGACGTCAGCCTTCGCGCTTGTTTTCTTTCTCGCTCACCAAGAATTTCGCAAAGAGAGCACGGACAGTGGTGATTTTTCATATGAGCTGGCAGTAGTGCAGGCTTTCACCGCAGGAAGCAACAATTTCGTGCGTATGACCAGGTCGCTTTATTGAACAATGTACTAAACAACTGGATTGCGTAGGAGCTTGCGATTGCAGTAGCAATCGCTGTGTATGGAGTGGGGTCAGACCAGGCGTTGGCAGCGACCATTGGGCCATTAGTAGAGGTTCCTGTCCTTCTTGCGCTCACCTGGGTGGCGCAATATTTGCGTATAAAACTACAGTGGGGGCCTCCAGCGCAGTGCAGGGATGTGAAGGTGTAGGTATGAAGATTTCAAGCTATTCCTGGCCTATAGCTGGAGATTACACCCACAGAACAGGCGATCTTACTAGCAAACAATGATAATTTGGGTTGTCATTTTTTTGACTTCAGTGGAATCATTTTCTTACCTACCACTTATCCACCCCCGAGTGCTGTGATGGTCTTGTACGTCGGGCAGCTACACATTCATCTGTACAAGCGTGATTTTCTCAATCTCCAAGACGAACTCAGTCGCTCACACAGTGGCGGTGGGCCCTGGCACTGACCGTGAGGATTCGACGTGTCGTGCCGCCAGATTCCTTGCTTCGATTCATCCAATTCACCGCGACCGGGGTTAGCCTAGTAAACTTGATGATGTCGTCCTCATGCACTGAGTACTGAGGACTACACTGATGCGTTTGGATCCTGTCTATTGTTCTTTTCTGCATATGAGAGTCAGAGTCGGATGGGTAATTGCTTATATATTATTAGGTAATAATCCGAAAGAAGTCCACACACGCGCAAACCTTAACTTCACCAGTGGAAATGAACGCCGGACGATGAAGGTGCCCGCATCGGTGGGGTTACGAGTACAGGCGCTAAGCTTTGTAACGCCTGTTCACAGCCTGCCGCACCAACACGTGCTCCACCGCCCCCATACAGGGTTCCTACGTTCGTGTCTTACAACATACCTCTTACTTTCCAGACTCTAGATGAACATTCGAAGAGCAGAGGTGCGCTTGATTTTCTGCATTGATTCCACTGCAAACTGAGCATTGCGTTCAACACTATTCCATGACTCAAACATGCGGCGCTTAGCCGAAGGATCTCACCAAGATACAGCAATGCAACTTGCACAACCTCCCTGAGAACTACCACATGAAATCTTGTGGGTCTTCTTCGGTTCAGTGAAAACGCCATTCCCATCGCCAGATTTGTAGGGGCCTATTCCTTTATAACTTGGCCAGAAATTTCGTATCTCGCAGAGGACAGCAGTGGGCGCGTAGTAGGTTATGTGCTCTCATCGATGTGGGTGAAGGTTGCGCACATGTGTTTACGACTAATTCAATCATCCCCTACAGAGAGCCAGATGAAGAATACCCTTGGTTGCAAGTTGGTCATGTCAATTCTCTATCCGTACTCCGAACATACCGTAGGCTAGGTCTTGCGAAGCGATTAATGCTGCTTTCGAGTTAAGCTATCTAATTTGCTGCAAAACATTAATCTAAACTACCTCCAGAAAAGGCCATGATCGAATCATACAACATAGAGTACATTCAGCTCCATGTACGCAAGTCCAATCGAGCCGCCTTTAGTCTGTACAGCGAGAAACTTGGCTTCAAAATCCACAGGAAAGAGGCCGGATACTGTGAGTTGGTAACTTGGGTCTTCTGGCTACTATCATTGACTATTCAATCAGATGGTGATGGTGAAGATGCATACTCAATGAGGATTGTCCTGAAACCACGAAGCTTGTGCGTGTTCATATTTTTGCACCGTAGAACTTACTAACACAGCGCAGTACCCATCGACTTGGTCGCAGAGTCCAGGCATTTGTATACGCTCGACAACGGGCAGTCGCAAACTGGACTTTGAAGTGTGCGAAACGAGTGAGTCAGATAAAATGAAGATATCACACTTGCTTGTCGGTCATCCACGGAATTGTCTTGTACTTTATTTTGAGCTACCCATCTGCATGACACGCCTTCGTACGATATTGCTTTCGTATATAATTCTGTTTCGACTGAGCAATATATTGATAAGTATGAAACCGAATTTCTGGACGGTTACCTATAATTTGTGCCATGGAATTCTGATGATCTACAATTCCCATCCTTCAGCAAGCCCCATCACGGTGACTGGATCAACAGCCCTGATGTCTCGTGAATGGACAAGATTTTCTCCATAGATGTTCCCTAACGATGTAGAAGGAGATGCATAGTTGGGATACACAACCACATTTCCAACATCTTGCTCAGCCGTAATTACTGCTTCTTGTAGATATTTGAAACTGGCAGTAACGATCTCGCATATGAGGACGTCGTTGGAATTCGCCCATGCGTAAGTATAGCTTCAGGAATGAGTATCCTCTGCTACGTGAATCCGGATGCACAGATAGCATATCAGTATGGCTGTAGATGGAATCAAGGTCAGGACTCTACGTCGTAAGATAGTACGCATGCTGGTATTTGCCAGCTTGTCGCCGTAGAACTAGCCGCTCGCGTCAGTAACTAAAAAACATATACAAGTGCTCACGAGGGTCTCATCAGGAATACCGCTCAACAAGGACTCCATCAACTTCTCCGTAGCTGTGTTTCGCGGTAAGTATAAAAACCCAAAAAAAGATTATCGAAGGCCAGAGTGTCATTCGACGGGACAACGACACAAAGGATCGGACAGAAATATATTCAGGAAACATCCATCTGAGCGAGTTGGCGCATCGTAGAACAATATGCTCGACAGAACATGCTACCCAGCAGTGTGCTAGCCCATGACGTAGATTGTCTTTTGAATTGAACTTACCCTTCCAGAGACAAAGCTGTATGCGGTATATATCGATGCAGTGGGGTCTGTGACGCTTGCAGATGACAGCCTTTACTGCACTGAGGTGATTTTGACTGTATGAGATACGCCTACCCTGTTTATAATTGTCACGGTGCCATATCATGCATTGTGGACCAGTTGTCTCGCCCAAACTTGAGATTGAGGATGTGTTTTGAGAGTGACATGAGTGACAATTCCCTATGAGGGGAGTGAGTTTAGTATTACATGCGGTACTTCTCCAGAGGACCACAGACAAACCTCCCTTCACAACGGTATGAGAATTCAAAACCTCGATAAGATAGATGACAAAACTTACTCGCAAGCCGAAGAATAAACCTGGGTCGCTGGAGTTGTTGGGTGTGCCGTTAGGCAAAACAAGTTCGTATGCTACGACGTTGTCAATTGTCAGTCCATACTGGTTCACGCATCAGATCCGAATATCCAAATCAGATGAAAAATCGTTATATTGGCACGTTTGAAATATCTGTCGACATTCATACCTCCACCAAGTACGATGTCGCCAACCCCTACGCTAGTGACTTTCGGCACCACAAATTCGCGCCGTATTCTTCCAGCATTGAATAGACGTCATCTCATATCGAATGCCAACTTCTGATCACCTGAGTGAAACGTGATGTCTGAGAACGAATACATCATAATTTGGATGCCTTGGATCGACGAAAAGCCTGGGTTGGTTGCGTAGCCGCCGCTGTTAATCTGGTTGATAGTTGTGCGAGTCAAGAAAACACAAGTTGAAGAAGTCGTAGCTCACTCCAACTGACGTCCTGGTGTCTCCCAATATTTGGAGCTATCATGGTGATATGAGGGGTTCAAGGTCTTCAGTTCGGTAATACAAACCGCTTCCTGAGGTCCTCATGGGTACCAGGTTCGAAGGAGCAAGAAGAGACTTGACTACTCGGAAATGACCAATAGTGACAGTCAATAATCGTCCTTTTGATAATACGATCCTGCCGATGTTTAACCTCATAGATACCTGCTCTTATGATTAGTGGTACATACCATTGTAATGCACTGCACATTTCGAAGAAACGGAGCGCGCAATCTTCGCACAGGCAGTCATGTTAATAAGTATATTCCCGGTACTGCGTAAAATGAAGAAGCAGCAAACTCCCCAATGCGAACTGCAAGAACTTGCGTGATCTACTCACAGAATATCATCTGGATCAACGAGAAAAATGGGTCACAAGGTTCTGCTCGATCCTGCTCAACGATTTGTACCTATTCGGAGTCCCAGTTCATGTGCGAGATGGAGATAGAGATACAAATGACCTTTGTCGACATTAGCTAGATTATCCGAGGCTCACTTGCTCTACTCTGCAGGCACGAGATCGACGCTAGAACTCAACTGTAAAGATGGCTACCAAGATATTCTTGTAGGTCCCATTTGTGACCCATCCGCAAGTGCAGCCTGGATCCTGAACTCATACTCTGGGTCATTAGACCATACAGCTTGCCTCGGTGACGCACCATGCAGAGATTGGTGTAAGCTGACTGCTTACTACGCGATTACCTTATCAGACGTCATGTGACTCATCCCCTTATATTCCGTCATTCTTGAACCATTCAGACTAGACTCGGGTCTCCTACCTACCATCATCTACTTATTAGTACAATGCTCAAAGAATCCACAGTTTTGTCCTGTTATTCTCGTCTGATCCATTTAGTGTTCCTTGTTGTTTCCCTAGCAAGGTTCCACTTTTTTTTTAACAGACACAGAACTTGTTGATACCTCTAAACCTGTTATAACCTGTTTCCTTAAATCATTGGGCTACCCACCCACTACCTGACCCGCCAAACTGTCTTCCGCACGAAAGAAACCTACTGCTTCTGAACCCTTGACCACACGACAGCATGCAAGGAACAGACAACCACCTGCTCAAGAACCTCCCCTGTCTCCCCTATCATCTATATCTCCAGATGTCACTCACACTGAACACATTGCTCCTACAACTACATATTGCAACTCCTCTTCAGATTCAGATCCTGATAACACGCATATATCATATCCTTGCCCTTGAAAAATGACTAGATCTGCCAGTGTTGAACAGTCTGCTCCGAGCAAGCCACTGAAACTCTTGGCAGGTGAACTTATGCCAGAGGTTGCTTGTGATTGGGATAATGCTTGTACAATGTACTTCATGCATAAAGGAATCAAAGCAGCGGACCAAGTGAAGATGATAGCGTTCAGAATGTTAGACACCCACCTACACACTTGGTACCTGGCTCAATGAGCTGTGTTAGATGCGGGAACTTTCACAGAATATATGACTGTGCTGAAGGATGCTTGGCTCGAGACCCACTGGGACACCAAGTTATGCAGAAGGGTCCTAGGGTTGTGTCAAGGAAACTGTGCCTTCTATGAATGGGCTTTGGAACTACAGAATCAGAATGCACTACTGTATGGTAATGCTACTCATCTGTCTAATGCACAATTACGCAATCAGCTCGAGGCCAACATCTGCAACAAGCTCACCATCCCTGTACTCAGAGCAAAACTCGCCGATGATCTGACTCTCAAAAAATGGATTGAAGAGGTGAAACACCTTGACGACAAATGTCTAGAGGATCTCACCTCTCAGAGAAAGATCATGGAAGACTTATACAAGTCATCAAAACGCACCACCTCCTCCAACAAACCTCCATCCTCAAGGACATATAACCCTTCATCCTCTCGCCTAGGGACTCTGTCAGAAGCTGAGTGGACTCTGTTAATGAAGCACAAAGGCTGCTTCAAATGCCAGAAGTTCTACGTCTCGCATCAGTCTAAGGAATGTACTGATGGCGCACCTGAAGCCTCCTCCTACAAAACACTTACCGAGGCAGATGCTATCGCAGCCAAACCAAAGACTAGGACTGTTGCAGCTGTTGGGACTGTTGGGGCAGTGATGCTGTCTTCAGTACTTGATAGCGAATCAGACTCTGAGGATGAAATGTACGTCGCCCCTTTTGAAACTGCCCACCTTATATGGCCCTGTCTCTTGACAGGGCCCTCTTCTGATTCCTTTGAATGATTTGACACTTTGATTGACCATGGGTCACATCTAGTTCTGATTGATGAAAATGTAGTCAACAAACTGGGACTGCGAAAACGCAGACTCCATGCCAAAATAGAGGCAAACTCTGTGTTCATAGACAATTCTTCTTTTGCCACTTCTTTCTCTTTCACTGAATACATTCTATTATTGCTGTCTTCTGTTAATCATGACTGGACTTCCCATACTGTACACACAATTGTTGCACTGGGACTTGCAGTCCCACTCCTCCTTGGAGGACCATTCTTATTGCACAATTGCCTTGTTATAGATCATGACACACAAACCTGTATCGTTAAAGATTCAAAGTATGACCTCTTAAACCCACATCTGCATGTCCCGCAAGGAAAGGTTCAAGTGGCATTGAAACATGAAATAAAACAGTTGTGTAAGAGTGTCATCAAGGAGCTAAAGGCTGTCCTAAATGGATCCCAAGACAACCTTGCCAATAACACGATTTCAGAAACATCAGACATCGTAGGACTGCTACAATGACAAATTGATACACTCGCGTTTATTGAAACGAATAAAGAGCATCTTGATTGACTTGATAAAGAGATGTGTTGCAAATATGAAGATAGGTTCCCTGATGACATACCCCACATTGACCAGTTACCTACAGACATCATACATTGCATAAGACTCAAGGACCCTGACAAAGTCATACAGTGCAGACGATACAACACACCAAGAAAATATCGAGAAGCTTGGGACGCACTACTGAATCAACACATTGAGGCTGGACAACTATGGCCATCGTCAAGTCCATTCATCTCGCTGGTGTTCTTGATACTGAAAAAGGACCCAACAGTGCTACCCAGATGGGTGAACGACTATAGAGCTTTGAATGCCAATACCATACCCGACAATCACCCCTTGCCACATATAGATGAGATCTTGTGAGATTGCATGAAAGGTAAAATTTTCGGAAAGATTGATATGACAAACTCATTCTTCCAGACACATATACATCCCAATGATATCAAGTATACCACTATCGACATGCCAAAGGGTCTACATGAATGGACAGTCATGCTGCAAGGAGGAAGAAATGCACCAGCAACTCATCAACGCAGAATGTTCATCGCACTTTGAGGACTTATTGGCAAAATCTGCCATGCATACCTTGACAACATCATAATCTGGTCACAGACTGTAGCAGAACACACCAAAAACATTAAACTAGTCCTGGATGCACTATGAAAGGCTTGCCTCTTCTGCTCACTGAAGAAGACAGCATTATTCTGCACTGAGATAGACTTCCTAGGTCATCACATATTGGTGTGACAATCATATTCCTGCTAGGCTTGCAATGGCCATCTTTTGATATAGGTGATGGAAAGCTACAAAACCATTGACCGCTTTTCCCGCACTCAACCTGCTCCGGACGCATATTCCCGCGCTCTGCGGACCTGCGCATTCACTCCCACGCTGCACGCATACCTGTGGTCGATTTCCTGTGCCTTCGGACTGCCTTACAGATGTCCCATGTCAGTCCATTGTCCATCCTACCTCATTGGTATGTATTTTGCCTTGCCTCGTGTGTTGTAACAAGTGTTGCAGCCTTATTACATGTCTTTACATATTCCTACTGCCTGTCTGTCCTGTCCCTTCTGTTTCCGAGAGGGTTAGCTAGTATAAAGTGCCTAGAGTGACTACTTCATATTTACTTCCCTTCTGCAGTATTTCCTTCCCTTAGGTTTTACTTAGGAGCAGTCACCATTAGTGCGCACTTTTTAGCCCCTATTGGTTACCTTATACCTGGACACCTTACCTTGACTTTCCTTACCCGTGCAATCAATACCCTTGCCCTCACTTGTTACCCGCACCATTCCTTAAGACTTCCCTACCCTAGCATCTTGCACTTCCACATTGACTGCTCATTGACCGCACTTCCGCATTCCCACGCTCTACATACCCGCACACTTGTTCCCGCGCTCTGCGCACTTTCGGGTCTTTAGTATCATTGGCCGTTCTCAGTAGCAATTCCCTTTAGGGTTGAACGTTCTTGCTTGCAAGTGTAGCAGCTAGGCAGAGCATTGACCTACAACAATATTTTTGGTTAGGCACATTAACAAGTGTCTAGCCATTGTTGTGTTTGCACATCGGCTTCGGGGATCGAGGCAGATGCTTCAAAGGCAAAACGCATTCTTGACTGGCCCATACCAAAGTCAACAAATGATGTACACTCTTTCCTTGGACTTGTGAGATACCTCGATCAATTCTTACCTGGCCTTGTGGAGCACACGCACCTATTGATGCCTTTGATGACAAAATCGAGTGAACACGAATGGCCTGGATGGACCAATGAACACCAAGAAGCTTTTGACACCATCAAATGGCTGGTTGTGAGCTGAGACTGCCTGATGACAATTGATCACAACAATCTTGGGAACAACAAAATCTTTGTAACATGTGATGCCAGCGACTGGCATGTGGGCGCTATGTTAAGCATGGGACCGACACCACAGACAGCATGACCTGTCGCTTTCAACTCCATGCAACTGCGTGAAGCACAATTGAACTACCCTGTGCATGAGAAGGAACTGCTTGTGATAGTCCATGTGCTAAAAAAATGGCGTATTGAGCTGCTAGGTACACCATTCACCATCTATACTGACCATAAAATGCTAGAAAACTTCTTGACTCAATGAGAACTGTCACAATGACAAGCAAGGTGGCAAGAGTTTTTCGGACAATATGATTTCAAAATTCAATACATTTGCGGCAAGGACAACACAGTTGCAGATGCACTGTCACAACTACCGCCAGACAACACTGATAGTCCAATGTACATATAGTGAACAGCACACATGCCTGCAAAGGCCAGAGGACACATCAAACCAATCTCTCTGATCCTATTGGTGACGCCGGATGCATCACTATTCTGCAACATCAAAGCAGGATACCTAGAAGACCCCTGGTGCATAAAATTGACAAATCTCACTAACTCACTACCAGGACTTCAAGAATGTAATGGACTGCTATATCTCAACAACCACCTGATCATCCCACACATCACGCACATATGAGAAACAATTTTTCAGCTAGCACACGATGAACTTGGCCACTTCGGTATTGACAAATCCTATGCAGCAATATGCGAGTCTTACTACTGGCCCAACATGAGATGCGACTTAGAGGAAACTTACATACCTGCATGCCTGGAGTGTGCAAGAAATAAAAGTCAAACAACAAGACCCACAGGCCCACTACATCCCCTACCGGTTCCGGACCACAGAGGGGAGTCAGTCGCAATGGACTTCATTGGACCACTACCACCAGAACACGGATTCGACAGAATCTTGACAATCACTGACTGCATTGGCACAGATATACAACTAGTGCCCTGTCAAATGAATATGAATGCCTGCGAAGTTGCAAATCTATTTTTCGACCATTGGTACTGTGAAAATGGCCCCCTTTAAGCATTGTCTCTGATTGCGACAAACTTTTCACAAGCAAATTCTGGAAGGCGCTTCACAAAATGACCAGTGTCAAGCTAAAGATGTCTACAGTGTACCACCCACAGACAGATGGTGCAAGTGAATGTACCAACAAAACTGTTGACCAACTGCTGAGATACTTCATGGACCGACATCAAACCAGATGGGTTGGTGCACTTCCAAGAGTCAGATTCAACATCATGTCAACAACCAACGCCTCAACTGGATACACCCCCTTCCACTTGCATCTCAGAAGAACACCATGACTGCTACCGCCACTAATCCCAGAAGAAGTTCAAGCAATGCAGTGTAGGGAACTGAGAATCCTCTAGGTGTATATCATGCATATTTCAACACATGACAATTGGTACAATGCACAACTCACTATCTATGACTTTCCTGCAAAATGCGCCAGAGGCGCGACACTTTCCTGCACTACGCAACGCATTCCTGCGCACACGCTTAGTGCGCTCTTCCCGCACTTGGTCACACTTTGTTGTGCAGCATCCAGGAGTATCCATCCATCTTCCAACCAGTCCCCTGGTGCATCCCTTTTCATTTATTCTCATATTTAGCATTGTACCATACATTATTTTGTCATGGACCCTTAGTTACATCATTTACATACTTAGAGCGCTCCCTGTTTGCTTCTGAGCCCTGGGAGCGCGCCTAGGCACAGCTTACCTGTTGCCAAGGAAGTTTTATACACCTACCACCACCACAGAGTACACCAACCACCACCATGTCAGTAGTCACTGAGAGTTAGAATCACCATGAGCCAGCATCCATCATAGTCATCACCCTAGTCTTCAGCAGCAGCCAATCATCATCTTTTACACGTTCACGCACTGTGTGCACCTTATTCCCACGCTTCGCGCACCTATGCACCCAACATTCCCCCACACATGCTTTCAGCATGCTTCACCAGAGTTGACCTGGTGTCACTTCATGGATTTGCTTTCCTTGCTTCCCTTAAGGGTCGAACATATTGCCTGGTGTACTTTGACCAACATTTAGAGAGTCAGTAGGCCTTCCTCTCACCACCAGAGTGAGAGCCCCTTCTGTCTTTCTTTTGCTCTGCAAGCCAGCAGAGTTGTTGAACCTTCAGTGGGAAGACTTCCCAGCCGATGTCACAAACGCATTTGAAGCAATCATGTCCCTGAAGACCAATATTGCAGACGTGCATGATGCACTGTTGGCGACATCTCAACAGCAACAACAAACGTGTAGCCAAGTTCATGCCTCGGTTCAATGGACCCTACACCATGGTTTCAACAAACCCTGAGTCATCCAATTATACTCTTGACTTACCAGACCATACTAATGTGTATCCCACTTTCCATGTCTTGGAATTGAACCGCCATGTGCCAAACAATGCAGAGCTCTATCCATCTTGTGAACTACAATGACTGGGACCAATCGTCACAAAGACTGGAGTGGAGGAATGGGAGATAGAGAAAATCCTGGATCAAAGAATGCATGGATGCGGACATCAATACCTCATGTGATGGTGTGGATATGGCCCTGAGGCCAACATTTGGGTACCAGGCAAAGAACTTGAAGAAATGCACATACTACAAGAATACAACACTAGACACAAGACGACTAACAAAGAACAAGAACCATGCTCAAGGACTGATGAAAATACAACACACACCGAACAACTCAAGGTCTGATGAAATGACAACACAAAAAGGAAGCTGGATGCCATAGAAAGTTTTCAGAGATTGAGAGGGTGTAAGCTGACTGCTTACTACACGATTACCTTATCAGATGTCATGTGACTCATCCCCTTATATTCCATCACTCTTGAACCGTTCAGACTAGACTTGGGTCTCCTACCTACCATCATCTACTTATTAGTACAATGCTCAAAGAATCCACAGTTTCATCCTGTTATTCTCGTCCGATCTGTTTAGTGTTCCTTGTCGTTTCCCTGGCAAGGTTCCAATTGGCATGATGAATCATGATGGAGCTGGGCCTGTATGATGTTATACTTGCACATTTATTATTGCGTGTTGTGCAGTCTGCGCGGTGCGCATTTCAAGTGACCTGTTATTACTGCAACCTGCGCACTGCCCTTTGCGAAGTCTGCATGCTTTGCTTTTAAGTTTTTTGTAAGTAATTTTTTTGCTAGTAGTTTTGAGGGTCCAAATGGGCCACAAAATCACATGAGACGCTGTGCCATCACATGTCCTGCTGGCACATAAAGCAAAGCAGGGTACTATTGTCCTTGTCATATGTAGATGTAATGACAATCAAAATCATTAGTCATCAATGCCTGAGTTATATGGCTCAAAGACTTGTATCATAAGTATCATGCTGCTGTAGTGAAGTATAGTGCAAGACAAACAGAAAAAGAGCGATTAAACATGTAGACAAGAAACTGAAATGTGAAAGCATTAAAAAAGATAATCAACTGGCCTGATAACATATTCGGACTCCCAGGGATTGACTATAACTGGTGCGAAAGGGTTGTCAGGTTGAGGCTGGTTGTGCCACAAAATATCATCTTCACTCATGGGGACAATTGTAGCTGGATGGGATAATTCAGGGCATGTTGCATATGTAGCTGGTACACTTGGAATGCTCAGCCAACTGTCAGTGAGTGAAGGAGAGGACTGTGAAGGCAGGAAAAGTGGGATGGCAGCTGTTTCTAATGAATAAAAATTGTGAGTCCAAATTTATGTTACCAAGGCAACAGGGACACACCACTCTTGAGCTTTTTCAATGCTACTCTCAGATTTGTCAGTGATTCATCAGGGGAGAGTGCTGTGTGAGTATGTTTGGCTAGATACGCAATTGTTAATTCTGTTGTCCGAGTCCAAAAGTGGAATAGAACACAGACATACCATTGACCATTGGCGTCTTCAAGATCTTCAGCTTTCCTTTGCCTTTGTAGTCAGTGTGAAAGTCTCCAGAGTCACTCAACTCCATCTCCATCAAGGAGCTAGCAAGTTCAGGGTTATGGTTGGTGTCATCTCCAATACTGTCCACATCAGACAGAAGCTCCATTTCTGAACCATCGTTATCAGCTTCAGAATCTGAACTGGCTATAACAGGCTGGGTGTTCCAGGATTCGTACACACACTGTGGAATATGGTTCCTGGTGACTAACACAAGTTATTAGCACAGCACTCAGGTGTATATAGTGGCAACCGCACCAAACCAAAGGTGAGATTCTGTCACACTTGCTTTGTCCCTGCCCTTGTGCTTGGCTAAGTCTGTTCCAGTCAGACATGCAATGTCAACAACAGTCAGTACTTGACCACTTTTGTTCAAGAGCCTCCAAGGTGGCTTCTCTTCCTGGCCTGCTGCTGACTGTGATGATGACAACACATTCCTGGGTCTCTCAGTATCAAGGTAATGGAAGACCTTTGGAAATGACTTGCATAGTAATTGACTGACCCGGGCATATGACCAGTCATGATAGAATGTCACTTGTTCATCCACATAACATCTGCAATTCTTCATGGCCTGGATCTCATTCATACCATTTTTTGATGGGGCTTTCAACACTCTAATAGCGCCATGTCTCTGAAGATATGTTAGTGATGTGGACCCTTTCGAGCATAGGTGAAGGTTTGTGACTAACATCAACTCCACAAATGAGTATACCAACTGATGCAACACAGAAATTGGATACTCCAGAGGTGGTAGTAGTACTCTGTCTTGCCTGGCTCCCAGAAGGTTGTGAACTAGTGGTAGTATCCCTCCAAGTCTAGAGAAAATGTGAATGCACAGGTAAATTTGTTAGTATATTGGTGGTGCATTACCTTTTGCAAGCCAGCTGACAGTCCTGGGCCCTTTGACAGTTTGCTGTAATTTGCAAGACAGGTAGAAGCAAGCATTGACAAAGCCTCATCTCTGGCAGCTTTAGTTGAGAGAATCGAGCCTCCCCGCTTTGCAGTTACATGGTTAAAGATCTCTTTCGCTGCAGCAGTACTGGAGGAACTTGGGCAAGCCTCTTCATCCTGGGGTATTTTGGAATGTCCAATGTCTGCTGTCTTCCGAGTCCAAGGATGTTTACTGCATCCATGCCCACATTCGGCACAGTGTCCTTCATCCCCATGTCAAGGATAAAAATCTTCACAGTCACAAAGTTGACCTTCAGGATCAGCTGCTCTGCAGAAGTTTTCATGGTCCATGTGATACTGTTGCTTGTGGGACAGGTCAAGCAAGTCACATCAGGGAAGTTTGAGGTATAGGAATGACTTCAAGACACAGAATTAATTTACAATGCAAAATTATTTAACTAGTACATGTTCTGATTACTCCCTATTGGCTAAAAATGTGGTCAAAACTAGTAAGGCTTGACACCATAATGTCACTCTATGAAACCAAATTGGTTCTGCAAGGGAGACTTGAAGCTCTTTTGAACCTCGTCAACCAGCACATATAGTCTCAAAAATAGGATACTCATCACCTTCCCATTCATCTGGTGTCAGTCAGTAGTGTGCTGGTGTGATTTTCTTTGTAACAACTTCAGCAAGAACAGCAAAAAATTGCCCTTGTATCTCTTTGTCAGCACCAAAAGTGTTCCTATGTGAAGGAACTCCAATGGCTTCATGATGGATGTGCTGCTGTTGCTGATCATTGATTGACTTGATAATGTCAGGCAACTGTTCATCTACATCTTTGTCTTCATCAGCAGGATGTCCCGCTCCAGTCTGGTGTGGCCGTTAGGATGCAGGGTGACCATGAATGCCATAGTACTCCTCAATTACATCAGGGTGAACACCCTTGCAATCATCACAATACACACCAAATAGTGTTTGTCCCAGGAACCATAGGTCCTGAATAAATTAAGGTCTTCAGGCAAGTTGAAATGCAACCCATGAGCTTACCTTTGGACTCTTGTCGTTCGTGTCAGGATCCCATATTGGATGGCAATTCCACTCTGCCTGAAAGTTAGAGCAATCCTGATTGACATCATCAAGGAAAAGTGCGTGAAGCAACCAAAGATGATTAGCATTCTGAGGGTCAAGCATATGCCAATTTTCGAGTTGAGTAAAGAAGGCCCTCCATTGCCTGGCAAATTGAGTGCCAACTTCAACCCACAGCCACTCAATTCAAGAGTTTCATGTAGAGCTTAGGCACAGAGTCAGCAACTCAAACAATTCAAGCAAGAAAAAACTCATGATCCCCACATAAACAATGCACGGTGTGGTCCGTTTTTAATAATCATGTAAGTGGCAACATCGAGGTTTTCTCCACCATGATCACCTCACACACAAGAAGGAGTACCATACTCTCTGATTGCAAGCTTGAATAAGTCCAAAACAGTAGCTGAATGGTTGTTGTTACTAGCATTCAATGCTGTTATCTAATAGAAAAAGAGGCCACATCAATAAACTACTTTTTTACAAGCACACAAAACATATATTTACCATTCTGCAAAAGCCATTGATAAATCCATGAACTACAATCCCCCATCGAATTAGTTTGTGATGGCTGTCCATGTGCCAGAGTGCATTGGGCTGTTTGACATAATACTTGCGCCAGTCTTTTGACTCGTCAATCTCACAGCACCTGACCTAACCAGGTCTACTCAACAAAGTGAATGTACCACTCAATGATGTTGCATGTGGATGCCATGCCTGCAAAGATGCCCAATCATGTATCTTATTCCAGAGTCCAGGCACCTTTTCTTGAACTTGCTGATTAGAACATCAAGATCAGCATTCATGAGTTCAGAGTACTTCCTTTGGATACCATGGCGTTTCATATAGAGATGCAAAGTATTCCTGTGAACTCCTAATATGTCCGCCAGTTCCCTAAGCTTGATTTATCAAGAGTTTGACAATGTGTCAGCAAGGAATTCAAGGTCTATAATCTTCTTTGGGTGACCTGCACAGCTCATTTGCAACAAGGTCACAGGTTTGGCAAATACAATATCACCATCCACCCTGTCAATGCAGTAAGTGATTGCTTAATGGAGTGGTGAGAACAAAATGCACTGAGTCTCAATATTTTGTCAAAATGACAATAGTTGGACAGACAAGTTCCCCAGTAAAGTAGCTGCATCAGATAGCCAGTCCTGCACTTCCAATCCTCAAGGATCAACTTCAAATGCTTCAAGTAATGGTATAGCATCAGCCGTTATGGCTTCTAAATGATATGTGAGCTGAAGAGGGTCTGCATCCTCTTGTTTCAGAATGCAATAAGCATGCCTGTAAATGTCTGATAATGTATCATAGGCAACAAGGAAGTTAGCTGGCCATGGAGTATGGGCCATTGTGCAAAGTGGAAAGTGAGGAAGTGTCTGCAGTAGCATACTAGGCATCCAAGTCACAATAACTGTGATTTCAACTTAAAGTTCGAGTAGCAGCAAGACTCTCACACTCACACACACAGACATTGCAATCCGAACACATTTACAGTGAGTCATTTGCATATATACACTACATAGAGAAATTAGTAGTACTACCAATGACCAGAATGTGAATGTTCTCCATCATGAAAAATATCTAGAATGAACTGATGCAGAGGTAAGTCCAGCAAACATAATGGGCGTGAGGTATAGTGCATGGGCAAACATAATGGATGTGAGGTATAGTGCATGGGGGAATTCTAACCCAATGTTTGTGCCAATGAGGTCAATGGGGAGAGGATCCAGAGAAACAGTCGGCATAAGATAGACAGAATGAAAGTAATGATGAACCTGTTGAAAATTCCTGCTCAATGACAACAGTCTGGCTAATGATATGCTTCGAAGAACACTGAGACAGAGACCAAAATTTGACATACTTCATGCCGAGATTTGCACAGTATTGGTCATTGGCTCTCTCAATCTTGTTCTCTCACTAGACAGGGATGATCCTTGATGTAAGTGCTGATGAGAAGTGAGAGTAGGTGTCAGAGTGAATATTCTCCATCAAGTAACAACTCACATGATCATGTGCTATGCTGTGTCAAACATTTTTCAAACTTGATTTCCCATCAAACTGTTAACATTGCAGTTCAGAAACTATGTCAGGCCTAGGTGCTTCTACCACACCAACTCAACATCCTGTCTATTATTTTTCTAATGCAAGTCATGTCTTTCAGGTAAGCTTTTTGATTGATATATTAAATCATTCACACAGTTTGGGTGCCCTCAGATCAATAATGTGCTATATAGGCCCTGTGGCTTGGTCTTGTCCTCAAATTCTAAAACATTCAATGGCATGTTTGCTGCTATGGAAAGTGCTGGATTGGAAGAGATTGATGGGAAAAGTGATGAGAGGCCCATCCATCTTGCTAGTACAACATGGGAGATGTTTGAATTATTCCTTGAACATACCTTTGGCAGGTAAGTTGTTGTTCTATGGCTTTTGTCAAGTCAAGCTGCTAAACCAGTTGCAGATCATGTGCCAGTCAATACACCCTTGAAGAATTGTCAAACTTTCTCCATTTCTGCGACATGTACCAATGCTCACACATGTGGAAATTTGTGGTTTCACACATTCAATCTACTCAATATCATTTCCACCCTGCTCAGCTCATTAACCTTGCCATACAGTATAATATGGGTGCAATTTTCCCATTCGCCTTCAAGCAACTTGTCAACACTCCCATTACCCAATTGACTGCACAACACCAGCAACTCTTAGGGAATGATGTATTTACAAGCTTGGTCTATGTGCAAGCAGCTCTTGAAGAACATCATTGTATTGTGGCTGCGGAGGAGCCCAAAATTTTGATCCACACTAGCAACTGCCAAGATCCAGTCAGCTATAACAAGGACTGGCACACTATCTGGTGGAACAGCATGGCTTGTTTCCTTCTCAATGGACAAAACCCACAACCATATCATGAAGCCGTCAAATGCTTCAAAGATTTGCAGTTCGGGCGTGTTAGTGGAGGGTGCAAGGAACTGATGTTCAAGATCATTGAGCAGGGAGCCACATTTAACCACGCAGAGCAATTTGTCAAAGAAGCTTGTGACTGTCTCACTGAAAAATTAATTTCTGATTCATCACTATAAGCATAGTACCATGCAATGTATTTTACAATTGATGTCCTTTCACTACTACTAGTAGTCGAATTTCAGGAGGTTTGTCCTAATGATTAAGATGCAAGTGATCCACATGGCGAGAGCCCCAGGTCATCAATTTGAACGGGCAACGCGCAGACTTCAAGGCAGCGCGCAGGTTGCGGCAATAACGGGTCACTTGAAACGCGCACCGCGCAGACTGCGCACGCGCAATAATAAATGTGCAAGTATAACATCATAGGCCTGGCCCCAACTAGCGCTCACCCGGTAAATTTGAATGTCCGACTTCGGCAGCAATGGTGTTACGATTGAATTCACCATTTCTCACCAGATTTGATTTGTTTCACTTGGAATAGTTACATAGTATAGTATGCAGAACATACTCAGTAAAGCGACTAAGCAATTACTGTAAAGTAGACGAAATAGAGGTCTGTCGCGAATAGACCGTAAGCCGATAGTACCCGCAAGTGGAAGCCCGTGACAAGTCACATAGTCAGATAATGACGCACCTGAGAGGCTTCTGTTGTCCACCTTCGTTCTAATAGTCATTCATATACATACTCGATATCGGTACTCGTATTTGCTTGGCACTTCGGCGTGGATAGAAGGCTGAAAGAAAGCTGTCACCCAGTTTGAGGGAGGTCAAGGGGAAAGTACCTTCTCTCGGCGGCACACAATCAGACTCAGTTTACTCCGACAACTTCAGGTATGAAACAAATAAACTGCCACTCGATAACTCTGACAGATTAACGTTTATTTCCCATCGCTTATTGTTCAAACAGCAAATAAACTGAAGAAATTATTGAGTGGGATTACCAACGCATCAGGCACAGCCTTTCACGGATCGCATCATCGCTGGCACAGTAGCACTGCCTACTGTGACTTAACAACTTCGAGTGGGGTGATTGGACGTTGATCGATGATCCGCGACCGATTTAATTGATCACCGTAATCGAGTGCCGAAGCGCTGACCGCTGATGATGTGAAATAATTCGTTCTCTTGGCTCGGATTCTGATATTCTAGTCAGGCGCTTAAGCCTCACGCTGACAAAGAGAGCGCGCAGATGGCGTCTTTACCAGTGCGATTCAAATCCCATCTTGCTCAGAACGTTGATCATCCCACCAGCCGCTCGACCAGGACGGGAACCCAGTGAGTAGATTCCTAGACTTTTGGTAATCGGTTACCAAGTTGCAATTTGCAGACAGCCTTCAAAAGTACCACTGGGCCCTGGCCAGTGCCAGACCGTAAAGTCTCGCAGCTCCGACAGTCTTCTGGCAAGCACTGCGAAGCTGTGTCGTGCCCTTGCACAACACCCATAGCCTGCGCATCCCGAATCAGCGGCCCCCCGCTTTCCTGAAGATAAGTCATACACAGAGCCATAACATAGGTATGCAGGCTGTGCATATGGTACGTGGCCCGAGCTGACCATTATCATCGAATAAATAGCGGAGGTCTCCTGATATCTTTTCCTCTTAACTTCAATACTACAACTATGTCCGGGCCATACGTCTACACACAACCGACCTACGAGCCTCCTCCATATTATACCCACCCGTACACACCTCAGCGGTCACCTTTCATTCCTCCCTCCAACTTATTTCCGCCTTCCCCGTCTTCACCTTTTATCGAACTTCCTGGAACCCCGTACACTTCTTACTATCCTGACGGATACCGTCGCCGTCGCCCCCCGTCTTGGCATGGAGGGATGACTGCAGCGCCTCCCAGTCCATCATTTTTGGGAGTTCCATTGCCACCGACCCATAACCGGCGGCATTCATTCGGCCATGGCAATCGCGCTCCTTGGCCATACCAGACGTCGCCGCAGCACTTCCAGATTCACCCGCTTCTTAACGGAGAAGCTTATGTATCCGAGTTCTACTTCGACATTGCCAATCCAGCTTTCGCGCCATTGCGCAAAGTTGGTCCAAACCACACGGCTATGGTGTCTGTCGAAGAACTCAGGGAACCTGCTACGTTTCCAACCATTACCCGCATGCGTATCACGCATGATGCTATTCCCCAATGGCCTGTTGACTTGGAGCTCGTTCATGGCGAGTACGATATCTCAGGCGCTCTGCCCATAACGGTTGGCGATGTTTTGTGGATGATCCATTCTTCCCTGCACCGCCAAATTTCTCACTCTGACTGGGCCCAGCTAAGTCAGAGTGAAGAAACTGCAATTGCGCGGGCATATACCCGCAGATACAGGAGCATCCCTTCATCTGCTCAGCTCGAAGCAAGTCAAGGAGTCAAAAGGGTTGACTATTTGATGGAAAGACACGTCTTCAGGGGACTTGTCAGAGCTCCAGATGAAGATGGTTTCCACCATTGGAAGTTGTTGACGTGAATGTTGCCAGCCTTTGTAACGCCCTCTCTTTGTGCTAAATCTGTCCTAAACATCCTTTTGTCCTTTATTGTCTTGATTCGCCGCTATGATTTATGTTGTAACTATCTCACATATACCCTGACAATGACTCGAGGCCTAACTTTTCTAAAATTGCCACACATCTATGTTTGTCGGCTTGTGATCGAAACATTTGTACGCTTATTGATATTACAGTTTGACTGAAGCTTTGCTTCATCACACATTTGTAAGGGGAGATGAAGATGAAATGATTGCTGTGAACCTTGGAACGCCCTGTGCCTGACCGTAGACAAAGTTCAGACAAAGTATGATATGCGGGGTGTCACAGGCCCATATGAAGTCCAACACGCTAATGCATAGTCTAGCGAAGGCACAACACATGGGCGATTTTAATCGAGGCTCATATCATGATCACAGACCCCCTGTTCCTGTGTCTGCCAACTCTAATCCAAAATAACGCTGAGAGAATGAAACAAAGGGAAGTTACCGCGAGAAGATATTAACGTTCAATGTTGGGTGTAGTAAGCCTCCTGTTAATGTGACATATCGTGCGTAGTGGGAGACAATATGGTTTCATATCGGGGCTATTCATCTACGTACCTGTACTAGTGATATCAGGGTCATCACAACGCTATCGACCAATGATCGATACCCGTACCTTAGCGGTAACTGTCAGGTCCACCACGCGTCTCGCACAGCAATGCCATGCCTGTCAAAGTCACCGACGACATTAGAAATCCGTCCTCGACCTTTGTAAGACTGCAGTGCTGATTGTGGTGTCCTCCCGTCCCAGTATTTAAAAAAGACAAATCGTAAGTCATTCAAGTGACCAAAATATCTCCTCGGAGATCATAGCGGTCATTTTATATGTTATATTTTGGTGACAAAGAGATTCAAATATGTTATGACATGATGGAGAAAATGTTTGAATTCTTGTAGGGATAGGAGCACTCACGGAAGTTTGTAATTACCGCGCTCCTCGTTGAAGAGGCGCGGAAGACTAGATGGAAAACTAGAGGAACGGGAAGCTACGGTTGTGATGGAGCACAGTCTTCCAAATTCTTCCAGCACTTTCCTTGACAGCTGCATCGCAGGCTGATACAAAGGGGTAAGAACTCGTCCAAGCCAGGCCAATAGCTGTGTCTACTTCAGAAGAGCTTTACGTCTGCGATGATTAAGAGCAATCGAATATGTCGACATTATCATACACGAGGACACGGGCATGCAAAGATATGGATTGTCTGTTCTAGAAGTAAATCGTTAAAAGCTAAAGTCCCTATTAGGCGAAGCAACATACCATGATGATCTTACACCTGGCACGTGAAAATCAACAGTAGTGATGTTGAAAATCGTGCTTCGCAGCATCAGCCCCTTGACTAAACCCATGCTCTGAAATATGTTAGGAATAGGGCCACTAAATCTGCGATTTCACAGATAGACTTATCGAGATAGCGGGTATGTCGTGTTGCCGGCCGAGAGGCGGCAAAACCCAGAAAGGGAAACCACCTTGAATAGTACACTCACCGAACTCCCAAATGTTGTTGCTGCGCCCGTTTTCACGAATATGGTCCTGCGCCTTCCTCTTCGCAATGCAGCCCTTGAATCCCAGTTCTGAGACGGTAGGCTGGCCCGCGCGATCGAAGGTGAAGAAGTCATAAGCCACGACCCAGCCCTGATCGAAGCCAGCTTCAAAACGCCAATGCTCGTAATAACTAGGAAAACGGGCCCAGTAAGATACATGTTGGCCTTGAAAAAAAATCAGGGACAATGTGGCGACCGTGGAGTCGCTGAACTCACCCAAGGCTACATTTCTAGCGGACACCTTTCTAGCGTTTATTTCGGCACTGAGTCCAACATAATCCTTTACTGGGATCATGCCCACGACTTCGGGAAAGACACCATTTTCAACTGCGTCTCGGAAAGACCATCCTTGGTCTCCAGAAAACTCTTTTTTGTATGTCCAAAAGAATGACCCAGCACAGTACAGCTCGAACAGGTCGAGCTGAGCCCGAATGTAAGATGCTCTTTCCTGATGTTCATCCCCGTACCTTGCAAAGAGCCTGGATTCAAAGCTCCAGACCACTCGCCAACTATGAGTCCACTTCCTGATGCTGCGAGCTTCTCTGAAACGCGGGAGAACATTTGCGGAAAGGGAGCGTTCCGATCAGCAAGGGATGCAGTATGCTGCGCTGCTGACGTTGAGATATCGCTCCGTGTGAAACACCGGTACAGATGATGGTCGACGCAAGTCAGCGCCAAGGAAGACGGTAAGTGTGCGACGAAATCGGCATATTGATCAGTCATCCAACAGTCTGATATGTAGATTGGGAAACCAGAGTCTATATTTCTTATCTCTTGGATTGCTTTCCCTGTACCAATTGTAGAGTGTTTCGTGTGAAGAGGGGTAGGGTTCGTTGAGAAGCTGTACACCGACTATATTGTTGAATGTGGAATCATGTGCCCGCAAAGCGATAAGTTGTGTTACTAGCATGCGGAGAGCGCGAATGGCCAGCTGCATGTTAAATTTGCCGTTGAAAAACGATATTACGGGGGATGACGTTCCGGAGTGTGAATCTTTATTCTGTTTTCCAGGAGCTGCGTGAAGATCTGAAATTTGCGAGTGAGAAATGAAATATGTCCACTCCACAAACGACACACCAAATAGCACCCCAATTCCAAAGCTCTGGGCAGTGATCACCGCGGCAACAAGTCTACTCCATGCTCCCTCAAAAACATGTTGAAGACCATCGAAGTCAGTTCGAGTAAGGATAGACGGGTCCAGTGCACAGATATGATAGTATCCGATCTGTTCAAGGCAGCATGAGATGATGCTGTTGTACTATTACAAGAAAGTGCGCACTGGGATCCGCACGGTGTTGATTCCCCTTGCCGCGAGCCATTCAAAATCGGTGGAGGTGATCCAAGAATCCCAATGTTGTTCTAGAACCTGCTTCGCATGTAGACCCTTGGCAACGTCCAGATCACTTTGTCCGCTGCCGGCGGCGCCTTGAAATGGCGACTCTGATACCCATCGCTCTAAAACGAACCACGATCCTGAGTCACACTTAGCTCGCTTTGACTCGGATAATGCATTCAGTTTGAGCTTACCAAGATTAACTCCGCGTTGTTTGCGATATCGGTAGAGGCGTTGCTGAGGGCTTTCTTGTAGTGCTTCTTGAAGACCAGGCCCCGATTCGGTCTTGCTGCCACGTCTCAACCTAGAGATAAAGCTCCACATGTTATGCGTCTGTAGGGCCTATCAGAATTCTGAATATCCGGGCCGCAAATTGTAGTATAACATATGTTGGTCAATGTGCAACTCGCAAAATGACTAAACATTAAACAGGCGTGTTTTGGCAAAGGCTTCTGATCCAAACAGTGACAAGTTTCATAAGATCTTGATCATTCAATTAACATTGCACCATATGGTATAACAGCAATTTTCGTAATACATTGCTGCGTCACGCTTTCAAGTTTGTGTGCATATATTCTGCGCATATACTTCCATGAACTGCTTCATATTGTCATGTTACTGCCAGAGGCATGCTTGATTAGCATGCTCATTTTGTCACTCTGTTGATTTCTCTTCAACCACCGATCTCGGACCCTGTGCTCAACCTGTGGGATATTCCAAGTAGACTCGTCAGGACTCAACTTTAACCTTGTTTCTGTTAGCTCCTCTTGTTCTCCTGTCCCCTGATGCCCGCGCATACATTTGGTTCCTGCGCAAAGAAAGTATACTTCTCCAGTTCATGCAACCTGCCCCGCACCTAGAGGGTGCGGCTTTCACTCTCAAGGAAACTCAGTACTCAAGTTTGAAGGGAACATCGTGGTGTAATCACAGATCGTCCAACCGGAAATAGTTCATTTCGCTAACAACGTTGGTGACTTAATTTCTCCTTAGCGATGAGGTCCCTCTTTTCTTTCTCCTTACTCTTTTTCTTTAAGCGCCACAAGGTCTAGACCCGATTCCCGGTTGGCGATTCAACCGAACAGTACTTCGGGTGTCCTTTGCCGCGACTGTAGTTCATGGCGGGTTTGGTAAGACTTCTTGCGCGCCGCTTGTCCCTATTTAGGGTGACCATGCGCCATGAAGCGTGCTGCCTTTGCTATCTTCGGCGGAGGCGAGCAACTCTGGCACAAACCGATATCACAAAGTACCACATCAGACATGTCGAATTTTGGTGAGTACGAGTCTCTTCGGCCGTAAATGCCTTTTCCAGTCTCATGCCTCGTATGAAAATTGTCAGCCTCACTAGGCTAATGTACTATCTACAGCGATAAGGTGTACCGCCGCGCCTTTGCCATAAAAGGAAAACACGCGTTTTACATGTGTCCTGCACCTGTAATGACGGATTGGCATCAAACCTCATGGTTCCAATTTGCAATCGAGATAGTATAACACATTCAACCGCGTCGCCACTAGGTTTGTTCCTACTCGTTCCGAACTTTACTCAAACTTCTCACAGGAAGACCCTCTTTCCTCTCCAAGCCATGTTATATTGTCAATTCCTCTAATGGTCATGCTTCATTACTCACGGACTTTCCGGACAGACGTGATCATTGATCCACCGCCATTCACTGGCAGTGCGCTTTTGGACAACAGATCTTTTATTGCAATCTCCCCTCTCGGCATTAAATTCCATGTTTGTCATCCAATACCACGTCCACGCTTTTCTAGGGGTCCTCTTACTTCATGTAAGTATTTTCGCCAGGATATGTCTAGAACTCACAGGCGATCCGATCCAGGCATAACGGCTAACCTGTGCGCTTATAAGAGTCCGACCGAACACTTCTCATGCCGACTTCATCCCTCCTCTTGGTTCAGTACCTCGAGCAACGACATTTCCCTATCACCTCTCATTCTCACTTCACGAACAAAAAGTCATAATGACCTCCTACTTCCGCTCCATTTTTGGTGAAGCCAATCTCCCAGTCACGACAAGCCCTCACGTTCACGTTCTAACCCTGCAAGCTTCTTCTATGGGCCGCCAGCTGGTTCAAGTTCCTCTTCGCGCCTAAAGACAAAACGAAGCAATAGCTTCGGTGCTACAGCAGCTCCATCTCCACTGCGATATACCACATTTGACGGTGCCAGAGACATGAGGTACGGCACTCCGTCGAAAGCTGAGAAGGTGCCACTCTACAGGCGCGCCAGCTACAGGTCATCAGAACATCGTACGTCTTCTGTCTTCCGCGGTCAACGAGCGCATTTGAAATTGACATCCACGTCCAGTCGGGCATTATCCTTGTATAATTATGCGCCTCCCGTATCTTATGGTACATCTTCCCGCACCAGTTCCAGTTCTTCTTCGGGTCTTCCGAGCATGCATCCAGGCACGCCATCTATGGCTCACGTTCTTCAATACGATAGACGGCCTTCTCTGCAACAACGTCATACTTGGCAGAGTAGTATCTCATCTGCGAATGGATCGGCCCAGTCATGTAAGTCTCTTAAAATAGGTGTGAGATTGGCTATCTAACGGCGCACAGATATTGGAATGGATCCTCACGGGAGACGCGCACCTGCACTACACATGCATCCACTCTTTGCCTCTACTCGACTTCACTCCGCGCCCATAAATTACGACGTCACGTTTGCTCCTTCACCACGAACAGTTCTAGACCGAACCACACATTCACCTGTCGATGCCCATACGTTATCTCAACCAGCGACTGACCCGCCGACTCCCGCATCATCCCGTATCTTACTCCGCTCAGATAAGTTCCCGTGGCCCGTGGTCGTCGGGTCTTCCAGAAATGGGCGCTCCCCAGATATCACGAATCTTGACCTTCTTCACTCATTGTATGAGACGCTTCTCACGAGAGTCACGCCTCAGGAGTGGGAGGCTCTTGGTACTGGAAGCAGGGCACAGCGGAAAGTTACGCAGGCGTATGAACAAAGGTGTACCAGGTTGGGAGGTGGATGGGAAGGCGGAGTCCGACGAGTGGATTGGCTGCATGGGAAGACTCGTTTGATCGGAATTGAAGTGGAAAAGCATGGACCCGGCGCCGGCTCCGGAAGACTCGTGTTTGGCAGGGCTTGAAGCCGGGATTTTCAACTTTTACGATCGACAGCAACCGAGGCTGGTTCTGGTTTCCTTCTTGATATCCCCATATACCTGAGAAACCTTTTCGCGGCGTATGCATAGACGCTGTCACATCTCCGTGGACCTCACGATTATATAGCATACTTAGGCATCAGGCATATGTATGAATTTATTACACGACCTCTTTATGATTTTGTATTCTGGCTGTAACGGCTTGGGCATAGCGATACATTGCGAATGGAATTACAAATGTTGGTAGAAGTATCAGTTGGGCTACAAATGTGTGAATGAAATAGTCGAAAATAGATTAATGACGCTGCCGTGTTAGGAGCAGCTCACTCCATCAAAGTCATATGTGCCAGGAACAGCAACAGGACACCCGGCTTTGTCATTATGTGAATTGCAGTTGACCTGATCATTCGCGGATGCACAACAGCGAAGGCAGAAACGATTGGCAGAGGGCTCAACCCTGGTGAACAGTCAACGAGCCAATTAGAAACGATAGAAAACGGAACATACTGCTCAATGAAGCTTGCGCCGTATCCTCCAAAGGCGCACTTCGCACCATTGGGAAATCGAACATCCATCTGACCTCCTGCATCATCTTGAGCAAAGTGGAACTTGCCGGAGTCCAAGCAGCCGGTAATCTAGCGCTCATCAGTACCGAGGAAAAGGTTGCAGACAGCTAAATATAACTCCACTGACCTGTATATAGGACCCATCGCTCGCCTCCGAGATAATAGCACCAGTTATGAAGTTTGCTGGAAATGTGTTCTGGCAGTTAGATCCATTGGTACAATACACCGTCGCGTCACTTTCAGCATTCGATATAAATTCTAAGGGAGGACAGCGTGGTCAAGTGCGCAACGAAAATACAAAGGAGAGACGCACCTCCATCCTTTGCAGGAAGTAAAAGTGCAAAATCGGTCACATTGGTTATATGCACAGTAGTCGAGACAGACGAAGGACCTGTAGGCTGGGCGTCGGCGCAGCGTTTACTCGAGAAAGTCGGGCTGGGGTACTAGACTTGGATGTCAAGCGAGATCGTTTTCGGAGGCGGGCGTCCTGTTTCGCGCCTGTTTTGCGAGAGCGATGAGGTTTCTTGTTCTGTAGGCTTGTTCTCGTCGCGAGCGTCTCGTTGTGCTGTTGATCTGCAGGTATCGTATTGGCCCTGAGATCTTGGTATCTGTTCGCAGGCCGCCGGGCAACAGCTGCCAGTATGACGTGTGCGAGTATAATGAAAAGATTGAATGATAAAAACATGTTTAACTTTTTAGTGATTGGCGGGCGAGGTAGTGATGTATGGTTGTGAAGGTGGAAGTTGGTTGAAACGTCGAAAATGGTGGCGTGAACGCGAGTACAAACCATGTCACGTGAAGTGATTTTTTTCACAATCTTCAATATGTAGTAACTGTGAGTAGTCGGAGTCCCTTCTTGATCTCGATGCCAACATGGGTGTCCTGGGGGAAGACAGGGGTTGGACTCCATCAGAAATGAAGTCGTTAATTTGTCGGTTCGGAACTTCGAGTAGTACGGATGTAACCTTATGTTGAGCACCTGATACAATGCAGCATACGCTAGTAGCATCAATTAATTTGAAGTTGCTACTATTGGGCTGGTTTCAACAGAAAACCAGAAGGAAGGTATGCATCATCAGACCACATGTATGGGATGACCTCACAAAAAGTGCGCGGTTTCCACTTGTTCTTTAATTCGAAGGTCATTGCTATAGTGTTTGTTCGCCTCCTTAATGTACTGACAGGAGGAGAACGTGCCATCGAAATGATCAGGTTAAGTTCGTGCGGCGCCCTTACTGAATGATGACGCACTCACCTGTCGATGGTAACGGACAAACTCTAGCGAATCAAGATTTTTTCCATTCCACTCGAACCACCCGATAACAGATCAAAGTCGAATATCGAGTATGAATACACTGGATTGCTGTGGAGATTGTGTACATGGTAAATAAAATTACAATTGTCCTGGTATATGAGTGCATTTTATCCAAACTATTCCGGTACATGAATCAAAAAAAAACATTGCGGACAGAGATAGAGCAAGATAGCGATAAAACAAATTAGGGGCTGTCGAATATAGATGCGAAGAAGAGAGCGGTGACGGCAGATTACCAAGTAAAGTTAGAGCCGGCAGTGTTAAGTGATGAGATCCGACTAAAGTCCATCGGAACTGGGCTGGATATACTCAGATGCAATGTGCCGAAAGATAAGGAACAGCCAAGGCGACCCGCGCATGGCGAGGATCAAACGTTCTGGGCGAAGTGAATTTCCCAGCTGTCTGATCCATCTCGAGCTCTAGCAAGGCCGGAGAAGAAAACTTTAGGGCCCAAAAAGTCAACGCGTTTCACGCCCTGCGCATGTTCCTGCGGGTCAGCGCGTGACCTGGCCCTGAAAGAATCAACAGCAGCATTGGCCACACGGGAAGATCTTTGCATCTCGTGCGAAGCAACACTCCGGTTGAGCATTTCACGTATCATGGCAAGAACATCGTTCACAGTGACACCCCGAGGGTTCACAACCTCTATCGTCCAAGCGGGAAGCTCAGGAATAGTAATGATCATGTGAGAGACTGGCGGTTGTACCGCAAGCTCCTGAAGCATGGTAGGCGGACAGCCTGGTCGCAGTTGCACATGTGCTAGGTCTCGTGTGATGTTAAATCTCAAATTAGGGCCATGACTCAAGAGTGAGTGCAAGACTATGAATGAAGAGTGGGACGTGGAAGAATGTTGGTCTAACGACAATGGATGTGAGATCTGCGTAAATTATGAACGAAAAGAAGAATTGCATACACGACATAGGAAATTGGTGTGAGGCCGCATTGGGGTGTGGAAGTGATACTGAATGGAGAAGCGGCGCATTTGGGATCGGGGATGGAGACGACGCTGGGAGCGCAGACCAATGGCCTTGGAAGGCTTGACTAGTGGAGCCAGACTGTGCACTGTGCACAGCCCAAGACCTGTGATGAGATGAAGAGGCAGGGAAGCCAATCCGGTAGTTCATCGTGTTAGATTGGAGTCAGGGAGATTGGACAAGTCAGAAAAAATATAGGGGGGCGTTATTAGACCTGGAGATGCGCAGTACGCTGGGTGACTCGACTGTCATGCTGCGTGTCTTTTATATAGCACGCCGAGGAACATCGGGAAGTTACTTGTAGACTTCTCGCGCCCATCGTTGGTCGGGAGCTAATTGGGGATTGCTGCGCACGAGTGACATGGGCGGGACAGCGAACATCGTTGGATATGGTGAGATCAAACAAGAACTTCAGAATAAACGCGGAATCTTTGGCGGGAATTCTAATTATGGCCATGGGGCGGGATTCTGGCGGAACCGCTGACCCATAAAAGGCAGGCGTCGGGGGATGCGCGCTGATGGCGGTCTCACGGGACACGTTGAGAAGACACCTTGGCGGATGTTGAGCGGTGATAACTGTTATCGATGGCATCTATTCACCCACTGATCATCGATAACCCTAGACTCATCAGCAAAACCCTGATTTGGGTACAGCGCCACAGCCACACAGCGTGTCACAGGTCACATAGATTTTGTTGTAAAGGCTCTGCAGCACCACACAAGTATTGATTCTATGTAAAAATGAGTGTAATGTAGTCATAAACATGTATATAACAAGATGGTGTACTAATAATTATGTTTTATTGAGAAATTGTGTAGTGTGCAGCACTGTACAGCGCTGTACATGGGGGGACCTCGCTGTGACACTGTGATTGCTGTGCAGCGTTGTGCAGTGCTGCACATAGGGTTAGGGTTTTGCTGATGCTCACAAGTATCTGTGCTGAAATCAGTTGAACCAGACCTCAGCGCTTCAGCACTCAGCCACAGGCATGTATGAATAAGGTTACTCTTATGCGAGGTCTAATTTAGAACACTATACAGCATGATCGATACCTGTGTGAGGATGATCAGGTCAATACATCTGTTAAACTTCAGTGTTTCCTGCATCGCCTCCCAGTCACCCAGTTCTATGCATGGAAGCATGTTTCGTGGGACGCCCGTGCCTTTTCCTCCATTACCACTCTGGGTGCCACGGATCTTCATATTGATCACCTGCCCTGCTGTCTGCTGTTTAAGATACTTGATTTCAGGGACTCAGAGGTAGCTTGGGCTTGCAGTGCTTTCAGCACAGTGAATAAGGCAGTTAGGAGGCTCATAGCCTTTGTTGTGCTGATCAGATGTGGAGAGTCTGTGATCATGAGGCGTCCATCTTTCCACAATGAACCACTGTTTGTCTTGTCCAAAATGCCGGAAATACCCAAACTTTCTTTTCAGGTAGGGTGGGGTCAGGATGAGAGGGTGTGATGCATGGCATATCAACCTCCTTTCTGAGTACCTTGTCGATATCAATAGTTGAGAAGAATGTGACCCCCTGAGGTAAGTCATCCATTCCCAGTTTAAAGGCAAAAAGGCTCCATGTCCATAGGTTGGCAATCTGCAGCGTGAGTGCAGCTTGATAGCGATCTTCTTTGGCACCCAAGTAGCATAACTTGTCGTGCCCCGAGATGAGATAATGTGCCTTGATATCATATTGTCTGACACATCTGCACCAACAATGGCGTACCCCTTCACATGCACCATGGCATTGAGCTCTGAGTTAACGCGGTTTTTCTTTGCATTGCCTGCTGTGAGCCATGTTCTCTCAATAGCTTGGCGCATCAGTGCCTATTGTAATCACTTGATGAAGGATGATACCCCATTTCCGGGGTCTGGCTGAAGATACAGGTGGTTCAAACTGTAGACCTAATGCTCCCTGCTGCCAGACTACCATCTGATTCAAGATGCAATCATGTGCACTGATCCAATAGCTGCACTGCGCAATCATGTCCAATGCATACTTCGCTTCGTCACCAGAGCTTGTGAGCATCCCATCTTCTGCATATTCCACGAACATTTTCCCAGGCAGACTCCCCACATTCACCTTCTCCGAGTCACTGGCTTTATGTGGCAACTTGTAGAAGACAAAACAGCCCTCCAAGCGCATATCTTGTAGGTTGTCATTTGTGGGATTATAGAAATCAGGCTGAGAAAAATGGGTAGGAAAATTGGCATCCCCTGGAATGCGAAAGGTCTAACCATGTTCCTGGGAGTAGAAGAGTGACTAGCCTTTCCATGACAAATGAAGGAGGATAGGGGCAATGCGATTCCGTACTGTGACATCCAATGTGCTGGGAGACATGTCTTTCTGGGGCTTTGCGAGATCCCAGTACCACTTTGGCCAAAATACCTTTGGTTTGGGCACATAGGAGTGGACTTCTTACATTGGGGGGAAGAATCAGGAACAGTCAATGGGCACGTTGCAGAAGGCTCACCTCAAAACCAGCACGGAGATGGCATAGTTCTTCTCATTTGATTTCATTGGCCTCCTGGTCGTGTTTAAACTCCATGTCACATATGAGTTCCATGACAGCCTTGACCACTTTGGCATGACGCACTTTCTGAATCTCCTTGGATTTGCGGTGCTTCATCCAAGCAGGTCTTTGGTAGGAAGATATTCCCTTCACTGCAACATGCAGAGTCATTGTCTGGAGAAAGCAGGACTGAGTTCCATGTAAGTTGTACTCCTCCAGAATGCGCACTTAGTCGTAGCAGATGTTGTGACCAACGACTATGTGCAGGGAAAGTGTATTCCCCAAGGGAATGGGGTGTTGTTGCTCAACAGATTCCCCGAGCAACCAGGGTGATATCCAACTGTACCAGGCATTCTATAGGGCAGCACATGCCATGATGGCATAAGTATGATATGTGGGCATGGTTTCTACATCAAATGTGAGCACTTCTTCTGCACTCCCTTTGTGCTGTGGGAGCTCGACATGCTCGATGCAGTCAGCAAGGAATTAATGTTTTGTCCATCCCGACCGAATGTCACAATGATCAGGTTTTGGAGGAAGTTCATTGAACATAATATGTTTAGCCATGGTTGAGTGGACTGATTGCCGATTCTATGGAAATGCCCATTGATGTTTGAGCCTAGGAGGGGTGGGAGGGTGAAGCTGATATCAGGAAGAACAGAGCCCAGGCTGTTTGGGGTCTGGTCCGAGTCCATGCATTGCCAGATGCTCCTGTGCAAGCAGCAATATGAACAAATGCTTTTGATGGTACTGGAAAAGAGAGGTCACGAAATATTTGCAAATACAATTCCCAAGAAAGGAGCTGAACTCCAAGCTCATTGCGCTTGACTGTCCAATATAATTGGTTGCAGGAGAATGGAATTGAAGCCGCAACATAATGCACCATGCCTCACTGTTTTTCGGACGTCACGTTCTCTTTCTCTTCCCTTTTTCACATCAGCTCCACATATGACAGGTCGCAGTTGTACATGGTTATAATGTCATTTCTGCTTTTAAACAAGTGGAGCTGCTCGAGCATGCAGGTGTTGAGCTGACCCACTGGATTTCCACACAAGGTTTAAAATCCATGAGTAGTTAGCGCTGTTAGCAGTCAGGTCCGACTTGCACTACTAGATGTCACACAGGCAAATCTCATACCAGTGGAATGAATGATGGGACCTTGGTCCACTGGTCCTGGGATAGTACTATTGGTTACTATCATTCCATTATGGTCCACTATTCTGTGAGTCACACTTAAGTCACGAATAGTAACAGACAGTCACACTGGCCAAATTTACAGTCCGCTCAACAGACATTATTCATGATTCATGAACTTTAACAGCAATTAATTAGGATACCACTAGCAAGTCTGTGAGCTATAGTGTGTATGGAGAATTATATAGAACTAGTAAATGCAAATAATTAATGCTGTGTAAAATATTGCTGAGGGAATGTGTGTGAATGTAGGTAGTGATGCATAGGTGCATTGTGAAATTCATGACTCAGATGTGGGGGTTGAGCAAAAAAATATGGTGTATGTGGTGCAGGAATGATGAAACCAGTATGAGAAGGTGGATGTATGAAATGTGGTGGCAAGTGTCCAGGCTGGGAGGAACTGGAGGTTGCAGGAAGTTCTGGTGGTTGGCTTGAAGTTGAAGCTGCTGATGCCAATGCTTGCCAGGGATCCTTCCACTAATCTCATTGACCCGAGCATGTAAATCATGAGGGTGCACAGGACACACGGCGCCAGATTCATGAGCCAGCCAATCCTTGACAGCTTCCTCTTCAGACGGCTGGAGGAGCTGCCATGACCAGGAAAAATCCTTGTGAGACATATGACCCTTGCTCCGGTCTTTAAGAGTCTGCCGCATGACCTGTACAATGAAATTAGCACCACAGGAACTCGAAAGATAAATAATCATACTTTGTTTACCCTTGCAGCTACTGTTTAATTCTTGTAGGTGCCATTTGTAACACCCTCGAGTGCAGCCTGGATCCTGAACTCATACTTGGGGACAGTAGATGCTGCCAGCTTGCCTCGGTGGCAACCCATGGCATAGTGATTGAGCCCAGCTCAGTGTTGGCTCAGTGCAGTGCTCACGGGTGACAGATTGCAGCTGCACGCTGTTAATTTCAATGTCCGACGTCGGCAGCTTCGGCAGGTGACACCAATCCATGATTTTTGCTGCTGTCACGCTGAAAACACGATCTCCATCACTTCTTAACGGATTTGATTTCCCTCACTTGGAACATGCTACGATAGTATGTAGAATATACTTAGTGAAGTAGCTAAGCAATTGCTTTAACATTGAGTGCTGTAGACAAAATTCACGGAATGGTGGACCGTAACAGAATGATAGTAACCGATAGTATGCGGGCGAGAAATTTTGCAACACTGTGCTCAAACATGTTTCGCACCGGCTTCTCTCTGGCAACGTAGGCTTGACAGCTTTCTTGATATAGCATTAAAGTATGTACTAAATCCTACATGCTCCTAGTGTTTCCTTATTTTAATGTTGTGTAGTTGTTGTGTTATGAAAAACTGGTTGGAGCATTTTGCAACTCTGGGCCAGAGATAGTATCGTTAATATTAGCATAAACATCCACGTCGAGCTCAAGTTCCTTTATAATCTTATTAAAATCCGAGTAGGAGGCAGTACTCTCAAGATTGCATCGCATCAAGCACCTGCCAGTACCTCCGGTTGCTCACGTTTTCGATGTCATCGGAATGCGGTGAGAATATCACATTTTGACTGCAAGATGAATGTATATCCATACTGATAAAACACAGGTTAACGTTGGCCCACTCACCTGTCGATTTAAAAGGATGAACAGGCACTTCTCCCCAGCCCTTCAGTCTTTTCCCCATGGCCACTTCTGTCGTACCGCAGGATGATTTCTTGATGGCAGTATGGAGCATTCAGGTGATGAATGTGAGTGTCTGTCTGAACCAAAGCAGCACTGATCCCAGCTGAAAGACTACTCTCAGTATACCGATGGTCTGTCCTCTCGCTCTATGAAACAGGGAATTTCTGACGAAGATATTTTAGTCGCGGTTACTACTCTTTGGGTGGGTTTCCTCTTGAATTTTTAGCCAACTTCTTCACTTATTCGGGTGAAAGGCTTATGATTTATTGTTACGATTCCAACAAGAGGTGATGACACCGTTTATGCTCGTAGTTATTGATCTCATCCCCCATTTTCACAGGCAACATTTCTCGCCCAAGCCAACAAGAACGTTGCAAAATTCCTGTACATCGGAGCCCGCTATATGCCGTTGTTGATAGCTATTCCTGGGCTCATCTGTGAGCATATACTCATCCTCTATGATATTTTTAGTCTCACTCGGGTCCCAGTTGACCAAGTCTCCCACATGGGGAACGTTGTGCGTGTGCGACCTTGGCGATCATATACGTGTCTCTCACTGTTTCCATAGGACTGTCAGAGTGTAGGTGATCTTGCAACAGGCAGGGCTTCAATTATAACTGATCTTGACGTTGTGCTGACAACTATCTAGCCTTCGGCCTGATAGCAGCATTCTGCGCGGAATGTTTGTGACCTCTGTCACTAGATTCACTTGAACTTTCACTAATTTCTCACCGTTCGTTAGCCATCTTCGTACTCCGAACCTGCGCTATGTGGGAGGTGAAACACCTTCTACGTCGGATTATGTTCATGATCGTAGCTGTGTGCATCCTTTATCAAATCACCTGCTAAGTTTTACTCAGGGAACCGGCGATAGCAGGGTATAACAGTTACTGGGCTAATCATTTTCAGCTTTGTCCCGGGGCAGTACGTATTTGTACCTGATGTTCCGACATGCAAAACATTGCAAGTTGCAAAAGCGCAACGGCTATTGGTGGCGTTCCTGGCGCTCCTGATATTAGAATTTGGTATGAAGACGTTTTGTCATAATTTTTTTCGGAGTTCTGACTTCCATCTCCAGTCCTTGTTATTTCTACCACTGTAAGGGCTGTGAAGAATTACAGATCGACACCAAGACCACTCCTTACACTTCTCCTCACGCACCATATGTTCTACTATGGTTGTGGATTTCGTGCGTGTATTCTACTTCTATGACAGCGCAATAAACTCTTTCCTTCTAGTCTTCAGCATTATCAATGTCCTGTGTGTAGCGCTGTTCGAAGTCAGTTTGGCCAGTTTGCCGCCAGGCTTCACACGAGCTGACATTCTACTTATATGCATAGTACGAATATGCTACAGTCTTCTTTAAGTGCGCAACGACCTCCGAGTGCTCATCGTAAATGCTGACTCCGTTGCAATTAACAGCCCTCAAATAATGATGCATGCAATCTTGGCAACACGTATGCAGTACCAGCTCTGGGAGTCCGAGAATGCTCGAAAGAGTTATCGGTCAGAGCAGTACCCTATGTCGTTGTTATTCCGGCAACCCCCAGAAGAGACTGCGACGTCTTAGTCAGGTTCATGCTATAAGTGACTGTCGCTGGCAGTAATCTACAGTGTGTAGCACTAGTGACGTGTAGTATGATTGAGCCTCCTGCTGGCCTTTCATTTGACCATCCGCGATTGATCGAGGGTGTCACATGTGTCTGAATGACCGTCTTAGATTTGCTATCACGTACGAAGTCCGGAGCAGCGATGTTAACGTCCGCGTCCGAGTCGTTCCTCATCCATCTGCAGTGCCCATCCGTGATGAGCCCCCGTCAAGACTACATCTGACGGTCTCTTATTCCACTCCTGATCTAGATGATCATCTGCCAACGAGCCCGGTTCATAATCAGCAACTGCTTATAATTATACCCACCATCTTGCCCTCATCAGGAGTTCAGCTAATCCTGACAGTTGATACACAATGTTTGTGACTCTAGATCTGTGTGACAAGTCGTGCATAGGAGGTTGTAGACGACAGTCCAAAGCGTGCTGCAGACTAAGACTCGTGCTACTCACAAGGTTGCAAAGTCTAGGATCTGACAGGAGGTAGCAAGAACCGTACAATCGCGTGTTGGGTAATTGTTTACAGTACTCTCAGGCCATGTAAGTAGTCATGCAAAGTCACTATGAATGATGAATCACGTGCGCAGGGTTGAAACGTCTTACTGTGCAGTACTGTGTTCGCCTGTCACTCAATATTCAGAATCACTACTAGCACTGAGACCATGGCGCATATCAGTGAAGGTGTCGTGAACAGCAATGAACTTTCTCACCACGACGACGATCCTAGAGCATACCCATTCCCATGTGGACAATCTGCCGGTAGGCGACTCGACTCTGTCTCAAATGGCTTGAGGCGGTGGGCAACACGAGCCCACCTTGCAAAAAACTCCTGGGTCAGAACTGCGTACAGTAGTTACGGCTAACACTGAGAATAAATTCAGTATCCTGCCTACATAAAGGCCAATAAACGATATGAAGAATTACTCCTTCAAACTCCTGAAGCCTACCCCTTCCCCTTTGGAGAGCATAAAGACAAAAGACTCGATGTACCAGAAGACACCATCTGGTGGGGTATTCATCCTTCACGGTCTGGTAATGACTGGGTAAGTCGATCGGTGATCAGCACCGTATGCGCTTCAATCACTCGGAATCGTAGCATCAAAACCTGGCGGAGGCATATCGTCTTTACTTGGACAAGGTATACGATTAGAAGTCACCAGGTTCAGTCACAATATGATTTGGAAAGCAGTATAATGGATATAGGCTCGATGATGTGTACAAGCGTCCTGGTTTCATCAGATTTTGTCTGAAACCAGAGCATAGCAAATGCCTTTGGGTGAGTTCGAAGTTTCCCAGCTGCATTTGACTTTCGGTGTTCACTTTACCCAGTATTACAAGTTCAAAGACCTAGTTCAGAGGTACAGGATTTATCTCCGGACCCACCGACGGCCATACCACCCCAGAGCATCTGCGCACGTGGAAAATCCCACAGGGCAACTTCTTGGAAAACAGAACGATGGCCGCGGGTCTGTGGAGCCCGACGATGACTACGAGCGCGATGTCTTTGTAGTTGATGATGACGAGACAATCTACCAAGAGAATGGTAGTGATTTCGAACCAGCCAATAACACCAACGATCCCGTGGTGGATGACGACAGTGATGGGCACGACGATGCAGAGCACGCTGACTCTGAGTCCACAGAGAATGGTGATGCAGATCGGTCTGTTGTACAGGCGGAAGGCCTCCCACCCTCTCACGCGAGTGCAAATATTTCTCAAACCTCGGGCCCAGATCCAGATGACGATATACCTCTGGATGAATTGCACAACAAAACTATAATAAAGCGCCTGTTTGATGGAAGAAAAACAAAGGTCACGTCTTCAAACAACCGTCGAAGAACCTACCATTCGAGCTCGGGCGAGGAAACTGACACCGCTGAGCAGCCCCCGCCAAAACGCCTCAGACGCAGGTCCGAACCTGAAGGTACTGATAGTCTTTCCGAGTGTTTTAAACACTGATGACAGGACTTCACTTAGTCCATGGGCCTGCACAGCCCGATTCCCACTCTGATGTAGAGTCCGCTGCACTAGATGAGCCTGAGACCCCTCATCGCGATCAGCTCTCTCAATCTCTCAGTGCTTTGTCGTTGTCTCAGAAATCCGCTGGAAGCCCAAACAATGATGGTGAACTCCCACACGCACCTCGTAAGTCTCTGCGACTTCAAGGGACGTCTGTACGAAATGATGACGACTCGGACATACCAGATCATGATACTCGTATAGCACGCCTGGGGAGACGTTATCGTGCACCTATTCAGTCAGATGTTGAGGAGTGAGGATTTCAGCGATGCTTGGTATATATGGACCTTCAGAATAAATGTAATGTAGTTGTAGTGAGCCTAAATTGATGTGCACGAAGCAATTTGAAAACCGTGGACCGTACCCCACCGTACCTTACATCCTGATCTAATCGGTGATCATGATGGCTCTCGGTTTCAAAATACGACTTCGATCTAGATCTAAGCATCTAGATGTCGAGTATCTAGATCATCGATGACCTACCCGATTGCTTATCCTTAAAGTGAGTCCACCCAGAGACTGCCACGTCTCGTATACTCATTATAGCGACATGTAGGCCAAGCAGAAAAAGTGAGCTGCACTGTGATTATCTGATCGTGCAATTTAAAACTAACGCGAATGCCAGATTGTAAAGCATTTGGCATTCTCAGCAATCAGGCATGAAGAACAGTCGAATTTTGATGTATGTTTTGAAGACTAGTGTACAACTTACTTGGGAACGACCTATTTCAGGACATCTCGGCTCAAGACCATCAATCAAAGACGCGGAATACCAGGCTCAGTTCGGTTGTCAACCTGGTTCGGATTACAAGGTCGAAGACATGATCAAAAAACAGAATAAAGGATGTCCAGTCGTGGTGACGGGTATTCTCAATCGATATCCTCCAAAGTGTTAAATCAGTTGATTTGGAACTTCGAGAGGGAAGAAGCGCTGGATGCTGATAAATGAAGATAAAGGTACGCATCCGGTTAGCCGACTCACTCATAAGAACCGAGACGATATGGGTGTCCTTGGTCGCAAACACTGATTTGCGGAAGAAAATCTCCAAGACTGAAGGTACGAAAAAAAGAAATATGAATCGAAGCGGCAGGCATGATACGGAGGCGAACTGGGTGGTCAAGTAGGTTCCGCGGAGAGGAACTGAATTTCATGATAGATGCCGAGGCCGTTGGTTCAAACGTACAATGTTCGCTCTAATGGATTGATATCTGGCAAAAATAACTGGTCACCGGGGTTGTCAAAAGAAGAAGATAAATTTACCATGGTATCTGAGAGCGATATTCGCCAGCTATGGGCCAAGTGAGGAAGGAAATGTCAGCTAAATGATGGCGCTCATCTCGGACTGATTCATCAAGTTCTCGCTCTTGAGAGATTCGAAGTGACACACCTGAGATCTGAGACCTCACATGATCATGCAATTAGTCCCTAGGGGAGGCAGCAAGTGACAGCTACTATATACTTACCTGAGGCCTAGGCTGCCACGTATCACTGTATACATATTGGATGTGCAATGAACTACATCGCAGGTTCATCGGGCGCTATCCTCCTCCTGGACTCGTGTCCAATCTTTTTGTTTCCGTAGTAATTCCTTGGGATCGTCGCCATGATCTTCATATGTCCTCCAAGTCATCACCAATCATGGTACTATTGAAAAGGTAATTGATATAGATCTGGTACTCACTATACCCTGCTTCATTTGTCGACAACGTTTCCAGGAGCATGGAGCAAACCAGCCTGCTCAAAATTCAGGGCCTTGAGAGAATGTGTGAAGATTCGGATCGTTTTCAAAGTCCGTGCAGCTACAGCTCGGGCAGTGGCGTATCAGTTGAATCCCTATTCCTGACTCTCAACTTGACTCTGTACTAGATGGGTCATATGATGTGATACGAACATTGAGCTAACATCTGGATTCAAATTTCAGACTCGTCAGAATTACCAATTTGGGTTTGCGGTGTGCTACAAGAGGTACTTATTCCTGTGTCAGTGTAAGTATTCCCAAGATTTCTCTTCGGCTGGAGTCCGCTGTATAATCCAACATTAATTCTTATATCTGAGCTGAGAAGTCGACAGCCATTCACGTTTAAGTATAAATACACGATGTTTTGAAGTTAGGAAGTCCGTCCCCTCTGTTGGAATCGGATGACACTGTGTAGACACGAAGGATTGAGATAACGAGTGCGTGACGGCAAACTCCCGTTTGCCGAGTCCGAGATGATTGTCAGCTGCAGCGTTAGATATGTCAGAGCTTAATATATAATGGACCGGTTATGTTTTATTAGCGAAGGATAGTATAAATACTGGATAAAAGAATGCATCAGAGGACATACGAGAGAATCTACTCTACTTTTCACCCACTACTAAGCTCATAACCACACCCTCGTCACCCCTTCAATTACTCTGAGCGAGTCTTGATCCCCTATTCGTCTGACCCATTCTCTAGGCATATTACTTCTGTGTTGAAGTTTCGTGCGGAATCTTTCTGCTAAACTCTACCTTCGAGGTGTGTTCAAGTATTGGGGGTGGTTCATAATAATCATGCTGGACATAGGAGCAGGCAATATGAACGAAGTCACCATAGTCAACAACACCGGAGAGAAAATCAGTGTTAGCATCACTGAGATTAGCGAGAGCAGTGGGGGACCCGGATTCTATGAAATTGCATCAAAGAAGTCCAGTACCTGGAAACGGAGCCATTTGCAGGTGTGCCATGTGTTGAGGGCCGACAATGGAAATACCGAGGTTCTCGTTGTGGAGCCTGGAAAGAAATATGATATCGGAGGTGCGTTCAGAGTATAAACTATCATAAAGGGAGTTAAGAATCATTTTGGAAACACGAGCAGGCACTATGAATGAAATCACTATAGTCAACAACACCACAGAGAAAATCAGTGTTAGCATCACTAACACTGGCGACAGCAGTGGGGGACCCGGATTTTATGAAATTGCGTCAAAGAAGTCCAGCACCTGGAAACGGAGCAATTTTCAGGTGTGCCATGTGCTGAGGGCCGACAATGGAAAAACTGAGGTTCTTGCTGTGGAGCCTGGAAAGGTATATCAAATCGGTTGAAAGCCTTACGGGTAGAAGCAGTTGGTCATGGTGTATGTACTTTATATCTATACAATATAAGAACAAAGCAAGTGTCGAACACAATTTGTTTTCATGACGCAAACATTAACTTCGCGCCTGATATTGACATACATTTGTATCTCTGATGGGCCAAAAGATTGTATCCACGAATACGTGCTGCAGGCCCTGCAGTTCTCGTATATAATTATCATCCAATCTGGCGGAATTACTCAAAACTATGAAAGCAGCAGTCATGTCAGTAGAAGTACAGCGGTACGGGGTACAAATGTAAATCATTATAGATACTGTACTCTCGTAGATGACGGAAATTCTACTCCGAAGTCAATATATCGTTGGCCAGCTCCTCTTCCTCCTGTTCGTCTTTCTCGCTATCCATGATGGGATCGAGGGTACTAGTCCCTGCAAAAGTAGATTGAATGTCATTCCTCGCTTTGCTTGCACTGCATACGACAAAATGAGTATGTGCTGTCCTACTTATACAAGCGACTTACGGCCTGAGCCTTCTGAGAGGCGGGAGGGGGTGTAGCTTCTTCCTCTTCCTCCTCCTCTTCGTCATCGTCATCGTCTGTTAACTGCACTACCTGGGTTTCTTTACGGAGCAAAAGTTAAGACCACATTAAACGGAAAAATCATGACATGTTGATGCACGCGGCCCGCTTTGGCAGTGTTCGTGTTGATGTTGGGGTAACATGGTCGCACGATAGGACATCATCCTACTTGACTCTGTAAACAGAATACAATAGGTTCCGCAGAGAGGAAATCAATTCCACGACAAATTATATTCGGGGCCGAGGCCGTTGGTTCAAACACGCCCGAATGGATTGATACCTGGCAAAAATAACTGGTCACCGGGGTTGTCAAAAGAAGATAAATTTACCATGGTATCTGAGAGCGATATTCGCCAGCTATGGGCTAAGTGAGGAAGGAAATGTCAACTAAACGATAGCGCTCATCTCGGACTGATTCATCAAGTTCTCGTTCTTGAGAGATTCGAAGTGACACACCTGAGATCTGAGACCTCACATGATCATGCAATTAGTCCTAGGCTAGTGAGGGAGGCGGCAAATGACAACTACTATATACTTACCTGAAGCCTAGGTTACCACGTATCACTGTATACATATTGGATGTGCAATGAACTACATCATGGGTCCATCGGGCACCATCCTCCTTCCGGAGTGTCCAATCTTTTCATTTCTGTAATTCCTCAGGATCGTCGCCATTATCTTTATTCATTACCGATCGTTGTAATAGAAGAGATAGACCTGGTACTCACTATACCCTGGAGATCATGGAGCAAATCAACCTGCTCAAACCATCGAGAGAAGATTCGGATCATAATTTTCAAAGTCCGTGCAGCTCGGCAGTGGCGTATCAGTTGAATACCTGTTCCTGACTATCAACTTGTCAACTCAACGTCACGGGGTCATCTTGTCCCAGAATGAGCAGGAACTACGCCACATTTTTCCTGTTAGCTGGCTTTGCTTTGTGGGAAATGTGTCTCCCCATATAACCTCGACATACACATTCAATAAGGCTTCGTGAGTTTCCGTCACCAGCGTTTGCATTGCACTGGTTTGCAAGTACTTCTCTGGCATCGCTAACGGTCGGGTAATACAAGGCAGCACAGGAATCTATAGCAATCATTGTTCACGTTCATTTGTCACTGCAGTGCACACTGCTTCACATTTATCAAGCTGGCAGGAGGTCGCTTTATCGATATTATCACCTGTTCACACCGTCCTTGCATCCTCTGAGCACCGGCGGCCAGCATGAACGACATATATGCTGACATGCCGCCCCTAGTTGATGCGAACAATATGCCGCAGCCAAGGATACCCCCTCCAGCAAACGCGACATTTACGGCAAATTATCCACCCCCACAGAGCGCATTCGCTGGCCAGGGGTGGAATGCGCCACCTCCACAAAACACATTCGCTGGCCAGGGGTGGGGTGCACCACCTCCACAAAACGCATTCGCTGGTCAGGGGTGGGGTGCACCACGTCCACAAAACGCATTCGCTGGCCAGGAGTGGGGTGCGCCCATGCCTCAGCTGTATCCTCCATTCCAGGCAGCAGCCCAAGAAGAACAGGCAAGGTGGGCCCGATACTGGCAAGCTCAGGTTGCGCCAGCTCCGCTATCTGTGCCAAGTCCTTATGTACCACACCTGCCCATGAATCCTGAGACCGTTCAACCTAATATCCGCAGGCGCAATAGCATCGGTGCAACTGGCCCTTACAACGCACAACAAGCCGCGGCGTGGAATGCTTGGGGGCCATTGATGTTCCCTAACCAGGCTAGACCTCCCATTCAAACATTCCCAAGTACAAGTTCATACACACCCTCATCCGCAGTCTCTATGACACGGTCATTATCTGCAGCATACGTGCCTCCAGATTGGCCGGGAGAGCGCCCAAAAAGCTGGAGACGCGGCTTCAAATTCAAGTCGGGTATTTCATCCCTACTATTCCGAAGTAAGTCTGTATCAAGACCACCCGATCGTAAGTTATGCTTTAATTTTTGACTTTATGAGCAATGCTGATATAGCAACAGCATCCACCGATAGCGCCCAGCTCGACCTCGCTCCTGTCCTGCGACACGACAGAGCTGTAATCCTCGATCTCCGTCGCAGCCAACACTTGCTTGTAATTCGAGCGCTGGGGCGCCCAGTAGTCGCAAACGACTTGATGAAACCGAGTACAAACCCGCCGACGTTGTTCATGCGCCTCTATCACACGCGCTTACCGTGGTACATTGATGTCGTGCCGTTAGGCAATGGTTCCTACGTCACACTGGATGACGTGTTCATGACTATATGCCAATTCCTAGCTGGACCGATACGCAATGAGGATTACTACAACGATGAGCTAGATGCCGAGGACAAGGAGCAGCTTAGGCTGGCGTGGGAGACGCGTTGTAACAGCAAGAAAGAACGGATGGAGGGGGTGAAGCGAGTTGATTTTTTGCGAGAAAAGCACATGTTTCTGGGGTTGGCTCGCGGCAAGAACGGCATGTGGCAGCTGCGTACAGGAAAAGATTACTTGTAGAGACGGAAAGTTGTATGAGGTGGCGGGCTGGGTTGATCCCATTCCACGGCCTTATCGTTGGCGATCATATTCTTCCTTATATCCTCCCTGCCTCTTGCTTTGTACTGTTTTTATAGTCCGCCCAGAATGCCCTATCAGGGTTGCCTCCTCTCAAGATGGCCTGCTCGCGTTCCTGACAAAGTACTGTGCGGCGTGCGCGTGCGCGTCGATTCACCATACACAGTGGAGACATAGTGCAGAGGCTGAAAAGCCTGACTACAGTGCCTCCACTGGGTATCAAGTCAGAATATCGCTGTCACAGCGTTGAAGACGACAAGGTCTGGAAATACGATTGCCTCAGAGTCACTCAGACTCAGTTATTCAAGTCATGACTGCACCATAAAGCTCACCTCAGTCGCCTTCAAGCTTCGAGATAACTGACGTTGCAGCCGCACTTGTTATCTTGTTATCATCATGGTAGTAGATTTTAGGCTCGTGAGTTGCGACTAACCTGACTTATAAGTTATACTACAGATGTATGACCATGTGTCACGAGGCGGGGAATCATCTTATCAATTAATCGATTTTCCACGCAGACTCTTGACATGTTCCATATGTTAACGTAGCCATGCGTCTTTTGGTGCAACATTTACGTGAAGTACGCAATTTGTCTCCAACGGGCCGATTCACGTTGTGCTGGATACATTAGGTGGATTTCATGCCATATATAAACCGGTAAAGTACTGAAAGTAAGGGCCGACCACGAAGCGCCTGAGATCTTCATGGATAATTTATCCACAGAGATCTCAGGCACCCGTAGCCGGCTCTTGCTTTCACTTCACGATGTCGGTCGAGCAGGGTGAACTGCGCAAAGACAAGGAGAGCGAAAGTTTCGGTGTGCAAGCTGAGACTCGGGACATATTCACTGAGGATTCGTTGGACCCTGTATATCAGGCCAAAGCCAGGATTCTTAATGATGCGTTGCAGGAGATTGGAATGGGAAAGTATCAGGTGAGTAACTCGTAGTCGACGCTTTTGTTTATTAATGGGAGAGAAGTGGTACTTGTTCGTGGTAGCTGGGTTTGGCTGGCTGTCGTGAGTTAGCAAATGAACTTGGTTGTTGAGGCTCTGCTAAACTTCTTGGTATAGCGATAATCTTTGGCCGGTATGTGCGTTCTTCTGCCTCGGGTGCTCGTTTGTTTACTATCTTCATAGATTGTCACTGGTTTGATATTGACGCCAGTAGTGAACGAGTTTAACGTACTAGGTCCATGGCTAAAACTCGCTCAAAACATTGGCTTGTTAGTGGGAGCTGCGTTTTGGAGCCTTTCTTCAGATGTTTGGGGTCGGAGGTATGATTTAGCTGAGCACTCTCACGTCATCGTGCTGTCTTGACTGGCTATGCGTAGGTGGGCCTTCAACATCACTCTGGGCATGACTGGTCTGTTCGCCATTGCGGCTGGAGGATCGATGAACTATGTTGCGCTCTGTTCCCTGACCGCGGTGTGGTCAGTAGGCGTGGGTGGCAATTTGCCTGTCGACTCTGCTGTCTTCTTAGGTAAAGAAGAGTGCTTGCATTCAGTTTTAATGATATTGATGTGTCTTGTAGAATTCGTCCCCGCTTCTCACCAATATTTATTGACGGTACTCTCCGTTTGGTGGGCCTTTGGGCAACTGTTGGGTAGTCTGGTCGGAAATTCACCTGATTAGTGCTTTCGGTGCATACTAACTTGCTTTAGGTTGCATGGCCCCTTATTTCCGATTACTCTTGTCCCACCACTGTTCCTCCTTCTCCTTGTCCAAGATCCTCAAACGAAGGGTGGCGATATTTCTTGTTCACTATGGGTGGGCTCATGATGTTCCTCTGGGTCATCCGCTTTTTTCGCTTTCAACCTATACGAGAGTCCAAAATACCTCATGGGACGAGGCAGAGATGAACAGGCAGTCGAGGTCGTCCACAAAGTTGCAGCCTACAATGGGACAACAAGCAACCTTACCCTCGAAGACCTCAGGAGGGCTGGAAAAGTGGCTGGCACCGCCGTCGACGATGACGTTCATATGGATACATCTGCTTTGGCTGCCGTGCGGAGGAAGATGGGGATATTTAGCAATAACCATGTTAAATCGTTATTCGCCACTCGAAAGATGGCTTTGTCGACTACTATTTTGATCATTATTTGGGGTAAGTCTGCGTCATGAGGTCGATGGCTCGAGTATCGATTAACGTTTTCGTGTTCCTTGAGCTTTAATCGGCCTCGCGTTTCCGCTGTAGGTTTGTTCAAATTTTCCGTGGGCATCCTTACTCAGACTTGCGCAGGTACAACGGCTTCGTAACATACTTGTGAGTGGTTCAAGATATGACTAGCTCCCTACCAACTCTTTGCTAGCTTGGCCACCCGTGGGGCAAATTTTGGCGACAGTTCCACATATATCACGTATCGCAACGTACGCTCGTTTACTTTCTGCCGTTTGCTGGACTCACATCCTACCTAGCAAGTCATTCTAAGCGTGATAGGCGTTCCTGGAGCATTAATGGCAGGTTACTTTGTCGAGCTTCCGTACCTCGGTAGACGAGGCACCTTGGCGATATTCACCGGTAAGACTCTCAGGATAAGTTACGCGCTTCAGCTGATTCATTCTGTCGTCAAGTATTGACAGGTGTATTCATACTAGCATCCACCACCGCACGCACATCCAATGCGCTCCTTGGCTGGAACTGTGCTTATAGCTACACGAGCAACGTCATGTATGGCGTCTTATATGCCATCTCACCCGAATTGTTTCCTACCAAAGATCGTGGAACTGGTAACGCGCTTGTGGCCACTGCAAACAGAATATTTGGCATCATGGTAAGTTCATTTGTCGTTGACGGTACCTGTGTGTGCTCTGCTACTCTCTAACTTACCACACAGGCCCCGGTCATTGCTTTGTACTCGAACCTCACGACAGCTGTGCCGATCTGGATTTCAGGAGCTATCTTCATCGTCTCTGGTTTTATTGCTCTCTTGCTACCATTCGAACCCCGTGGTCACGCATCTTTGTAACTAGTCAATCATACATAGCTGGGCGGACGGCTTCCTGAGTCATGTCCAGCTTGATATTGCACCATCATCGATAACCTTGTAAGAAACTATAAATGGAGCATGGAGTACATAAGTACGTCGTATTGTTCATTATAGGTAGAACGGAATCCCATATACAACTGGTGCTGCCCCAGTGAGATACTTAAGTTTGCATGCCTCTCGGGCTTTTGCAATTGCGGTAACTGCTGACATACCCTGCTCCTCTCCACGAGTCGGAGTCAATCTCAGCGAGTCAAAAACTGCTTGTGAAAACTTGTCTATATCGCGGTCAGTGACATCCCAAAGATTCGCCACTAGTAAAGGGCTGTGCACGATGAATGTTGAGCAGGGAGTGTAGATAAAACAGGCTTGCGACGTACCATCCAGCAAGCATGTAATTGAACGGAGTGCCTACTCTGTCAAAATCACCCATCTCCTTCAATAACCCGCTGGAGCACCCCCACAACATCGTCGCTGCACAGCGAGGCAAATGACGAATTTTGTGTGACCGCACGTATTGTTCTCCTCCACCGTGTCCGAAATACCTGAAAGCCGTCAAGGTCCGATGCAGCAATTAGTCAAGAGTCACTCACACTACCAGATCTTTCCGCGCAAGGGCATCTAAGAACTGCTGTTCGCTTGGCGGACGTCCAATGACTCCCTCCCAGCCTACACTCCGCATCTGTTCAAGCCATGGTTTGAATCGTCCCTCAGTCCCTTTCAAGTCTCCGCTAGGGTTGAGCACGAAGAACGTCTTGCGTGGATCCACGGATGTCCGATCAACAACGCCCCCTGATCGGTTCTTGGCAGACGCAAGTCGAACCCGATCAAGCAAGAATGAAACGTTCGGGATACGGCTCACGCTCTGGCCCCTCAAGACTGGTATCGACTCCCAAGGAACGCCTTGTACATTGTGGTCCAGGACGAGGAACATGTGGGGGTCGTCTACGGAAGTTGGATTCACCTTCCCTCGCTTGTTCTTGAAGGCGGTATGCTCCTCCAGCGCACAGCGAAGATCCACTGTTACTTGATCTACGTCTATATCTGCGATGGCGACAGGGATGCCATGGAAGGTGTACAGGTCAAGGATGAAAAAGAGTAAGTCTTCAAGCTCTTCCTCACGACACTTTGGACTCAGGGATGAGAAGCAATCGAGGAGCACGTCAGACAAGCGAGGGGGCTGCTTCTGTTTCTTGTCTGGGGGAGGAAGAATGCGCTTGAACACCTTCTCGAGACGAAGCGCGCAGGTCAGTGATGAGCTCGGCTGATATAGGTGGGACGGGACTGAGAATGGTCTACAAAAGTTGTTCACTCAAAAAGTATTTACCAAAAGAGAATGCTCACTTTGAATGCACCCAACCAGCAAAATTCGATGTTCTCCAGCAGTTCTTGCATCCTTTTATCCAATGTATTGCGCTCCGCCCACCAGGCAGCTCTTGCTCGCGGATCATCATTTCGTACATTGACTGCATTGCGTGTCCCTTGGTCGCTTAAGCGGATTATTTCAGCGAGCTCTTTCACCGCATCGTCAAACGTCAGGTGTTCGTCCTCGTCTGATTCGCGTCGGCCTTTGAGAGGCACACAGAACATCAACGGCTCAGAAGAAACATTCTGCCGGGAAATAAAGAGGGTACTCTTATCAGGCGTGAGGCTGATATGGACGATCGTCCAATGAGATGGAAACTGTGACATGGTCGTGGTCGATAGCAAGGAAGTGTCTGAAGTCTGCTCTGCATACGTCTCGCGAATAGAATCCCAGTACGCCGTCATGCTTGCGTTCGAATCATCGTCATCGTCAGATGCTTCCTCAGTGTTGGAGGTCTTCAGCCGCCAAATTTGAGATGGACTCTTCCGAGGCAGCGGGGAACCGCTGGGCGTCATAAGGGGCCATTCAAGATCGTCGAATTGTACGCTGGGGAATTTATGCTGAATAGCCTCTAGCATTTCACGGCGTAGAGTAATTGCGGATGACGCATCTAGTTTGGCGTCAAAAACAGGCCTCATCAGGTAAATCATAATCTTACCAAGAAGGCGCGCAGCAATAATGGGTCCATCCTTTCCCCCCTTTCCAAGGGATGTCTGAAGCGCTTAATGAGTGCAAGGTTTATAGTCGCTTCGCGAATGTGAGGGACATTCCCCCGATCCGCGGTAAGCGCAAGGTCAGCCCAGAATAATTTCTCTGCCTGGTCCAGAGTACTCAAGATATCTTGTGTCGAAGGTGTAAGCGATACCGCTCGGTCGCTTGTCATGCCCATCGGAAGTGCAATTGCTGGACACAAATGTTGAGTTCTCAAAAGTTGGTATGCAAAATGTACGCACTAGATTCAGCCAGGGAACTCAGGAACATATCTGAACGGAATTGGTCGTAGACGCTATGCAGGGTGAGTTTCCCCATAAGTGCATGTTCTTCTCCCTGTGAAAGATTTAGCTATAAATCCGACATCCATAAGCAAGTCTCACTTTTGTGTCTTGGGAAGCAGGCAAAGCCATAAGACGATCTATCAAATCCTTGATCGTAGCATTCTCCATCATCGCGCAGTAGCCAGACTGCGATTGACCAGTTAGTAGGTTTAATGTTTAGAAGCGATGCTCCTTACTATGGCGGCGGAGAATGTCAGACAACAAGGTGGGGACTATCGCTCCTTGTCCGGCGGGAGCTAAGACAGCTTGTGGTGAAAGCGTTACGCTGGATTTACGGCGACTAGAAATTCTGATTAGAGGAAGTGTATTAAACGTTAGCCGTGGACTATCACCTGCCGTCGAAGGACGCCAACATTCCCTCTAGTTCCCCAAGCATCGTAGATGCCTCTTCGTAGAGGTCCTTGGCGTCCTGGACTTGCTCATTCAAGCGATTCCAATCTCCATTCAGCCGCCTCATATCAGCTGCATCTACACCCGGCAGATCTTGCAACAACTCCGCAGCCTTGGCCAAGCTGTCCCTACCTGCATCTAGCTGCCTCTGGTACAATTGGATCTCACCCTTGCGCATCAGTGCACGAGCAACCATGGTCGGGGCGTTGACGGACTCGGCGAGGTCCTGCGTTTGCTGAGCAAAATACTCAGCTTCGCGGCAAGAACCACGGGTGAAGTAGGCATGAGTGAGGGTCAGCAGGGTTGAAAGTAGTCCTTCAACCATTTGCCACTCCATCCCGTCCATGAGACGTCTCTGACCTAATGATCTCGAGTGATCATTGGACCGAGTATCGCTAGCGGTTGACGATTCTGGAGGAGTAGCCTCAAATGGATTCGAATCATCGGTTGCCTTGGTGGGTTTGGAGGAAGGCTGGCTTAATCGAGAAAGCGTGTCCACCGCACGATTCCACAGTCGCAACGATTGCAACGTGCACTCTAAAGCACCAACTACATTGTTCTGGGGAATCGAGTCAGGCAACAATATATGATGGACAACCGAATGACAGACCCTGGAGTATTGAATAGCTGCGGAGACTCTACAAGCCATCGCCGCACGCTCGAGCCGTCCAACACGCAGCCTTATCCGTTCAGCAGTCGGTAGAGCTTTGTCTTCGGGCGGAGAAGCCTCTGACAAACCCATGGCTTCACAGTAGAAGGAAGCACTAGAGAGCGAAATGTTGAGTCACAGTAGAAGACCCTTGGCGTGAAGTAACCTCACCTTCCAAGAATGTTGTTTCCAAGAGCCAAAATCTCCGCATATCTTAGCAAATAACTGATACGTACTTCGTCGGAAACATCACTCGATTTCAGCACCGCTGAACTCCGTGCAAAAATGGAATTGGCCCGCTTCGATTTTCCCAATTTAACATACTCTGACGCGAGATCAGCGCATATAATGATGTATACTGTTCAGAAAGATGAAAATAACAACTTCTATAAGACATGACACACTCACAATTAGCGGATACGACGAGTTGACGCTCGCAGATGCGCTTCAGAGCCTCAAGAAGCTTGATCTTTAGTAAGACCAGACCCAGAAGTCCAAGCAAATGGACGTTCATTTCTGCTTGATCAGTCAACAGCACTCCGTAAAGGATCCTGACAAAGCTTACGAAGTTGACCGACGATTGTCTCGAGGTCGAACACAACCACCGCCTTCTGAACACCAGTCGTAGCACCAGCCTGCTTCGGAGGTGTGCTCTGAGTGACATTCGACACATTCTCGAGAGCTGCTCGTGGAACTTTGTCAGGAAATAAAGCTGGAAAGATATTCCGAAAACAAACCTTTACGCGGACGTGGTGTAACAGGATTTTGTGCTCTGGCCTTGTTTGTCGTACGGACGCTCACAGCTCTTGTCGGCTTCTTCGCAGGCACAGTGTCTTTAGGTGACTTCTTCGCATGAGCAGGCGATCGCTTTGTCTTTGGATCCGTTTCAGTCGAAGAGTTAGGAATAAGCCTGCGCAGGATATTGCACGCCTCCTCTACATGGTATGACACAGTCGAAGTCATTGGTGATCCTGCGCTACGATACGCGAAGAGGCTCAACCAAAGATGAACCGCTACAGTGTACTGTAAACGGAATGCTACAAAGGCGGAGTCGTGCCCAAGGTCCTGGAATGGAGAAACTATAACATTCAGAAGCAGAAGAGAGGCAAAGAAATACCTCAACAGTGAGCAGGTTCAAAACTTCTTCACCCAGGTGCTCCGCTGTCCAGCAAGTCTCTCCATCGTTGGCATTCCCATCCTTCCATAAGAGCTCCATGCACTTCAAGAGGACTCTAGCCCTGCGCAACGGAAGAACGGTGGCCTTATACACCGACAGAGCATCTCGCAACAGCCCGCGCACAATAGTTTGCACACCATCCTTCCGAAGGCAAGGTTCGAGAATCGAAATCTGACGCTCGAGCAGCAGGCCCAGGACCTCATGCCCAATAACACCCGACTTCAGTGCAGTATGGAGGCTGACTTCATTTGTAGGGAGAAAAAGTTCGCATGTCGCTGTGTATGTTAGTCTGTCGATTATCCCACTAAGCTGCTTTGTGCTTGCATTCGCGCTGAAAGCATTCGTCGATGTTGCTGACCTAGCCAGGTGCTCCAGACCGGATGAGCCGTACGGAAAGGCCTTTACGCTCTCCACAAATGCGCCACACGCAAGCTGACAGCGCACAGAAATGTTAGCGTTCCATACCGGGTAGGTAAGCAATGCAAAATGATTACCTTCCGGTCCCCCATCTTAGAATAGCACACCGCAAGAAGCTCCCACCTCCGAAACATCTGTTCTTCGAGTTGTTTCCACCCTTCGTCTCGTTCACCATCCTCTGTGTCGTCTTGCATAACACCCGCTCGTATGTGAAGTGCCCGTGCACCAAGTGAACATCCTTCCTTCAGAAAACGCACCGCACCCCCGTACTTGGAGCATTGATACAGTGTGCCGGCCAGATTGTGATATGCCCCCGAGATACAGCGGGTGTAGTTGGCACGTGCAGAAACTGGGATGGCGTTTAGATGGTCGGGGGTGGAGTTCAGAAGGACCATAGTATGGTTGAGGAGGTCGAGAGTGGGCGTATAGGTGTCAGGATCATCGCATTTAAGCCGTATGCGCGCAAGGATAAATAGTGAATCGAGGGATGCGGTCAAGATGTCCTTACTTGGGTTCTGTGATGACACCTGTCAATCCCTCCGTACATGAGTTAAGTTAAAGCTCACCTGCTTGAACACGCCTTCCAGGGCAGTGGAGATTGTCATTAGTAGGGAAATTATTACATGATTTTGGACCTTCGCCTCCCCATCCAGGACCTTGATGCAAGCTCGTCTGAATCTCTCTAGGGCACGTTGGAGCTTTCCTTGCGCACGGTGCAACTCATCGTTTGGTTCAGTCGAAAGGCATAAAAGGCCCCCCAAACCAGGGAGAACTTTCGCTGCTTCGTGAACACGTTCTGTTTCATCTGCAAATGGATTTGTCAGGTATTGTAAAGATACCAGACATGATAAACACTCACCGGAGTTTGCATCCAAGCATGCAGTGAGTTTAGTTAATACTGCCAAAGCCCTTGCACACTCGAGAACAGCAGTGTCCTTGTCCTGGGGCGACGGAGCAGAGATGTCGAGTTTACTGAGATTGTTGGCTAAGCCATCGACCTCGGCCAACGAGCAAGATGAAGATCCCGGACCCATCAGGTTTATTATGCGATCAAGGGTGCGAAAATCGTTGCTCTGTTCAGCAGGTCAGCACCATGTTACACCGATATCTTAATGACCATGACTCACGCGCTTTGCAAAACTTGTCCACGTCTCACAGAGAAGGACAAACGATTTTCCCTCTAGAAACATTGGTTTGGACTGTGCGATCTGTACGACCTCACCAAGAGACTCTGACAAAAGTGTTGCGACGGGGAGCTCCTCCGCTTCTGACATGGGAGAAGAGGATCTGACGTACACTGTGCACGACTTCTGGATTTGATCCCAGAATGTGTTTGGCTGAACAGTTCCAGGGCTCGTGCATAGAAGGCACTTGAGTGCATATACACGGATGAGGAAGGTTGAGCGCGCATTCGCAGAAATTGAAGAGCATGATTTTGTCAACACCGTATATGCCCGTGTGAGCGTAGTGTCTATGTGCTTGCTAGGCAAGGATACACAATAAGGCATCCATGTCAAGAGCGTGCCGGATCCTATCAGAGTCGTGGAGAACGAGTCCAGGGTAGTGATAGTCGATGACGAGGGAGACATCGTGATGTGTGTGAAGAAAATTATTGCGTGCATTAGATACGTTGAAATAAGCGTGAGGAGCACAGCGTCGGCTGGTGGCGGTATCATTGGCATCGGGAGGGAAAGCAGGCGAACTGGCGACTTTGAAGTAGAGGCAGAGTGGGCTGATGCTTTGGGGTCAGGTACCCCAAGCAAAGCGAGCAGACGAGCATGCATATCACCAAGGAAAGGAAGGGCAGCATCATGCTACTTCACGGTTGAGTTGAGCTCGCAGGGAAATTTATTCACCACGCACCATCTCCAACACAAGCAGCTTGCTCATCATGCTGGATGCGGCGCGTTCTACGTCAAGGTCATCCGGACATAGAACACGAAGACATGACAAAGCTTCATTTGCACGAGAGACGGCAGCTGACACCTTGCTGAGCGCGCTCGACTTCGTTCTTCCCTCCTGCGAATTTGCCTTCCAGCCGGATTGTGCCACTGATGATAACGTCTGTAGAGATGCGTTGACATCAATCATCGCAGAAATCCTTTGCTGTTCTGGAGACTCGTCTTTCGCTTTCTGCTTTCCCTTGCGCTCCGAACTTCTTGACGCTACCGTTACTTTGCGAGAGGAAGCCATCGGAGGCATAACGTTGAGCAACGATGAGCCGCAGCGCTTAATGGAGTGCCGCAATTCAAAGATGTTTAACTTTTAAAGTCGCGTCAAACACGTGACCGACGCGTGATTTCTGACACGTTATTATCATTGTAGCGGCGGCCAGTCCCCGACTCTGCCTGCCTGTTTCTCTTCTTTCTCATGATGCTGGTGAAGGTCAGTTGTACGTGAGGGTGGAGAAATAAGAGTGAGAGAGGACACTAATGTCAGAGGACAGCGGCAGAGTGCAGCTGTAACATCGCAACCATAAGCAATGTGAACGTTCGCTGCGATCAACGTAGCGCAAGTTTGGAGAGATGTAATGGGAAGGCGCATTGAGAAATGCCGGGTGAACACCTCATCAGACGAACTCGCAAAGGACACTGCTTGCCTCTAGTCGTGCCTCAGAACGCTTATATCTAATGCGCTGGGCAGCATCACGCAGGACAGGAACAGTTAAACAGTTCAGATTACTTTCATAGCACATAGGTAATGCGGAAAGCCACACTGGATCGCATACCGCAGCGGCGGAGAGAACGGATGCTTCTTTAGAAGACCGAAGGTCCTGTGAACGCAAAACATCGGAACACAATGTAAGACGGCGATTCAAACTGAGAACAGGAAAAGGCAAGCGATTCCTCACCCACTCATACCACAACATATTATTGAGTTCATGGAAGATCACAGACACAGGAAGGCCAAACCGACCGCACGCGGGACATATTTCCCTCCCCTCTCCATTACCTTCGCTTATATATGACACATACATCCATCTTGCCGGGAACACCAGAAAAGAGTCTTAATACTAAGACATCTCAATTCCCCGTCTTCATCCTCGAAGGTGGCCCACGCCCTTAGCCATCCCCCCTCTCTCCTTATCGATGAGTCCACGTCTCGTCCGACTTTATTTGGTCTCACTGCTCAAGCGGATCGACAAAGCGACCGGTTCACGACAATTCTCCAGCGCCTTCCACTCGGCTCACCCTCGATCTGTGTTGTTTGTTCATTATTTTCTTCAACGTCTCTTCATTAACAGCTTGATGGGCCGATCTCGAAGGTAGGATGCTCATTGTAGAGCTTGTTATTCGTTTGCTGAAATTCTCTACCTCAAGTCATCAGCGCGAAATATTCAAAGTCTTGGAGTCCTTCCACATCCTGCAGGTATCTACTCGTCCGTCGAAGTTGAGTCAAAATGATACTGGCACTATCATTAAATCTATATACTGCGAACCCTCCACTTGCGTTTACTTCACTCATGGTTCGTGGTCCTGTTTGATATCCTTCACCGGGTTGAGCTTAACGATTGTAATTAGAACTTAGGCTACCAGCGACATCTTGATTCGGAAGACAAAGGGACCGATGAGCACACGATCCACGTCGTCATCACATTTCATTCCTACAGACTGGCAACGGCGACTGATCATGGTCTGGGCTAGTGTGCCACTAGCGGTGACTATCAACCTGCTTTCTTCCCGGTGTGCGAAGCCTCATCGAGGCCGTAGTGGCGAAAATAGCTCTTCTTAAGGAAGGTCAAGGAATTCACAAGAAGCACCCCGAGATCGAACGTTCGTCGTCTACTTAGGCTACCTTTACCTCGTAAGTCCGTCCATTCGACGTCTTTTAAAGTGATCAAACATCACCTAGCTCAAAGGTGGCGTGTACTCTATTCTTGTCTTTTACAAGCTTCGCGGAGCTTCTAGGTGACACCATTTAAACTGCGAGCGATAATGTATCCTATGCCACCACAACCTTTGACCTTTTGGAGAGCAAGCTTTGATTATTATGGCGACAATGTGATAAATATTCTACAGGATCAAGGTGGGTGCGCTTACTGATGGCTTGAACGGTTTGATCTCACCTAGTCGCTATTACAGCTAGTCTGAGCGCGCACTCATTTCTGCCGTAGATCTCATCTGGTGGCGCATGCCGCACGGTGATTATCCCATTGGCCACACATACTTCAGCTTCTACATTGACGCCTACTTCGAGCGACGAGTGTGGTGTCTGTGTCGCCTGCATCTATGCTCGGGAATAGCTGGCGAAGAAAATTATGCAAGCGTCACTGCGACTTGTAGCCAGAGTCGGGATAAGCAAAGAAACGATAATCAAAGGCCTAGGCAGCATATCAGTTGCAAGAAACCGGGCCCCGACGTCTTTTCCTCCTAAGCGGGAGCCTCTACCTGCACACCGTGTCATCCGATGTATTTAGTTCGTCCAACTCGGGCGTGACTGGCAAGAACATATGTAGAATCATGAGTGGGCTGGGATATGATACATAATCAGAGGGACGTCCGTGCTTGGGTAGACAGGTGCTGTCGCAAATGCAAAATCGTCGAATCTCAATCTGAGCCCCCATGTTCATTGTGCATGCTTCCTAGCATTTAGAGAATTGCCATTGATTCTCACTGTGGACTGTCGGAAAGGTAAATATGTACTTCGCATACATATTACACGACAGGATGCACCTCGATTATAAGACGAAACGATAAAAGCACATCAACCCTCGTTAGCATACCAGACTCCCGAGGAACTTGTGTCACCTAAAACTTCACATGAAGGGAGGTTCATGGATGATTTTGAGTCGACGGTCACCGGTCATGCCATATCATGACTCGTGTGCATGAGGGTCTGAGGCTGAAAAAGACGTACTAAATCACGCAATCCTCGGAGAGGAATAAATTTATAAAGCGCCAAGCGGACTTCGAAACCTATTCCTTCTTTCAACCAGCTCGAAAGCCACGAATGCTCATCACATACAGGATCGCTCCACGCATCCAAATTCCTGAGCGGGCTAAGGTCTGAGCATTCCAATCCCCCTCGATCGGCTCCAGCAGAGCCCAGCTCTAACCAGCTGCGTGGCATACCAGAAAAGCAGCTTCGTTTCTCATCGTCCCGAAGACTCTGTTATCACAGAAGAGGGCGAGAACGAAAACTTTGAAAACGCTGCGGGGATCGGGCGAACTTGTCTCAGTCGTCGCTATCGTGCATGCGTCTGTGAAGAAGGCGCTCATGATGACTAGCGTTGTGTCGACAATGTAGTGTCGCTCCCGCAAAGTGGACCAAGCCTGTTGCAGGCTGGTTACGGGGTCATCATGAACTGTCGGAAGAGGGTAATCCCTCGAGGCATGAGACCAACCACCTCGTTGCGTACGAGGCGCGACTCCTATGGGACTGGTTCGTCCTTGAGTTCACTTCGTGGCTCACGTATCTTTTGTGGATCGTGAAACTCGATTCAGACTACTCTTGGGCTGGTTGTTGTGAATTTTTTCCTTGTTCCTCCTTCGTGGAGTTTTCGCGAGGGATATGTGTTTGTTATCGGATCAGTGGTGGATGTTACTCAAAGACGGTCAGATGTAGGATTATAATTTATATGGGTTCTTGTGCAACATTGGTGTTTTGGAAAAACAGATTGAATCAACCAACTCAAAAATTGCGACTACCCGTCAACGTCATATCCAGGAACGCTGTCCGCAGTTGAGTTCTATGTCCTGCAGAAAATCAACGGCGTCGACATCATGAAGTTCAATTGTGCGTCAGTCGCGCAAGAATTCAAACTTCTATGTAATCACACTGATACTGAATTTGCACGACCACGAAAGATGTACATAGGCAGACTCCAGAACTAGAACATTTACGCTGTAGTGCACCTATTCGTAGGGATGAACATGTCCATGAATTCGAGAATCGAGGCACGTATATGTGAGCGTGACTCATCGGTACTCGGAGGCAGCGCGAATGCAGGTACTTCAATATTAAAGGATCGATGATCGATCAACACTCACGGATGTACAGCGCAGAATATCTTGGTAAGGTCCTAAGGAAGTTCAGAATATAGGATTTGAGTTCTTCAGCGAGATCTGTAGATCTGGGCTTCATCTACTTTTCAGCTTGGTTCACTGTTCATGATATGAGATGGTATGAGCCAGTCCCTGAGTACTACTCAGCTATAGGTCGTGGAATAGTAGTACTGGCCAGCATACGCAAATAGCTTTCAGTACTGGTTCTCAGTGTCTTATTTGCCGATACTCGTACAAAATAGACAGAAAACAAAGTGCAGTTCAAGAATGTGCGATTACCGTCTTCCGAGCCCACTCAGGCCCAATGCAACCCATGTATTTATTGAAAGGGGTTTGACGTCGAAGAGGTTTGCCATCGAATAAACCACATGTATAAGGCCTGGCCAGCTGTGCAAGGACTTCGTTCCGGCGGACATGCGCATGTACGGGCCCCCTGACTTTTCATATAATATACAAAACGCGGGCGATCATCGATTGACAAGTACACATATTGATTCCACTTTGCAACTTTATTGTACAACAAGACATTCTTGCTATCATCGTGATTTATGTATGTAACATACCTTTGGAGTAAATCATGATGCGGCCCATCAGGGGTTCCTAGCGCGAAGTTTGGGAGTTGCAAGTCAGATCCGAACATGGTGAATGGAAGCCTGACGGGGATTATGTCTCGAGCCATGCTTACAACCTGAGTGGCACTCGCACAGGTTCAAGCTCGAGGATGCTGGACAATGTTACGAGCACATTTCGAAGTTGAAATACAAGGACTATAATGTCGTGTTTCTAGCCATGAGTCAACTGCACTCAATAGCTTACAGGAATTTCAAGTTGGAGCTGCAGCCTCAGTTGCCCATGAGTAAGTCTGTTGCCAAGGAGCCAGTGAACGCTTGAGTCAGCGTTCGGCATTTAATAAAGTTCGGCCGGGCCCGAGGACCTCTTTGCTCCCCATGGCACAAAGTTTTTTTCAGGAACAGCTCGAACTAGTTGATCTACCGATCACCTTACGTCACGCGATTTCACCACCTTGGTCCAAGTTGAACGTTGAGTACCATCCTGGCAGCTACTTGCGTGAGACCTGTGCACACTGCATCTGGGTCAATTGCAACTTCATAACGAGCAGATGCAACTGACTCATGGCTGGAAATACGACATTATTGTCCTTAGATTTCAACCCCGAAATGTGCTCGTAACACTGTCCAGCAATCTCGGACCTGTGCGAGCAACGCTCGAGAAGTAATCCCCGTCAGGCTTCCATTCACCATGTTCGGATCTGACTCAACTGCCAGACTTCGCGCTGGGAACCCCTGATGGGCCGCATCATGATTTACTCCAAAGGCATGTTACATACATAAATCACTAGCAAGAATGATAACGAGTTGCTTGTCAGTGCTATTCGTTTCACATCCGAACCCCTCTTTTTCCAAGGTCAGTTGCTTCGTCGGATTCTGATCATCATCTGAACCGTAATGTTAAGAAGATCATCCAAAACCCATTGGGCAATAACTCGGGCAATATGTGAGCTTTGAATGTGAGCTCCGAAAGAATTCATTCAGGTTTATGCGTATAAATACGTGACGAGTCTCGAAGGTAGCTCCCCATCGCTCCTTCGATTACTCTGAGTGAGTCCAAGGCCTGGTTTCGTTCGTCCTCGTTTCTGATTCATTCCCCAGGGATCTTTATCGCTGCATCGAACACTTGTTCCAAATCTTTTTACTACTGCACACAATGTCTGTCAAAGGTGCGTTCAGAGGTTTACAACAGTTCCTAATAATCATTCTGAATATATCGGCAGCCACAGAGACCCAGATTGGGATTTACAACAATACCAAATACACGATCTCTGCCCGCATCACCAATGACAACGCTGATACGGGGGGTCTCGGATTCTTTGATATCGAGCCAGGAAAGACCGAATTGTGGAAGCGAGGCCACTGGCAAGTGGCCTTCGTGTTGAAGAGGTCGTACGAGCCATCTGACAACCAGGCGGAGACTTTGGTTGTGAAGCCTGGAGAGATCTACAATATCAACGATGACTAGAAGCAGTTGGATCGTGGTGCACGCTGTGCATACTGCTAGTACTGTAGTGTAACCGATGTCTTGTTGTCCAACAAAGTTGCAGGGTGGAAACGTTCTCAGTTAGTCTCATCTGACATGACCTCCCAAGCTACAAGAGACACTGAAGGCAACTCCAGCCGACCTACCTCTGCCCAAGCAGAATAGTAAAACTACCCCTCCCTCACCCCGAGGGTAATCGTCGACTGGAATCGACAAGTTCAGTACTACCGTGTAGGATTTCTTGGAGAAGCTAGTAGGATTTGCTTCGATTGCCGCCAAGTTGTACACACTAATCCTTCATGTTTCAACCGGGGAGGATTCGCGCGTGTCATGATGAGGTGGCATGTTTGAATAACATATAGACAGCCCCTTAGTACTACTCAGCTAGGAATAGTGGTACCGACCAGCATACGCAAACAACTTTAACTACTGGCTCTTGATGTCTTACTCGCCAACGCGAAGCAACGTATTGTAACGCATATGTTCCATTCTCTACAATAGTACAACTCACCACAACGTCCGAATCTCATGAGCAGATTGTCCGATACTCGTACAAAATAGACAGAAACAAAGTACGCTATTACCGTCTTCCAAGCCCACTCAGGCCCCATGCAACCCTCGACTGCACGAAATCAAACCTGCCCAATATCCGTAGCATCAGATCACGGACAGAGGCCCGACTGAACGGCATCCACCAAGCATATGGATTGTACGTCAGGCTTGCGAGCTTCAAGAGATTCTTTGTAAAGCTGATAATTTCCAATGCTCGAGCGTGACGCGCTTCCGCAAATTCCTGCAAAAGAGTATCACCCACATCGGGGTTTTCTGCAGATGCTTGAATATGCTTTGTGATGACCTCCGAGAGAAAGATTGCATCCCTAATGGCTAGGTTCATGCCCTGGCCGCCCGCGGGTGAATGAATATGGGCTGCGTCACCCACTAGGAAAATTGCGGCGCCAAGACGCGTGAAGGTGCGGTCAGCGATGGCTGAATGGGTTCTGAAACGTGTCGACCAGATCAGCTGGTCGATCTTGACAGGCGTCGGATTAAGGGATAGGACCGATGATATACATGCTGGACCATATGTGTCGGCCAAGTCCTGGATGTACTCCTTCGGCGGTGCGTGGGGCGGTTCTCCGTTCTCCACTGGCACAGCACAAGCTACGCGAAATATGGGTTTTGTAATAGACTTTCCATCTCGCGTCAGCTCGTCATTGAAGTGGTTGCCGAATGGTGTGAGCATAAAGATGGTGCCTGAGGAAACTGTGCCATTGAGGTGACCCTCGATGGTTAGTGGACCAACAGGTTCGGGCTCGAATGTAACATCCGCGACAACCATTTGAGCCAATAGGTGATTGTTTGGGTTTGGGCCGTCTGGGTCAGAGAACCCTATTCCAGAAATAGTACGAATCTAAAGGTGCTCGTTAGACATTCCAAAAAGCTAAGCTAGTAGGCACCAGGGACTCACAATCGAGCGAGCGCCATCTGCGCCGATGATATATCTAGCTCTGATGACTTGACCATCCTCAAAGGAGACGTCGGTGGTGTGAGGATCCTGCTCATTCTGTTTCATTCCAATAACCCTGTGTGGACGCTGCACTCGAACACCAAGGGTTTGCAGCTTCTGCACAAGCACGAGCTCGGTCACATTTTGGGGGACGAAGAGTGCGTAAGGATAGGCAGAATATTTCTTGAGAGGGTCGAATTTGGCCTCAAAAATCTGCGAATCACGGGATGTGATTCTGATGCTCTTCCCTTTGATAGCTCTAGATAGTAATACATCTGCTGCATTGATGCTGGCTAAAGCCTATGATCATAAAGTTATTTGGGGGAGCCTACTTATGAACGCCCAGGTGGCAGCGTACCTCGACGGTTGCAGAGTGTATAGTAATGGCGCGTGATACGTTCTGTCCTTCGACTATAGCATCGACGATGACGAAGTCACGACACCCGTGGTGGATGAGAGAAAGAGCAGCCGTGAGACCAGCGGGGCCTGCGCCAACAATAAGCACAGTGGAATTGTCAGGTAACGACATTGTCTTAAGGAGGAATGATATCGATGGTGACAGTGACGATGCGATGGCTCCTGCACTGGTACTTGAGGCTATCAATATTCAGGATATGATGATTCATTACTATGTGGCGCACCTAATCGGCTGCCGGACATGCATGATGATATCCCGCACGGAACGGGGGAATGCATAGTATGAAGGCTTATTTCCGCGCTGAAGATCCATTCAACCGCAAGATGCGCTCAAATGAGAGCCCACGGGATTGCTGGCTAGCACTCCTGAAATCAGGAGATGAATTTGCTGATGTACTTCCGGTGAGTATGTTCCCATTGTTCTTTTATCGCTGACTATATCCGTTGTGGCATAGATTATCGCAATCAAAATGTTCTCTGCAGTTCCTATTTCTATGGCAGACGAACGCACCATGTCAACCATCACATGGTTGAACTCTCCTCGTCGTGCTAATCAAAATCTCGAAACACTGCAAAACCATATCAAAATTCGACAGTGGCATCGTTATAAACCTGAGGTATGTGTTTCTAGCTAGCACCTCAACCTCAAATCAGTGAATCACACTCGTACTATGCAGAATGCAAATCCTGCCAAAAAAATGCTTGTTTGATGGCAAGACATGAATGAAACTATTTTCCGCAAGTGCACAGCATCAGATATGGATATGGCTGAGGACCTTCCGCTCCCTGGACGCCGTCCACCTCAACCAAGACCCTTCAACTCCAATCCACCCAATGATGCTGGTGATCCCAGATTTCCTGATGATGGTGCTGAGTGGCTGAATGATGAGCGAGGACTGCCGAGTGAGTTTGAAAAGGTTGATGGCTCATACTTCTTGCTTGGAGGGGCAAATGCAGATATTGAGTTGCGCTCTCCCTATCTCTGGGACTTCCTGGATGAAACACCCCGAAATGTGAATTCCCACGCCAAGGTGTTAACAACATCGTCCATTGTTGTGTCGTCATTGTCGTTAGAGGCACTTCCTGATGCAACAGCCTGGGATGTATGGCCGTAGAACCACATTTACCCTAATTAACAGTTAAATTCATCAAATTTACAAGTAAATTAGTGCTAATCAGCAGACTTGCAAATTTACGCTAATTTACATAGGTTAATTTGACCTCCTGGATAGCCTCTGCTAATTAGCCCTGTCAATCTGGCCTCAGACCAGATTTACAGGACACTAACCATGACACAATTTGGATTGGTAGACGTATCAATGTGCCAACTTCTGTAAGCTGACCACTTACAACACGCTTACATTATCATATATCATGTGGCAGATCCCCTTATATTCTGCCACTCTCATATTGTTCAGACTAGACTCAGGTCTCCTACCTACCATCACATACTCATTAGTACAATGCTCAAAGAATCCACAGCTTCATCCTGTTACTTTCGCCTGATTCGTTTAGTGTTCCTTGTGGTTTCCTGAGTGAGGTCACAACTTCTTGCTAATTAGGGTCCATTTGTTACAACCATGTATGCCCCTATTCATTTTCCCTCTCTTGCTGTATTACGTCACGAGCCACATGATGCCGCTGCTAGACTTATCTCTGACTCATATCCATTCTCATGTCTGCCCTAAAGCACTTGTAGTTCACTATAAATAGTTCTCTTGTATGCTTTAGTTCTACACTTTAATCTTACTAGGTTTTACCAGAAACATCCTTTGCTTGAGACTTCCAATCTCTTGTTGTCTGAATTGTACTTTAAGCTAGAAGCACTCCTTCTGACTTAGCTTACATTGAACACTTGACTTATTGTCTTGCATAGAATCTCAGCAGAGGTCCTGACTCTTATCAAGTTGTCTGTCATTAGAACTATCCTAGTTTGTAACACCATTTACCTAAACATTGCCATTTTCAAAACAGTTAGCAGTTGACACCCTTAGTAAATTTCAGATAACTAGAATCAAATAATTGTTTCTCAACAACGGCCACTTAGCTGCTGCAAATGCTATGATTCTTTAACAAAAGATGATATATTTTATGGTGCCCAAGGTGAAATCCATCAGATAAACATGTTACTTAATTATACATGCACAGACAACAGATCAACTTGAAGAACAAATAAGCCAAGGTGTGCTGTATATCTATTTGTAAGGATGAACATGAACATGAATTTGATAATCAGAACAGGAATATGTGAACATGACATTGAAGGCAGCACAAATGCAGGCTGCACTTCAATTTGAAGTAGAACTCATCTAAACTCATCCATGACCATGTAATAACCCATAGCAGAATTATACTAGCTGATGTTTGTGATTATTGCCTATATAAGGTAACATATGTCCTCCTCAGGCTTCCCTCAGTGACATGATATCATATTCTACAAAACCTATACTTCCCACAAGAATGTCTTGGGTAAAGGTATGATGTGAAGTAGTGCTACCATGGTCTGGTTTGGTCTGGTTCAGAGGGTCTTCAACAAGAACCAAGAACCAGACCATCAAGAACTGTTCTCAAAGGTCTGGTTCAGTTTTTTTTGTGATCTGAACTTGAACCAAACCATAAATTTTTCTATAGGGACTGCAAAAAAAATTGACAAAATACTAGTCTACACATTGAGTAACTAGTCTAATAAGATTTGCACATACCCCTCTGCCTCTGTAGCTGCTGAAAGATGTCCATTATGGTAAGTGGCCTTCATTAACTGTAGTGCAGAGAAGGTGGATGATGCAAGTGCATTGTGGCACAAGGTTGATGTGATTCTCCCACTAGAGAAAGCACGTTCAGAGGGAACTGCACTACCTTGAATCAGTAGATAATTGTGGGCAATATGAGTGAGTGTTGGATACTGTAGTGAGTGTAGCTAATGAATAATGTCAGTTGAGAATGTATGAATAAAAAAACAACTTACCCCCCACCATGCCACAACATCATCTGTCTCTTCTAATGGCAAACTAAGATACAAGGTAAGTTCATGACAGGGATCGTGCATGCAATGTTCTGTGGCTTGATGTGCCATGACAGCATCATGCATCCAGGACTGGCCATACTGAACAGCTTGCAGTACTGGTACTTTCGGTGGCACACCAGCTTGTTCTGTAGTGCATGGCAGTGGAGGAGCCTTGTGATACCTATCAAACTACAATGTACATAATTATCAGCTGCTGGTAGAATACATCAATCAAATAAGACTTACCACAGCTTCAAAACAAGCTCTCCTGCTCACAACTTTTTCATCAGTCCAACAGGTCTCGACATATGCCAACTTGAAGTTAGGGTCCAGAACTGTAGGTACATTAGAAATGGCACTCAAGAAAAAAAAGCTACTCACCCAGACAGATGAAATACACATCTGAGTTGCTGGTTTTCTCATAGTATTTCTCCACATTCTTGAGGCCACTCTGGATTGTGTCAGCAATCAATGTGTATGCAGGATCATTTGCCATTGTCTGCCATGTATTGGCAAGACATTTGAGCGTGAATATTGTTAGCCAGGCTGTGGGATGTGTTGCCAAGGAGAATGACTGTTGCGCAGTCACAGGCTCCTGCAGTTATTATAACTGTAAGTAAATAAATGAATGGATAAACAAATCAAAAATACCTTGAGAACATTATGTACTAGTTGGATCTTTTTCCAGTTGGCTCAATTGAGTTTGAAGTTGCTGTCCAATTTGTTGCACAGCATTGGGACTTCATGACTCTCGTCAGCAAGCAGAGTAAAATGGTTGATGGCCTGAAAAAAATAAGGTATTAGAGATATTGAAAAAATCAAGACATTAGAGAACTCACCAGGTGATGAGAGAGGAAGTGTTTAAGGCACTTGTATAAAGATGCCCAGTGTGTTTGCACCCAGGCTAAGATCTCATGAATGGGGATGCCCTCTTCCTTGCAACACTTTTGGAAGAAGGCTCTGGCTTATGGCGATTTGTGAATCTATTATTTTCACATCAGAACACAACTCGAAAACAAGAAAAGGAGCTCACCTGTTCAATAAGAGTGAGTGCTTTGCCAACAGCATCTGCCACATCAAAACCATCCTCAGTAATGGCTTTGGAATCACATTCTTATTTTGGCCACTATGGTTGCCCTTGATATAACTGAAATCAAGCTGCTCACACATCAGTACCCACTCTTGTGGCTTATCAGGGGGGTTCCAGATATAATGGCCAGTAACAGAAAAGAAAGGATCACTAATGATAGATGTCCATGAGTCAAACATCATAGACACTGCACTGTCAACATGCTACCAAAACTGCATCAACAATAGTTAATAATGTGAATTGAATAAACTTACAGCAAGGCACTCCTTGATCTTTTTGACGATCATTATGTACTCCAGTAACCTTTCTTTGTGAATACAGCAGGTTTTGAAACAAGATTGTGATTGAGAGTTTGTTGTGTTGCAGTGAGGTCTTTGCCAGGTGGGATTGCGTGAGAATGCATTGTGATACCTGCAGCATTGCAATGTGCTGTGACGATCATATTACTGTTAGGCTTGCAATGGTCATCTTTTGATATAGGTGATGGAAAGGTAGCCCTCATATCATTCATCACTCCCCTATATGCAGCCTTCATTAGTTTCAGCTACAAAACCATTGACTGCTTTTCCCACACTCAACCCACTCCAGACATGCATTCCTGTGCTTTGTGGACCTGTGCATTCACTCCCATGCTGTGCACCTACCTGTGGTAGATTTCCCGTGCCTTTGGACTACCTTACAGATGTCCCACATCAGTTCATTATCCATCCTACCTCATTGGTATGTATTTTGCCTTGCCTCATGTGTTGTAACAAGTGTTGCAGCCTTATTACATGTCTTTACATATTCCTACTGCCTGTCTGTCCTGTCCCTTCTGTTTCTGAGAGGGTTTAGCTAGTATAAAGTGCCTAGAGTGACTATTTCATATTTACTTCCCTTCTACAGTATTTCCTTCCCTTAGGTTTTACTTAGGAGCAGTCACCATTAGTGCACGCTTTTTAGCCCCTATTGGTTACCTTATACCTGGACACCTTGTCTTAACTTTCCTTACCCGTGCAATCAATACCCTTGCCCTCACTTGTTACCTGCGCCATTCCTTAAGACTTCCCTACCCCTTACCCTAGCATCACACACTTCCACATTGACCACTCATCAACCACTCATCAACTGCACTTCCACATTCCCACACTCTACATACCTGCGCACTTGTTCCCATACTCTGTGCACTTTCAGGTCTTTAGTATCATCAGCCATTCTCAGTAGCAATTCCCTTTAGGGTTGAATGTTCTTGCTTGCAAGTGTAGCAGCTAGGCAGAGCATCAACCTACAACAATATTTTTGGTTAGGCACTTTGACAAGTGTATAGCCATTGTTGTGTTTGCACAATGCCTTGTACACTTGAAAATGGGTCCATCTGTGGTGAGCAATGTGTGTTTGTAGCATTGAGGTGCCTCTGTAAAATGTATGCTTGTGTGCTGGTTCACCAGCATCCCTTATCCAACATCAAAATTGAATTTAAATTGAAACTGAATGAAAAACTTACTTGTACAGCATACAGACCCACCCCTTGGGGATATGAGTGAATACAGTCCTAATATCTGCTGTACATTTATTTTTTGAAAGCTAAATATACAGGTGTTAGTGAAGGAAGACAATCAACATGAAAGATACACACCGTCTGAGTGGCAACTCCATTCTCAGACTTGGTGTCATTGGTGTCATCTAAGTCTTTGACATCAGGTTGAGGGACCAGCTCATTGGCAGATGATTCTTCTGGATGGATGTCCTTGTCTTTGTCTTCATCTTCAGAGTCAAGAGGAGATAAAAATCACATAGCAACTTTCTTTGGTGCCGGATGGTCTGTAGTGCTTGATAATGTGCACTTCCTCATTCCTGAAAATGAAGACAGCCCACAGGTGTTGTCAGCATCATGAATATGAGCTGAGGGCTTTGAGGGATGGCCAGACCACTGAGAACTGGCTGCAACTGTTGCTGGGGTATGTCCAGCTTTGAGTAGAATGGAGTAGGCATCTCTTGTAGATGCAGTTAATGTCAATGGCTGGGTGGAAGGTGGGACTTGGGGAAGCAGTACATCATCATCAGGATCGTTAAAGAAAGTGATATTGGAAGCATCCTTGAGGGAGCCGTCAGTGTTAAGCGCACAGGCGTCTTGGGACATTGTCAGAGAGAAAACTCACAGTTTTGTCATCAGTACCTCCTTTTGTACATGGAGCAGGGAGCCAATACCAATGCATCCCAGAACAAAGACTTGAGAGCTGGTGGAGGATCATGACTGTCTAGGAAGTATGCAGACTTGAATAAACATATATCTGTGACATAGTCAAACATATGTCAGAAGGCAAGAATATTGATAATTTGATTAGTTAGTACTTACCTTCAAAAATGCTCAAGATTGCCTGATTAACCTAGAGTGCAAATCCTGAAGATGACAGTCTGACATCGAGGCCAATGTTGTCGAAGTTGAAGTTGAAGTTGACAAGGGTTTGGAACAGTATGGGAAGGCCAAACCAAAATAGAATGGTCTGGGAATATGTAGAACTGAGAACCATTTTCCAGTCCAGTTCTGGCCAGGATGAGAACCATGGACAAAACCACAGAGAACTGGACCAAAAGTCTGGTTCAAACTGTGGTTCTGGACCAGACTGCGGCAGCACTAATGCAAAGCAAAGGTAAGACCAAATGACAATGCTCAAAATAATCACCACCAGTATGCTACCACCCTGTGTCAGCTGCAATGCAGGGGTGTCATTGCATTGTTGTGCACTGCTCATGTTACTCTGAATTTGCAGGCATTGATGGCTATGTATCTGCGGTCCAAAATTTTAATGGTATAAATGACCATGTTTTGTGGGAGCAGAATTTCATTCTTCTACAGTTCACATGGCTACATTATCAAGGTCTTGTCAATTCACTGATGCCTTGGCCTGCTAAGTTCCACCTCTATTCTCTGAGGTGTACACCAGCTCATAAGTTGACCAAAGCTCTAGCTTTTACATTTTGGTTCTATCATGCCCACCAGTATTCACTCCATCAGTGCTGTTGCCCCTGCCAATGTTGAGAGCAAAGATGAACACCAGTTATCAATCATGATTTCATCTTACTCTTCTGTCAAGCTGAAGCTACCTCTGAGCTAGCAGGTGATGGTGGTTGGATTAACATGCATGTGCACATGTAAGTATTCACCTCTATGAATTTTGGTAGTAGCTCATGGATGGTGCAAGTTGGACACCACTGGTCTGACATAGGTGTCATATTTCATTTTTTATGGATTATGTAGATTATTTGTTTACAGGCTCTCACTGCAACTCTGAAGACAATGATAGACCATGAACTCAAGATCAATAATTCTGAATTTGCTATGCTGGTAAGAAACATATTCAATATAAATGTAATGGGATTGACACTCTTGTGTACCTGGCCTGCTTAGATATCTGTGATGAATCTGGTATGGCTGACCTTATCTTGCTAGTGTGGAACCAATATACTTACCATTCAACAGGTAAACATGTTTCTCTGCATTGCCTTGGGCTTCATTATCAACAAATTTGGAGGCCTGCTGTTATCTGCCATACTCACTGCATTTTTTCTTGCAGGTGCTGCAGTAGAGGCTGGTGCCACTACAAAGGACTCAATAGCTACCATGTCCTCATGGCGGGCAAGATCATTGCTGCCATTGGGGACAGGTCCCTGGACAATGTGCAGCACAAAATAGTCACCACATATTTTGCACCGGGGAATGGTTTAGTGCTGTCTATAGGTGAGTGCAGCACTTCTCTGAGCAGTTATTGTTAGTACTTGGTTTCACTTCATTCAATGATTTTCAAGGCCTCACATGGCAGGTTCTATGGTTGCATTTTCACATCTCATGCATACCTCCACTGTTCAGGTTGACAGTAAATGTGGCACAATATGTTGGACAGAGTACTGTGAATGTCATGTCCCAAAATATTGGCTCATATTCCTGGCCACTGTGGATAGGCACCATCATGGGCCTCTTCTCATTTCTATGCACTATTTGCATCTTTGCCCTCAACAGGTACCTTTGTTCACATTATGAAGTTGTTGATTACTGCAAACAGTTTGGCCAGCCAAGTATGGGTAGAGTCAAAGTTCAAACATCCTATTGGCCAGCTGTGCACCAAATGCCCTTTACGTCTTGGTTTGTAATTCTTTTTGCAACCTTCCAAACTGGTGGTGTAGACTCATTTGTATTGGTGTCTACATGAGTTATTGCCTTTGCAATGATGTAATGAGTATTGAACTCTGTGCAGACAATTTGCACAGCAAAGGCTCAAGAAAGGAGCTGTAGTTGGCAGATGGGTGTTGAGTTTTTACTTGCTCCTCCCTATTGGACTTACCCCTTTCTTGGGCATGTTCATTGATGCATATGGATGTTGTGTAACAATTTGTGAGCATTTTATAGTTTGAGTAATGCAGGAGCTGACCACAAGGCCAGTGTTTCTCTCAGGATGTATGTTCCTCATCTCCATGCTCTTGTTAAGATTTTCAGAGACAGTGCTAACATTTAGTGAGTTGGAATGTCTCAAGTAGATGGTGTACTAAGCCTGACATAGTCTGTGCACATATGTTTTGCACAATTGCTCAGGTGGGTGTATTGAGGTGTCCTTGTAATATTTCAGGACTAACATTATCTTACAGAGTATCACCTCAACTCCACAAGTGGAGATTGTGCACAGTATTATACCTGATCCTCATTACTACATGACAGCATGAGTCTCTCAACAGATCTGTATTGCACTTCACTTTTTGACATGATTTTCAGCTTTGCAATCAAGAGTATGTATAGTTCTTAAAAGGAAAGAATACTCACCTTTGTGCATTACAGAGTCTCTTGTTCAGGGCTCAATTATCATCACCATGACAGCAACAGGGAAGCTCCAAGACCTATCCCCCACCAGCTCCCTTGACAGTGCTATGATGGTCTGGCTTGTGTATGCGTTCATCTCCATGCTCATCTTAGGTGTGCTCCTGGGTGCCTGCTACATGCCATGGGGACAGCAATGTCTACCTGCCATGCAGCTCTCACAGGTATGCCAAAAACATGTAGAGAGGGAGGTAGAGAGGCTTTGGGATCTACATTGATGTATGGATATGGAAGAAGGTGAGAGGGATGAGAGCGTGATGCTGGAGCAGAAGGAATTGGCTTTGAAAAGCCCTGTGTTGAGTTCTGTGTTGTTGTATGCACACTGGGTAGTGCTCAGGGCTGGATTCACCATAGTCCTCACAGTGTGGGTGATATTTGGTTTTGGTGTTGAGTGGGATGACCATGGAAGTGTTACTAGGGCATGAAGGGTACAGTAGAGACATGTGAATTATAATACCAATTTTCTTGTAATGTTGCATATGGCATAGGGTTGAAATACATCTGTATATTCCTTCAACTCAGTAGAACCGTGTCAATCTCATGCATTTGGTTGGAGAGACACCTCAGGGTGGGGACTTGGAGGTGTGGCAAGTTGGGGAGTAGTACTTGTGAGTTGTCATTTGCATAGGTTGCATTTTCTTTTTGAAATAGGTGACAGGAAGAACATGGATATTCTTGTATCTTAATATCATCAATGCCAAATCTTAATGCTGTATGCTGCACAGTTGGTCATAGCCAAGGCCTCCTATAAGACAAGAGCTTTTCTAGTCTGCTGTTGGGGACACCCCCTTTCAAGCTTTTACCTTCACAAACCAGAATATGAAGCCTCAGTTTCTGTCTCTCACTGAAGATCTCCATGCTTACATTCTGACCTTCCTTCCTTACTGAGATATTCTTTGGTACACATCTGTGAGCATCATTTTACTTGTCACTGTCAATACTCCTAAGAGGACCCCCATACTGACAATCATCTTGCAGGTATGTACAAGCCTTCACCAGATGTACTTGTTGTCTTCTGAACTTCAGTATATTGTTGAACTTGGTGGTCAACAACTGCTTCCTGTCAATCTCTGACTCAGAGTTGACAACCACACTCCTATTTTAGAGCACCTACAGTTCTTGAGGGACAAAGCCCACACATGGTTCAAATTTGACACTTGGCCTGTCCAAACAGTTGTTGTATCAAAAATATTCTTTTTTGATACAGCATTTGTTTCTGATGGCCATCTTTGCCTCTGCAATCCTGGAAGTCTACTATCAGACTTCACTAAGATCTTTCCAATAGCACCAGAGCCCTCACAACAAGCAATCAACAATGAATGGTCTTCAGAATTGTTATCTTCACTTCCCAGCACACAAAACATCAATGTGCTCATGGACCCAGAACAAAACCTGATTGCTGCTGCATATGATATTATTGGTAGGTTGGGTGTCTATATCAACCTTTTAGCTTTCGATGGAGATGGCATCCACCCCCAGGCTGGGTTTCACCACATGGTGAATCAGTCAAGCTCCTATGGTAGTTACAGATTTGGGACTGGCAGTACTCCACAATGTCCAATGTGAGTGAGTCATGTCAGAAGTGACTGGAGGAGTTGACACTTGATTTAGCACATCCTTAGTGGCACTGTATTTGATGCCAATCAGTTTGATGGCTTACTTGATTTTTGTTTCCTCAGAGGCAATAGATTGCTAATTGTCATGAATGACAATTTGAAGATCTATTTGAGCGGAAATATGTCCCAGGCGCTAGAATTGCTGGTGTGTTTCCTATTGCCTGTACAAGTGCAGTTCATAAAATGCTTCCCCTCAAAAATCAACTTGAATCATCAGGGAAACTCACCCACAATAAATTAGAAGAAATACACCTAGGCTAGATGAAATGTTCATAATTCAAATAAGTTAGAATAAATACCTCTAGGTTAGATGAAATGTCCATAACTTTGATAAACATTAAATTAAATTAAGTTTATTGACTTAGTGCACTGTTGAGAAACAAGCATGCAACATACAAGCTGTAGATCTCAACCACTAAAATTTGTATATTCCAAGAAGAAAAACATCATAGTAAGTTTTATTGGCCTTGGTGCATCAATTGTTGATTGACAGGATGATAGTACTCTACATGGCTTCAAAATGTGTCTGTTGCAGGCAAAGGAGGAGATGCCAATGGGGAGACATAATGGTTTGTGCAGAGACAGCAATCAGGTTGGAGGCAATGGCAGAGGAAGTGGAGGTGAGAGCAGAAGGGACAGAGACCTTGCTGGGCTTCTGGAAGAGGGTGAGGGATTGCTTCTGGTGCAGGAATAGAGATGGAACACATCACATGAGTGTAGGGCGACTTTGAAGCATGGTGAGTACCATGGTTTTTTGAATTTAATGAAAACTCACCAATCATCTTGATAGTCTAGTCCTGGTGACTCCAAGCTCATACTGTCAGCCATGTACTAGGGTATAGCATGTAGAATAAACACAAACCTTGAGATTCCATATCTGAGTGAGTTGTTTTCAAGCTGGTGCAGGAAGATGTCTTCCTCAATCGTCTTCATCACCACCACTGAGTACATGGCAATGGATAATGAGCTTCTTCGAGTTATCTTCACTTTGAATGACCAAGACATCAGCAGTCTTGAAACTCTCTGCGATGCAACTGGCAACATAAGCCATGGTGAGCTTGTGATCAATCATTTTAGCATGATTGAGCTCAAGACAAAGGAGCCATGGCAACTGCAAATGCAGCTTGGACTCAATCTCCTCATCAGGAATGGCAAAGAATGACTCTATGAAGACAGAGTCCTCCTCGATGATGGTAGAGCTTGAATCTGGGTCATACTGGATCTCCATGGCCGTTGTCACAGTATGCAATGAGACATATGCAAGCTCTTACTTGACATTCTTGGCAAGAAGACCATCCTGGACTTACTACCAGCCTACCAGATGAATTGCCACCATAGTATATTGATGGCATTGGGAGGACATGCCCATTGCCTGAAATTGGGTCTGGATGAACTGTGATGCCAGTGTCTTGCAAGAAAGGAGAATTTTGGTAGTCTACTTACTATCACCAGCCTACCAGACAAATTGCCACCATAGTATATCAATGGTGTTGGGAGGACATGCCCGTTGCTTGAAATTGGGTCTGGGTGAACCATGATGCCAGTGTCTTGTGTTATGAATTAGGATAATCATAACAACAGCAGCTCAATAAGAGCGATGGCTGAAGTTAAGTCAAGACCTTGCAAAAGCAAGGGTTGTAAGACAAGATGAAGAGAGTGTCTTCAGCTTGAATATCGATTCAGATGACTTAGGATTGGAGGTCCTAAGTGAAGGAATGTTCAGGTGAAAACCTAGTAGATTAAAGTGAAGAGCTACTAGATACATCATCAACTATATATAATGAATTGTAGGTGTGCTTAGGGCAGGTGTGGGATTGATGATGAGTCAGAGATAAGAGATAAGAAAGGACGCATCAGCAATAACAAGAATAGAAAGGATGCATCAGTGATAACAGGAATAGGTCATCTAGCAATGGTAACAGTGATTGTGATGTAATACAAGATATGAGAAATGAGATAAGTCTAGCAGCAGCATCATGTGGCCCATGATGTAATACAAGGTAAGGGAAAAGGAGAAATGAATAGGGGCATTGTCATATCCTGTATGCCAAACATAGATCCCATCATATTCCCACGCTTTCTGGACCTATTTCTGGATCCCATATCCAACTCATTCCTGGATCCCCTATCCTGTCCACCCTATGCACATTCCATCCAGCAAGACATCCAGACTTTACCTCCTCTCAGATTCCAGACTATATCCACCACCTCACATATCTCAGTCCTGTTTCCACCCTGCCTTCCGGATCCCCAGATCTCTGGACCTATTCCCACCCTCCATCCGAGATCCTGCGCCTATCCCCATTTAGGCATCTCTGCCTTTCCAGTTCTCAGTTATCTCTGTTTCCATCTTGCTGATTGATCCTTGTACTAGTTTCATCTCTGAGTTCATTTACTTATGTTCTGTCTTACTTACCAATGTGTTTCCGCATGCTTGTACATAGCCTTACTCCTTTGCTTACTGATCCTCTCGGATAGCCTCTAGTATATAACCCCTGTACAACTACAGTAGAGTCCTCAGTCTGAATATCACCTTAGATCTGCCCAATTATCTTCTGGACTTCAGTCTGTCTGAGTCTTGTCCTTTTCTGTAAGGCCTAGGGAAGGATTCCCTAGGCTGGAATTCCAGACCTTCAGATTTGTCCCCTATGTCTCTGTCCCAAGTCTAGGGATTGCTTCCCTAGACTGGAGTCTTGCCTTTCCAGCACTTACCCTCTCTCCAAACTTTGGTCCACTTCCTGTCTCTCCGACTCTACCTAAGGGTAGTCTACCTCTGTTTGCTTCTACATTGGACTTTGTCTGATGTAGCCCCTATTCCTTCTGGACCTCTGGACATCCTGTCCTGTGCACCTCTGGGTGTCCTGTCCTTCAAATGTTCTGCCCTCTGTACCTTCAGATATCCCATCCTCCTAACCCTTGGACATCCTGTCCTTCATACCTCTGGACATCCTGTCCTCCTGTCCTCCATACTTCTGGACCTCCGGACATCCTACCCTTCCATCCTGTTTCTTGTAGAAGTACTACCTTGCAGTGGGAACTCTCCTGAGCACTTCCTGCATTCCTCCAGAACTCTCCTGTGCTTCTCCAGACATTTCCTGCACTCCTCCGCCTCCAGAAGTCCTCTAGCACTCTCTACCAGAGTAGCCAGCCTCCAGAAGTCCTCCAGACTTCATTGGACCATCATCAGACTTCCTCTGAAATGAAGGGCACATACTCAGGTAAGGGGCACAGCATATGAGCTGAGGCCAAGCCCCTCTGAGTCAGTCTCTCTCTCCTTTGAGCATGATTCTTAACAGGCATACATGATTGTAACATTACCCCTCACTTAGAGACAAAGTCACCAACTTTAGTTATCCTGGTTAGCCCAGTAGACCAGGTCAGCATCATAGTTAGAGTCCAATAAATTGTCCTGTTCTTCAGTGACAGAAAACTGCAGGCTATCAGCAATCTCAGTGGCATGATAGAGAGCATCCTGCTCAGTCTCCCAATGAGAGAGATATTCATAGAAACCCGGATCAGTCCAGATCAACAGGATAATGGCTGCCCACTTTAGGTCTTTACAAAAGACTGATAGATGCCCTGGCACATAGGCTTTGCAAACCCGGCAGTAATATGTTGGACAATGTTTGTGATGGTGTCTGGTGGTGTGGCAGTTGCAACATATGATGTTATCAACAGTTTCTGCTTTTACTGTAGTGACGGTGGATGACAATGGTACTGGTGGTAGTGATGGGGATCTGGAGCATCATTTGCAGTTTCTAAGGGTAGGGGAGACAGATGGTTCTTGTCTACTGATTCAAGATGAGCTACACCTAGTAGGGTATCAACACGTAGTGGGTGTGATGGGGGTAGGAGCAGGAGAAGCTGGTACAATAGGTACAGCAGCAGGATTAAGAACATTATCTGTATGCTCAATGGTAGATGATGAAAGAATTGGTGGTGGGACTGGAATGGCAATGTGTGGGGATGGAGGTTATGCCACTGGGTTTGTAGCAATTCATTCTGTGACAATATGGATAGCCTCTCTGATAGCCTCCTTAGTAGGAGAAGGCAGCAAATGGATTGCAGTATTATGAATGCATATATGAAGGTGGCAGAAGATGGTCTTGTGACGATCATTGTCAAGAAGATTGGCAGTGCATTCAATGAGGCTAGCATCTCTGATGATTCTGATGAGAAGTCTGCTAGGAATTGCTCTGCTTTCTCCTAGGAGATGATCTATTTCAACAGCATATTGCAGGGATGTGATGGTGGATTCAAACAAAGTGTTGTTCTCAATTTCATCAAGGATTGTGAAGTAATCAGAGAGGGTGGAGTCATTAGAGAGAGTAGTATCAGTCAGCGGTGGAGAAGTGATGGGGGAGGTAATGTTTTCGGTGGTGGCAAGGTTGATAGTAGTAGCAAGTTGGTAGTCTGCAAGGGATGTTGGATGAGTGATGTTTTCAGAAGCAGAGGTCATAGCAGTGGTGAGATATTGAATATGGAGTAGACAATGTTGGAGGCATTCAAGGGACATTGTTTTTTTGTTTATAATCAATGGGTCTTTTTATATGCAGAGAGGATGTCAAGGGTGTTACTGAGGTTCTCTTCTGGGATCCATTCATTACTGGCAGAGGAGTATCCTTTCCAGGACACTAGATAGTGTCTTTGTTTACCTGTGCCTTTGTGTGATAGGATTGCATTGATTTCATATTCTTCTTTGTTATCTATGACATCTGGGGGAGGATCATGGAAGTTCAGGCCATGAATCTCTGTTTCATGATAGGACAATAGCTCAGAAGCATGGAACATGGGATGAACTTTCCATTGGGTTGGCAATTGGAGTGTGAATGTGATAGGAAATAGGACAGCGGTGATAGGGAAGGGGCCATATCATTTAAGTACAAGTTTTCATGATGGTAGTTGCATGATTAGATTCTTTCCAGATAACCATACCTTATCACCTACTTTCCACAGGTGATACTTCTGTCCATGAGTTTGTTTTGCCATTTGCTGCATAGTGAGGTTATGGCAAGATAGTGCTTCTTCTCTAAATTTCTGGAGTGAGCAAAGTCGTTCTTCCGCAGCAGGTACAGTGGAGTCAGGTAGGGTATGAGGGAGTGCTCGGGGTTCATATCCCATCATTAAGAAGAAGGGTGATGCATTATGGGAGTTGTGTTTTCAATGGTTATGGACAAATTCTGCCATTGGGAGATGTTCTACCCAATCTTTGGGATGGTTACAGCAATAGATCCAGAGATAAGTGTCGAGTTCTTGGTTAAGTTGTTTGGTCTGTCCATCAGTCTGAGGGTGATAGGCAGTAGAAGCAGTGATATCATATTTCAGGAGTTTGGCAAGGGCTTTTGAGAACTTTGATATGAATTGTGGACCATGATCTGAAATGACTTTTGTGCAGCCTGAATTGGTGATACACATATTTGAAAAACTTCTTGGTGATGCCTTCAGAAGTTATGGTTTTCATACAAGGGATCAGAATTACCCCCTTCATAAGGCCATGGTCAACCATGACCATAACAGAATCAAAACCCGCACATGGCAGAAGATCGGTGATGAGGTCAACAGAGACCTGAGTGAAGGGTGCAGCAGTGATGGAAGGAATAGGAACAAGGGGGGCATTGTGGGATGGGTATCGGACTTCATTTGCTGACAAAGGGCACAACCCTCAACATATTTACAGACATAGGTTCCCATGGAGGGCCACCAAAAATCCCACTTTACAAGTTCCTCAGTTTTAAAATGACCTGGGTGACCGGCAGTAGCATGATCATGACAATGCTCTAGAATCAAATGCCAACCAGCAGGATGGACATAGGCACGATCTTTAAAGTAGAGAATGTCATCCTTTATTGTCCAATCGGCAAGGGCAGATTTCATAGGGAGAAGAGACAAGCTATCTAGGGTGTCATAAGCAGTTTGGAAAATGAGATCAGGGTTGGAGGGATCAGGGTTCACAAGGGTGGTCATAAGTTCAACATCAAGAAGGTGAACAAACATAGAATCTGGGAGAAGGGTGATGTCATCATTATCATCACAGCTGGTCCCATGATCAGGGCAGTGAGAAAGAGCGTCAGGAGCAGTGAGCTTAGTTCCAGTGACATGGTGGAGTTCAATATTGTAGCAGGATAGGATGAGCTGCCAGCAAGCCTGTCTGTGAGTCAATTTCTGTGCTGAGCAGAAGCATAGAAGATTCTTGTGATTGGTGAATATGAGGATGGGATGGGGATTTCCCTCCAGGTAATGATGCCACTCAGTCAATGCACAAATAACTGCAAGGAGTTCTCAATCAAAGATCTGGTAATTGCATTCTGCTGGGTTTAAGGTCTGTGAGAAGTATCCACACAGGTGATAAACTCTGTTTTCATTGGTCTGTAACAATAACGCACCGGTAGCAACAAGTGAGGCATCAGTGGCTATGGTGAACTGTTGATTGGGGTCAGGGTTGTGGAGGATGGGTTGCTTTAGGAAACATTCCTTAAGTGTGGTGAATGCAGAAGAGCAGGATTCAGACCATTGGAACACAGTATTTTTCTTGGTGAGATCAATCAAGGGTCTGGTGATGTTGGAGTAGTGAGGGACAAAGTTGCGATAAAAATTGCAGAATCCAAGGAATGACCAGACTTCTTTTACTGTAGTAGGGATGGGCCAATCACAAATACCATCAGTCTTGGCAATATCCATTGCAATGCAACCAGGGTGTATGATCATACCCAAATATTCCACTTCTTGTGCATTGAAGGTGCATTTCTCCAGTTTCAAGAATAGTTGTTCAGTGCAGATCCTTTCTAGGACACATCGAGTTCAGGTGTGGTGGTCAGAGAGGTCATTGGAAAAGATCAAGATATCATCCATATAACTGACCAGCCATCTTTCGTTAATCTCTTGTTGGAAAGTGCAGTTCATATATGCTTGGAAGGTGGTGGGTGAATTGCAAAGACCGAAAAACATGACATTGGGCTTGAAAAGACCATATTCTGTGGTGAAAGCAGCTTTCTAGTGATCTTCAGGGTGAATCTGGATATTATTGTAACTGGAGCAAATGTCCATCTTGGTGAAATACTTAGCACCATGTAACCAAGCAACCAGTGAGAGCGGCAGTGGGAGAGGGTAGGTGTTTTTGACTGTCCAGTTGTTAATGTATTGGTAATCCTGACATGGATGAAGATCTCTGCTTTTCTTTCCTACAAAGAAGAAGCTGCTTGCCTGTGGTGACTCCAATTCCGAGATAAAGCCCTTCTTTACGTTTTCATCGATGAATGCTTTAACAGTGGTGTGGGAAACACAACAAGAAGAGAACTGGAAAGTAGACTTCTAATGTTGGGCTAAATGTGCTATGCCTAGCTGCTATTCAACCCTAAAGGGTTTTTGGACTAAGCTCAGTGCTCAGAGAGAGTAGGAAATCATGCTAATAACTCTCAGTCTCAGACTGGTACTGATAGATGGTGAAAACTATGATGATTACATAAGCACCAAAAGTGCGAACATAACACTAAGCAATATCTGCCTATACAAGCCCACAGAGTATGAAATCCCTACAGCGGTACATTCTGCTTCTGACAACAGGTAGACCTTTGACATTTTCGGGATAAAACCAGGTTTAGTTTCAATGCAATGATCAATCCCAAGACGCTCAGGTGACAGTTGATTAAGACCATCTTTAGCAAAGATGTTGGTGAAATCATGGAGATAAGAGGGGACAAGTTCTTCTTCTGCTCAAGCCCAGCTGCCAATGGAAACTGTTGGGCTTTGTTGCTGGTTTTGACATATTTGGTAGGCCATGACAGGGGTGTAACTGTGGGTTTCTGTTCTGTAATACTAGTACCATCCTTGGTTAATGGAGTATCCATGGAGATATTAGTGAAGACCTGGAGCTCAGTGGCATTGACAGGGTATTCAACTAAATATTCATCATCATCAAGGTGATAAGTAGCAAGCTCGCATACAGGAGGTGCATAGTCCTGGGTCCAGACATCATCTTTCATGTCAAAGGAATCATCATTGTCATCAGGGATGGGGTCAAGGTTGGGTAATACCAGAGGTGCTTCTTCATCTAAGATCTCCTTGATGGTAGCTCGAGGGAGTGGTTCTAGGGGTGTCTTCAGTTGTTCCTTAATCAGAATAGATGTCACAGGAGGCACCTTCAGCAGCACTACCACTGGAGTCAGTTCTTTCTTAAGGCAGGAGTTCTTCCATGTCTTATCAGTGGATTTCTGGAAAAGAGGTGGGAGGCCACTTTTCTTCCTTTTGGTGTTGATGTCTTCTTCAATGAGGTCACTCTTCTCAGTGCGAGAGAGTTCTAAGGTTTCTGCTTTCCATCAGATTACTGGATCCATGGCACACAGCCAAGGAATCCCAAGTAAAATCTGGTCACGGCAACCAAGTTGTGTGATGTTAAACTTTCCGATCATAGATCGTTCATCAATTTTTACAATGAGGACACAGTAGTGTGTGATGGTGCCCCCCTTCACATAGCTTCCATCCACAGTAGTGACTCGGAATGGTTTCATAAGCTTATGCATGCAAATCTTGTGGAGTTTAACGAACTCTTCAGAGATAAATGTTCCAGCAGCGCCAGAGTCAACAATGGCTGTTGTTTTGACAGTTTTCAGACGAGTTTTAGAGATGAGTGAAATGGGAACTCAAAGTTCCTTTCTATTCCAATACTCCATACAAGTCTTATAGGTACATCAGAAGATACTGATGTTGATCCAGTCTTCCACATCAAAAATCCTCAGTGAGGCAACAGATCATTGTATCTTCATCTTCTTTGTCACTATCTTCTATCTCTTTGTGATGAACTGGGGTCTTCCTGTTCTTCTTTTTCTGAGGACACACTCTTGTCATATGTCCTTGTTGGTGACATAAGAAGCATAGGCCTCTCTTCATGTGATCACTTCTTTTGGCTTCAGTAAGCCAATCTACAGTGACTTGCAAAACCAATACAATGTTTGGTACTTTTTCAGTGTACAGTGTACACAATATAGTGCCTATGCATGTGGGAATCATGCTTAGTGTTGGTGGGGGCGTGTGAACTACAAACCCTTGGCTACAGACTGGCACTTGGATCACGTGATTTGGCCAAGGGGATGTGAAGATATGCCTATTTTAAGACAGAGATACCATTGTAATGGTTTTGCAGCTGTTGACATACATAGATGGTGGGATCTCAGTCAAATCAGAGGATGGTTACTGTTATTTGCTTATACAAATAGAAATATACATAAAAATATTATGTCTGAGTTTGAAATTGCTCCCATGCTTCTTTATTCCCAACCATTGCTACTATTTCCTTAGGGAGATGCTCATACTCTGCAAGTCTCCTTTTGACAAGGTCCCAGAGATATTCCAATGGGTTAAGGTCAGGAGATTGTGCAGACCACACCATAGTCCTAAATTCCTGCCCATCTAGTCACTTCTTGACCTTTTTGCAGGTATGCTTAGGGTCATTGTCTGGCTGAAAGATGACATCAGAAGCATTAAGATCATAAAACTCCAGGAAATTCTGAAGTTTATCCTTCAAAATTTGAAGGTAAAGATCTCCATCCATTCTACCATCAATCTTAGCAGCATAGCCAACTTCTTCACAGGTCATACAGCCCCATATCATCACAGAACTTCCATTAAACTTGATAGTTCCTTATACCAATCTGTCACTATGCCCCTCTCCTGACTTTTTCCAAGCCCATTTGCAACCATCTGACCCTAGGTAATTAATTTTGGTTTCATCAGACCATATGACCAACTTCCAGTCCTCCAAAGTTCAATTTTTGTGAGTATAGGCAAAGTCCAAGTGTGCTTTGCAATATTTGGCAGACAGTAGAGAGTGTTTGGACTTGACTACAGCCCTCATCCTAGGTTTTCAGGTAGTAGCAAGTGGTACTTGGGTTGGGGGGCTAATTTACAATATTTGAAAAAGATTTGATCACTTGATAAGTAGTTTCTGCCTGCTGAGTGAAGATGAAACAAATAGGATGACAAATATTGACTGAGGAAAGGTTGGTTGAATGACCACCAGTGAACTTTTGCAAGTAGGAACACTCTTTTTAATGAAGCTTGGAGATAGTAGTAGTGCTGACACCAGTTGTGGAGGCAACAGAGTGAATAGAATGACTAGCATTAAGCTGAAAGAGAATGGTATTCTTTTGAGTAGTAGAGAGAGATCCCATGGTGGTAATGATTAAGAATAAAGAAGCGTGGGAGCAATTTCAAACTCAGACATAATATTTTTATGTATATTTTTATTTGTATAAGCAAATAACAGTAACCATCCTCTGATTTGACTGAGATCCCACCATCTATGTATGTCAACAGCTGCAAAACCATTACAATGGTATCTCTGTCTTAAAATAGGCATATCTTCACATCCCCTTGGCCAAATCACGTGATCCAAGTGCCAGTCTGTAGCCAAGGGTTTGTAGTTTACACGCCCCCACCAACACTAAGCATGATTCCCATATGCATAGGCGCTATATTGTGTACACTGAAAAAGTACCAAACATTGTAACGGTTTTGCAAGTCACTGTAAGTAGACCTCTGACAGCTCATATGAGACAGCTTGGTGCAAGATGGTTGGGGAGTCGGATATCAATGATGATACCAAGTAGAAAACAGCATATCTGACTATGCTCCATACCACTGATTTGCAAGAGACCAGTGATACCTTTCATGAATAGATGGATGTGGTGATTCAGAGGGAGCCTTCAACATCTTGCATCAATCTCAGCTGCTCCAAATGCCTCAGACAGCCAACCAAGGAGATGTTTAACAAGACCCTGATATAATTGGTGGAGTGCATCCAGCATAACAGCTTGGAAGATGTTGGCATAGGGTAGGGTCTCCCAGAATGGATGGATAATAGGCTTGATTCCAGCTTCACGACATGCTCATACAAATTCAAGATCTCCATCATCAATTGCAGCCAATGCATCAAGGACAGCATCAAGGTTGCACAACTCAAAAGGTGTGGTATTGCTTCCAAGTTCATCTGGTGGTATGTCACATTTGGAACATTCTGTGGCTTTGACTCCTGTAGCCAAGACTTGCTCTGGGTAATCACCAACAAAGCAAGCAAATAATGGATGACCACGATGCAGGATACCATCTCCACTTTTCACAATAATACCATCTATCCCAGCTTCCTCCAGTGGTGCTAAAATATGGCCCATGCAGGTGTGATACAGGTTCGCAATTGTTCAGTGTTGTGAAGCCTTGTTCATAATATGCTTGAGACAGGTGGTAGGAAGATAAGCAAGGAGAATATGGGCATGGTGAGACAGCTTTTGGCGAATTTCCTTCAGAATATTGCCGATAGTAAGGTAGACTGGATATGCTGTTTTATTTCAGAACATTGTCACTTGAGTCTTGTCACTTGAAATAATAATCAGAATTATGGTTGCACCTGGTTTGCATTGATTGAGCTTCTTCTATTTAATGTGACAGTTAGTTTCAATGAGCAGAGATCCACAAAACACAAACTTACCTGGGTATCCCACCACCATTTTCCAGTATGCATATCATGGAACAATTGGACAGTTTGTTCCTCGTCTGCATAGTGGTGTTCTGGTGTGAAGACCAGGAAATCAGCAAAATCTGGGTCACCATATAGGGCAGCAACACATTCAACAACATCCCTATAGAAAACATCAAAGGCCTCACCTGCAACAACAATCTGTTCACAATGGAACTTTGGATGGCCAGGAAGTTACTTGTCAATAACCTTGTTCAGTTCCTTTGAGTTCTTTGAGTTTTTGTAGGAAAGCCCAAGCTGTTCACGTACCTGTCAATGAAGAGTAGACATGTTAGCCACAATCCAAAGGCAAGATTAACACATATCCACTGACTCCATTGATGCTAAGCAAATCAGAAAATGCAGTTGACACATGTGAAGCACTTCTGAGAGCAGCGCACAAGCAAAAGGTTGTGTCAGTTGAAAAACAAATCAAGACAGATAAATCCTATGCAATGGCTCTTGCTAACCTAGTACATCATTCATAATTGTTGTTAATTTTCACCTCAACATCTATGCAGGTCAAAGCCTGAGTTCCAATCCTCCATGGTGAAATGAAAGAAGATGCATTTAGTCAAATCACTGCTTACTTTCATTTCAGCCCTGACTTGGACTGCACTAGTGTTGCCCAACCATTCCTTTGCACACACAGCTATCACTGTGTCTTGCAATTTGATGTATATCTCCTGATTTGTGGCAATGATGTTTTACTTACACCTTCTACAGCACAAGAATATGCCTACTGTGCTATCGAAGAAGCCTTATATGGGCAACATCATAATGCATCTCATGAAAGGCCACTATTTCAATGGATCTCGGTTAGTTGGTGTTCTATTTGCCAAATGGTTCAATGAGATCACAGAGAACAAGTCTAAGTGCCCAGAAGTGACCATACCCATGGTGGTGCTGACAAGCACTGCAGTAATTTCTACACTCTCATCACTGCTTTTGGTTACTGACTTTAAGTATCCAGGTGTATGCTGCACTCTCTTGGAAGGCTAGTGGCTGCCCATCAAAGTTTAACTTCACTGGCAACCAATTCAGTGAAGTCTACCTCTTACATGTCAAAATCCTGGAAGATCTTAGAATGAGAGTGCCGAAAAAGTTTCATAAGCTTATGGCCAACATCTTCGAGGCAATACAGTGCATCCATCTTTACACATTCTGTAGCTTTCCCATCATTATTTTTACAGGAAGCTTGGCCATAACACCATCCCCACCACATCACATGCTGAGGCTCTTGCATTCCTCAATATTGATGGCATGGATAGCAAGTAGTCATACCAAGGATCTGAATATATTCTTCACTTGTCCATAGCATTGTTCATTGACTCAGACTTGGAGACCTGTGACCCTATCCCCATCCAAAAACATGCCTTTACTATCTACCAGTGTTTCTCGCATTCTACTAGTATACTACCTTCTGGTACTATACCCCTTTTAATAAAAAACTAATTTTTTCATGTATAACATTGGATGTAAGGTGGCAAAAAAAAAATCACAGATGAGCTCTAACCCTCAATATGCACAAGTAATCTTGCAGTAAGTTCATTCTAAATCTTCATAATAGTTGATTAAATTCATGTAATGTTCAATAATTTAGGAGGCAGTAAAAGAATCCATCTAAACTTCTAACTTTCATAATTATACCTAATTATGAAAATTTCGTCTAGCTTAGATGTATTTCATCTAACTTATTGCAGGTGGGTTTCCCTGATGATCTTGTACATACTCAACAAACAATGTGGACCTCCGACCCTGCACATTGATTGCTATCCCTGGTCACACACTTTCCCAACTCAGATGGTCTCTTCCATTTTGTCATTTCCACCAGTATCTTCTTCCAGCTTGACCTCTTTGAAGGAATGGCAACAGCAGTACCATGGAAACATTGGGAAACTCTCATGTTTTCCAGGACGATGAGATGTTTGGTTTTGGCCTTGGCAGAAGTTGAGTCCTCAAGGCCATTCCTAGTATAGTTGAAGGGTCATACAATGACCTCGTGGAGTACAGATCACATATGATTGACTTCAGCCCATTAGCTGTCAAGCACCAGCAAGGTCTAGGACAAGTGGTGAGAGAGCCATCCACCATAGACTTGGAGTTGGAGGGAGAGTCAATAACAACCTCCCTACCTTATGTCGAGGTATGTCAGGCACAAAATCATCTCACAACCCGACCCCAATATGGGTTGACAAAGACAGAATATATGTGCTTCAAAGCGATATGGCAAGCACAGGTTCTTCCCTGTCTCAAGGAAGTCCAAGCTGATTTTTAACCCATAGCTCGAAGTTATCGAGGTTTAGGATGGGGTCTCTGTCAGCTAGTTGTGAAAGATTGGTGTACTGATATTAGCTCACGCCACAGAATTGCCCAAGAAATAATGAATCAAAGTGTTGCAGTGCAATGAGATGCGACACTCACATATTATTTCACAGACTTTACACTTCTCTCAGATTCTCTCACAAGACTTCCCAGTTGGGCAAGACTAAATACCATAATTGCATTCAGAGAAGTTTGGATACTTGCCTGAGGTGATGCAATTCTGGCCCAGTTTGTGCTTCATACACATGATACAGTGACATTTTACGCAGGACCTCCCTCCAACTTGGAAAGACATCTGCTCCAGTATTACACTGCCACAGTATTGAATCACAGATTGATGATGGGTTAAAGAGTCATTGTGGCAGCTACACCTAGAATCTTTGTCACACACCCGCTTACATGTATGATTGTGGTCCCTGCATCATCTGGCAGCAAAATGTAACTATAATGATTCAAATCAGTGCAACAAATGATGAGCCATGCTGTCTGGAGATACCCAGATGTGTTAGACATGCACTGCTGCACCAGGAGAGTATTGGGATCTGGGGTTTGAGCTGAGGGGAACATTGTGAGGGCCATAACCTGGGGCATTGCAAAATACTTGTTCAAGTCATATCATACAGGATATTTCCCACCTGAACAAGTTGTCCATTATGGTTGTAGACAGTGAGCGAGGTATCCACATCAGTTACTTAGTAGGGGGAGTCACGTCGACCACATGGAGTTCGTGAATGTAAGTCAACACACTTCCGCCCATCATCGCAAACAAAATGCGAATCAGCAGTCATATAACAAAAATCAATGCAGCAGTTACTATACCATTTCGGACCTGTATACATTCTGATGGCAGTAAAAGCAGTTCAAGCTCACAGGTCTTGTTAAACAGTGATTCATTGCAAGCCTACGCACATTCAACTTTACGATTAGTTAAAGACAAAATCAATCTTGAAAGAGACAAAACGTTCAACAGCGATTCACAATATTTTTTAAATCGACCTGAGCACGGTTAGAGTTCAGGTGTCGACAGGACAGAAGGAAGTGGCAAGGGTACAAATAGATCACTCCGCCTGCATGGGCATCACCTGACCGCCCTTGGCTGCAGTAGGTGTAAATGTATGCCATCGGTCGTTGAACCGCACGTCGAGAGGGCGTCCACCATACATGTACTGCTGGAATTTTGCTACGCGGTTGCGTTAGTGTGCGACCTAAAAGAAGTAAAACAACGGTCGCTTACCAATAGCCGTCTCTGCCTCTTGAACCTGAGCAAACTGGACAACACCGCATCCCTTGGATCTAGCGCCATCGAAAAGGATTTCAGCGAGCTCAACTTGCCCAGTAGTCTCGAACAACTCGACGAGATCTTCATTTGCGGTCGACCAAGGGAGCTGGAATGCATATAAATACTGTTCACACAGAACAACAACAAAACCGCTCACATTGCGAACCATGATTTGCTGGCTAGGCTCGGCATCGTATCCACCCCCGCGCCACCACCACCTGGCACGCCATAGCCACTACTCCCGTAGCCGCTACCGTAGCCATCCATTCTCAGACCACCGTGAGCAGCAGGCTGGTCAGGGCCGGAGTAGTCTGCGTACAAGTCTTGATTCGAGAAATCACGAGCAGGACCAGAGGGCGCGAACCCGCCACGGTAACCACCACGGAGGCTACCTCTGAAGCCACCACGTAGACCACGACCACCATAACCGCCGCCGCCACCACCACCACCACCCCGGAAAGGGCTGCCACGGAATGAGCCTGGGCCAGAAAGGCCAGCATAGCGATCCTGATAGACTATCAGCATTGCATTAGGAGACAGAGTAACAACCTCCAACTTACCTCCCGAACCTCAAGTGTCCGGCCATACCAGTCAAAGCCGTGGTACATACCTGCACGAGGGGTTAGTCGACGTCTACGAAGATGTGAGTAGGTTGTACCGATGGCTTGCTTAGCATCAGCCGCAGTCTCGAAGACTACAGTTCCGGAGCCCTTGGGACGCCCATCCGCACCAATGTTAATATCAGCCCGAATAATATTACCAGCCGAACGGAACAAATCCTTGAGGTCCTGCCAACCAGCCTGGTATGGTAGCTTTGTAGATGATTCAGCACAGATAACACATAGCAGAAAGATAAACCTACATTACCAACATACAACTGATTGCCCGGATTGTTGTGAGTTCCAAAATAATTATGATGGGGCGGACGTGGAGGTGGCTGCGCATGCAAACCTTGCCCTGCCATCGCCATTCCAATCTTGCCTGGGACAGGCGTAGCGCCGAAGCGCGATTCGTTCTCCCGGTCCTATTTTGCAGCGTGGGTATAGCACCAACCAGACAAGGGAGTCGTACCTCGCGAATAAATACAGGGCGACCGAGCATGGCCACTTCGGAGAGTTCGCGGATGGCGCGCTGCGCATCCTCAGGTGAAGCAAATTCAACAATGCTGTGCGATGAGTCAGTTAAGATTATGGAAGTATTGTAGAAGTCACTTACCCACAGCCTTTGGACACTCCCGTTGGCGTGACGAGTACTTCGGCGAATAGAACCTCACCAGCTATCAATCCCCAAAAGAAAACTCCCATCAATATCCTCTCAATCCAACCATCCATCAATCGAAAAGCCAAGGAAATAAACCGGCCAGGGCACGACACCACTCTCCCTCATCAGCTCACACTCGCCAGCACCAGCTGCCTTCTGAGCCTCAGCAGAACGGGTTTACAAAGTGGCCACACCCCGCCTCTCTCCCCAATCAAAGAAAAATCTAAATTCCCCAACCCACCTCCCCTCATAAATTCCATTAGATCACGGTACTTGACGTCGTAACTGAGATTGCCGACATAAACTCGGTTTTCTCTCTTGCTGATCTTGGCAAATTCGACGGCTTCTTCGTGAGTTGCGTTCATGGGCCCACCAAGGGAGCGAGGGAACGGATCAGCAGGCTTACGGTCACCGCGGTCACGGCTGCGGGAGCGCGAGGGCGTCCGACTGCGACTGCGAGAGCGCGAACGGCGTGAATGCCTGCGCTCACGAGGCGAAGCTGAACGACGCCTCGGAGACCGGGAACGTGTTCTACTGCGCGAACGCTTCCGGCGCTACAGGAAGCTTATGTCAGGGTTGTAAATACAAGCGGTAACAAGGGACTCGCATCTCCATTCCGTCTGTCGTCTGGTTCCCAGTGGTCAGTCCGGCTCCTACCGCCGCGACCTGACGACAGGTGGAAAATAATGAGTTTTTGTATACTAGACCGAGGAATGCTACGCACCTGTGTCCCTCCTGTCACGATCGCGGTCCCTGTCGCGGTCCCTCCTATCGCGATCCCTGTCACGGTCTCGGTCGCGCTCTCTGTCTCTTTCACGGTCCTTGTCGCGGTCGAACTCACGGTCCCTCTCCCTGTCGCGCTTGTCGTCAATCTCATCCTTATTTTTCATGTCCACGTCCATTTCTGCAGCGTCAGACAAAGCAAATATGAAGTAGGAAAGGAGGAAAAAACAAAAGAGGAAGGAAAAAGACGGAACTGCAAGTGAAAAAGGAGACGAAGAGGTTATAATTTTGTGTTGCCGATCAGCTGACTCACAGCGGTTCATGAATCGGAGATTGAATAAATAAGACTTTAGCCACAACCTGGCTGGGTATGAGGTAACTATATAATACTGCAATTAATCTATTATCCAGAGTCCTTCCAAGCTTAGGGACAGATGTGTAGGATTTCAAACGAGTGACTGTTCTACTAGTCTATGTATACACCGGATGCTGGAAACTTGGATCAGTCAATGACACGCAGATCAAGTAGAAGAACGCTGACCATACGTCTCACTCTGGTCTCAAGCTGGTCTCGGGAGACACATGGTCATCTGCCCTCGCGACAACCACAAACGCAGTCATAAGAGCAGAGAACGCAAGCATCAACGAACTTGCGCTCAACACGGCATTCCTAGCACTCGACACCCCGGTCATCAGGGAGACGACAACAAACACGTTCAGGGGAACTCGGAACAGGGAACTTAGCTACATCATTTGGGTCAGCACCTTCTTTTTATAAGGAAAGGCGACGTACTGTTGCTCGGTGCTCGTTTGATATTAAGGTTCCCCTCAACATCCCTTGCACAGGATAGTACATCCCCACGCATGCTTCGAATGCGCAGAACGCCCAGAACCTGACGCGCTCACTCTCGCTTCTTACGCTTATTGCCAGTGCGAGGGCAGCAAATGCACAAACCAAGCTACTGAGTTTTGCATGGACCGTCAGACCACCGGATTGAGTGGTGACAACACTGTAGAGAAGGGATCCGAGCATCATAGATATCATGAATGAGGAGAAGATGTAGCCCAGCGGCAGTGCAATAGTGGGAAACGTTGGCGAAGCTTCCTGAAGAGATGGTACCCAGAGAAAGACAAAGAGGTACATAGAGCCCTCGAAACAAGTTTGGGTTAGGCCAATGACGAGTAGCATAGGATCTAAAATCACATTCACGACCTGAATATCATAAAAACAGGAAGTAAGCCGGACTCACCATCTTTCACAATGCGCCACGCTTGTCCCAGTCTTTTCAATTGAAATAGATCCTTGCCGGGTGTTGTTCCACCGCCACCAAAGTTCTCCCCCCAGCTTGCACGGATCACCAGGTACGCTAACAACAACAAGACTCCACTGGCGACGAAAGGAGATGTGAATGAGTTTGTCAAAGTGACTAGCTGATTGCTTGCAACGCCTGCGCCTGTTGCAACAAAACCATTCACGAGAGTGGCGCGACCGAATATTGTGGAAAGATCCGTTGAGGGGAGGGCTAGCGCTCCAGCAGAGCTCACCAGCCAGGACTCGAACGCAGAGTAGAGGATTGATGTTGATATACCTCCGCATACACGTCCAAGGAGAAGGATAGGCAAGTACGGGATGGTTATGCAACAGCAGGTGAATGTATACGTTAGACAAAAGGCGAGACACAGTTTTTTGCGTCCGCTACAGTACCGGAGTCAAACGTCTTTATAGCGGTAAAGAGGGCACATGTGACGTACTGTTGATCTGCCCAGACGCCCATCAGAGGTGCAGTAAGCCCCGCGGACATAAAACCTGTGACAAAAAGGATTGCAACCATCCTTTCCGAGAGACCATACTGTTCTCGGTACAATGAGTACACATATGGTCCCTGGAGCCAATCAGCGCCTGTATAGGTTCATGATTACGCGATTCCCATGAGCAGAGGATGATGCATACCCATTACAATTGCATATACGATGAGATACTGCCTTGTTAGCGTGGCTAGGGAGTTGTGTGATGCCGTCGGCTCCCCATTTTCCAGGCGCTCGGCAGCATGTAGATCTTTTTCCTTCAACTCTTTCCGTCGCGAGACATGGCGCTCAAGGAAGAGAAAGATGAGACACGAGGAGACCAGGAGAATAAGTTGGAGTTCATAGAATCCAACCATGCCAGGCAGGCCCTCAAACGACAAAATTTGGACTTTGCAGGTCCACTGGAGCCTGGAATGGACCTGGAGTGATGTAAAATGCGACTAGGACGCGAGATTTTAGTTGAAAGGAAAGTTGTGTGTGAAATACCCACTCTCCTATAGATTCAGAATTCACAGATAACCACGTCGCTCGAAAGCTGTGACGGCATCCTCCAACTTGCAAAGCCGCACAACAAGCACAGCTACGGCAGACTCAACGCATTTGAACATGGTACAGCACAAGTGCTTGTCAGGAATGACAGTCTAGTCTAGGCTAAGGTACCAAAGTTTTACCGGCACTCGATTCTGAGCCGTTCCAGTGAAGTACTCTGCTGATACGGAACTGCCTCGAGTGGACCCCCTCAGACTCGATGAGCTTTCTTCATTTCTAGCTTAACGGAGGGTAGGTGATGTCCCTAGAGCTAGTGACTGAACATAGAGCGTAAACTCGGCATAGATGGCAATCCAATGCCACCTAGGCCTATGTACCTGGCCAAGCCAGCGCCACCTAGCACCCACACCCAAGTACTGGTAGTCCCGGGGGGAATGCTCACTCGAGCCCAGGCCTTTCAATCGCGACCTTCGACTGCACCCTGCAACTACTCTCCGTACTTCAAGCTCCACTCTTGTGCTTTTCTCTCTCCTGCACTGCGTCCTGCGCCATCAATAGCAGCTCGCACCCGCTTCCTCCCCTGTGCTGCTTCCCACCCATCCTCCCGTACAGTCATTCCTCCCATCCCTACCAACAACCTCCAACATTCTCCTATGCCCGACTGCCGCTCCCCGCACCCTCGAAGGATTATTCAATTTGATCCTGCTTACTTGGGAGCCGGCCCTGGCAACAATCACAATGTTTTGCGGTAGTCCATTGTGCGTGACTAGCATAGTCTGTACGTGATGCATACTTGACGTTAGCATCCTCAGACGGGATCCTTGTTTAAACTCTGCGAGAAAGGGTTCCATTTAATTCCCCCTTTCCAGGCTAGCTCACCAGGTTGAATTTTGATCCTCTAGTAGGTACAAAAATACCGTGTGGGATACCATGATCCCGTTCTTATCGACTGATTCGGACAGTATGATAATGTGGATGCAGATTCCATACATCGTATGATTCATATCCCACGGAAACGAGAATGCCTTCAACATCATTCTGGGTCTTCGCCTTGTAAAGGCCTTTTTTGAAGAACCACAATCGATACGACCGCCGTATCGGCATCAATACCAACTACGTACTACGCAATTGTCGTCGCTAACGAATCGAATAGCATGCTTCAGCTTCATCTAGTACAAAGAACGCGTGTTGACTTTCAACTTCAAGTTGAGGGGCGGGCCCCTGATTGAGGCCCCTGGATATAGGAGCGAATATCCTGTGCAGGCTCAAGATTCTATCGTCCCAAGCATCACCCACAACCCTGAAACGTGTAAGTGAAACACACTAAGCCTATTGCAACTCAATCGTGACTAAATTGTTGGTGCTCCAAGTTATATCCTTCAAGTTACACTTCGCTGCAAAAGAAGCGACAACCATTCCTCGGTTTTAATTTCGCTTCCGAACAATGTTTGTATACTTATCAGGACTGCACAGCAATTAACTCGCCTGCGGAGGTCGGGCGAAGTGCAATGTATGACAGCAAGGATGAACAATCGAGTATTCGGGCACTGAAACTGCATTCAACCTCATGATCATCGATACAGAGGATATACCGGAAAGCCCCAGAAGACCAATGATTATATGTACAAAATATAAAACACCACAAAGGTCCCGGCAACAAAACAGTAGTATGCACGTATACAAACTCGCCCGCCCTGTCAGCAAAAATACGCCAAGGGGCATCAAGGTTCCCTAGCAAATAAGATGAAAAAATATTAACAAAAGATCTGTCATCCGTCATTCAGCTATCAAGGAATCATAATGAGCACAGCAAAGCGCACCAAGCATCTAAATTACAGCTTCGCAATCAACAACCCCAGGACGACAACTAAGATCGTGCTTGGTGGGGTGACGACGCAGTACGACCAGAAAACCGTCCGCGATATTAGTCTCTCAAATGAGTTGTTCGAGGCTGCTTGTGTTATCTAATGAACACAAGCATTAGATTGATCACGAAAGTCTAGTATGGGGTAACACAACGCACCTGCGCGAGCGTCAGAGCTGGTGGACTTGCTATCAAGAGCACATTTGATACCACGAACACAGGGCTATCGAAAAGACATCAGCAACTATTCGTGATATAATTCGAGGCACTTACTCCGCAAAGATATCGTGAACATCAAACCTCGCAAGAATTGCCAATACAGGAAGCATTACAGCCGGGACGACTACCATCCTTGCAAAGATCGCCACGAACACCGTCTTGCTTTCCCCATGCGTCTGGGGCTGCGGCTGTGGTGCACGTTTGAGTGCCAGAATCTCCTGGAGGGTACTGAGCAATGAGGCGCGGGACTTGTTCTGCCCAAGGTCCCGCCTTGTCTCGTCTGTCTCATAGTCTGCCAGATCTCCATCTTTCATGTCATCATCGGAAGGTTCGGAGTAGAAGTATGCCCCAAGCACCACGAGTGTCAGTGGTATACTGCAGTTGCCTGCAGCACCAAGCGCGCCTTTTACAGGTTCCATGTGTTCAAGCGCAGATTGGAGCGGCGGAGTACACGCGACGACGAGACTAAGGATGGAAGCCCATAGGGGCATCGTCATAAACGCATTAACACGGCGCCATGCATTTTTGGTGCACTTCCAGACGTGTCGGAGGCCAGCGTATGGTCTCTTATGGTGTCGGCGGCGGAAAGCCTCACTTGTAACTTCTGCCCCATCTTCTGTCTCACCATCCGAGTCCGCGGGCGTGACACTGTCCGAGACCAAATGCGCATGTTCCCGCACAGGTGAATTTGGGAAGGAGTGATATATAGCTGTGTTCCGTGCTGGGTGCGGTGAGTGTGGGGAGCGTGAATGCGAAAGTGACGAATGTTCGAGTGCGCGAGATGGCGAGAGGTGAAGGTGCGATGGCGAGCGGTGCGGACGCAGCTGTCCGTAGATATGGCCCGCAGGCTCTGGGATGGGAATTTCACACGCTGTATCTTGATCATTGTCATCTGTGTCATCGAGAGACGAATTCACGAGTACGGCTTGGGTACGGGCTTGGGTTTGCCAGTGATGTGAAGGGCTTGTAGGGTGCACCTGAGCTTGCCAGTGATGAGAGGGGCTCATGGGCTGGAACCTAGATGAACCATGGTGCTCGCTAAGTGTCGTCCCATCTGATAGGGATGCATTATCAGCGTATTGGGCTCCTTCGGCATCGCATGGCACATCTTCAAGTAGGGGCGAATGGGGAGAGGTTGGCGTAGGTGGAGTGTCTGCAGAGGAGAGTAAACGCACGCCGTAGCTCCAGCGAAGCTGTGAGCAATATAAGTAAACAATTTTGCAAATAACGGGGTACAGAGCGAGTTCAGAAGGTCAAAGAACTAGCTTGGCAGCTTCGTTGGAAAGGCGAAGCAAGCCAAGCCCGACAGAGGGACAACTACTGGCTTCAAAAATAAAATAACCATGGAGACCAAGAATTCAATTCAAATAATCAAATCCAAAAACAAAAGATGATCGGAACATGATTCTAGTGAAGGCAACGCACCATCATCCCAAGAGTACTATACAGTACTAGGTACGTGAGTGCACGACCCAGCATTGCGTTCGCGTTGTCGTCTGGGGTCCATTTAAGGCCATCCACACTGATCACAAGACTCTGCATCAGAGCGATGGGTAGCGAGTTCGAATTCATGAACATCGAAGCAGCCACAGCGAAGTTGCTAGAAATAGTAATGGTCGTTAGCTCTGATCATTGAGACAAGGGAACGGAGGGAATGATCAAGGAATATGAATGAAGAAACACACAGATGAGATTTCTTCAGTCCAAACATTCTCGAAAGGACACTCGCCACGAGCGCAGAGAAAACCGTAACCACAATAAAGAAGATCGGAATAACCCATAGCTCCTTGAGTTTTGCTGTGGGACACGAGGCCAGTGAGCATCCTGCTGATGGACAAGATATGAGGCGCACCTGGACTTAGGAAGAATGCGACTTTGGAAAACAGCAACGCAGGCGTGAACAAGGAGATGTTGATATGGTTTATCACCTGTACTTCAGATAAGCAAGCCGAAAAAGCAAAATACAGGACAAAACGAACGCGTTGAGTGGGCTTGTCAATGATACGACACCATGCGAGTATGTAGCCAGCGAGACATAGCAGAAATACCTCTAGAATTGACTAAAAGCCAACCAAATCAACGGACAGCATGGTGTTAATCGTTCCGAATACATACCTGGAATACAGTAGACAGAAGTGGCCAGATGGGAGTGTCGTCCATGGCCAGGGGTCCAAAAAGATGATTGGAAATGACAGGAAAGATGCAGACTAAATAGTAAGTTACAGCTGAGAAGAACGGGAGAATATTTGGTGAACCTGAGAGCCGGCGCAGTACTGCCACTGCTAGTCAAATCCTTGGCTGCTGCTTGGCTGCGTCATGTATTGCGCCAGCCAGCTGTCACGCACGTGTGGAAACTACAGTATCGTCTTCCTTTCTTGGCAGTTTAATAATGAGGTGACCATTGCTCAAAGCTAGCTTCCTTTCCGCAATCTTGACTCCTCGGATACTAATCGGGCTGCTGTTACATACCACAATGGCTTGGCGTTGTTCCGGTCGCACAAACGCAGACTTGATCAAAAACATGCACACAGCACGAATTATCACAACAGATAGAGTGGACGAGGTCAGTTCGCAACTACCAGTACTTAGATCCTTTGTCGAACCTCGACAGGCCATGACAAAAGTCGACCGTGCCAATTATGTCATGCACAAATCAGAGGCATATGAGGATTCCCCTCAGTGCGCACCGCCTCTCTCCTCCAAGCCTTACTACTAAGCTCTGTTCCACAGATCCATCGGGCATGGCGCGACCATATCCGCACCACACATGGCAAGTCCTTGCAACTTTGATTGCATTCAAGTTGATGCTAACGTACCTTTCTACAGCACGCACATGCAATCGAGCACCTTCTCGACTACCTTGGCCCGGGCAAGCGCGTCCTCGATGTCGGCAGTGGGTCCGGCTACCTTTGTGCCGTATTCCACCACCTCGTCCCAGGCGGCGTTGTCGTGGGGATCGATCACATCCCCGAACTGGTTGATTGGTCAAAGGGTAATCTTATACGAGATGGGCTGGGCTCCGCTCTCCACAAGGGCGAGATAGTCACCGTCACTGGCGATGGTCGCCAAGGATATACCGACCTTGCCAAATACGACGCAATTCATGTCGGTGCCGCTGCACCGACAATCCCACAGGAGCTGGTAGATCAGCTCAAGAGCCCTGGGCGGATGTTCATACCAGTCGGGACATTTGCTCAACAGATCATGCAAGTCGACAAGGACGAGAATGGTAAGGTCACAAAGAAGAATTTGATGGGGGTCATGGTAGGCTTTTTTAATTTATCTAATCCGTCGCTGATTTGTGGGCAGTATGTCCCCCTTACGGATGCAGAGAGGCAGCGGAGGGGCTACTGAGGAGGTCCAAGATTCAACGTTTCAGATCGGAAGGAGGTTCACTCAAACGAACGAAGTGCTGTTGTTATTTTCTTGTTCGCTTTCAACTAATCATGTATCAGTATCAGTCACCATTGATTACATTAACCTTACGTTTTTTGTTCACCTTCTCTGATCAGGAAAGACGGGTGTACCCCAGTTTTCAATCTACCAATGTGACATCGGAACCTGCAGGCGAGGAAAAATGTGACAGATATTACACCGTGGCTACGTGACTACATGCAAAGCTCAGGGTTGCTGTACCCGGACACGGTGTTTTGGGGAAGCTTGCCGTCAGTCTCTGGTAATTAATATTCATATATCCTACTGCTAGAGCTATGACACTATTCCAAGAGCAGCGCTAGTGCTTCATCAATGGATCCACCTACACGCTGAGCTTTTACATAATACATCAACAAAGGACCCTCTATATGTGAGTGTGCAAGGTCCTTCCACATAGCCGGTGCGACTAGCCCCAGGTGAACGTCTCAGGTGCGTTGACGGTGAACACATGCCAGCTGGTTTTCTAGTTTTCGAACGAGATAGGCCAGCTGGGGAATGTTCCAAAGGGTACGCTCAATTTGACCAGATGCCATGATGAAACAGGAAATACAACTACTTGTCATTTCGGGGTGGTCCAAACAAAATCAGCAACTACACTTGATATTTTGAGTCGAAACCCGCAAAGTGGTCGCCAACTATAGTCCCGGCTTGCTAGATATGCAAAATATTTACCAGTTATCGTTGGTCTGCATCACTAGTGAGACCAATGGTCCGAGCTTCTTACGAACTGCAGTTCGGCCGGCCCGTGCGGTACGTATTCCGTAACCTGGATAATACTTGGTCTTTGATAACGGCATGTTTATTCTGCAAACGGGAAGCACACCGTGCAGCTGTGCTTATTTTTTCTTGCGTGGTTCTGCTTTAACCCGCTACATCGATTTATAGCTGATAAGAGGCGCCACTTCCCGTGAACAAAATAAGTATAGCAGACTTCCTGGGAAAATGAGAGGGACCTGCGGCACATAAAGTTTGTGCTTATCGATCCATACTTATCTTCACTACACCATATGCACTAGCACTGTATTTTCCGCCGATGGCACTTCGACATAAGGTAGAGACGTTGTTATTAACTCACTCCCCAAGTAGATGGCTCTTTCACCACTTGTGCTTCCTGCCGGCGCTTAACAGCCAAAGGCTGAAATCCATTATACCTGATCTTCACATCCGAGCCGTTGTCCCAACTACAGGAACGGCCTCGATTCCCGCTAACGCCGAAGCTGTGTTGCTGAATATCCACGGGCGTTTGAAGGGCCCCGATGAAGTTCCCAAGGTATTACCGCCACTATTCCTTCAAATTAAAGAAGATCCGACGAAGGCTACACTTGACAGGTCCATAACAAATGACAGTAATCGATGTTCGCGATCTGGGGTTCATACTGTTTGTCGGGCTTGCATCTGCGGTTGTGGGCCATATGCAATATCATCCGTAGGAGCAACACACTCAGCATCGTCACTGATACGGGTATCATGCAAGAAGCAAGCCAACAACTGCGGTGCCAGCCTAGATAGTATATCCTCAATCGGATGAAGATCCAGTTTTTTGTTACTTATAGTTAGGAATCTATCATTTCCGAGGAGGCAAAAGCCTTGTCTTCTGGGTTTGATGTGCAACTGATCACATTCTACATATGCGAGTCAATTGTCAAGTCTATCATCACCTAAGTCTTTTTTAGCAAAGCTCACGTTCGATATTGTCGAGTTTTAACAGTCCCAGAGATAGAAAAGCTGCTTGGAGGTAGACATCATCTCCACCCAGAGCCTAATTAAGGTCAATATAGAATAGGCTCTCGGACCAGTCCATTGAATCATGATGATGATCAGACGTGGTGTGATACCCGATGACGATCAGGTTTTGCGCTGGGTCGATCCATACACGATCGATATACGCGTTGGGAGCTGGATGCAGTGATCCTCAGGCTGGAGACCAATCACACTGATTTGTTTGTTGACACTATTGGGTGTCATAATGGAACAATCGTAGGACGGGTGAGTCATGTAGACGGCAGAGTGACAGTACTCACTACCAAAAAGCATATATTATCATCCAATCCGGGGGAATCACCCAAAACTGTGAAAGCAGCAGTCCTGCCAGTAGAAGTACATCGGTATGGGGCGCAAATATAAATCACAATAGATACTATACTCTCATAGATGACGAAAATTCTACTCCTCCGAAGCCAAAATATCGTTAGCCACTTCGTCTTCTTCCTCTTCGTCTTCTTCGCTATCCATGATGGAATCGAGGGTACTATTTCCTGCAGAAGCAGGCTGAATGTCACCCCTCGCTTTGCTTGCACTGCATACGACCAAATGAGTATGTGCTGTCCTACTTATGCAAGCGACTTACGGCCTGGGCCTTCGCCCATTCTGAGAGGCAGGAGGGGGTGTAGCTTCCTCCTCCTCCTCCTCCTCCTCCTCCTCCTCCTCGTCACCATCATCCTCTATTAACTGCACCACCTGAGGTTTCTTTACCGACCTGCGAGCAAAAATTAAGACCATATTAAACGGGAAAATCATGACATGTTAACGCACGCAGCCCGCTTTGGCAGGGTTCGTGTGGGTGCTGGGGTAACATGGTCGTACGATAGGACATCATCCGAGTCATCGGAATCAGAAACACGTCTCCGCCTGAATAACAATTGATCGACTGGAAGTTGTTAAGGAACGAACGACTACTTACTTGGTTTGTTTCCCTTTGCTCTTGCCCTTTGGGTGCGATGAAGAAGTAGCAGAAGCCACACTTTCATCTGGTGCGATGCTGTCCGTGGTATCAGTAGCAATGCTTTCTGAGCGCCTATGCCACTCAATCAGTTTCAACGCGTATGAACGATATCTTAACAGAAATCACACCTCTTCCGAGCACGAGTGCGAGGTATGTCAACCTCCTCACCGTCGTCCAAGGGAATGATGTCATCAAGAAACTCGAACAGATCTTTCAAGTACTCCAGTTGCCGGTAGTCTTCCTCGTTGAAGCTCTCTAGCTGCTCAGCATATCTTTTCGAGATCGCAGCATCAAATTTCGCAAGGGCATTCTTGGCTGCTGCGTCACGGATCGGTCGACGCTATATGCGGATGATTTTTTGATCGACACAAAACCTTAAACGAACTCACAGAATTGAGGTTGTGGAGTAGTAATTTGAGTGTCCGGATTTTATCGTCATCAACCTTGTCCGGTAAGTATAGCCGCCCCAGAACCTGGTATAAAACTTTCTTGTCCTCTTCTGTAATTTCAGCGTTGGTTAATGGTTCGCCCCGGAAAGTTATTGACATACTTATCATCTTGTCGTCGAACAATGCTCTTGCGATATCGCTTGCCAGGTCAATATGAATTGTCTCGTCGGTTGGCTGATCTTGCACCTCGCTGCATCATCTTAGCTAGCACTTTTAAGATAAATAACGTTGCCTCACATAGCTTTCTGCGGATCGGTCCAGTCCACGAACATAGCTGCTATTTGGGCAGGACTAACCATCTCCTGAGTTTCGTCAACATTTCGGGTTTCTGGGGCAAGTTTCTCGAACAATCCAACAAACAGCTGTTGCATTCTCTGCTGGTTGACTGGGGAGGAGTAGCAGTATACAGGGAAGAAATAGGCAAGGCACTGGCGGACTTCTTGGTTGTCAATCGTGTCCGGGGCAAGATATGCAGCAACCAGGCTTTGCAGTACCTGAAGAGGCGTAACTTCCTGACATTGTGCAACAATTTATCGGCACCAACCTTATCATCGCAGATCATCCCGGCAAGGACAAGCTTTGCAAGGCCGATACACAGAAGGGCTTGCACTTTGTCCGATTCCTCATTTTCCAGGACATGCAAGAAAAATTCGACGATACGTTCGCTCTGTAGAAGCGTGAGCATAGCAATAAGGTTGAAGTTGTTTTTACCCACTGCGCCACCCTCTTTGTTCAAGAAGTCATTTTCGTGCACCATAAGAATGTCGAAGACGATCTGCAGCACACGGATCTTCAAGACCTCCGGGGCAGTCTGAATTTGACCCAAAAAAAGCTGGAAAGAGTTGAGAGCCATGCGCTGTGAAACTAATTAGTTTCTGAACCACATGATGGGTAACGCGAGCATACTCGAGCAATAAGACAACAAAGACCTAAACAAATGAGGCCCTTTTCACGAAGTACCAACTCCTTACGCTTGACGGCAGGAATGATTAGCTCGCCAAGGATGCCTTCGAGTGTCGAATTTTCCTCGAATGTCTGAGCAATAGTGAGTGATTAGGAAACTGAACATAAGTTATAACGCACTCCATTAACACGCTCCAACATGCCTATACAAAGTGACAGACAACGCAAATCAATCGCGTCCATGTGGGCTCGTTCTTCGGAAGACATATCTTCTGATGACTTTGGTCCTTTGGGTGCCATGCGAGTTGGCATGGGCGTTTCGCCAGAATTGGTCTCTCCGTCATCTGCAGGCTCCTTCTAGCAAAAATAAGGTTATCATGGGAATGAAATATGAACAAAGAGGTGTCCGACTTACTAGAGCTTCTTCTTCGTCACTAACATCCCTAAGTTCGTGGACTACTTCTACAACCACTCGAATAAGATCCCTCTCGTTTGGTGATAGTATTCGTAATACGTCCAAACATCTAGCGACAAGCGATTCGGGTAGTGCTTCCTGAGAGATCATATCTCTCACTAGCTGGAACATTTTCCGACGCCCAATCTCATCGGCGTAGTCCAGATTCACAGCGACCTTGAGCATCTCGCCTATGACAAATTCCTTGTCAATCCGAGCCTCTTCTTCTTCCTCAGTTGGTTCACCACGAATTACTCTTTCTTGCTCGGCAACCTCTAAGTCTTCTTGGTATGCATTGTAGGCAGCTTGGATATGGTAGGCAAGGGCAGTGACAACCGGGAGAGAAGCATCTAGTTTTCTCCGCATCTTTAATGGCAATGCAGTGGTCAACGAAAACGCGAACGAAAAAAGCTCGCTCTGGGGTCAGGTTGGCCCAGTAGGCATCTATGGATATACCAATTAGCTCCTCCGACCGAGATTCTGCAATGGAACATACCCTTAAACTCGACGTGGTCGGAAATATCATGGCGTCTGTCCAGAACACTCAGAAGTGCGTCCTCTGCAACCGTACTCTCTGTCAGATCAAAGAGGCCTAGAAGTGCGAGGACATCATCTTTAGCGGCCTTGCTTTCTTCGTTCTTGACGTCTCCACGAGCAACATCCACCCATTTGCTGAGTAACAAAGCTGCAGCCTGGCGAACCGCTGGCTCTCGATCACCTAAACCATTGCGAATGATGAGCTCTCTCTGGGCAATGGTAAGCACGCGAGGATGAACGAGCCCCATTGCAGAGTCATCGGAAACGAAGCAGTGTTGAACTAGGATGGCGGAATAGACCAACTTGCGCATGATCGTGTCAGTGTCGCGGGTTCGAGCAAGCACAGCATCTAGGGTCGCTGAAGACAGAGGAATGTTGAGCAATGCGGCTCTACGGACGTCTCTATAAGACAAGTGATGAGCACACTGTTGGACGTTTTATGACAGATGAACCAACGCGGCAGGATCACAACTAAGAGTCTCCAGCAAGACCTCGAGAGCAGTGGGTTCTCCTTCTTCCACGTCAGATGGATCTTCCGAGCCACATAGCTTTGAGAGTGCAATGACAGCCTGAACTCGAACAAATGTTTCTTTGTCATGCACGCGCTCGAACAGAGCTGTGCGGAGCTCAGTGTACAACTTTTCGCTGTGCCTAGTCAGCCCGTATTATTGCACAAAAAAAATTGCCAACCTAATTTCACCCAAGTGCGCGACCATCTCCGCCAAAAAGTGGACGCAGCGGTAGCGTGCAACTTTGTCCTTAGCTTCAAAGCCAATTAGGAGGAAGGCAAGCACTTTCTCAACAAACCGAGAGGCTGTAGTCTCATCGTCATCATCGTCCTCCTCCTTCTTTACCTCAGCAGCTACGATGAAATGAGATTTAGAATCAGTGAAATGAGCAGACATCATACCTCTCTCATTGATGTATTTTGTATACGCTCCAACAAACTTGACTATCCGGTCACCCTGCGAGGTTCCTTTCTTCACAACAGCCGCCCTGCATAGTATGTCTTTGAATTTCTCCTCGAACATACGCTCGCCGGTGAGCTTGAGGCTTCTGCCATCATGTACGGGTTCGGTGAAACTGGCAGCATCTAGGTGGAGTTTGTAGAGTGCAACGATATTCTTCTGGTGATTTGCAGTGGAATTTTGCACTTGGTCAAAAATCTTAGGGACGCTGGCGGTGAGGTTCTCCTCGACAGAAGATACGAGCCCTGGCATGGTGTACAAAGTTGCAAGATCTACAACCTTCACAGACGCGTTAGGGGTCACGTGCGTCGCGATGCTTATGTCATGTATTGGTCCCGTCGGCAAATGCCAGGTGTGATGCTTATATCAACCACTAAATATGGTATGTGTAGTTTCTGTGCTGAAACGTTTCCCTGCAACGTTGCAGGGGCATTCTGTCGTATTCTCTCAGCAGGCGATATGAATGGCTCGTGTTCGTCCCTGTTCCGCGTAAGGATCATGGCACGAGTGCCGCAAGGATAGGGCGCTATACCTCTTTGGTAAACCGCCAAAGAAATATAAACACCTATTATACCGGAGCGAGTCAGGTCGCCTGCAGGTGAAGGCGTGTTGCCCATCTTCGCCCTTGTCCGCCATCTCAGGCTGTTCTATCCTCCCTCAGTGCTTCACAATGACCTCAAGCAAACGGGCCACAAAGCCCGCTCAGGTCGACCCGTATCAGGCTCTGGATACTGCTCAGCCCAGTCGACAAGCTACGACTGGTAAGATCCGCGGGAAAGCAAAAGAGCCCAAAAAAACAGACAGAGACGAACGTCAACGCGAAGAAATCCGCTTTAACCTTGGCTACTCTTTCAGAGATACCCGCAGTGGCGCCAGCGCCCGTCGCAGACAAGCAAGAGTGCGGGAAGATGGGGGTGAGATTAAATCAAATGTCTCGAGGTGACAGAATTGAATGTCTCAACTGATCGGCTAGATACTTCGGATTATCCACCGCCTCCAACTTACGAGGTAGCGACCAGTCCTACCTTGTCTAGTCTTGCTTCATCTGCGCTCGCTTCATCTACATTTGTGGCTGGGGTTCATATGCACCCAGAACATTTGCCTGTCACAAATCGCACCTCCTCTTCGGGCTCTACACAGCCCTCAACTACGCATGATAACATCATTATGCACACAGATCCACTAATATCCGCAGTTACAGCAACTCCTTTATCAATACCCCCACCTGCGTTATCGCCTTTGATGATGCCCTTGCATACGCCGAGTCCCACGCTTGCACATGGGCCGAATCTTTCATCAGGGTCTTGCGCCTTCCCGGTGCCAGTACAGCAGAAGGCACTACTTGACGACGACGAGTCAAGTATAGAGCTCGTGGACGTAGATCCGCCTCAGAGATGGGAAATGGATCGACAACGTGGAGTTCCCCTCGAGGAAAGGGTGACGAGGCACCATCAGCGGTCCGTGGAATCACATGTTCCAGCCGTGTCGCAGCGGACCCGATTGTTTAGTCAGGCTCCAAAACGAAGCCCTACTTCTCAGTCTCGTTTTGCGAACTCTCGATTGTCACTCAGGATTCCTGAGGATCAAGATCCATATTCTGACGACCGCAGCGTGCAGGCATCTGATGCATCTTCTCCAGTTACGCCTAAACTCAAACTGCCTCTGCCGAGCCTTCCCCTTTCTCCATCGAGAATATTCCATAGGTCTCAGTCACCACAACCCTCATCATCCGTCATTTCGCTGTTGCGTAACCCCAGTCCATTCTTCAAGAGCACACCTTCACTCCTCAATCTATCTTCACCTTCCGCACTTCACGGTCACGGAGATCACCACTTTTCTCGAAAGCTCTTCCATCGGAAGCAGAAAGAGCGTGCAGGTGCTGAACCCTTAGAGGACTGGGAAGTCTTGGATCGCACCGACTCCTCTCACTCCTCTTTGGAAGACTCCCCCGGTCACCCTAGCCCCCCAAGCCCGGCTCCTGCACTAAGCTCAGGCTTTGTAGAGACGTGGCCTTATCCCGAGGTCTTTACAGAAGATACCCGCAGCCCAAATATAAACCGACACCCATACCGTCCTACCATTCGGACTACACTTCCGGTTGAAGATCGTCCTCAACGTCCGGCTTCTCCTCCATTCGTAAACCGGCATGTTCGGAGGCGCACGAATTCCAGCTTGCGTAGTGATCACACGTGTGCATCGAGCGCCCCAGTATCCCCAATTTCTTCGTCCTCTGCTTCCCTCTTTAGCTCCTCGAGCTTGTCGTTGGCCACAGTCGGAAGGACGCTTCCATCCTTTTCTCAACAGGATCTTGGCGTTTGCGAGGAATTGGAGCGATCTCGCCTCCCTATCCGTGGGATAACGCTGAGGGACTCACCAACTCTGTCATCCCTATCCTTATCCCAACCTTCAGTGGGAAGGGCGCTTACTTCCTTCTCGCAGATGAACTTGGGAACTCATCAAGTTCAGTATGAGCATGTTCGTTCACATTCGACGCCTCGTGCTGTTACTCAGCCAGAGCTTCCGAAGACTACCCGCACACATGCCAGAGCTTCTCCGACATCGGCTTCAGAAGTAACCTACATTGACTACAATGTGACGCCTGCTACACCCATTCCAGCGCCCAATAACTCGTTGCCTACCAGGTCTGCAACAGAGCGGGTCTCGCGTCGTCGGACTCCAGCCTGCCGCGAGGAAATCCTCATTCATCGTGGACGGTCCTTGTCGCGCGAGTTGGAGATGCGAAGTGCGCCAGCGTATAGTGCGATCTTCCCCTCAGGACCGCCTACCCCGCCCCCGGAGTCACATACCCCTCCGTATAGCCCTGCTCCTGCATCTCCTCGGCGTCACTATGCAGGCCGTCCTCTACCCCAGACCCCATCTACATCACCCTCTCTTACATGGCTTGTAAGCCGGACACCGGATCCGAAGACTCCCACCACTATTACAGTCTTGCACCACCCCAGGGCTATTCCCAAAAACCTGCATGTGCCCGAGGGCCTGTTGATCAATTTGGATGATGACAGCTTGGATCAAGCTAGCCCCTCCAGCGCTAGTCATACGCCTCCCTTCCCCATTCACACACCCCCGTTACCAAACCGCACTCCCCCTCTCCCAGACAGCACGCCCATGATACCTGATCGTACTCCACCTGCGCGTACTCCACCGCCTCTCCCCATCGACTATCTCGAGGACGACACTGACAGTGACAGCGTCACTGTGGGCAGCTCCAGTCCTCGTGGGCCACTCACGCCAACGTCAACCACGTTGCCATCTTCGTGCACAGTCACATCACCTGCAACCGAATACATTGCTGGTCTCGTTGGCAGCCTGGGAGATGATCACCCCCGCGATGACGGCTCAAATTATGACGTGAGTATTCGGGATGCACAGTTCTCAGGCCCGTACTTGAAGTCACCCACATGCGCAGGCCCTCCTCCTCATCTCCGATTTCATCGGTCCTGCCGCATTACATCGCAATCCTGACAGTTTAGATAACTGCCTTATTGGACTGGTAGAACTAGAGAGGCGAAGGGTGACAAGTGATGGACGTGTGAAGCTGAAATTGTCGCTGCTGGGTGTCAACGTACAGAAGTGTACTATCTGCTTGTCCCGGTTCAAAAATGGGGACCATGGCGTGTTGGGAGCAAAGTGTCGCCATGCGTATGTTCTTGTTTTTATAGCGTGGCTGCCGGCTTATATTATTCTGCAAGGTTCCACGAGAGATGTCTGATTCCATGGCTGGCGAGGAACCAGACCTGTCCGTTGTGCAGGGAACATTTGGACGTTCAGAACTGAATCCTTCCATTTTTCGAAGACCGATCATATCGAACTTTTTCTCTCAGAGTTTTGCTGGCCAAATCTCTTCTAACCTTCCTTTGAATTCATACTCATGCCTCACGCTGCATTTCAATTGACGTTATCCATGTACTGTAGTCAACACCCGATTGTGTTCCATGATGCAGTCAGGCTATGTACTGCTTGTTACCAATATGTAGCCTTAATCCTCAGCAATTGCTTGCCGTGCTTTTTCATCGGACAGTGACAATCACCGTGAGACGTCGTACTCTCCTAGGCTCTTTCCTCACTTCATGTTATTGGTACGTGCGATTCATAACTTGAACCATTCCTATCTCTAAGCAAAATTGTCATGCGAACCACTTCTCTTGAGGCCCGTGTCGTTAGTCTAAGGTATATGATAGCTAAACGTATGAATGTATGTAGTAAACACAACTCCAGCGAGGGTTACGGACGACGTCCTTGCGCAATTCTAACATGCGGCTGCCGCAAATGTGAAACTACACAATAGATCCTTGTCCTGGGTGTCTGATACAACACGCGGCGATCTTAGCGCAAGTGCGTGTTTCAAAGTTGGACTGCTTGTAATCAAACGAGCATGCCGCATGACATCACCGTTGGTGGGAGAATGTCTCGAAGCTGAACTGCTTGTAGCCAGGCGAGCACGTCGCATGACATCCAGCTTGTCTGTACGTACTTGCACACTGCCGTTGGTGGGATGATGAGCCCGATGGTAACGACCCGCGCTCCCGTACCCAGCAGCCCGACGCAGGGCCGGTGGTCTCTTTTTGTCTGGTATTCGATTTGCTGGTGGTGGTGGTGGTGGTGGTGGTGGTGGTAGTGGATGTGCAAAGTCTCTCATTTGCTCGACGCAACTTTTGAATCGAGTCTGTTTCAGGGGTCTCTCTGTGTTGCGAAATTCGCCAGAGGCATTATAGTGAGTCTTCCCGCAACCGACGTCGTGAAGATGTGGAGACGGTGGTGTGACGCTGGGCGCTTTGAGCTGGAATGGACTCTAGTCCATGCACTTTGGATGAATTGCGGATAGAGTTGAACGGAGAACGCGACAGGGAGCTGTCGCCTGACTCAACTGCTGACGTCTGAGAGGTCTCACCGGACGGTACGTTGACCTGGGAATGAAGGCCGCCCGAAGGGTACCATTTCTGATGTCCCTTTGCATGACCTTTGCACCGGCACGATACCGATCCATAAGGTGACGGTCTCCATAAATGGTTAAACCGCGTCCGATGTGCACGAATCCCACCTATTGTCGTCTTCCTTGCCCTCTTGAATGTTCATTTGCCTTCTCTTTGCACGCATGCGGGTGATGCCTTCGCGGCAACACGAGTTCCTCCGTTTCTGTTGACCGAGGAGTTGAACGCTTGCGACTATCGCTGGTGGAAGCGGAATGTCGAGTATAGCATGGGCAAGCACTTCAGCGTTCACATCCTTCTCATTAATCCCATCATCTGGCTCGGTCTTAGCGTCGTCGTCTGGCTCAGTCTTAGCATCGTCGTCTGGTTCGGTCTTCGTATCGTCATCTGCCTGGGTTTTTTTTCCATCAGAGCCTCTCCCGGTGATGCCCGGTGTTGACGGAGCGATGGCGATGTACTGGGGTTGGCGATGTACTGGGGTAATGGTGTCGTTAACGTGACCGACTGGCTGCACAACGGTCTCCTCGTGGATCACTGTCTTTGGGGCAGGAATAAACTGGGATGCAGCGTGCTCGTGAACGTCGAACTTGAGGTCTGCAGAATTTGCTTCAGAATACGATGTCCGTTAGTCCAGTCTTGCGAACAAATACAAATAATTCACTTACGACCGTACTCGTTCTCAAGGATGGCGTGAAGGCAATTGGCCTGCCCGGAGATCCCCTGTATCTCTTGTTCCCTAGCGGTAATCTCGTAAACATCTTGCTCCGCTGATGGTATCTCAGAAGAACCAGATAAGACGGTAGGCCGTTCTGGTGTGGGAGCCGAAAATACAGCCGAGTGGGCTTCAAAAATGCTAGAGGACCATCGCGAACTATGGCCGAACCCAGACTGAACAGCTGAAGGTCCGACATCGATAGGAAAATGACGTGCAGTAGAATCAAATGCAGGCTGAGAATAGCTAACTTCGGCGGTCGTAGAGAATTCCTCGGAGCTAGGCCCAACTGCAGACACAGCTGTTGAAACTCCGCCACATACGGTAATCGAAGTTGGAGATTCGTAGGTACAAGCATAGTGTATCGCAGTGGGGACATCAAGAGGAGGGAGGTCAAGGAAGGGCCAAAACGTATTTAGTTCCGCAGAAGGCTTCGCAAGACATTGCTCCAGTATCAACGTCGCAGGTTTAATGACAGCATCTACCATTTCTACGTCAATGCGGTCGGAATGGTCAATCCACTCTGATTGCGGAAGGGGACCTTTATTAGCACGGACATCACCGTTATTGACAAAAAATGCGCAGTCAGAAGATACGTCAAGCGAGTCGGAAGTGAAAGGTCCAGAGCAGAATGGCCCCGCGGTAAACCTGTCGTACATAGTGGCACTGAGGGAGGGTCCTGAAAACGTGGAGACTGGTTGCTCGGCAAAAAGCACTTGGCCAGGTAGGCTGGGAAATGCCAGAGCATGGGAATTGAAGGCTGCCCCGTACGATGGAGGATTCAGAAAAGGCACAGGAAATATCGATGTAAGAGACGAGATGCCGCTGTTTGCAAGTAAGTTAGGTGCATCTGTCGGCGAGTAAAGTTCACGCAGCGCGGTTGAGGGTGGGATGGGAAGCGATGGAGTGAGACCAGATGACGATGCCACGTGTTTTTCATCAACCTGGCATGCGGCAAAGGGGCTGTTGGATGCAACGCTTTCTGTTGATGATCCCAGATGCTCGATCGGCACGGCAGGTAGCCTAGCGGAATCGACTACAGGAAAGAGTAGAAATGGGGCTGCATGTGGTGACACTTTGGCATCAGTAGAAGTAGCGTCTACTGAGGTCTGAGTGGGACAATAGGCCTTGCGAATACCAGTGCCTTCCTCAACATCATTCGTCGATCGTGCATCTGCGCGTTTGGGTTCTCCTTTCGAAGCTGAGGGTGTCTTGGTATTGCTAGAAGGGGCGGGTGTAGAGCGGCGAGGAAAGCGACAGATTGTGTGAGAACAAAATTCTTCCTCTCCCGCAGAATCCACAATTTGACCATTCTCAGTCTTCCGTATTTCCCGAACAGTTGTGCTCAGGTTCAGTGCACTGTCGGGCACGGAATGGTTACTAGTGTAATAGCGCGGACGCCGGGAAGTCTTCCATAGGACGGGATCGTCGTCATCGTCATCCGGTACATGTACCTTGCATTTCGTGGGGTGACCAAATAGTTCTGATACTGCGGCCGGAATATCATCCTCGGCGATGTGGAGATTAGCCTCGACCTTCGTCGATAGATCATGATCAATAGAAGGTCCTACATAACACACTAATCCTGTAGAATCATCTGACGTCGTTGAAGCAGATGAGATCTGTGCGGAGGCCTTGGTGGGGCTATATGCCTGGGAGAAGTGGTACTGCATCTTCCGGGAGTGCATTCTTTGTGGATTTCGAGGAACAGCTTTGAGTCTTTGCCTGATGATGGCGTAGCCTTTCGAAATCATCATAAAACCAGTGAAGGAGTGACCAGGTAACGATTTGCCGTCCGAAGCTGTGTCAATGACTGAGTCAGATGTAGCCGGTTGAGTGTTCATAGATGTATTATCCGATTCTGTGGAGTGCTGATCGCTATCCAACTCATCGACTCTAGGATCCGCGGAATCGATTTCCTGTATCAGATCTCGTTTGTCTTTCCTGTAGGAAGATCTTCTGTAAAGTGAAGACCACAACTATGAAGTAGCGGCGTACCTAGCCTTAGTCAAACTCGTGACTTTCAACCTTCCCTTGCCTACGAAAGGCAGGTTTTTTTGGGTTAAATGAGCACAACATGATACCCTAGATGTATGAGTCCTGTGGACGTTTTCGGTGCCAAGATCACCAATGGGTAGATGATAAAACTCCGTAGTTCACGTCCACAGCAAAAGAAAGTCGGTACTGCAGGTCTCGGATCTTGTGGCTGTTATCACGTTTTGAGGGATGAGGAAGGTTATCGACGCAGCCACCACAGGCTCTTTTATTCGCAGCATATCCTAAATTCCTAATCGCTCCCGCTTTTCCAAACAATAAAGTGGCTTAGACTGGATGTGTTTTGACCGTCGCTTTGACCATCATGCGTGGCAGCTTGTAGTGGATCATGCAGAACCCCAGACTAAGGTTAGGGTTTTTAAGCGGTCACGAGCATGTTGACTTTACACGTGATGTATTACATAATACACACGAGAAACACGCGGTAGCCACGCCTTGAATTGTTGTCAGCCAAAGAACAGTTAAAGTTGGTCTTGTTTTGGCTCTGTTCATTTTCTGAGCACTTCTTCTCTTCTTTTCTCAAGACAAACCCTCAGACTTTCAAGGTGTTAGGCCATTGAAATGTCTGCTTATACTCATGCCCGTATGCCCGCCCCCTCCGATCAGCAGCAGCCCGTTCATCGTCGTCATCCCTTCACAAATGCAAACGTTCTCAATCAGCCTCACCTGACGTCTCCTGTAAAGCCACAAGAGAAACCCAAGGCAACTCCGGCCGACCCACCTTTGCCCAGGCAGAATAGCAAGACTACCCCTCCCTCACCCCCAAGAGTAATCGTCGATCAGAATCGACAAGTTCAGTACTATCGTGTAGGATTTCTCGGAGAAGTAGGACTTACCTCGATTGCCGCCTTGTACACACTAACCTTTCATGTTTCAAACAGGGAGGATTCGCGCGTGTCTATGAGGTGGCAGACGGTCGTCACAGTGCCGCACAACACCTTGCTTGCAAGGTCGTTACCAAATCGTCTCTGAAGACGAAGAAGGCCAAAACTAAGGCAAGTCTACACCACATCTGCTTATTCACTTGCATCTTGACACTTTATTTGCTCAGCTCTATGCAGAAATCAAGATACACCGTTCGCTCGCTCATCCCAACATTGTGCGCTTCCAGGAATGTTTCGAAGATGACGAGAACGTCTACATGACCCTAGAGCTTTGCACTAGCGGATCATTGATGGACATGCTCCGTCGTCGTCGTCGCTTCAGCGAGTGCGAGGCCCGATTCTTTCTTGTGCAGCTCATCGGTGCATGCCACTACATGCATATCCACCAAGTCATCCACCGTGACCTTAAGCTCGGGAATTTGTTCCTTGACTCGAACATGAACATCAAGGTCGGCGACTTTGGTCTTGCTGCCTTGATTGAGAACCCTGGTGAACGAAAGAAAACTATCTGTGGCACACCAAACTACATTGCCCCCGAGGTGTTGTTTGACACTGCGAACGGGCACAGCTTTGAGGTTGACACTTGGTCGATCGGTGTCATCTTGTATACACTTGTTATCGGACGCCCACCCTTCCAAACCAAGGACGTCAAGGAGATTTATACGTGAGGCATACCATTCTTGCATCCTGATTTCTAGTTAATCACTCGTGCAGACGAATCCGCGACAACGTCTACGAGTTCCCGCCTGAACGCCGTATTGCACCCGATACTAAGGACTGCATCACATCTATTTTAACACCTGACCCCTCAAAACGTCCCACTCTCCTTGAAATCCTTAAGTCGCCCTTCATCGAGCTCGGCATTGTCCCACCATTTATTCCCGTCTCCGCACATGATGCGCCCCCCGACTTCCGATACCTTACGCGTCCAATGTCCGTAGTTAACCTCATGAAGCTCAAGAAAGCTGTGTGGTTGGACGATGACCATATCTCGACCATAGCAGTTCCATCGGCTCCGGAAGACAAGGCGAAGAATCCGATTACGTCGACCATAGCTCAGCAAGAGAAGGAGTTCCAGAAGGCTGTTCAGCCTGGCAGTCCTATCTCTGCGCTGCTTAGTTCTGCCAGGCAGCCGTTGGTCATGTCGACAAATGGAATCAAGGAGTCGCCTTTGTTCAGGAAATTGCAAGCAGCGAAGGACACGAAATCACCTCTACGGACCGTGCGCACTGCACGTGGGTTGCAAGACATAGAAGAAGAGAACGATGCGCCTCGGGGAACTCGGGAGAAAAATCACGATCAGCAGAGACAGAAGGAGCTCGAATCGCAGAAGGCGAGAATTGTGGCCCAGATGGCTCCGGTTACTGGTCTTGGCGCACACCGCATCGATGAAGACCAGGAGAATCTACCTCCTACACGTAAGGATCTAAAGGGTAAGGAGCCGATGCGCGGGGAACGCAAGGAAACTCCAGTGCAGGATGTGCACTTGGAATCTCCGCAAGTAAAGCCCAATGGGTTTGATGCCGCTGCACAGACTTTGACGCAGGCATTTGACGCGAAGGCTGCCGGCAAACTGTTCCGTGATCCTCGTGATGATACTACCATCCCCGATGAGCGCGTTTTCATCGTGTCTTGGGTAGATTACTGCAATAAGTACGGAATGGGTTATGCCCTGACGGATGGGTCTGTCGGTGTGCACTTCAATGACAGTACGACCCTCATTCTCTCAGCGGACAAGCAGTGAGTTCTTGTCTACCTCTGAATCTTACATGACTTTACACGTGTCCCAGTCACTTCGATTACATTTCCTCTCGACGCCACGGAACTGTCTACGTTAGGAAGAACTATTCTGTGACCGAGTTTCCTGAGGACCTCAAGAATAAGGTCTACCTTCTCAAGCATTTCGAGCGCTACATCATGGACCGCCTGTACGGCGACTACGAGTACACCTTCGAGGACCATGACCGCACCAAGGGAATGGATTTCGTACAGAAGTATTTGCGTATGAAACACGTTATCGTGTTCAAGATGAGTCATGACGTTCTTCAGGTCATTCATTTTACCCCTTCTTCATGTGCTTGACAATTGACGCTGGGTTTATATAGTTCAACTTCTACGATCACTCAAAAGTCATCCTTTCGTCTCATGGTTTACTGGTAACGCATATCGACAAGAACTACAAGATCGCGCGATTCACGCTCAGTGAGATTATGGCACTATCTTTACAACCTCCTGTTGCAGATCCCGAAGAGGCCAAGTTCAACCAGCGACTCGTAGACAAGCTCAAGTACTGCAAGGAGGTGCTTACATCTATCCGTAACGCGAGCGCCAACCAAGCTGCGACTGATGATGACGCGGGGATGGGGGGAGGGCTGGTCAGCGCGAAGACGTCCAAGGCATCGCTGCGGTGATGCATGTGATGGATGAAGCGCGTGTATACTGTTGCATAGGCTGTCGGTGGTGTTAGGCCTCCGTAGTTTTTTTCTTTTTTCGCATTCTGTTGTCTGCTCATTATAACATATCAAGCAAGCTTTCGCTCTCGTAGGCATCAGTACATGTTGGGTTTTCTTTTAGCTTTCGTAAAAGCACTACGGGCATACGCGCCTTTTGATTATTTTTCTGCTCTGGCAGCTTGTCGTTCTCAATATCAAGGATTTTCCACATTCTCATTTACATGCATCTCGTATAAAACTAGCATCGTGTAAAAGTCGTTCCCAGATCCGACCATGATAAGTTAACACGCCAGGCTATCAATATGGGTTGGTTGAGGTTGTGAAGGCAATCGAGGGGTATATATCCATGTTTAGACAAGGCTGTCCGAAGCAGCCAACGCGTGACGCGTGAAGTGGCGGTCTTAAGACCCAACTTTGCGACAGTGAAGGAGATGGGCTCGTGAAGTCCGATATTGCAGATTCTGTCTCTCGCTGAAAAACTGCAGCCCTGCCTTACAAAAATATTGTTCGTTGTGTATCCGTGACTAGGAGTGTTGATTGATTGTTAATCCTCAGGCCTCAGGCCTCAGGCTTGATGCTGAAGCTGAAGTTTGTCCTGCAGACATGCTGAGCGCTTCGTCAGACGTACATGTCCTCCAAGCTTCAGTATATCACTGAGCTTGGTTGCCAGCAACTGCTCCATCTCGAGAACCACGCTTCTATTTTCAAGCACCAGCAGAGATAAATCCTACGCGGATTCCAGAATGGTTCAAATTTGACATACACTCACTGCAAGATCGTCACCATATCAGAACGATTCCGACGTTATGGGCACACATTCCTCGTCCACGGACATCGTATTTTCCCGCACCATTTGCAATGGAGAGTTGGTGCTGGCAGGAATCGAGTTCTGCACACATTTCCTCCTAACCCCGACGTGTATTCCCTTCCTTATTGTCGTCGTCATCAGCATCTTGCGACAACTGCAGTGCAACGGCCGAAAATGAAGATGATAAAGGCCAAAGGGCCATTGCTCTCAGGTATATTCTCTATGACGTCATCTGACTCGGACTCGTCAGTGAGCAATATGTCAGTGTCAGCGTTCATGACGGGTTCTTGATCTTCCAGTGTCATATGGCTGCCTGTGAGATAGCGGTCAGTGACAGTTTCAGGGTTGCTGAGAGATGGTTGAAGCAGCGCTGGGCTGTACCATCAATAGCATGTTGACTATGAAGCTCCATCTTGAGGAATGACATGTTGCGGTTCTTCTGCATACCCAAGCGAGTCCGTCTTTTTTTATTTTGTGTTGCCCGTCGAGGAAAACAGGATGTGGAGCTCATCACAAGTTGGACAAGCTGCACAAGTGGATTTTGAGAATCGAGTAAGCCCCAGATGCAGAGAGGGACACAGGAACCAGGTCCTGAGAGACTCGCGAGAATCGGAGAGATCGATGATAACGATTAATCTTGTCGGAGGATCAGAAAGTAACACCGTGAAAACAAGATACTGGAGTAGTGCCAAATTGCTCAAATTTTGTTGGCATGCCCTGGGTACGATAAGATAGATCATCTTTTGTTATGTAAAGAATCATAGCATTTGCCAGGGCTGAGAAAAGTGGCGTTCCGGCGGCTAATAAGTCAAGGGACCCTTGGCACATGAACTGGATTAGTCCGTACTCACATCAAGCAGGACGAGTCGGACAACTTCAGTCACTCTAAATTGCGTGATGGACTACATATTTCCCCATCGGTTGCGGTCCATGCAAGATACCACCTTGTAATGCCTGTCCGCGGCCGACTAGGTGCGCCAAATAATATCAAACCACCCTGAATACTGATAGCCTCAAATACCAAGTGTTGAAGAGCTATCACATTGTCACTGTCACTTTATCATTACTCCTTAAGACAATGTCGTTACCTGACAATTCTACTGTGCTTATTGTTGGCGCAGGCCCCGCTGGTCTCACTGCTGCTCTTTCTCTCATCCACCACGGGTGTCGTGACTTCGTCATCGTCGATGCTATAGTCGAAGGACAGAACATATCACGGGCTATTGCTATACACTCTGCAACCGTCGAGGTACGCTGCCACCTGGCGTTCATAAGAAGCCCCCCCTAATGACTTTATGATCATAGGCTTTAGCCAGCATCAATGCAGCGGACGTCTTACTATCCAGAGCTATTAAGGGGAAGAGTATCAGAATGACATCCCGTGATTCGCAGATTTTTGAGGTCAAATTCGACCCTCTGAAGAAACATTCTGCTCACCCTTACGCACTCTTCGTCCCTCAAAATGTGACCGAGCTTGTGCTTGTGCAGAAGCTGCAAAGCTTTGGTGTTCAAGTGCAACGTCCGCACAGGGTGATTGGAATGAAACAGAACGAGCAGGATCCTCACATCACCGACGTCTCCTTTGAAGATGGTCAAGTCATCAAAGCTAGATATATCATCGGCGCAGATGGCGCTCGCTCGACTGTGAGTTCTCGGTGCCTGCTAGCTTAGCTTTGTGGAATGTCTAACGAGCACCTTTAGATTCGTACCATTTCTGGGATAGGGTTCTCTGACCCAGAAGGCAAAAACCCAAGTAACCACCTATTGGCTCAAATGGTCGTCGCGGATGTCACATTCGAGCCCGAACCTGTTGGTCCGCTAACCATCGAAGGTCACCTCAATAACACACTTTTCTCAGGCAGTGTCCTTATGCTCATGCCATTCGGCAACCGCTTCAATGACGAGCTGACGAGACATGGAAAGCCCACCACAAAACCTATATTTCGTGTGGCTTGTGCCGTACCAGTGGAGAACGGAGAGCCGCCCCATTCACCGCCGAAGGAGTACGTCCAGGACTTGATCGACACATATGGTCCAGCGTGTATAACATCAGTTCTATCCCTTAATTCGACGCCTGTCAAGATCGACCAGCTGATCTGGTCGACACGTTTCAGAACCCATTCAGCCATCGCTGACCGCACCTTCACGCGTCTTGGCGCCGCAATTTTCCTAGTGGGTGATGCAGCCCATATTCATTCACCCATTGGCGGCCAGGGCGTGAACCTGGCTATCAGGGATGCAATATTTATCTCAGAGGCTGTCACAAAGCATATTCAAGCATCTGCAGAAAATCCCGATGTGGATGACACTATTTTGCAGGAAATTGCGGAAGCACGTCACGCTCGAGCGTTGGAAATTATTGGCTTCACAAAGAATCTTTTGAAACTCGCGAGCCTGACGTACGATCCATATGCTTGGTGGATGCCGTTTAGTCTGGCCTCTCTGCGCGATCTGGTGCTAAGGATATTGGGCAGGTTTGATTTCGTGCAGTCGAGGATTGCATGGGGCCTGAGTGGGCTTGGAAGACGGTAATCACGCATTCTTGGAACCGCACTTTGTTTCTATCTATTTTGTACGATTATCGGCGAGTAAGACGTTGAGAGCCAGTACTGCCAGTGAAAGCTTGCGTATGCTGGTCGGTACCACTATTCCACGACCTATAGCTGACTCAGTAGTACTTAGGGGCTGTCTATATGTAGACGCTGTTATTCAAACGACCGAGTACTGGCTCATACCATCTCGTATCACGACAGTGAACCAAGCTAAAAAGTAGATGAAGCCCAGATCTACAGGGCTCTTAGCTCTCGCTGAAGAACTCCAATCTTATATTCTGAGCTTCCTTCCTCACCAGGATATTCTGCGTTGTACATCCGTGAGTGCCAGTGTTAATTAATCGATCCTTTAATCTCAGTGATCATCGTCTTGCAGGTATGCAAGACGCTTCGCCAGACATACATGACCTCATCCGAGCTTCAGTATATAACTGAACTCGGTGGTCAGCAGTTGCTCCCCGTCCCTGACACAGATCTCGACAACCACACTTCTATTTCCAAGCGCCTACAGCTTCTGCGGGATAAAGCGCACGCATGGTTCAAATTTGATATCCATTCTTTCGAAACAATTTCTATGCCAGAACAATTCCACGACGCCAAAACATCTCTCGCCGACGGGCATCTCTGCTTATTCAACGAAGATGAACAATCGGCCAAGATCTTTCCAATACTGCCCAAACCCTCACAACACAAGATCGAGCGTGATTGGCCTTCAGGATCACTGTGTTCAATTCAAAATGCGGATAGTATCGAGGTATTTATGGATCCGGCGCAAAACTTGATTGCCATTGCGTGCATGATTGCCGATGAAACCCTTGGGATGGATGATGAGAGGTTGTATATCGACCTTGGAGCCCTGGATGGAAATGACGCTGTCCACCCCGAAGCCGCAGGAAAGACGTTGTTCCTGTCGGTGCTTCCAAGATGCGAGGACGGCCTTTATACAATAGAAAATTGGAAGCTCGAGGGTTTGGGGAGGCATATCGCATTCCGGCGTTCCCTGCTGGTTCATGAAGGCAGCTACAAGTTCGGCGAGGAGATATGGTTTTTGCAAATTTGGGACTGGCAAAAATCAACAACGTCCAGTGTGAGCTTTGGTTCGAATCACTTAACAGTTGGCGGTTGACACTCAGTTTATTAGTGCGTGCTCAGTGACACTATAATAAACCCAGAGGTCGGGGAGTCACTTGATTTTTGTTTCCTCGGAAACGATAGACTGCTGATTGTCAGCAGGGACTTGAAGCTCTATTCGATTGAGGATCTGTCACAGGCGCCTCGACTGCTGGCCTGCTTCCTGATGCCTGTATCAGTGACGGGCATACAGTGCCTCCTTCCGATGGACAACATTGCACATAGCTCACAACTGCAGATGCAAGCCCAACGAACACTGTGGACCTCGGATCCTAAAAATCGAATATTATCCCTTATCACACGCACTCGGGACGCCACAAACTCATTCACATTCGTCATTTCCACTAGGATTTTCTTCGATCCCCAAGCTGGGGTCTTTGATGGAATGGCAGAGATCCCATGGGAATGTTGGGGCCCTTCAAATGCTCGTGTTTTCGTACACAACTGGCGGTGCAGAGTGGGCGTTAGCGGGAATCGAGTGTTGCAGGCATTTCCTACAACAGACGCGACAGCGGAAGATCACCCGGAAGACATGGATTACAAGTTACATATGATGGACTTCAGCCCGTTAGCTGTCGAGCGCCGGCAGGGTTTAGGAATAGTAGTGACAGAGCCGTCTACGATAGAAATCACCGAATCGGCAGAGACGTTGACGACATCCCTGCCTTACGTGGAGGTCGTGTCGGATAGAGTATTTGGTGCCGACCAGGTGATAGACATATGGGTTGATAAGGACAGGATTTATTTGCCCAAGTTGAATTCAGAGGAATCCGATAGCGTAAGTTCTTGTGTCTCAAACGAAGTCCGACATGCTAATTTTTGTTTAGGACGGTATAGACGAGCTCGAGGTCATTGAGATTTAGGGCGGAGTCTGTACATCCTGACACCTGAGAAGCTAGTTATGAAGATTGTCAGCCAGGATCGTAGAGGCACATGATCATTTATCGCAGGGGCCCATGTCCATCCGTAGCGCGAACCAAGTAGCGACTGATGATAACAGGGAGGTGTGCGGAGAACTAGCATGAAAGTATTGATCTATGTGGTGTTATAAAATGTTCGTAGTGTCAATTAGCTTCCGTAGATGATATTTCTCGATGCATGTATCACATCATTCCATGCCAGGCAAGTGTTTGCTAGTAGGAATCAATGCCACATTATGGAGTCCCTTTTAGCTCTTCTCGTCCTGGGTGAATGGAAGGGCCACGTACATAAGGATAAGGAACCATCCCGAGCTCGTGGACGGTGGGTCAAGAAATTTTCTATGAATGCGTTCGAAGTGGATACGTAATGAGGACCGGTAGAAAGCAGCAGGGGTGAACTTGAAGAATGCCGATAGCACGACTTTATTGTCGAGAATTGTGTGATTCCCAGCTGTCGGGTAGGAACAAGGAACAGAACATGTGGGAGACAAGATGATATCAGTGAGAGATTCACCAGATGTCACAATGTCTTCCACCTATTCTTACTGCTAAGCGACACAAAGACTCGCAACTCATATGTAGGTATGAAAGTCAAGCACAAGAATGAATACATGCATAAGACACTCTGCACAGAAGGCATCAATAGTTCTTGTCCTTCGAGCGCTCCATGGCTGAAAGCCATGATGAGCCATCATTTGTCATATGCAACAACCCACTTACGATTGTAATGTAGAAGCTTTTCGATAAGGTCAACATGCGTGAGCACCATTCGTCGACAGCAATATCGCTTCAGCTGCAACTCATCGAGAGCGTCACTGGAATGTCATCAGGTGATGTCACAGCTGGCAAGCTCGCAGAAAGTTACCCTTCGCTCATATCATTGGCTAGCAACTCGAGATATGCGTTCCATTTGTCCCCGATGACTTTTCCGCATGAAAAACATCTCACAGGGATAATCTGCAAGCATAAAGTTAGCTTATTCGCAACCCAGAGAGTGAGTGCAACTCGCCATAGTGGTGGTTTGAGAGACCAAGGAATTTCGAAAATGGAGCTGGCAATGCTTACGTGATAAACACGAAGCACGTGCTCACAAGAGGAACCGTGTTGGCGCGCTTTACCTTTGACCATCAACTTGACAGATATCAGCCGTGTTTTAGTAGTGTCCGTCATGAGTGTATCCTTCGAGCTTCAAGATGAGCTGCAGGCACTTCAAGACATTGCAAACTACGATATCCCAAACGAACAGGATCCTAACAGTAACGATCCCGGCCCCTTATTGCAACGTACGCTGGCTTTTGGTGCTGGCGCTCGATACTCACTGACCACGAACTTAGAGGCTGTCGGAGCAATTGCTCATTCGTCCGACGAAATAACTGATCCAGAGATATTTGATATATTCCGAAGTCTTCTCAAGCATTCCGATGCAGTCGCTGGTGCTTATATGAGCAAGATGCTCGATGCTCTACTCTCTGCATTTGGAGCTCAAATTGATGCTGCAATACGCGACTCCAAGGAAGAAGACCAACAGATCGTTATGGCTCACAAGCTGCCTTTAGAAATGTATGCCTTCTTGGTTAATTGGTTTGTGGGTGCTGTAGAGAAGGTGAAGGCAACGGGCGAGGAGGACGTTCCGCCAGCACCTGTGAAGGCGCGTCGTGGGAGGGGTGGTAAGACTGGTACCTCGAGGGTGGCAGTGAAGAAAGCGGAACAATGGACATGGATCGACCAGATCCCTGGCACTCTGGAACTCATTTGCAAGGCGTTGAAGCTGAAGACGCATCGCATCTGGGTGACTAGCCCGGAGAGAGATGCGTTCATAACGTACGTACAGCTTGCTCTATATCACACGGTTTGGCGGGGGATGCGCCAATTCAGTTGTCTAGACATCTATTGACCCTACTTCAGGTGCCTTACCCGCCCCGCGTACCATGTTGCCGAGTCCGAGCAATACATGAAGATTCAAAATATCCGCATGCATGTTTACAAAGTTATTTGTCTTGCTGTAAAGCACCACGGTCACACACTCGCTGCGCAAATCAACATCATGCAATCCTTGCAGTACTACGAGCACCTCTCCGAACCCATGGCAGAATGCCTTTCTATCCTGGCAAAGGAGTTTGATCACGCCCAACTTGGCGACGAGATACTTCGCGAAATTGCTGGAAAATCGTTCAGTGCACAGGACACCAAGGGTCCAAGAGCATTCTCTCGATTCTTGGTTAGGTTCAGTGAGGAGTCGCCACGATCTGTACTCAAGCAAGTCAGTCTCTTGATTGGTCATCTCGACTCAGAGGTGCGCTCCCCAGGAACAGTTCTTCCCCATCTGACAAGCATGTAGTCTTATCCTATGCGCATGGCAATCGTTGAAGTTATCGGTTCACTCATTCGCGAACTCGCTATATCGGAGGACATCACGAATCGGACGAATGCCTCTAACCAGGCGGGTAAGGAGCTTGATGGGCTGTTCGAACTCCTCCTTTCACGAACGCTTGATCTATCCTCTTACGTACGCTCTAAGGTCTTCGCAACACTCTCGAAGATGCTCGATTTGCCCTTGCGTCTCCCAGAGCAACGACTCCGGATTACACGCGCTGCCGTTGATACGCTGGAGGATAAGGCGAGCACAGTACGCAAGGCTGCTGTTTCGATACTCGTGAAACTGATTCTGACCCATCCATACGGGGAGATGTATGGAGGTGACTTAAACTTGGAAAAGTGGGAGGAACGGTATAAGACTTGGAAGGACAAGTTAGAGGAGATGGAAGGCGGCATTGGGAAAGCAGTTGAGAGGGATCAAGACGACAAAGAAGAGGTAGAGTCGAATGTCGAAGAGGAAGGTGTTGATGAGGACGAAGATGCGGAAATGGAGGACGCAGATGCAAATGATGACGGCGATGCACCGTCAGACAACCTGAAGCCTAAAAAGAAAAAGGCAGCCCGGAAATCTATCGTCAATGTCACAGCCATTGTTTCGGAACAGGAAGCACTTGCTGCCCTGGAGACTAATGAAATTCTTGCCATGGGTTTGCGCAAGAAGTATTGCACGGAGGCACTGGACTTCGTCCGTACCCTGGAAGGCGGGATGGTGTCACTCACGCAACTTTTGGGGAGCACCAACAAGGCAGAAGTTTTGGAGAGTATGGAGTTTTTCAGAGTCGCATTTGAGTACCAGCTTGCCAGTGCCGAGGTGATACATATGATTTTTCCGTGTTAGAGCCATCTGACCTTACTACCAGAAGGGCATCAAACGGATGCTGCATCTTATATGGCACAAGGATAACAGCTCAACGTCGGAGGACGGGAAGGAGTTGAAGGGAGTGCGGTCGAGGCTCCTCGAATGTTACCGTATGCTGTACTTCGACCCCTTACCCGACATGGAACCCAAGCAGCAAGTGAACCGTATTGCCAAAAACATGATCGAGTAGGTCCAGTTTACTTTCTCAGATTAAAAACCGCTTGAACATTTGTAAAAGATTGACATACGATGCAACCCTTGCAGAGCTTACTAGCTTAGAAGAGATGATGCGTATCATGATGGAAGATGGTCAGATCCATTATGATGTAATCAATAAGTTGTGGCAAGTTTACAGTGGGAGATGCTCCATTGCAGTCCCAAGTACTATTGGCTCATATTCATTTTAGGCGCTCCTCAAGCTTTGCCCCGCTCTCAGCGTCGTGGTGCAATCATCATCCTTGGAATGTTGGCACTTTCGAAACGCACCATCATTTCTGAGAAGGTCGACACATTGCTGAAGATCGGTCTTGGATCATTCGGCAAGGTGAGCGCGAGTAAATACCCTATCAATACAAGCGCTTATCCTACGGCAGGCCGATCTCACTCTTGCAAGGTACACGTGTCTTGCCCTGCAGCGCTTGAACGGCAGTGCGAAGAAGGTCAAAGGTACGAACAGAACCGTGCCTCATCAATCATTTTCTCATACAGGCAACAGGATCTCTTCTCGATAAATCCCTTCGCATGGAGATGGAGAACCCCATTTTCTGTAGGTTGCAAAACACCATAGAGCACCCTTGTCGATCGAAAGACTGGTTCGGCATGGCCGAACAAGCAATTAACACTATTTACGCCCTAGGAGAGCACCCCGACGAGCTTTGTAATAACCTTGTAAAGAACCTTACGCGGAGGGCATTTGCCAAGCGGCAAAATCCGGAGGAGCCTCCATCCGAGCCAGACACAGAGACGATGGAGGTGGATCAAGAGATGGAACTCCCGGAAGCAGCCTCGCACGCACCCTCTAGTACACATATCTCTGCCCAGCAGTCGAGCACGAGCGAGGAGAAAGATCTTGGAGATGTCTTCCATCTCAGTCAGCTGCTTTTCGTCGTAGGTCACGTAGCCATCAAGCACTATCGTGTTTTTGGAGCTGGTGGAAAGGGAGTGGAAGCGGCAAAAGGATGAAAAACAGCTCGGTATGTTCACTTGCAGACAACTTTAAACTATCGAATGACGTTTTACGTAGCGGAAAAGCTTGCAGCTGGGGGCTCACCCAACAGGGCCAATAAAGAGACCGAAGAGCTTGACCAAGTTGCTGGCAATGCAGAGGACGAGATTGGTGAACGGATAGCTGCAGTTCGCGAAACCGAGCTGCTCTATGGAGAGCAGTCGTTGCTGAAGTTGTACGGCCCATTACTAGTTCACGTATGCGGTAGTCCACATAAATTCAAGGCAAGTGACGAGTTGTTTTTTTCTGTCTCATTACTGACAGATACACTAGAATCGCACACTCCGTGCCGTTGCAACCCTATCGTTTAGCAAGTTCCTTTGCATCAGCTCACAATTTTGTGATCACCATCACCATCTCCTCTTCAAGATCCTTGAGACCTCGAAAGATCCAAATATCCGTAGTAACATTGTCATTGCTCTTGGCGATGTAGCAGTCTCGTTCAGCAACATCGTCGACGAGAACAGCAATGAACTATATAAAGGCCTTTCTGACGGAGATCTTGTCGTAAAGAAGAACACACTGATGGTGCTCACACACTTGATCCTCAACGGGATGATCAAAGTGAAAGGTCAGCTAGGCGAGATGGCCAAGTGTCTAGAGGACGAGGAGCCACGGATATCCGACCTTGCGAAGCTGTTTTTCACGGAGCTGTCGACGAAGGACAATGCCATCTACAACAATCTACCTGATGGTATGTCTCAGTTCACTCTTAGTATCGTTAACGTCCTTTGTATCATCATTCTAGTCATCAGTCACCTGTCCACAGGTGACCACGCGGTCGAGGAAGAGATTTTCAAAAGCACCATGCGCTACATATTTTCTTTCATCGAGAAGGCTTGTCCTCATCTCTTTCCACCGTCAAGGTTCCAATTCATTAAACTTCTAACAGGAAAAGCAAGCCGAAAATATTGTTGAGAAGCTGTGCCAGCGTTTCCGACTCTCTGAGGATCCCCGTCAATGGCGCGATATTGCATTCTGCTTGTCTCTCCTTCCATTCAAGTCGGAGCGATCGGTCAAAAAACTCATTGAAGGCTTGCAGTTCTACCGCGATAAGCTGCACGAGGAGGGCGTGTTCGACAGGTTTAGTGAGATACTTTCAAAGGCACGCTCCAATAAATCGGCGAACAAGCCAGACACGGAGCTCAACGAGTTTGAATCGGTACGGCCTTTTTGCCCCGGATTACTGTAACATGAGCCTCAAAGTCTTCCAGATACTTGATGAACACCGACGTCAAGGCGAAGAGGACCAAGCCCTTGAAAAGCGCGTTGAAGGCAAGAAAGCAGCTGCGAAACGGAAAGCTACACGACGATGTGGGTTTTATGTGTACTCCTTGATTTCTTACTAACCTATTTTGCAGCAGCGCGCAAGAAAGCTGTTGAAGCTGAGCCTGAGCCAACATCACACGCCCGGCCACACAGGATGATGACGAAATGTATGTGTAATCCAGACTACACATTCGGGGTCTCTTGGTATGTACCTATACAGCCGGCACGTAAACTAGTATTTCTGCAGGTGTATCACGTTATAATTTGGTTGGAAATGAATACTTGGGCGCCTTGCAATTCACGAGTCATGACAGATATTAATCTGTGCTCAAAATTGGTACTGGTTTATTCTCTAGGCCTCCAGTGACTTGATTTTTGGCGAGGTGATTGGTTCACCTCTGTGACTGCAACCATATTCACTTGTTGATGGCTTTTCCTAATTATAGAGACTTGTCAGGCATACTGTGTGAAGTCCACCAGTGACATGCGAATGCCGAGCATATGCAAAAGCGTTGTCTGCTGCGACAACTGTATTCAAGCCATGGTTCAGCCTCTCAACTGCGGCAGCAGTTACTGAGTCAGATCTTACAATACTGCCCAGACAAAGCTGTCGTGATATTAATATTCGTCTTTTGGTATGGGATGTATCTTTTATACTTTGATGGCGAATCATAATTTACAGGGCTTCCAAGTTGGAGATGCGGCTCAGCTGCCTCTGCCAGTAATGAACCCTTGTATTGAATTACATCAATTCTGGCTATTACGTGTCGGAGTGGGTGTTCAGCATTCAAGTTTGCCCTGAACCTGAGGACCTCTTCGCTCCCCATGGCACAAAGGTTCTTTCAGGAACAGCTCAAACTTTCAACGTAAGTCATGGTACCATCCACCGATCACCTTACGTCACACAATGTCGCCATCTTGATCCAAGTTGAGTACTATCCTGGCAGTTACTTACGTGGTTGTTGGATCAGTGATACCAGTGCACACTGCATCTGGGTCAGTCGCAACTTCATCAACGAGTGAGATGCAGTTGATTCATGGCTGGAAATACAACACTATGGTCCTTGTATTTCAACCCCGAAATGCGCTCGTAACACTGTCCAGCACCCTCGAACCTGTGCGAGTGCAGTGACTGCGGATTCAGCATGTTCAGATCCGACTGGCAGCTGCCAGACTTCGCACTAGGAACCCTTGATGGGCCGCATGATGATTTACTCCAAGGGTGTGTTGCATACACACACCACAATGATAGCAAGAATAATGCGACGAATCGCTTGTCAGTGCTACTTATTTCACATCCGAACCACCCTCTTTTGCCAAGGTCAGCTGCTTCGTCGAATTCTGCATCTAAACCATAGCCTTAAGGAGATCGTGCAAAACCTACCTGGCAATAACTTGGGGAATATGTGAGCTTTGAATGTAAGCCCCGAAAGAATTCATTGATGTTCATGCGTATGAATACGCGACGAGTCTTGAAGGTAGCTCCCCATCGCTCCTTTGATTACTCTGAGTGAGTTCAAGGCCTAATTTCATTCGTCCTTCTTCAAGTTTCTGATTCATTCCCTAGGGATCTTTATCACTGCGTTGAACACTTGTTTCAAATCTCTAATATTATACGCAACGTCTGTCCAAGATGTTTATAGCCAGTCCCTAATAATCATACTGGGCACCCCGGCAGCCATGGGGGATATTATCATTTTCAACAAGACCTCATCCACGATCTCTGCCCGCGTCACCAATGAGGGGCCACGAAATATGGAACCGAGACAAGTGGCAGGTGGCCTTCGCGTTGAAGAACTCGGCCCATCCATCTGGTAGCGAGGCGAAGACTTTGGTTGTGAAGCCTGGAGAGAGTTACAACATCAATACTTAGAAGCATAGTGTGCACTGTGCACGCTGCTAGTACTGTATTGTGATATACGTCTTGTTGTACAACGATAGTTGCAAGGTGGAATCAATAGGTGTACTTGTCAATTTATACAGCGCAACCAGCACCAACGGTATGAAAATTCTGACATACATATAGCCCGGAGTGGAGGGGCAACGAGAGCGAATGACTCGGAGGAGCAGGAGTGGATGGTGGGAGGAGGATGGATTATGGGGGGACGTATTGGATAGCAAATCCTAGGCTAGCTTGAGTCAGCGCGTGTGTGGTTCTAATTCAAACTCTTTACCTCGAATATTCAATATATTATATGTAACCAACCAGAGGTTAATTCTGAGAATTCCGATGTGGTTCTGCTGTCAGTTTAGGTCCGAGGACAATAAACCCACGTCCGCACAACTTATCTATGCGGTGTCTGTTTAGACCTAGAAACGAGTCTAGTCTAACACATCAGGATTCACATGATATGCGGCATCTGTATATATGGATTCTGTACCTACACTAATCCAGCCTCGCTATTTTCTCGTCTCCACAAGTCGTAAGGGTGCCAAACGCATGCTAAGCGTCGCTAAACCTGTCCTAGATAATCATCGTGAGCGCTGGAAGTTCTGATTGACTCGGACGCAAGATCAATCTATTTTCGTATATTACTGGGCTTTACTAACCAGGACCCATACATAACCTGTATGAAGTTAGAATAGAGTCTCGGCGGGTGATTGAACAAACGCTAATATCACAGAACTTAGAACAGAGTGTAGGTACGAGTCAGTACATGTGAGTACTATAAACTGCAAGATACTAACATACCTCGGCGAGTGATTGAACAACACTGAGGTAAACAAGATGAAGATGACTAAATAGGCATCATAGAGTCGGAGTCTATGTATTATAATCACAGAACATTAACATGCATCAGATCCTATCACAAGATAGAACAGGCTTGACAACGTGGGAGCCTCGGGTGATTTAAAAAATTATAGCATTTGGAGCAGTGATTGTCGAGAAACAAGCGTTTGATTCTAGGGGGTGGCGTTCCGGCATATACCTTGCTGTAACTGGCTTACCTGGCACCATTTCGAACTTCGTGCTTGCACTCGGCACTTATAATTTGGTCTTCGGGACTTTGTCAGTCACAGCAGGGGACTCAGCAAGGGGATCAGTGTTTTCTTTGGTAGGTGACATCAGAAAGAGAGGGACAAGTTCGTAACTTGAACAGAGGTTGCGAGTACAAGCAAATACATAATCTAAACCATCAAAGTCAAACTTTTTTGTCGAGCACACGCGCTGGTCAGATTAAAACTGACGTTTTGATGAGAACGTCTGCTTGGAAGATTTTGGCGTGTAACCTGCGAAAAACATGTAACCAGACTCAGTTGCCGAGCGGGGCCTTATTCCCCCGATTTATTTTTTTGGGCGTACAAGACGAAATAAATAAACTGGGATGAACTGTCAAGTAAGGTTGCTGATCCTGTCGCGGAGAGTGAAACACGAGCAACTGGAAGATGACTCATCATGACGCGTGATATCCACAACGAACCTCTTGGAAACTATCCCAGTTGTGCTTCTCGCCAAGGCAGAAGACTCTGGGGATCAACTCATCCCTCATTAGTGGCCTTAGACCGCCGCCGACGGGACAGACGCAGTGGTAGACGAGGAGCATATGACAAACAAAAGTCCGAGGATCTCTTTGACACCCTTATCAACGTCTCATCAGACAAGACATTCAAAGGCTGACTCCGATAAGTTACTTTTCTCGTATACTTAAAAGTTCCCGCTTACAAGTAACACTGTGCTATCATGAGACTGCAGGACTTTTTGGTATTTGGATGTCCTCATCAGCGAGGATCCTACTTTCTATCCACCCGGTATGTCTCTGCTTGTAATCTGATATCTTTGAACTTTGGCGGCTCGGCACACAATCGGACTCAGTTTACTGCCGTCAACTTCACGTATGAAATGAACTGCCAACTCAATAACGCTGACAGTTTATTTCCCATCGCTTATTGTTTGAAAAGCAAATGAACTGTCATTGAGTAGCATGCCTGTTCGGCAGTGGACCAGGTGCGCCAGATAGTAAACCATCATTCGTAACGAATCATTGTAACCTGAATCATAGTATTGGTAGCCTTAAATACCAGGTGCATGAGCCATCGCATCGTCACTGTCACTCTATCATTCTTACTCCTTGAGACAATGTCGTTACCTGACAATTCTACTGTGCTTATTGTTGGCGCAGGCCCCTCTGGTCTCGCTGCTGCTCTTTCTCTCATCCACCACGGGTGTCGTGACTTCGTCATCGTCGACGCCATAGTCGAAGGACAGAACGTATCACGTGCCATTACTATACACTCTGCGACCGTCGAGGTACGCTGCCACTGGGCGTTCATATCAAGGCCCCCTAATGACTTTATGATCATAGGCTTTAGCCAGCATCAATGCAGTAGATGTATTACTATCTCGAGCTATCAAGGGGAAGAGCATCAGAATTACATCCCGTGATTCGCAGATTTTTGAGGCCAAATTCGACCCTCTCAAGAAACATTCTGCCTACCCCTACGCACTCTTCGTCCCTCAAAATGTGACCGAGCTTGTGCTTGTACAGAAACTGCAAAGCTTCGGTGTTCAAGTTCAGCGTCCACATAGGGTGATTGGAATGAAACAGAACGAGCAGGATCCTCACATCACCGACGTCTCCTTTGAAGATGGTCAAGTCATCAAAGCTAGATATATCATTGGCGCAGATGGCGCTCGCTCGACTGTGAGTTCTCGGTGCCTGCTAGCTTAGCTTTGTGGAATGTCTAACGAGCACCTTTAGATTCGTACCGTTTCTGGAATAGGGTTCTCTGACCCAGAAGGCCCAAACCCAAGCAATCACCTATTGGCTCAAATGGTCTCTGCGGATGTCACATTCGAGCCCGAACCTGTTGGCCCGCTAACCATCGAGGGTCACCTCAATGGCACAGCTTCCACAGGCAATTTATTTGTGCTCACACCACTCGGCAGCCGCTTCAACGACGAGCTGACGCGAGATGGAAAACCCATTTCAAAGCCCATATTTCGTATAGATTGTGCTGTACCACTCAAGAATGGAGAGCCGCCTCGCGCACCGCCGAAGGAGTACATCCAGGACTTGATCGACACGTATGGTCCAGCGTGTATAACATCAGTTCTATCCCTTAATCCGACGCCTGTCAAGATCGATCAGCTGATCTGGTCGACACGTTTCAGAACCCATTCAGCCATCGCTGACCGCACCTTCACGCGTCTTGGCGCCGCAATTTTCCTAGTGGGTGACGCAGCCCATATTCATTCACCCGCGGGCGGCCAGGGCATGAACCTGTCTATCAGGGATGCAATATTCCTTTCAGAGGTTGTCACAAAGCATATTCAAGCATCTGCAGAAAACCCCGATGTGGGTGATACTATTTTGCAGGAATTTGCGGAAGCGCGTCACGCTCGAGCGTTGGAAATTATCGGCTTCACAAAGAATCTTTTGAAATTCGCAAGCCTGACGTACAATACATATGCTTGGTGGATGCCGTTTAGTCGGGCCTCTGCGCGCGATCTGGTGCTGAGGATATTGGGCAGATTTGATTTCATGCAGTCGATGGTTGCATGGGACCTGAGTGGGCTTGGAAGACGGTAATTGCGCATTCTTGGAACCGTACTTTGTTTCTGTCTATTTTGTACGAGTATCGGCCAATTCGTTCGCCTTCGGACGTTGTGGTGAGTGTAGAGAATGGAACATATGCATTACAATACAATACTTCACGTTGGCGGGTCAGACATCGAGAGCCAGTACTGAAAGTTGTTTGCGTGTGCTGGTCGGTACCACTATTCCACGACCTATAGCTGAGGAGTGCTCAGGGGCTGTCTATATGTAGACGTCGTTATTCAAACAACTGAGCATTGGCTCATACATCTCATATCACGACAGTGCTAAGTGAACCAAGCTGAAAAGTAGCAAACCCGAGTCTACGGGGCTCGTAGCTCTCGCCGAAGAACTCCAATATTATATTCTGACCGTCCGGTGACTCTTCAGAGACGACTTGGTAACAACCTTGCAAGTAAGTGTTGCGCAGCATAGTACTGTGATGACCGTCTGCCACCTCATCATGACACGCGTGAATCGTCCCTGATTGAAACATGAAGGGTTAGTGTGTACAACTTGGCGACAATCGAAGCAAATCCTACTAGCTTCTCCGAGAAATTCTACACGGTAGTACTGAACTTGTCAATTCCGGTCGACGATTACCCTTGGAGGTGAGGGAGGGGTAATTTTTCTATTCTGCTTGGGCAGAGGTAGGTCGGCTGGAGTTGCCTTCAGTTTCTCTTGCAGCTTTGCAGGTCACGTCAGATGAGGCTAACTGAGAACGATTCCACCTTGCAACTTTGTTGTACAACAAGACGTCTGTTACACTGCAGTACTAGTAGTATACACAGCGCACATCATGATCCAACTGCTTCTAGTCGTCATCGCCGATATTGTGAACCTCTCCAGGGTTCACAATGAAAGTCCTCAGCTTGGGGAGAGCGGTGTCCTCAACACGAAGGCCACTTGCTTCAGGCCTCGCTTCCACGATTCGGACTTTCCTGACTCGATATCATAGAACAAAGTACTCCCCTTCTCACCGTCAGCGGTGATGCGGACAGATATCGTGTATTGGGAGCTGTTTTCAATCCTAATCACGGTCTCTGTGGCCGCCGATATATTCAGAATATTATAGGAACTGTTGTAAACCTCTGAACGCACCTTTGACAGACATTATGTGTAGTAGTAAAGAGATTTAAAACAAGTGTTTGATGCAGCGGTAAAGATCCTGGGGAATGAATCAGAAAGGAGGACGAATGACACCAGGCCTTGGACTCACTTAGAGTAATCGAAGGAGCGATGGGGAGCTACCTTCAAGACTCGGTCGCGTATTTATACGCATGAACCTGAATGAATTCTTTCGGAGCTCACATTCAAGGCTCACATATTGCCCGAGTTAAGTCATTGCCTGATTGGTTTTGCACGATCTTCTCAGTAACATTACGGTTCAGATGATGATCAGAATCCGACGAAGCAGCTGACCTTGGCAAAAGAGGGGTTCGGATGTGAAACGAATAGCACTGACAAGCAACTTGTCATCATCATCGTGATTTATGTATGTAACACACCTTTGGAGTAAATCATCATGCGGCCTATCAAGAGTTCCCGGCGCGAAGTCTGACAGTTGAGTCAGATCCGAACATGCTGAATGGAAGCCTGACGGGGATTACTTCTCGAGCGTTGCCCGCATACGGTGGCGCTCGCACAGGTCCGAGGGTGCTGGACAGTGTTACGAGCACATTTCGGGGTTGAAATATAAGGACTTTATCTTCTTTCAAGTCGCGGCCGTCTGCTTTCCAAGAACGCAAACCACAATATACACGTTACTAGTAGTACTCAGATCTGAGGTGTCCAGTATGCTGGTTCTCTCTTCAAATCTGACGAATTCACACTTCATTTCGGTCTGCACCGCCATGCGACCACTATTTTTACATGCCAAAGCAAGGAGCTATTGCATCGGATAGAGCCACCATCACGGCCTATTACTATGAATCAATACGCTGATTCGTGCCCATACCTCAGTCTACTTGTTTGGTTCGCGGAAGAATGACGAAACCGCCGCGGGACACGTTCATAGTAAGTTCAGCAGTAGTAGGTCGCTTCGCTGGGTTGAGTTCTCTGACTCTAGTCCTAGGACCTGATGGCAGATACGATCCTTGATGGTGCCACTGATGAGTGGTGAAGGCGGATAACTGGCGATCACGTCATAAAAGAAAATATGCAAAAGAAACAGAGAGAACTCAGAACACTGATCTTCACCATATTTGCTGATTGTGAAGTTCTTGTAGTGAAAGACGAGGAGCGCTTCGCCACCTCGCTTAACTAAGCGCAGACTCCCACCCTCGTACCTCGGATGGCTTAGAAACCCAATTCCGGCTGAGTTTGCATTTGGCATTCAAGTTCTCCCCGGACCTCTTAGCTCCCCATGGTACAAAGGTATTGCAGGAACAGCTCAAACTTTAAACGTAAGTCACATTACCTGGTTGATCGACTGATCACCACACAATGTCGCCATCTCGGTTCAAGTTGAGTACCATCACGATCCTGGCAGTTACCTAAGTAGTCGTTGGATCAGTGATCATGATACTATCACTTCCGGGGTCAATCGCAACTTTATCGACGAGCAGATGTAGTTGACTCATCGTAGTCCCTTTATTTCAATCCCGAAATGTGCTCGTAACACTATCCAGCACCCTCGAGAGTGCCACTCAGGCTGTGAGCATGGCTCGAGACGTAATCCCTGTAGGCTTCCATTCAGCATGTTCGGATCCAACTCACAACTGCCAGACTTCGCGCCGGGAACTCTTGATGGTCCGCATCATGATTTACTCCAAAGGTATGTTACATACATAAATCACGATGATAGCAAGAATGATGACGAGTTGCCTGTCAGTGCTATTCGCTTCACATCCGAACCCCTCTTTTGCCAAGGTCAGTTGCTCCGTCGGATTCTGATCATCATCTGAACCGCAACCCATTGGGCAATGACTTAACTCGGGCAATGTGAGCTTTGAATGTGAGCTCCGAAAGAATTCATTCAGGTTCATGCGTATAAATACGCGACAAGCCTTGAAGGTAGCTCCCCATCACTCCTTCGATTACTCTGAGTGAGTCCAAGCCCTGGCTTCATTCGTCCCCATTTTTGATTCATTCCCCAGGGATCTTTACTGCTGCATCGAACACTTGTTTCAAATCTTTTTACTACTACATACAATGTCTGTCAAAGGTGCGTTCAGAGGTTTACAGCCAGTTCCTAATAATAATTCTGAATATACGGCAGCCACGGAGACCCAGATTGGCATTTACAACGGCACCCTATACACGATATCTGTCCGCATCACCATTGACGGTGAGGGGGGGAGTACTTTGTTCTATGATATCGAGCCAGGAATGACCGATTTGTGGAAGCGAGGCCTGAGCAAGTGGCCTTCCTGTCGAGGACGTCGGTCTCCCCAAAGGTGGAGATTCTCCTTGTGAAACCTGGACAGGTTTACAATATCGGCGATGACTAGAAGTAGTTGGATCATGGTGTGCGCTGTGCATACTGCTACTCAGGTAGTGTTGTACAACAAAGTTGCCAAGTGGAATAAATATGTGTACTTGTGAATCGATGATCGTCCGCGTTTTGTATATTGTATGAAAAGTCCGGGGGACCGTACACGGGCATCGCGCCGAAACGAAGTCCGTTGCACAGCTAGCCAGGCCTTATACATGCGGTATATTCGATCGCAAACCTCCTCGACGCCAAACCCCTTTGCAATAAACACGTTTGAATAGACCCTCATATACCCCACTCAAGACGGACGTCCCAAAGCCAAACAACGCCATATGCATACCATGATAAATTATACCTAGACTCATCATAAATAATGCTATCTATCCCAAGCAAGCTGCATAGTCCAAGAGGCAAGAAAAAAAATTGAAACGAGCGAGTGTGAGTATGTACGAGGATGAGACAAAACATGTATGAACGAGTGAATGCGTGTCCGAACGAGAGTGTATGTGTGTACGAAAGAAAGCGCTGAGGATGAGAAACGAGCGTAAACGTTGAGATGCGCAAAGGAGCGTGCAATGATGTGCTCAAGGATCGTACCCGTGCAGTGATAGTAAAGGTACGACGTGCCCTCTCTCATCCTCCAAGCGAAAACAAATCATACGCAGCAGAGGAAGGATAGAGACAGAGCACTAGATTAAGCACGTGGCGATATTAAAGTTAAAGTCGCATCAACAAGGAAGAGGAAATAATGCACGAACAAGCAGGAAAAGAATGAAGGAATAAGAAAAATGGACAAGAAATTAACATGCAAATTTTTTAAAATAGAATATGTAGTGGATGGGAGATGCAACGGTCGTGGGATGAAGGAAAGCATGCAGAAAATAAAAAGAGCATGAGCAAGGGAACATGAGGGATTGTGGGTGGTGTCGAAACAAAATAGCAAAACTGTGCCGAGCAAAAAGGGAGAGAGAAAGAAACAGGATCAGAAACAGTACAATTTCCAATGCATCGCAAATGTCCACGGATTCCCCAGATGAAGCAACAGCAGAGGTAGGAAAACGAGTTTGAAGGATCATGCGTGATGCGTGATGCGATGATAAATTGACGTAACGTGGTGTCGTCAATCTCGCCGAGTCCATGACCACGAGGCGGCATATTCATTACTAATGCGTGTTTCAGCTGTTGCCTACGGGCAAACATCAGTCATCGCCCACCACACACCACAAAACGCCATACACACGAAGGACATTACTCAGCCTTGAATCGCGCCCCACCCTCTCCTCCACGCATAATAGCTTTCATGAACCCAAAGAATCGGTCCGCGTATTCGGAAGGCGGGACGGGGCTAATTTTGTGCTGTTGAAAGGTGAGTTAGCGTTAGTTTTAAGAACGAAGGAAGGAATGAAATGGCTAAAAAAAACGCAACTCACCCGATCAGCGCTCAACCCCTTCCAAAAATGCTCACACTTCTTTAACCCTCCATATGGAGTCAAAATATCAATAATTCCCAAATAATAAATGACATCCATCTCCTCATTGCTTTCATCGGTCGCTTGAAGGCCTCCTTCATCTTGATAGAACAGAAAGTGATCGCGGTCTTGAGTGGGGTGGGGTTGCTGCGAGGGTGTGTAGGAAGGAGGATGGTGGTGCGGGTGGGGAGGCTGAGGCTGAGGAGGCTGAGATTGGTGGAGAGGATGAGATGGATGTGGTGGGGTTTGGAATGTCGGGTGGGCCTGTTGCATAATCCCATTCCCGCTCACAACCGAATTTGTGTTGCTCGTACCCTTCGAACCAGAACGTGGTCGCGTGCGCTGGGAGTGGACTGGCGTAGACGGCGCAACGGTTTGCATTGACGGAGAAGGCGAATCCGGGAGATCAAGTGCCGTTCCTAACTGGTGCGGATCAGATGCGCGCATGATTCGGCGCATAGCTATCGCTTCAGGGGACCGCCCGTCTTTCGTTTGCGTGGTTTTTGCGCCGGATGGGTGGGACTGAGGGCTGCGCACACGAAAGGGTAAGGCTTATGAACGCAAGAGGAAACGGTAGACGAACCTCAAATACCCTCAACGTACTCCCTCTCACATTTTCCCTATTTCCCCTATTCCCCCAATGAAGCCCAACGAGTAAGCTATAATCCATAACTCCAAGATCCCTCAACATCTCACTATCCCTCCTCAACTGCTCCGTTAAAAGGGCCCTCTTCTCCGGACCAAGCTCCAGCACCCTATTACTATCGATCCAGTTCAAATCCTTCTGCACGGCACGAGGATTCTGCTCCAGTTTCGCAGGTGGTACGATACGCCCGACAGTGCTCCCTTTGAGATCGTAAGATTCGTGAATGTCTTTGTGAGGCGGGAACAAATTGTTCATGATCACGAAATGAATCTTTTGTCCCCTAGGAAGCTTTACCCGATGAAGTCCATAAAACCGGCTCAGTAAAGTATGAGGGTTCGCTTTGACATGCTCCCAGTACTGCGGGAGAACTCGAAGGAGGAACTTGTGTTCCGCGTGCCGGATGGTCTTTATGATGAAGCGGTAATCGCGGGAGAAGTAGAAGAAAGAGCCGCTTTTGCCTGGAGAGGTGAGCTCGGAGAGGATATATTTAGATGTGAGGGAGAGGAGATAGTCTGCAGGGTCCAGAGAGAAGTGGTCTTCGCGGAGTTCGCGGAAGACCCAAGGGGCATAGTCTTTGAATTTGAAGTCGTATCTCGCGGAGGGAGTGAGTTCGTTCCCGACGCTGAAGGGATATGAGTTTGGAGTATGGGACGGATAGGGAATACGTACATATCGAAAGAGTATTTGTGCCTTGCGGTAAAATCCTGTTCGGTAAGGGGTCGCTTTATCTTTGCCTGGCATCGTGAGACCTGGGTGGAGTCAGAGCCTGCGCACATAGAGAGATTGGGGACGCACAGCTATCCTGATGCCCGTGAGCATGTTGTACATAAGGACATAGTTTGCATGGTCCTCTCCTATTAAATTGCCTACCAAGGGAAGCTCGTCCTCTTTCTGAGCCACTTCGACGACAGCTGCTGCGGCAACTTCGGCAGCCTGCTTTCGCTTCCTTTCACGGCGAATCTGCTCTGCTTGGATCTGGATGTCATCCTCCAGTTCTCCAGTTGCGACATATGGAGATGGAGGTGGATGAGGACGGCGTGCGGAGCCTGTCGTGTTGCGGCGTACAGGACGAGGGGGTGGGTGGAGGAGACCGTCTGGATACTGGGTCTTGGATGTGCTAGCAGTTGGTGCGTAGCTGCTCGTCTGGGAGACTTTAGGGACTCTGGCAGAAAATTTTGTCTCTGTGGAAGCACGGTGAAGGCGGTCGTGTGTGCGCCGACTGTTTATGGTGGCTGTATCCAACTCTACATCGATGTCTGCCTCGATGCCCTTCGGGAGTGGGTCTGACTTGGAGAGCCTGACTGGGAATAAGGATGATAGATTGTCAGGTGACTCGTCTACGCTGGCTGGAGGAGAAGGTGGAGGTGGACCGATTGTATCCTCACGGGGAATGCTAGGCAATGGTTTTGGCGGGTGAAGGTGAACTGCATTCCTTGTTACTTCTACTATATGAATTTGAGTATGAGTGTGGTCCATGTCTGGGCAGATCGTCGTCGTCGGCGAAGGCGCTGTTACGAATGATGCGGCTGAAGATGAAACCAAGCTGGATTGTCGGTCCAGTGCTGACCTGGGTTCGCTCGCGGTCAGAATTGAAATGCGGTTGGCCATTCGGCCACGGTAAAAACGATAAGTTCACCGTTGGACACGATGAGGGCAGACAGTCACAGACTGGACTGAACGTTTCTCGTTGCAAGTCCAACAGCCTCAAACTAACAGGTGGTGGCTGTGCTTATTTCTTCAAAATCACACGATCGGAAACGGCGGACTTCCGACTTCATGGCACAGCAACTCATTAATGCAAAAACCAGTTTCAGTTACAAGCTGGATATGTAATATGCAAAGGCAGCCGAAATCTGAGCAAAGGTGCTCGACTTTTCAATGTGCGAACGGCGGCCATTTTGTGGAGTCTGTCTCAATCTCGGAGATGACTAGTAAGATAAAATTGGACTTGTGCCTATGGCTGAAGTCTTTTTCGCAATTGAATAGCAGATGGCCTGATCAGGGAACACCCCTCCGAGTCTCTCGACGACGGTCGATTCCTCCATCAAAATTTACCCCCCACCTTCACCTCAAAGACCGAGCTTAAGCAAGTCCCAGGTACCCTGTACGTCTTACATCCGACCTCGTAAATCCAGGCTGCCTCTATTTCTACAACACTAGGTGGCTCGACCATCCTCTGTCCATAACATTCGGACTCGTATAAAGTCGTTCGGTTCCTCATGTACACGTCTTTTCAGCGACTTGTGTTGTTTGCACTATCAATTACACTGGATTTTGCATTTCGCCTTGGTGTACATGCTAAATGAGTATCAAGTATGTCTGATAAAAGCCAAGCACACCCGGTATGCCAGTACGGTAGCAAGGTTGGATCAACATGGCAGGACGCTCTGAGATTCACATGTCCCCTCTAAACCTAGCATGCCACTTCTCTAGTACAGGCTCTCCCGCTAACGCTTTTGACCTTGCGCTTAGTGCAACCATACTAGCGTCTATTGTGCCGAATAGCCATCGACAATATGGAAATACACGTGCAGCATGACCTGAACCCTCGAATTCTCTACTCCCTTCACCTGAACTTCATCTACAATCCCCGTATCCCTACCCACCATCTTCCTCTAACGTTCATTCTACCCACCGCTCAACCCATCCTTGATCTTCATCGCTCCATCATGCCTAGTAGCTTGGAAGGCCAATCTATCAAACTCGAAGGTTAGCCGCTCTCTATATCACCTTCGTATCTGTTTCATGATCCTCATAATCTATCTACAGTCATCGGCGGAAAGAATCTTCGAATACCCTCTGGGCGCGTACCCGCAAGCATTTACGTCTCCGTCGACGTTGACTCGAGGAGACGCTGGAAATCAGCCATCAAAGTCTTATCATCCGACGAATCTGTAGCATGGGGCGATATCATGACCTTGTGAAGTCCACGGAGACTTTCAGACGCGACTCGAGGACTGATCTTCTGTTTTTGTAGATTATTAGACGGTTCACCTAAACTATCGTTGCATATCAGGGCATCTTTCGAGCTCGATCGAATGCTGGGAAATGGAGAACTCATCGGAGAACTCGAAACGACGTGGGATGAGCTACTCAATCACGGAGATGAACCTTTCAGTGAGTGACTAGCCTCTCATTCACGCACGACTACTAACATCTAGTAGATCTCTCATTCCCACTCGTTCGTGGCGACTGTCCTTCCCTCACGCTAAAGGCCGCTGTTGTACAATCTTGCGACAATCAGGACAACACACTGCTTGACGTGAGTGACATCAGTCCCTGTGCCGTTGGCTTTTGCTGACGGAACGTCAACTGCAGTCCACAGCAGACTGCGAGATTGATCGAGACACGGATGCAGGCCACGCCCGATTCGTCGAATATGTTTCAAGCGAGAGCGACTCTTACCTGAACGATGCTGTAGAGCATTTTCAGTCGGTTCTAGACCAGTGTCCGGTCGACCATCCTGACCGTGCAGCGGCTCTCACCAACCTCGCGTGGGCCCGCCTCAAAGGCTACATTCGGAAGGATTTCCAAGACATTGACTCCGTCACTTCCCTCTTCCGGGAAGCCCTTGAATTGCGTACGCAGGGCCACCCCGATCATCCGCTGTCGCTCTATCACCTCACTGAAGCGTTGACCTGGCGCTACATCAAGGAGGCCACTGCCGTCTATATCCATGAATCCGCCCAACTGTACTGCAAGCTACTGCCCCTTTGTCCAGAGGGCACCTACCTTTGCAGCATCGCGGCAGGGGAAAATGGCGTGGATTATGTGATTCGCGCATGCAACAATCTTCCAACCAACGCATCAGATGAAGGCATCCACCTCAGACGAATTGTGCTCCGGCTCTGTCCTCTGGGTCATCAACACCGTCCGGACGCACTCTACGAGCTTTCAAGTGCTTTCCAATTACGCTTTCGACAATGCGGCAGCATTGATGACATAGACGAGAGCATACGAGTTGGTCGCGAAGCTGTTTCTCTATGTCCTGAGGAACATTCCAAGCGTGATGCCTATTTGAATAACTTGGGCTATTCACTCCGATTCCGCTTTGATCACCAAGGCAGGTCCCATGACCTTGATGAAGCCATCTGTGTATATGAAGAAGCGCTGCGCATGTGCCCTGCTGGGCACGACAGTCGTCGTGTATCATTGGACACCCTAGGAGGCGCCCTCCGCTCCCGTTTTTACGAATGGGGTGACGTTAATGATATTAACCGAGCCATCAGCCTCCGTCGCGAGGCGGTAACATTGAGCTCACCTGGGAATCCATATCATGACACCACGCTTCACAATCTCGCCATCACGCTCAAAACCAGATATAACAAATTTGATGTCAGCGAGGATCTCGACGAGGCTATCGATCTTTACCGCGAATCGCTTCGGTCAAGGCGACTTGACCATCCAGAGCGTCACAGAAATTTGTTCAATTTGAGCTCGGTGCTTTGCTCTCGTTTCACGAAAACTCAGAAGAATGAAGATATCGAGGAGGCCATTCGACTCTGCCAAGAGTCGTTGGAGGCTCTACCTTCACTGCACCCAGATAGATTTAACGGCTACACATGGCTACAGGAGGCCTATCTGTCTCGTTACCGAGTGCAAAGCAAGTCTGCCGATTTGTCACTCACTGTGGAGAACTTCAGACTAGCATCACGACACACAACTCAAGGATTTCCAGACCGCATCAAGGAGGCTATTGACTGGGCTCGCCAAGCAGAAGTCTATCAACATGAATCTGCCCTCGAGGCATACCAAATATGCTTGGAGCTTTTCGACAACCATGTAATGACGCGATCGTCGATCATCTCACGACGCGAGGCTGCAACCGCTTTTCGCGGTGCTCAATCACTACCGGTAGATGCAGCCTCATGTGCCATACGTCGTGAGAATTTACAACAGGCAGTCGAACTCGTGGAGCAGGGCCGTGGCCAGCAGTGGTCGCTGGCCTCACGACTTAGAACACCGCTTGAAGACCTCGAGTCTACGAGTCCCGAGCTAGCTCGCGAGCTCTCAGAGCTGAGCAAGAGCCTTTCTGACGCTCAGGGTTCCGCAGCCAGCACAGACAGAGTCGCTGCTGATCGGGCAGCAACCAAGTACAGGCGACTTACAAGGCAATGGGACACTGCAGTGGCTGAAATCCGTAATCTTCGGGCGTTCTCGCGATTCTTACTCCCACTGTCTTATGATGATTTGCAAGCGGCGGCGCGTCATGGCCCAGTCATCATCTTCATCGCCAGTCAATATTCATGCAGCGCCATTATCGTCCCGACATCAGGAGAGCCTCATCATGTTCCCCTGCCGTCTGTTACCCTTACAGATCTAAATAATCTCAAAGATCGCTTCGCCAGGGCGATACGACACGCATCTATCATGGGCCCAAAAGTGCCGCGTAACGATCTGATAGTCCTCTTGCGGACAGTATGGAACAATATCATGCTACCCATCGTCAATGTCCTCCAGCATGACCTGAAATTAAAATTCCGCTCTCGAATCTGGCTGTGTCCAACTGCAGCTTTCACGTCCATTCCTCTGCACGCGGCTCACCCCTTTCAAACAAAGGCAGATGGTTCTAAGGAGCCATGCCTGGAGGATCTTTACATCTGCTCTTACACGCCGACACTTTCGGCTCTGGTCAGATCTAGACAGATGATGAAGAGTCGTGTCGCTCCATCCTTCGCGACAATCGGACAAGGTCAACCGGGTGCAGGGAAAGGCAAGGCGCTCTTGGCTGTCGACAGCGAGCTCGAGCTTGTCCAAAAGCTCGTTCCTGCGATGGCCACCCGCACTGCTATTTCTGGAGACGCAGCGACACGAGCAGGTGCACTCGAAGCTTTGGAAGAGAACACCTGGGTGCACCTTGCCTGTCACGGGAAGCAGGACCCTACGCAGCCTTACGATTCCCATTTCGTCATGAAAGATGGACCTCTGACGCTGCTTGATATCATGGAGAAAGACATTCCGCACGCAGAGTTCGCGTTTTTATCCGCTTGTCACACCGCTGTCGGGGATGAGGAGACGCCCGACGAAGTCATTCACCTTGCAGCTGGTCTCCAATTTTCAGGGTTCAAGAGCGTCGTTGGCATGCTGTGGGAGGTCGATGACGCTGTCGCAAAGCATGTTGTGGAGGCTTTCTACAAGAACATGTTCAAGGATTTGGAGGATGGTGGTGACATGGACTGTACGAAGGCAGCCTGGGCGCTCAACCGTGCTACACATGCCGTGAAGACGAAAGTGCCGCTGGAGCAGAGGATGGTTTTTGTCCATATTGGTGTGTAGTTTTATCTTGCATGGCTTTCACTAGTAAGCTAGGCTCTGGTACGAATTGTTGTTGATATTTCGTCTCGTTGGTGTATTTGTTGTAACATTGCCTTGATACTTGCTCCGCATCGATATCTCCTCGTGTAATTGTGTACTATTAGAATAGTCTTTCGAAACTTCATTCATTGTTCGAGTATTTGAAGTGTTCTTCACACACTGTCAGGCGAAACGCACCCGGAACAGTGAGAACGCTCATCGATCATCAGTGAACCTGCGAACAGTATATTGTAAAGCATTGCAACAATCTTCGTGTATATCTGCTGACTGCTTTGACATGGAAATATTTGGCATTGATTTTACCTTAGTTTTGTGGGACGCTCTGAGATTTCCCGCTTACCCCCTCTAACCTGGGCGTGCCACTTGATTGGCCTTGACATTTTACCACTTCTTTAGCACAGGCTCTCCTGTTGTCGCTAGTCGGTCATCTGTTGGCCTCAGCATTTGGTGCAATCATACCAGCGTCTATCGTGCCGAACAGCTGTAAATGCACGTGTAGCATGACCACCGAGGCGTCACCCCAAAGCGCTCCACAGTCCCCATATCTCTACCTCCCGCCTTCTTCTACTCCTCATTCTGCCTACTGCTCGGCCCATCCTGGATCCTCCCTGTCATCATGCGTCATTCCACCATCATGCCCGGTGGCTGGGAAGGCCAATATGTCAGACTTGAACGTGGGTCGCTTTATATAAACTTCGTATTTGTTTTGTACCTCAACCTCGCGCCTAATCTACAGTCATCAGGGTGAATGATCTTCCGCTCCCTTCCAGGCGCTTACCCGCAGGCATTTTTGTGACTATCAATGGCAATTGGAAGAGGCGCTGGAAATCAGCCGTACGAGTACTATCATCTGATGATTCTGAAATGTTGGGCGATATTGTGATTTTGTAAAGTGTATAGTGACTTTCACATGGGATTTGAGGACTGATCATCCGTTTTTAGGCCATTACGCGAGGTACCTGAATTATCGGTGGAGATCAGAGTATTATATGAGCTCGGTCGATTGCTAGGTAATGGAGAAGCCGTTGGAAAACTCGAAACAGCGTGGGACGAGTTACTCGGTCATGGAGATGAGCCTTTCGGTGAGTGCCCTACTTCTCATTCATGCACATCTACTAAAATCTCGTAGAATTGCCCTTCCCATCCGTTTGTGGTGATCACCCTTCTCTCACGCTGAAGGTCGCCGTCCTACATCCTTGCGAAGATCGTGATGGTGCACTGTTTGGCGTGAGTAACACCCAAGTCTGTTCTGTTGGCTTTTGCTGACGTCACGTGTAGTCCCTTGTAGACTGCGAGATAGCTCGAGCCACCGATGCGGGCCATGCACGGCTTGCCGATTACGTGACGGGCAAGACGGTCTCTCACTTGCACGATGCTGTGGAGCATTTTCAATTGGTTCTGGACCAGTGTCCGGTCGACCATCCCGACCGCGCAGCGGCTCTTTTCAACCTCGCATCGGCCCGCCTTATGGGCTACGTTCAAAAGGATCTTCAAGATATCGATTCTAGTATATCTCTATTCCGCGAAGCCCTTACATTGCGTCTGCAGGACCACCCCGATCACATAATATCACTCTGTTATCTCGCCGACGCGCTAATCCGGCGCTACTTCAAGGAGGACACCGCTGTCGACCTCCATGAATCCATACAACTGTCCTCCAAGTTACTGCCCCTCTGTCCAGAGGGCACCTGTTTTCGTTACATTGCGGTAATGGCAAATGGCGTTGATACTGTGATCAGCGATAGCATCCAATTTCAGCGAATCGGGCTCGAGTTCTATCCTCCGGGCCATACAGGCCGTCCGAGAGCAGTCGACAAACTTTCGCTGGATCTCAGAACACATTTTGCGCAATGCGGCAGCATTGATGATATAGACGAGAGCATTCGACTTCGTCGTGAGGTCGTTTCTCAATGCCCCGAAGGACATCCCAGCCGTGATGCCTCCCTGGATAACTTGGCCTCCCCACTCCTGTCTCGCTTCGAGTTCCAAGGCAAATCCGATGACCTCAACGAGGCCATCTCTCTATTTGCAGAAGCGCTAAGCCTGCGCCCTGTTGGGCACGAATTTCGTGACTGCACATTGGATAACCTAGGAAGAGCCCTTCTTACCTATTCAAATCAATATGCTGGCGATATCAACCTAGTTACCAACCCCTACCGAGTTATCATCTTCGACCGCGCTATCAGCCTCCATCGCGAGGCGTTGACGCTGCGCCCACCTGGGCATTTATATCACGATACCGCGCTTAACAACCTTGCCGTCGCACTCGCAGCCAGATATAACAATTTGCATGTCACCGAGGATCTTGACGAGGCCATCAGTCTCTCTCGCGAATCGCTTCGGTTAAGGCGGCATGATCATCCCGAGCGCCATAGAAATCTTTTGAATTTGAGCTCGGCGCTCTGCTCTCGTTTCATGCAAATTCAAGAGAATGAAGATGTCGAGGAGGCCATTCGACTCTGCCAAGACTCTTTGGAGGCTTTGCCTACATTGCACCCTGACAGACATTTCAGCTACACGTGGCTACAGCAGGCTTATTTGTCTTGTTACCGAGTGCGGCACAACGTCGCCGATCTGTCATTCGCAGTGGAAAATTTCAGACTGGCATCAGGACATGCCACTCAAGGCTTGCCGCAGCGCATCAGTGTGTCATATAGCTGGGCTGTTGTGGCTGAGCAGTATGATCATGGATCTGCACTGGAGGCTTACTCGACATTTTTTGAGCTTTTGAATGCGCATTTGGCGACACGGTGATCAACAACTTTACGGCGTGAAGCTGCTGCCGCTTTCCGTTATGCCAGATCACTACCTGTAGATGCAACCTCATGCACATGTGCCATCCGCCATGGCAATCTACGATACGCAGTCGAACTTGTGGAGCAGGGTCGTGGCCAACAGTGGTCATTGGCCTCTCGACTGAGGACTCCACTCGATGATCTCGAGTCCAAGAACCCCAACCTAGCTCACACGTTCTCGGAGCTCAGCAAACACCTTTCCGACGCCCAAGGTTCCACAGTCAACCCGGATCGAGCTACTGCTAACCAGGCAGAAACACAGCACAGGAAACATATGGAGCAGTGGAAAGCTGCAGTTGCTGAAATCCGTAAAGTTGATGGTTTTTCGCGGTTCCTACTCCCGCCGTTGTACGAAGATTTGCAAGCGGCAGCACGTCATGGCCCAGTCATCATCCTTATTGCCAGTCAATATTTGTGCAACGCCATTATCGTCCCAACGTCGGGGGAGCCCCATCATATTCCCTTGCTCTCTGTCACTCTCGCAGATCTCAATAATCTCAAGGATCGCTTCACCAGGGCAATACGACATGCGTCTCGGATGACCCCAGCAGAGGCGAGGACAGATCTAATAGTACTCTTGCGGACAATATGGGACAAGATCATGCTACCCATTGTCGATGTACTCAAGAACGTCCTTAAATTACGGCGCTACTCCCGAATCTGGTTGTGTCCAACTGCAGTTTTCACAACTATTCCTCTCCATGCGGCTAACCCCTTTCAAACAAGGAAAGATCGCTCTGGGAAGGAGCCATGCCTGGAGGATCTTTACATCTGTTCTTATACGCCAACACTATCGGCTCTGATCAGGTCTAGACAAATGATGAAGAAGCGTATCAGTCCGTCCTTCGTAGCGATCGGACAAGGTCAACCGGGCACAGGGCAAGGCAAAGAGCTCTCGGCTGTCGACAGCGAGCTCAAGTTTGTCCATGAGCTCTTCCCCGCAACGGCCAACCCCATCACCCTCTCCGGCGACCGCGCCACGCGAGCAGGTGCACTAAAAGCTTTGCAACAGAACACTTGGGTGCACCTTGCTTGCCATGGAAAGCAGGACCATGAGCAGCCCTACAATTCTCATTTCGCCATGAGAAATGAACGTCTGACGCTGCTTGATATCATGGAGCAAGACATTCCGCACGCCGAGTTCGTGTTCTTATCCGCCTGTCATACCGCTGCTGGCGATGAGGAGACGCCCGACGAAGTCATCCACCTCGCAGCTGGTCTCCAGTTTTCGGGTTTTAAAAGCGTTATTGGCACGCTGTGGGCGGTCGATGACGCTGTCGCCAAACACATTGTTGAGCCTTTCTACGAGAAGATGTTCGAGGATTCGGAGGATGGTGATGTCATGGACTGTAGGAAGGCGGCGCGGGCACTTAATCATGCTATACAAGCCGTGAAGACGAAAGTGCCGCTCGAGCAGAGAATCGTTTTTGTTCATATTGGTGTGTAGTTTTATGATGTTGTACTGCTTTCGTTTGCTACAGATTCATCAGTTGTTGATGTTGGATTGTTTTTCATCCTTTCGGTGTCCCTCTTGTTGGCTCTTGTAGGATTACCTTGATACTGCAGTTTTTATTTTACATTACATCCCCTCATACTATTATATTTACGCTCAGAAGAGTCTATGCGACTCCATTCATTCTTCATACACTGCGACGGGGAACACACTCGATTCTACTACTGGAGAGACTTACTGAGCACTTCAAGGTATGGTCGATGCGTGCCACCAACCCACATGCCGGACATCGCGCAATAGTAAAAATCTAAGTAGGCTGATCTACGCTGCTCACGGATATACATTGAAGAATATCTCGTTAGGAAAAAAGGTCAGGATGGAATCTTCAGTCATCCTGCTTCATGAAAGGCCTACTGGATTTACTTTTCCAATAGCAAGGTAAGTACGGGTCCGATTAACCTCGCTCTTCTCCAGACCCCAAAAATCAACGACATCTTGCAAAACAAATAATCATTGGTCTATAGACATTCTAGGGACATGTACAAGTACATGAATGTTCTTAACACCTTCTACAAACATTTTAAAACGAAAAAATTCTATACTGCAGCACGATTCGCAAGGCATGCAACGCGATTCACAAGGCACAATGCAAGACTCACAGATACCCCTTCACCTCTTCCCCCTTCGGCACCTCCCCAACCAAATACAACATATGCTCCACCACCTCCTCAGGCGTCGTCACATGCCAACTCGCAAGCGTCCGCTTGCTGCTCTGTCCAACGGCAGTCGTGAACACAGCTTCGGGAGACACCGCAAGCTCGACGTCGCTGTGCTCCTTGGTGTTATCGACGAGCATCACTGAGAGCGGGGGTTCCATCGTCGCTTTGCCGGTTGAGGAAGGGGGGAAGAGGAGGAGGGCGCGGAACATGTCTTCGTCGGTCTGTTGGAGGGTGAGTAAGTTAGTGAGATGGAGGAGGGATGGAACAAACCTTGTCGTCACCAGCGCAAAAGATGAACTCGACTCCAGGGTTCTGGTATAATATACGCTTGACGATCTCACCCTTGCATGAATCGTCAGTATGCACGTGTATCAAAGACCGCGTATTCAGACCTTGTTCACGGCGATAGGCCTCACTTCTAGGTTCTTCTTACCCACGAGCACCTCGATCGGCCTCTTTGGTACCACGTTGTTCTCCAGTAAATCCTGGCACTGCCTGCACTGGAACTGTCTATAACCCACCCATCACTCATTAGCCCAACGAAATAAATAAATAAAACACAAACACACGCACCCCCACTCGGGATCAGTTGAACGATAGTGCCACGTAATCGAGCTCTTCTTCATCTCAATATGACTCCCAGTTGTACGCTCTGTATAATACCTGAAGATCTCCGCTACTTCCTCCATCCAGCTCATATCAAGACTAGCGGTAAAATTCATCCATACAGCGCTATCAGGCGAACGGATAAATCCTCCGTGCTCTGCGCTCATCCCGAGACGCGGGAGATGGCCTAGGTGTTCCTCGAGGAACGCTTGGTCACGGCCGGATACGATGTATACGATGTTGTTTGGGTCAGATGTCAGTTTTGCGAGGGCTGTGAGTGCATCGGGAGAAGGAAGCGCCATTGATGGCATCTTGACGATCGGCGTGAGCGTGCCCTATCCGTCAAATGTCAACTACGAGTCCTGTATCCCCCATCCGCCACTCACGTCGTAATCGAACAAGAACAGACGCTTCCCGGCGTTATCATACAGCTCCTTGAGACTGTCTCTAGGGATGTAAGGCGTTTGACGTGCAGTATTTTGTCCGTTGATCTGCGAAAGCAGCATCTTGGCAAGGACCGCAGCCCACGTGTGCGAGGTGTGAGTGGTCACGACCGAGTGCAACGCAGCGTGTCTCGAAGCTTTCTCCTCCTCCGACATGACTAACCCGCGGTTCATCGCAGCTGCTACATCCTATCACGACACAGCCGTCAATAACACAAATACGGTCTGAGTAGGCAGATGCATACGCACCCCAAGATCCCAAGGGTTCACCTGGAGCGCATCAGCCATGTGCTGGCTGATACCCATAAACTCGCTCAATACGAGTGGAGAGCGCTTCGTGCGCTCTTGTGCGATCACGAACTCCATCGAGGTCGTGTTCATTCCGTCCCTGAGGGGCGTGATTACTCCGAGGTCTGCAGCGCTCAACAACGCGTAGAATTCGTCTTTTCGGAGGGTCTGGTGGCTGTTGGAGTCGTTGTAGAGGTTATGTGAAAGTAAATGTGATGCAAAAACTCAGACATGTGAAGACATAATAAAAGTGCACGCACTAGTGATGTACGGGTATAAAGTCCAAACTCCCATACTCTCCATTGATATGCGCGACGAGTTCGGAGACTTGACGCTCGAGCTTTGGAGAGTCTGTTAACGCGGGGGATGTCACCTGCAACCAGTGTTTATCATTCATCGATATTTGGGTATTGCTCCAGATGACAGGACACACCTGGATAAGCACGACTTTGCGCTGCCACTCTGGGTAATCATGTAAAAGCTTCTCAAACGCGCGGAGCTGGTGTTATATTGTCAGGTTGGACGATGGTACGAGAAGCAACCAATCAACGACGATACAACCACTTAAGAAAGAACAATCACCTTTTGCAAAACCCCCTTGACGACATCCAACTTGTCCCTTCCTACGATGATCTTCTTGTCTGCATAGAGGGCGCGGAGTGCTTCGAGTTTCGGTTGGACGCCTGCGCGGAGGCTGGTTTGAGTGCGTGCGTATCCATCAGCACCCTTCAACAAAAACAAAAACAAAAACTCACGTATCCCTCGCAACTCTCTCCGCATCCACCCCCACCGGGCAATGCGTAACAGCAGCCACATGTCCCTGTACATCGATACCGACATATTTCTCAACGCCCGCTCCACCTTTCTTGCTTTTTCCACTACGGGTGAATTCAATCCCAGTTGCAGTCGTGCTACGAGGGACAACGCTCGCGCTCCGAGACGCGCTAGCAGAGGCAGCTGTAGCACCCTTACTAGTAGTTTCGTACCCGCATACGCGAACGCAGGTGGAGGTGAAGTGGCGGGTGTAGCTGTAGGTCTGGAAGCAGATGAGGTTGGCGCCTAGCATTCCGTCGAGAATTTCTTTGCGGCCTGGATAGGGGGTTGATTGGTGGGTCGAAAGGGAATGGAGAGGGACGTACGTGGTAAACATCTAAACACTTCCGAGCTCGGGAAAGGCGTATGCACGAATAGACCGATGATGCTGTGGTGTATATGTTAGCACTTATGTCCTCCTCGATCGATGAAATACGCACACGTCTCCGCCATTCTCCCCGCCCACGCCGCTCACAGCACCGGAATGCATTGCATTTCTGAGCATGCGGGGGACTAGGAGGAGATGGTAGTCATGGACCCAAACGAGATCCCCTGGTTTGAGGACACTAGCTAGGCGTGTTGCGAATGCTTGGTTGGCCTATTGGTGTATGGTTAAACGCGGCAAGATGATCGGATCAAACCAACCGAACTCACCTGTTCATAATACTCGTAATTAGCGTCGGCACTGGCATGCTCTGTTGCTACGTCCTGCCAGAGGAGGTAATGGAAGAGGGGCCATAGAGCTGGGTGGGAGTTAGCAACGGTTAGAAGGCGCCCCGGGCCGGTAGTAATAAGAAGCGAGAACAAAGTTGGGAAGTCGAAGTCGAAGATAAAGGAGATTAGACGAGATGGGTAAATACATGAAATCAAATACGATCAAAGTGCCAACGGAATGGAGAAACACAGGATAGGACAAAGGAAAAGAAAGGTGAAGGAGGTGAACCAAAGAAGGAAAGAAGTATGGAAAGCGAGGTGAGAAGGACCAAAAGTAGATGATGGAGGTAGATCAAGAAGAGGTGTGCCTGATATAGTTAAGGACTAACTTTGTTTACAGTATCCATCGTAATGACCGTGTGCGACGTTGTCTTCCATCCAGAGTGGAAGATAACTGATCGGTTTACCGGTTTCTTGTTCAAGCCCGATGTAATGAGCGAGCTCGTCGTCGAGCGCATCCTTGTCCTCTTGAGAGATACGAGAAGATGGAACACGGTCGCGAACAGAAGGGACGCGTTCACCAGTGGAGGGGTTGACGTCACCTGTGGAGACGTGTTAGTGTGGTGTATGATGAACGAAAGTGGAGTGAATGACCATCTGGAGAAGAATTCCCATCGGGTGGAGCAGCGGGTGATAGAATGTCGCCCGTCCATCCAAGAATGATTTGTTCGTGTGTGACGCTGAGACTACGAATACCGCTTGTCATTGCGCTGTGTCCGTAGCGTGGAGCTAGTTTCCAACGTTCAGGCTGGGTGGGTAGAGCGAGTGGAGGAAGTTCCTCGGATGGGCTTGGTGGTACATCTGTAAGAACACGAGGAGGTGTGGGAGGTGGACTGAGTACGCCATCTCTTGCAGCGGCGGAAGTGATGGTGCAAGTTACAGGAAGATAATGGCAGACATGAATGATGCGGCCTGATAATTGGACACCGTTGGCTTTGTGTCGTGCTTCGAGTGCTCTAACATGATCACGGACTGCATCGAGTGAAATGTCGTCTCCTGCGCGTGTGTATGGTTCTGCGAATGTATCCATGGTCGAAAAGCAGTCCAAAGAGTGGATTGCTTATAGCAGGTTTATATGGCTTATGATAAGTTGATCGGATTGACTAGTTTTTGAAGGATGCATGCTCAATTTGGTTCATCAATTGAGTCACTCCGCTGGCGCCAGCTTCGCCATGTCAGATAACACCAGCAGACCCCCCGAATCCATGACACCTACACCAGATCCTACATCAACAACACGCCATCCGAGTCATTGATCAAACAATTCGACGCGATTTGATTGGCGATGAAATTAACCACACGTTCGTTCTTGATGCCGCATTTTTGCCATTTCTATACAAGTATGTCGCCCCAAAGCTAGAGCGTCTATCTCCCTTCCCACAGTGGGTTTTGGCACAAGCTCAAGCTTCATCCACTCACTCAACATCCATGCAATGTCATGCCATTGTCTACCATCCTCTTCTTTCCATCCAATCCAGAATGCTTCGTAGTGGTACGAGCTTTGCCCGCATGAATTCTGAGTTCACGAGGTATCCTTCATCAAAAATGGTACTCATCCATGGTTAATCCTTAGTTTTATCTCCCACATCGTGTCTACATCACATCAACCTCTTCTTCCCTATATCGCGATCCCTTGCATCCGACGCAGGGACCTCCTCGGCAGTCACCTCCTAGAGTAGTCCCGAATATTGGCGACGCATTGTCAATATAACGATCACTCGAATACACCGGTTTTGTTGTGTGCTAGAGGCTCTCTGTACATGTACATCAGCGAATCTCCTCATACGAGCCTGTAGTTTCAGACTTTCTGCACCCACAAGTAATTAAACTACATAGTGCGTCTCTGAAACCGAAGCACTTGGTCCCAGGACGGCTTCGTGCTCAGGATTTAGACTAGACCAGGATACATGACTTGTAAGCAAGTGTTCATTGGAAATCGCGGGTGCGGGATTGGTTTTGATTTTGACTATGGGCCTGAATGCGAATTCCCACGCTTCTAAATCATCCTCATTAACGCCACAGAACATCAAACACACCTAGATCTACCATTGCTTCCTTTCCTGCACCACTATCAAGTCAGGTGCTCAGCGCTTATCACTCTCACTTCAAGTATATATATCTGGGTGTGCGCAGGACGTCTTCAGGGAAGTAGGCCCACTTGCAATGCATGCTGGATGAGATCTTTTGGTACCATTAATATTGCCTATCCTACGAGTTCAGCATATGTATATGACGCGTGGCTGGTGATGTGCATGACACGCTTTGGCTTCTTATTCACATGCCATGAGCCCGTCTTCGATGTTTACTTGCGGAATCTCTCACGCCCCACACAGAACTTGAACTTCATCGGATTCCCGAGTTCGATGCAACGGTATCAAGACGAACAGGATCTCCTCGCTCAAAGTCGCACTCTCACCACACCGATCCAAATGTTCATCAGAACAAATTTATCAAAGTAAGCAGGTCTCGCCGACGTCAATATTGTGCGTTGTTTTTTGATTGATACATTGGACCAGGACATCGACAACGAACGGAACGCCGTTGTTTGTTCTAGCCATCCGCTGGAAGTACGTTGTCCGTCTCTTGCACCTTCTTCATGGACGGCTCCCACAAAGGTTCGTCGCGTAGGCTCGTTTACTTTATCGCCATCTTCAGCGCTGCGACAATCACCTGCACGCCATCGTATGGTGCGCTCCACATTTTCTCCTTTCTGCGCCTTCACACTTACCCCCTTTCATTCAATGCAGAATACTTCGCAGTTATCGTCATCGATCCACCGTGAGCTATGTGTTTACTTGTTTTTCATCCATTTACATTCATTCCGATTATTCCAGCTCACCTTGAACGCTGGTTGCACTACAACAGCTACGCTCTCAAGCACCACCATACACTGTCTTCTTCATGGTCAGGTCTCTCCTGTATCCAACGAAGAGCCGTCGTGGTAGGTGATGCTTTGTTTGTCAAGCGATCGCTCAATCTATCACAGGCTATACTTCGTCAGTCATCGGCATCCCTCGCTAGTCCCTTATCACACCACACTACCCTGTTTCTGGCCTCTAGAGTTTACGTCCCTTACGTTCAACACGGGGTACTTCATGGTGGGCTGAAAGATTGTCGAGCTTGAATCAGCAATTTCTCGACCCATCATGGGCTATCCTTCTTCGATGTGATGCTTATTTTGGTTCGTTCACTCTACCACCCGCCGCCTGTACATTCTCTTCTTTCTACGCATTTACCTCTACACATCTCCCTCTCACAGTGAAAGTGGACATTTCCCGATCCATCACGAGTTATACTCAACCTTCATCTCTTCCCACTCCATCCCTTTACTCAATTTCATTATCTTAACGCTGGTTGCAGCTACTCTCCCAAGCGTCATGCCATGCCGCTAGTCACTATCCTCTTTTTGGCATCCGATGCAGAATACCTCCGGGTGCTGGGGCTATTGCTTCACCCACCACGAGCTATCCCTCATTGATCATGATGCACACCCATAGCTAGCCCCTTATCCGCGTCGTACATTGTGGTATCTTTTTACATCGCACCACCCCTTCTTTTTACCTCTAGAGTATACGTACATCATATGCATGATCCCTTGCGTCCGATGCAGAATGCCTCATACAAGGATGGATGAAGTGACCAATTGTTCAACCTGCTACGAGCTATCCTTCATCGATCATGATGCTCGTCCACGACTAGTTCCTCATCTCCCTGCATCGCACTACCCTCTTCTTTTGTGCGTCTATATACATCATCAACCCTTGCATCCGACGCAGATATCTCGTGGTGGTTCGGTGTGATGTAAGAACATTCATATCACTCAACCCACCACGGGATATTCTTCATCGATCATCATCGTTATCTCCGACATCATACATGCGGTGCCCTGCAACTCGTTGTGAATCTCACTCGTGCTTTGGTCCTAGTACTTCGCGGATCCGCCAACGCTAGATCTCAGACAAAAAGAAGTCACTGGCAGCTGTATTTATAGTGAGCCATCCATGATTTCATCACTAGCTCAGCTGATAATGAACGCCTCGCAGAACCCCATCCCTATTCCTCTGCAGTGGTGATCCCTCCGAGTAGTCATTTACTGGTAGTACCAAACGATTACTCTGGGTGTTCACTCGAACACACCGGTTTTGTTGCGTACACTATGCGCATGATGTTAAAGAGCCTCACCCGAGCCTCCGCCACTGGCGTCGGAAGGGCTTTCCTTCTGGGTCCAAAGGTGCGTGTCATGTACATATAGTGCGTCTCTGACACTGAAGTACTTGGTTCTAGAACGGCTTGAGTAGGGGTTACATGACTTGTAAGTTTCAAGTGTTCTTGAAATTTGGGATTGACTTTGACTTATATATTGTGGGCCTGAACGCAGGCACGTCAGTATGGCTGCGCTTCTGAATCTTCGTGCTATCCTCACTGATGCCAGAGCCTACATAGAACACACTCTATCACCGCTTCCGTTCCTGCACCATTATCAAGCCGGTGCTTAGTGCGTATCATCCCCAGAACACACTCTCGCTTCAAACACACACATATTTATGTCTATCTGTCTGTCTGTGCAGGACGTTCAGATAGAAGTACTTACTAGTACCGAGTCCACTCACAATGCATGTCATGCGCGGACACCCAATGTACACCCCCCGCTTAACTCGGAAGCCGTCTCGCGGGATGTTAACATTGGGTGTCCCCCAAGGGACTAACAGGTTTACTCATGACACTTCGATCCCAGCACGTCCCCCTTAACCGCCACCTCCTATCGCATCAACAAAGTCAAAAGTCCATACTGCCTACACTGCCCATATGACGAAGAATCAATTCACCACTTTACGCTAAAATGCCCCTACTATGAGAGAGAGAGAGACACCCTCCAATGCGCACTAGGACGTGACGCTTCATCCATTCCCCATCTTCTAACCGACCCCGAAGCAATCCCACACTTAGCACGCTAATAGTGTCAACCCCACGCAGCGCCTGAAAGCCACATTCGGTGAGGTCCCATTATCCAAAAAACGAAAGAACTGAACCGCAGTCGCAGAAGCATACTATCAAACTCACGAAATCTAACACCCTGTACACCAAGAACTCAAAGCCACGACTAATCAATACCGAAACAAACTGCTATAATCACATACCTAATATCTCGTCTACACGGATTCTCAATGACGCTCATTATGTAATAATCTGCGAAAGCGGACGGGAAAAGCGTTTGCATCACCGCAAGCAGCCCACCACCTCACAGCAGAAATAGATTCTTCTCGTCTTCATTGAAATGCGCGTCTAAAACGACCGGCGGGAACGGCGGACTGATGGGGGTACGTCTCAGCATCAGGGGCATTCGCTATTTCAGAGATAAAGGGGTCCCATAGACTAGAAAGTACCGTCCTACATAGGGTTCTATCCTCAATAGATTGGAATAGAAAAAACATTGGGTGTCCGTGCAGTGTCGCCTCCCTATGAGTATATGGGATCATGGGATCATGCGTGCCTTTGGCTAGAATCTCTCGCGCGTTCCATGCAGAACCCGAACTTCATCGGATTTCCCGGGCCGCGTATGACATGATACCAGTATGATACCACCTGGATCTCCTCACTTGGGATGATCGAATGCCGATCACCAGAGTTTATGAAGAGCTCGGATATCACATATTGTACTGTCACTAAACCAATCCGAACGTTCAAATCAGAGCAAGAGCAAACGTTGTATGGCTGGATCTATCAAAGACAACGAACGGCGTTGTTGTGCCCGAGTCGTCGTTTATTCTAACTTCTCAACGACACTACAGTTACACAAGGAACCTGCAGGTATTCCTGGTAAAGTTCACGGGAGGTGTCAAAATTTCCCCTTTGGCTGGTACGCGCTGTGGCGTCGCTTTTGGATGCCGACTCGGCTCTGTGTGGCGCACACCCACGGTGATCCTACCTAGTCATGCGCGCGGAAAGCAAAAGTCCCGCTAAAGGCAGCGAAGCTGAATTTTCCCAAAACTCGCACTGCAGTTTCATATGCAACACACTGCAAATTGTCTATATGGAGCCTATGATGCTACTTTCTGATACTAGTTGCCTTCAAAGCTACCCCCTAGCGCTTTTTTGCATCAGTTTTGATCACCGTATAAATGATAACCATCCTTTTTATAGCATCTACGCGCATGCATCTCGGACTGTGTCATGTGTTGGCGACCATAATGGAGACCTTGGTGGCATGTACCCTGGTCTCATGCATCACGAACGTTTTCAAGCATCGTTTGGAGGTTTAGGTGCAAGGGGAATCAAAGTCCCTCACTACTCAGAACACCTGAATGCTGAAATCCATTACACCTCCAGGCAAATCTTCCACCTCGGCGCGGCCAGGGTTGAGTATCTGCTACGGGTGTAGGAATTACTGATATATTTTCCCGGTCCTGTGGAATCGTACATCTCGCACATCATTTGATGACTTTTTGTTAGCTAAAGATGGATATGGACAGCTTGGACCTCCCCCCCTCTGCTGGTATCACATGTGTTAGTGTCCAGAGGTATGATAGAGTGCGACGGATTCGGCTCCGCGCTATGCTCCATTTTGGATCCTGCTCCCCCAGACTGGCGTCGTATGCCCTTGATCACATGCAACTAACTTGATGTGACTCCATTTCACAGAGGTCCATCTAATATTCCATGCTATTCGTGTATTTTGCGCTTGTTGTGGAAATTCTCAAGCGCTGGCTAAAAGATATAAAGAGGGCAGTTGGGAGCATGGTGACGGTATCTTCACAGTTTGGTTTAATTACAGATTTGATCATGAAGTATCTTCTTTCTTCCCTTGCTCTGGCGTCAACAGCGCTTGCTCAGCGTACCATTACTGTGTATAACGCATGTCCTTTCACCATTTGGTATGTCCATGTGCTTCCTACCCTCGGCATTAATAATGAAGAGGCAAATGTAGGCCTGCAGTATGTTTCTACTCGTGATGGATAAACGATGGTATGTTCACTAACAACTAATTAGATGTTCACGGGCTCTGGCACACTGCCCTAGCTACACGACTGGGTATGCATTTAACATCTACTATTTGAACCTGAGCTGATTCTCAACTAGCTGGGAGGCCGGCGAGTATACTGCGGTCACCTTCCAGGTACATATAATGATCCATCGGTCTTGGCTTGTCCGACTGACTGATTGATAACAGGTCCCAAGCGACTGGACTGCTGGACGAATCTGGGTTGGTTTTTCTTAAATCTACCCTCCTTTTTCACCCCTTCATATTATGATAGGGACGTCGTGACTGTGACTTCACCACCGACCCCGGCCCGAACTCTTGCCTTGATGGTGGTTGCAATGGGGGACTGGTGTGCGACCCTACCACCGGCACAGTAAGCACGCTTGCTGCAAGTCGTTTTATTTTACTGAATGCTCTGCTATCAGGGTGTCCCACCTGCCAGTCTTGCAGAGTTCACTTTGGGTGCAGGGGGCGTTGACTACTTTGACGGTGCTTAAGATTCAAGCTAAGGTCATCAATCAGGCTAACTTCCTATCATAGTATCTCTTGTCGACGGGTATAATTTGCCCGTCAGTGTCACAAATAATGTTGGGTGTGGGGTTCCAAGTTGCCCTGTAGATCTGGGGCCTGACTGTGAGCAAACTGCACTTCAGCTGCGTTCAAATCTCTGATAAACTTTCCGCACACAGGTCCAGCAGCTCTCCAAGGCCCTTATGACTCCACCGGCTTCCCTGTTGGGTGCAAGAGTGCATGCGAAGCTGACCTCGATGGTGATCCAAGTAAGAGTTATCTCCCGTCGAACCACGCAAACTCCTTATCCAAACACCTAGCAAACTCTCCCAACTGCTGCAGTGGCCAGTATGACACGCCTGCTACGTGTCCTTCGTCAGGCGTTGAATACTACAGCTACTTCAGTAAGTGTCGTCATGCTGTTGCTTGTCTGCAGGTGGCTGATTACCTGTATGCAGAGGACAACTGTCCCGATGCATATGCTTATGCATACGACGACGCAACCTCTCTATTCACCTGCAGCTCTTCTCTCAATGCTGAGTTCACAATTACCTTCTGCCCATGAGTAAAGCATTTCTACTCTTGACGGCAAGAACTTGGCGAGATATTCGGGAGATATTTTTTTTTTGGGGAGCACAAATGCGTGCTACTTACCAAATGTCGTCGTGTTTGTTGAATATAAATCTACGTCAATGTTAATAAACATTGTCCTGACTATGGTCGAGATATATATTCCAATGCTGCGCCATTGGCCTGGATAGAATGGATCTAAGCATGCCGCATCTTCCGATTAGGGTTGGCGCACGAATATTGATATTTCCAAATGCAGCGCGGGAATTATCTCCCATATCTCCCTTGCCACCCACGATGGGCGAAATTTATTTGGTGACAAATATTTCTCGATCCACCACGAGCTCGAAGTCACCTATATGTACTCGAGTTCAAGCTTCATTCCTTCGCACTCCAATATTGGCTGCAATACAAACGCACCATGCAATGTCGTGCCAACGTCTACCATCCTCTTCTTGCCATCCAATCCAGAATACCTTGTAGTGTGGTCAGTGGTCACTACATGAGTTTTGCTTCGTTACCCCACTACGAGTTATCCTTCATCGGTGCATCGATAATGATACTCATCCATGGCTAGTCCTTTATCTCCTAGTGACATTAATGTATCTGCTACCCTCTTCTTTCCCTTCCGACGCAGAATACCTCGTGTTAGTATGAGTATGAGTATGGCCAGTCGTTGCTCAATCTACCACAAGCTATACTTCATCGACGGCCAGTCCCTATTGCACGTCACATGTGTGGTGTCCCACATGCCTCCCGAATTGCATTCTTTTACTTCCAAATTCTACTATCTTCGTCGTTTTGCCGCCACGTACGCTGCATTTCACAGACGGGAAGAATCATCTGTGTTTATTCGCGACTTCACTGTAAGCTATCCATGATTTCACACATCCACATCACTAGCTGGTTGTGAACATCGCATTTCACAGGGACCTTACTGAATAGTCCTGAATATTGGCGACGCACTGTCAATACAACAATTACTCTAGGCGTTCACTCGAATACACCAGTTTTTTTGCGTGCACGAGTCGCTAGATGATACTCTCTGTACATGGATGATGTTGGCCTCCATACTGTAGTTTCACCCTGGCAGCCGGACTTTCTGCATCCGGGAGTGAGTGAATACATAGTGCGTCTCTGAAACTGAAGTACTTTGTTCTAGGACGGTTTCGTGCTCAGGACTTAGACTGGAGTGGGATACATGACTGTGTTCTTTGGAATTTGCGAGTGCGGGATTGATTTCGACTTGTGGGCCACGTCGGTGTAGGTATGTCTGCGCTTCTGAATCCTCGTACAATCCTCACTGACGTCACAGAACATCAAACGTACCCTCTATCATTGCTCCCGTTTTTGCACCACTATCAAGCCAGGTGCTCAGCGCCTATCACTCTCAGAACCCACTCTGCTTCAAGTATATATATATGGGTGTGTACAGGATGTCTTCAGAGAAGTAGGCCCACTCACAAATACTAGTCTCGAAGGCTGGTAGTATGCTTCAAGTCGATGTAATATTGCCTATCCGACGAGTCCGCCATATGATGTCGTACGTGCCCGTGGCTGGTGATTTGCATGACACGCTTCTTCTCATTCACAAGGAGCCTGTCTTCCTCTTCTTGATGTTCTCCTGGGAATCTTTCACGCTCCACTGAACTTCATCGAATTCCCTGTGGTCGATACGATAGTATTCATACAAACAGGATCTCCTCGCTCAGAGTCGCACTCTCACCATCCAAACGTTCATCAGATCAAGGACAAATACTGGATGATTTATCGAAGTAAGCAGGCTCGCCAACCTCATGATTCATATCGTACGCTGTTTATTGATTTATGTACCGGATCAGGACATTGACAACGAACGGAACGCCGTTGTTGTGTCGTTGTTTGTTCTAGCCATCTGCTGGAAGTATGGCGTCGTCCATTTCTTGCCCCTTCTTCCCGGACGGCTCCCACAAAGATTTCGTCGCCTAGGCTCGTTTACTCCATCACCGTCTTCAGCGCTGCGACAATCACATGCATGCCATCGTATGGTGCGCTCCGCATTGTCTTCTTTATGCGCCTTCACACTTGTTCCTTTCATCCAGTGCAGAATACCTCGCGGTTTTCGTCATCGATTCACGTGTACATTTATGCTTCATCCCTTCACGCTTGTTCCGCTTGTTTCAGTTCACCTTGAACGCTGGCTACAATACAACAGCTACGCTCTCGGGACCATCGTCCACTGACCTCTTCTTCATGTTCAGGTCTCTCCTGTATCCAACGCAGAATACCTTATGGTAGGCTGTGCTTCGTTTGTCGAGCGATCGCTCGACCTCCGACAAGCTATACTTCATCGATCTTCACCCATAGCTAATCCGTTATCATGTCACACATCGTGGTGTCTATCTGCAGCGTACTACCCTCCTTTTGGCCTCTAGAGTCTACATCCCTTGCATTCGACGCGAGGTACCTCGTGGTGGGTCAGAAGGTTGTCGAACTTGAATCAGCAATTGCTCGACTTATCATGGGCTATCGTGATGCTGCTTGTTCACTCCATCACCCACTGTCTGCACATTCTCTTCTTTCTGCGCATGTACCTCTGCACATCTCCCTCCCACAGTGGGAATAGACATTCCCCGATCTGCCACGGGTTATACTCAACCTTCATCCCTTCCCACTCCATCCCTTTACTTGATTTCATCATCTTCACGCCGATTGCGGCTACTCTCTCGAGCGTTATGCCATGCCACCAGTCACTATCCTCTTCTGGGCATCCAATGCAGAATATCTCCGCGTGGTGAAGCTATTGCTTCACCTACCACGAGCTATCTTCCACCGATCATGATGCACACCCATAATTAGCCCCTTGTCCGTGTCGCACATCGTGGCGTCTTTTTACATCGCACCCCTTCTTTCTACCGCTAGAGTCTATATCTAACACATAAGGACGCATTTCTGGCGATTCGTATTGGAACGGGCACGGACTGCAAGGGAAACCCAGGCCAAACCTCTATGGCGGAGGGCTCTATCTATCGAGGACTGACTACGAGCTAGAACTCCTGCTACTGCCCTAGGACCCCTGGCACTCCCCATGACCTGCGCCAGATCTCCCCACTACAGTATCTACCCTGTTATGCTATGCAGCTCTGATGTATGCTCTTGCTCGGTGTCAATGGTGTCCACTCCGTCATGCTGTAACGCCGAGCATTCGCAAAAGTGTTCAAAGCCGTCGCAATATTAATACCCGCCCCCAGTATGGGATGTGCGGTATCTTTATGCTCTGATGGCGAATCATTGCTCACGATAGCTTACAGGAATTTCAAGTTGGGACTGCAGCTTCAGTTGCCCATGACTGTCAGGCAGTTAGTGAACCCTTATATTGAATTACATCAACTCCGGCCATTACATGCCAGAGTCGGCTCGGCATTTAAATTTTCCCCGGGCCCGAGGACCTCTTTGTTCCCCATGGCACAAAGGCTTCGCAGGAACAGCTCAAACTTTCAACGTAAGTCATGGCAGCATGGTCGATTGACCGATCACCTTACGTCACACGATGTTGCCATCTTGGTTCAAGTTGAGTACCATGATCCTGCCAGTGGCAGTTACTTACGTGGTCGTTGGATTAGTGATACTGTGCGGAGTCAATCACAACTTCATCAACGAACACATGCAGTTGACTCATGGCTAGGAATACAATATCATAGTCCTTATATTTCAACCCCGAAATGTGTTCGTAACACTGTCCAACACCCTCAAACCTGTGCGAGTGCCACTCAGGCTGCGAGCAACATTTGAGACGTAATCACCGTCATGCTTCCATGCAGCATGTTCGGATCTGACTCATAATTGCCAGACTTCGCGCTGGGAACCCCTGATGGGCCACATGATTTACCCCAAAGGTACATTACACACATAAATCACAATGACAGCAAGAATGATGACGAATCGCCTGCCAGTACTACTCGTTTCACATCCGAACCCCTCTTTTTCCAAGGTCGGCTGCTTCGTCGGGTTCTGATAATCTAAACCATAACGGTAAGATCGTGCAAAACCCACCAGACAATAACTTGGGGGAATATGTGAGCTTTGAATCTGAGCTCCGAAAGAATTCATTCAAGTTCATGCGTATAAATACGTGACGAGTCTTGAAGGTAGCTCCCCATCGCTCCTTTGATTACTCTGAGTGAGTCCAAGGCCTGCCAAGTTTCATTCGTTCTCCTTTCTGATTCATTCCCCAGGGATCTTTATCGCTACATTGAACACTTGTTCCAAATCTCTTTACTATTACACACAATGTCTGTCAAAGGTACGTTCAGAGGTTTACAGCCAGTTCCTAATAATCATTCTGAGCACACTGGCAGCCACGGAGACCGAGATTGGCATTTTCAACAACACCAAATACACGATCTCTGCCCGCATCACCGCCGACAACGGTGACACGGGGGGTCTTGGATTCTATGATATCGAGGCAGGGAAGTACGAATTGTGGAAGCGAAGCCACTGGCAAGTGGCCTTCGTGTTGAGGAGGTCGTCGGAACCATCTGATAACAAGGCGGAGACTTTGGTTGTGAAGCCCACAGGGGTTTACTACATCAACGATGATTAGAAGCAGTTGGGTCATGGTATGCGCTGTGCATACTGCTAGTACTGTAGTATGACATACGTCTTGTTGTACAACAAAGTTGCAAAGTGGAATCAATAGGTGTACTTGTCGATTGACGATCATCTGAGTTTTGTATATTATATAAAAAGTCAAGGAGCCCGTACATGGGCATGCCCGCCGAAACGAAGTCCTTGCACAGCTGCCAGGTCAGATATCAGATCTCGGACCTCATACATGCGGTCTATTGGATCGTAGACCCCCTTGGTGCCATACCCCCTTGCAATAAATACATTTGAATAGACCCCACTCAAGACGGACGTTCCAAAGCCAAACAACACCTATATATGCGTACCAGAATTGCCATAAAAAATGCTATCTATCCCAAGCAAGCATAGTCCAGGAGGCAAGAAAAATAT